GACAAGGTCGAAGACTAATCGCATAGCAACGCAAAACTCCTCAAAGTCCAGCTCTCCATCGCCGTCAACATCCGCCAAATCCCATACTTTCTCAAGCTGATCATCGCTAAGCCGACTGTTCCTGAGCACCGAGGCCGCTTGGGAGCTATTTAGACGCGGATGGCCATTTGCCAATGAGGAGAAGATCTCCCAGTACCGCTCAATTTCCCACTGTTCGATCTTCTTGTTTGACATGGTGGAAGTAAGTAGTCGCCGGTACTGTAAATATTGCAATTGAATATATCCGGTATCCGGATATTGGGAATCCTCTACGGCGTATTGAAGGTGTGATGATGATGAGACCCCCGTTACCCTTTCGGGCATCCCGCAGTGGCTCCGATGGGGCATCCGGAACAACTTCCATTCCGTCAGGGGAAAGGTACGCTACGTAACTACCGGGGCACGTGAGACTCTATGAGAAGTATTGTCACGTGATGTATGTTCGCCTATCAAGGACACGCTGACGCTGTTGTACTTGTACAATACTATAACTCTGGTCTTCTACGTCAGAAGATCAGCAACCGCATATAGCGATGGTCTGATAGATATTTGACCAGATCTAGCTGAAGTAGTATGGTCTATCACAAATGGGAAATAGTACATAGCTCCCCAGATCTATCCCTGTGCAGCTGCCCTTCTAAGTGGCCCCATGGCTGGTACCAAGATCACCTCGTCCTCTTCTTCCTCGTCTTCTGCGTCCTCCCAATCATTGTCACTTTTCTCGCTGTGATAGTCTTCAAGGAATTCGAAAGTGTTGGTGACGGTGGTCAGTGGTGTCGTGGGTGAGTATGCCGCTGCACGATCCGAAGAAGTTTCCCAGCAGCTACTTCCTGGGCTGTCGACGACGGGGTCTGTTCGTGGGGTTCTTGCATCGCTGAATGGTGCGAAGTTATCTTCTCCACTCTGGATATAATCGACACTCATGGGTAACATAACTCTACCAGGTGTTGTTGGCCTTGAAGGAAGGGGGACATCTGTGAAGTTGATACAAGGTATGACCTCAGAAAGCTCCGAATGCCGGTCAGTGTGTACATACGAGTCCAAGGTTTCCACGACCTCGCCTGTGTCTGGCTCAAATGTGGCCTGTTGTAACTCTCGCTGGAATTTCGTCCAACAGGAAATCAAAGATGTATCGTCGAGCTCAAGTAAGCCTCGCTGCCAATCCTCGGTGATGGCATTGCGTAGCGACTGCGTGAAATCGTCTAGAGCGGAATGACTCGAATTTACAGCCGAGGTTGTTGTCGTGCCAGCTCCCCCGCCAGATTCTCCAGGACTTGATGATGCTTTATAAAAGACATCGAGAGGTGGTAAGGATCGTACCAATCTTCGCGGATGAGCAGATTTCTTCCATGCTTGGAAAAACTTAGCTCTTGGTTGGCCGAGTTTTAAGCGGACGATCAGTCGTCGGGTACGTTCTCCACGATGATAGAGTTTGCGAGGAGGCAGATCTCTCTCCTGGTACTGTACCAGAGCTCCGTCAATATCTTCCGTTGTGTGAATGACGCGATGGGGAGGAGTAGCCGGAGGAGGCCTACTACAATCAGCGAAATCGTGTCTATGGTCGTTTACGGTGATCGAACCAACCCCGAACGGAGTGACTGGCCCAGTGACCATCGAATCTCCTTGGCTCTCTCTTCTCTCGGCGTCAGATGCATCTTGAGCACTCGGCCAAGTCACGATACTGCCGCTCCACTTCCCGGCATAATGTCTTTCGATCCCACGCCTTTGCAAGAATTGTCTGGCGTTCAGGAGTTCCCCGACTTCACACAGGAGATAGTTCGTTCCTATGTTGCCTCTGAGTCTTTGAGTGGTCTTGCGGGAAATTTTGCGAAAGACCAGCTTGTGAGGTGTCTTGTTGCGGCTGGCCGAACTACTATCGATTCTGAGGAGCGCTTTCAGTTGTTTTGCCCTCATCGCATGCAGCGCCGAGTCTTCCATCGCAACTTGATGGTCACGGCGTCTGATGAGTTCCTGTAACTCCTCGCGTTCCTTTTCCCCCAAGCCAAGCCTGCTATAGACTGTGGACCATCTGTAGTGTTGGCGGAGGTTGATGGCGATCTCTGCTTGCAAGCTCGGAGAAAGGTCAGACCATTTTGGATCGTGGATGAACCTGATAGACTGGGAAGAGTCAGCACGGGAATAGGGCGTATACTTTGTCAAGAAGCATACCTCTGCGTGACGGCCATCTACGTCTGTCATCGGCTCGTCAGGATCGCTATCTTCCATGTCCATCTCAAAAGAAGACGACGTTTCTGCAGTCGCCATGATTGCCATGTTTCTCACGTAGATAGGATTGAGTTCCCCATTGCTAGCGATGAGGTCCTCGAGCTCATCGATTGAGATATCTTCAAGTTGCTCCCATGTCTCTTTATCTTCCGTATTGCTCCCGTGAAAGTCAATCGAGCTGGCGTCGTGTTGCACCCCTTTAGCTACGCCATCCTGCTCAACTTTCGCCCGGTCCTGTCCTTCGGTCCTCGATTGAGAGCGATTGGCTGGGTCAAGCGTGGGGAATGCAGCAGGAGGTAAGTTTGGATTGTAATCGATAAAACGAGGGGTTCTTTGATTTCTAGATTCGCGCAAAGTCTTCTTTCGTGATGGTGTAATGATTAGCTCGGAGTTGAAGCGCTCAGGTGGCCGGATACTCTCGCGAAGTCTCATGGTGAGCTCAATTCTAGAGAGACAGATAGATCACTGAACGCGCACTGACAACTTAGCAAGGCTATGAACTGCGGTCTTAAGCAAGGAAAACAAACCAGTATGCTCCCTAGACGGAGGAGCGCCCCTGTCTCTGTGCAGAAGCTGAAGAAGGCTGCCTTTCCAGGTTCGAAGCCGTCAGAGGACGTGTTGTCCAGCGGATATGAGGAAGAAACGGAAAGGAAAGATAACAGAAAAGGATCCGTCTCGGATAGAATGACAACAATGATCCCTTTGTGAAAGGTAGATTTGTAGCTACTTAAGCAATAGGATCTTTCAGGATGGTAGCAGAATGTTAACGCAATGCATCACATAGGTGGGTGATGTTTGGGTATCTCCGGATTGGGAAACACAGAAAAAAGTCACCAGAAAGAGGAACAAGGAAGAAAAAGTCATCGCCGAGACGTCAACTAAACATTCACCTGAGAAGCACAGTTCCCATGCTGCAAGGCAGATCATTCACGCTAATCAATTTGAACGATCCTGGAATGGGGCAAGAGGCTTTCTACTATCAATTGAACCGTCATCCATAATATTCATATTCATGTCCATGTCCATTCCCACCGTATCACCACCCGTAGTTGTAGGCTCATCAAGTCGATCAGCAATGCTTCTTTTTCTAGAAACGGTCGCTTGAGGGATTGCTAGAGTCGAGTTGGACGTAGACGCTTGTATGGCCTTCTGCACATCCCGTTTGGCATCAAGTATAGACTGGAATGATGCGAGGAGCTCCCTCAGCGGTTCTTCAACACATATACAGAATCTTCGAAGCTGGACGAGATGTGATGCGACAGCCATATTCAGGTTGAGCATGACCATCAGATATGCTATGACGACCGTGGCCGAGCGCTCGTTGCCAGACTCACAGAAGACAAAGACCTTCTTTCCTGGTGCGCTGGTGTCAACAGCAGGCCCAGACGACACGAGATGATCGTTGATGCGGCGTATAGCATAAGGAAATGCCGAGATGAGTTCCTGGTTGTCCATGACATCGACCGCGTCGGCTTCAATTCCCAGCTCCGCACCAACCTTTTCACCAGAAACCAGGCGCGCTTGTGCTGAGCGTTTGTTGCGTATCGCCAGCAACAATGTGAAACCCTCTTGGGCGAGCCAGGCTTTGTCTTTCAAACAGGACACAGGGCCCAAGTAGAGAAATGGCAGGATTGCTTGCGCCTGTCTCCGCATCATGTAGTCCCAGTCTGGCGCCACGACTCGATGCACGAAATTCTCCGGGTTGATCATCTGGAAGAATCCCGCGCAAACGAACTCCCCTTCCTGGAAATCGTGAGAAGTGGGGCTGATGACTTCCTCAAGAGAGTTGTCCTCATCATAGAATGAAGGTGCAGACATAGTCAGACGAGTCTTTGCACTTCCAGAGGTATATTCATGAGTTCGAACATAATGCGAACCCTCCTGCTCCGACATCGAAGCCTCACTGCAACGAGCCGGAGTCATTTTGGCGGAACAGTCTTTTTGAGTTTGATTGAGAATATTTGACAATGGGGTTGCAGAGAACTAGAATCTGCTGCCAAAGGGAGTATTGTGATAGCTTCTTCTCCTTGTATGTTATTAGGAAGCAATGAGAGATTTCATCAGTGAGAGTAGATAATGTGAAAGTCATTCAGGGGCAGTAAACATGGATCAAACATTTAGTGAGTGAATGTGTCAAGATATGAGGAGCAAGCAGCAACGTCACTACTTGACTTGATCTTTCCCAACATTTTCCTCTTACCATTACCTAGACTTGCCTTAAGTCATACCTGAGTTTCCAGGCACCACAACATGGTCTCCTAGGGTTAGCATCAAAGGCACCCAAAAAGCAGTTGTTGCCTGGGTTGAGTGCCTGATGACTCATCCGTGGCATAGCAAGGACAAAGTTAGTTACTTAACTAAGTTAGTTACCTACATGATTAGTCATGTATACTCATAAGTAGACAACTTCTTTTGAGATGCGCCTGAAAGTTGAGCAAGACAGTCAGACAACAGATTTCGCAGAAGTGATTCTCAGTAGTCATCTGGACCCTTCATTCAATAGATACCTGGGTTTCAGGGACAATTGGACCGTTAGAGGGAGGCTTGCGGCCTGTGCTCCGTCGCAGAAGCGCTTGTTTAGGCACCGCCTTCGAAACTATCATGGAAGAACCACATAACCCCAACGTCGTTCAATTACATGTGATCAGAGCAAGCATGGCAATAAATGGAGAACGAGCTTGGTATTGCCCATGAGCCTCGTACTTCGGACGACCGGGACCCAGACCAACAAAACGCTTTCTCGCTTGCTCGATGTAGGAAGCCACTCGTGCCTTGGAACTGGCTAATAAGACCACCGGGCACTCAACGATGCTCAGGGTATAGACTATGCACCGTATGATTAGTATTCAAGGTTCATGGCCTTCGTACAACGAAGAGGCCGGAACGCTCTGTGATGCGTGCTAAGACCGAATATGGTGAACATACCAGATCCAGGAACACCCTCACTTGACAACACGTAAATCCATAGCTAAGTGGACGGGAGCTTATGATTCTCCCAGTTACCACCGAATCCGAAAGGGGACACCTTGGCAGTCTCAACGAGCGATGGAAGCCTAAGGCGACGCCTGTCTCAAACTCACATGACATACCATACCATCCCCAGAATCGTACTAGATTGGGCAAAGAGAACAAAGTCCTAGCTAGTCAAGTCGAGTCATAATCGAAATGGGGGGCTGGTATCCGAAAGATACCGGATTGAGTCAGACCATATACTACAAGAGTCATACTTCGTATAGTATGTGTGTCTCCTACCCTGTTACACGGCCCTAAGGATGAGCTAGGAAAGTTAGGAATAAGCTGACAAATCGGTACTACAATCTTATTTGACTAATGACTAGGATGGGAGATAGTCTAGGCTTCCATATGCTGAGGTGGCATGGCAGTTGATAGTTCCAGGCCGAGTGGATGGGATGGCAAAGTGAAATCAGGCTAACAAGTCGGACGAACATAGTCAGGCGACTTGGTCAATCGTAGCAGCAATTTTCCTTTCCATTAGATCCCAAAGCTATGAAACGAGGATACGCGATGGCACTCAGATGGATAGTACATAGTAAGAGAGTAAGGTGGTAGAAGAGCTCAGAATTGTGAAGGAAAGTGGCAAGAGAGGGGAGAGAGAGAGAGAGAGAGAGATTTAAGATAACACCTGGGTATAATTCAGGAATCCAGCAAACAAAGGTAAACAGCCATTAAAACACCGCCTTAGTTGTATGATCGACCTCGAGCAAAACGCCAGATGTGTGTTGTGATGATGCGTTCTGAGATGGACTGACCGACACGACATTAACCTCCATTGATTTCGAGTAAGCGCAGACCAGAGACCCCGTACATGAAAACGAAAACGCCCGCAAAATGCAACAACTGGAACAAAAGTCATGAAAGCGAAGGCGTATGTCGCACAGCTGAGTCTAGTACCAAGACCTGCGCATCACCCCTGCGACACGGCAGTTTGCGGGATGGTTGGCTGAGGAATGGCCTGCTGCAATCCAGCCACAATTCTCTCTAGTTCTTCGAGTCGGCGATCCTTCTCTTGAACCTCGCGACGCAGTCTCTTCAGCTCATTGCGCAAATCGACCTCGTTTTCGTCATCGCCTGGGAGAGCGACCGAGATGTCATCATCAAGGGAGTCGCGCTTCCGCTTAACGGATGGAGGAACTGAAAGAGAATGATTCCCATCCAGGTCAGGTGTTGAAACCATGGGCAGTTCTGTAGCAGGGCCATTTTCGGTGTGCATGTGTCGGCGGCGAAGATGCTCCTTCAAGTTCTCTTGGCGCGTGAAACCATTCCCTGTACTGCGGTTGCAGTCGGTGTATGGACACATCAGTGGCTTTTTGGCATTAATGTTCTTTTTGTGAACTTCGCGTTGGTGTCTCAGAAGCCCGCCAGAGTATGTGAATCCTTGGATCTTGTCACACCCTGGTTCCAGACACTTGTAGGGACGGTCATGTTTATCCATGTGTTTGCTACAGGTGAAAGACGCGTTAGCTCTTGACAGACGCGTGAGGATTTGATCTAAGCATGAACTTACTTCCATTCACAAGGACGCCGAAATGTCGGAGGCGATTGCTGGCATTCGGGATGATCACAATAGATCTGGCCGGCTGCGTTCTTGGGTGGATCCCGCGCTCTTCTGACAGACAGTCGAGGACGAGCGCCTTCCATGAAACCAGGGGGCATTTGCTCATTCATCTTTGGAACAGGCGACAAAGAGTCCGGAGCAGGGACAAGGATAGCTGTAGGTACTCCGGGACCTTCACTTCGTGGGCTTGGATAGTCAGAGCCGTCACCCATATCGCAAGTACAGCCCCGCAGCTCAGTCGAGATTGGGGGCCTAGTTTGGAGGAAATTCGAGTATGAAGCGACACAAGACTCGAGGGCCGAGCAATAATACGATTTAAGGATAAGAGGAAAGGGTCTAAATCAATTTGAGAGGCAGTATTGCTGATATAAATCCGTCAGTGACTTGATCTCGTGGGTGGCGCTCAGTAGATGTTGGTTCCTTACGAGGAAGACGGGGTGCCGATTTTTTCAGGCGTTCAGGTAGCAAGGCATCCACTAGCGAATGACTAATCGAATTTGGCGAGCCGCCACATCAAAATCATGTGACTGTGTGGTATGGGCTATTGTTGAGAAACAAGGAATGCAAGGATACCTCAAGCCTTGATAAAGCAGATGCGATGATATACTCCAGAGTACTGTGATTCACACCCAAAGGATTTGAATATTATGCGGACACTGCTGCACACGTGGTGTGATGTCTGTCGCGTTGTGATCGTTATAGCCCGAAGCGGAAAGTCGAGATCTAGTGGCACCGAGGATGAGATCTTAGGTCGTAATTATATTCAGTGAGTCATCCGCATAGGAATCAGGCAGCCGGATAAGTCATAATTTGATATATTAGGTTATTATTGGTAAGTACTGACAGAGTATCCGCATGAATCCTACCTAGTTCAACATAAGAGAGGGACTCCAAAGTGATGCTTGTGCTGCCAGGTCGAGAGCAGCCGCCACAGATGCCAGTCAATCATAGTGGCGCAGCAGGCCTAAGGATTCGTACCCTCAGCCACCGTCGATCCCTCCTCCTCACCAGCTCAAGGGTTCTCCTTGGCAGTCTACGATTTCATCAGATTCAAGATCATCTTCAGCTCATCATTATTCATCATTATCCTAGTCCAGTTGATCTTCATCCGTACTTCTGCAGGCTTACTGGTAGCCCGACTCAGATCGATCTCTGCCAGACCACGTCAAAGTCGGCGTGTACCTGAGGTACCCAATCCTCTGACCGCCAGGGCACAGATGTGAAACCGGCGGTTGTAGCCCAATGCGGACTGTGACATGGCTTTTCCAAGAAGTCGGCAGCCTAGGAAACCAGGCATTCGCGACAGTAGACGTCGCAGTTGCCCTGCCGATATACGGAGCTTTCCCATTCTCTAGAGGAATTCTCGCCTTCATCCCACTGTCACTTTGCTAGCAGTATATTTATACTGCCTTACTAATGCGCTTCACCTTATCCTCGGGATTGATTTGCGTCGAATGACATCGAGTCAAGCACAGCTATACACGACATGAGGCATACGAAACTCAATTTGCATCCAGTAAGGTTGATACTTCTGCCAAGAACAGGTTGCACTATGTAGCAAAGCAGCCCTGTCCTTGGATAGAGCATCATTCGGCTCCGGAGGTCGCCTTACGAACCCAAGCACAGACAGTACAAGATCACGGTTGACATAGCCATCGAATAGGCATCTCAGTTCTTCTTATAGAGGCGGTAGGATATGTTTACCGAGTACGCCGACGTGTAGAATGGTAGTTCGACTAGATGAGCGAAAATAGCAGACTGTTCTTCTTGCAGTGGCGCAGCACAACGGCCTAGCATTTCGGCTGGCAACCCCGGGAGTTTAGAACTCTGCATAAATTATCCAGATCACAAGGGTATGATTCACGGAGATCGGAGCGGGTTCTGGATTTCGACCAGAGAGGCCGACTACTGTCGTGGTCTGGTCCAGTAAACTACATTATGGTTGTGGTTGAGTCTGCACAGTGATGTATACAGAGAGATCACTAAACCTGAGTTAAGACATCCTACTAAATCCTGCGATGTGTGATGGACGAACCAAAGTGTCAGATTTTTGCAGAATGCCAAGCATGCATGATTTGTAGATGCCTGTCTTGAGAAGGACTGATTATCTACAGGGATGTTGAATCTATTTATATACTATATCAAGCGCTGGGCAACCTGTGTCGCAGACCGACAGTTGCAGGCATCTCTATATTTGCAAAGGCCAAGCTACTCGGTTCTACGTTCAGCATTTCATCTAGAACGGTAGTGCTTTAATGAAAGACAATAGTTGGATTTTATTGCAAGAGGTCGTAGCTCGGCGCTGCGTACATCGCTAGAGAGTCCCATGCAGTGGACCAGCGAGCCAGAGGAAGGCAATTCTGACCGCGATCAAGACGACCTTGCCCAGCTGGCGCCACGAAGGACGCCGCCAAATTCCCTGCATCGCCCTAGCAATGCCACGAAGCCGAGCCAACGAGGAAACGTAAATATTGGCAAGCAGGAATAATCAGAAATGGCAGAATGTCACTGATAACATCTTTGTCATAAGCGCAATCTTGTTCAATAACCCTTCAAGGATATTGAACTGGTCAGCAGCCTCGAAATTGCCGGGTGTTGAGGGCACGTGCAAGCCGGAATAGGACAAGAAAGATTTCATACGTTGATGATCCAAAGTCATCCAGCTCAGCCATGATGCGCGTGGACATGACGAACGCTGCCAGTCGAGACGCTTCTTTCACGGATCATCAAGCGCCTCTTAATAATACTAAGAATGGCAACTACTCGCAGACATCTCTGACCCATGTGGGCTGGTAGAAAAATGACTGGGAGATCATTGAAAGGAGAGACCTCGCCACTGCCGCAACGTTCTTTCCACCAATGCAGCCCGATCGAGGCTTCTGAGGGAGATCTGTCAAGTCCCACCAAAAATTTGACAACCCTCGCAGGCCATCGAGTCGTATTTGGAGGATCTGGAAATAGATGGTCGTCCACATCATGGAGGTACTGCATGCTTCTGAAGCCACCCTAAATGGCGTTGTATACAGTATCACCGAAATCAATCGTAGTTACCTCCGACTTGGCTCGCAAAAGCGGTGGAGACGCTGCGAGCGTCATCATCATCGTGGACATGTCCAGGAACCCCGCGAGTCACACGAATGCTGGCGGAGCTACCTCCAAAGATGCTCCCGTTGTCGGGAACGCCAGCCCTGTACGGCTCCCGTCCGCCCGACTCCACGTAACGTTTCAACCTGTCGGACTGACTGAGACTAGGCTGCTTGCTCATGTCGTTGATGCTCAAGCCAGCAAGGCTAACACCGCCCTGATCAACGCTCCTTCCGTCAATGATACTTCCCGTAATGTCGGACTCGGTAGCTGCAACGGATTCCCCAGCAACGCTAGGCGCTCCTTTTCCTCTGGCCCCATTAGCTCGTCTGGCGCCAGGAAGAGCAGGCCAGGTGTCTGCAAAATTCTGGAACATTGGTGGATATCCTGAGGGGATAGTGACGCCTCCAAGGGCAGAGGAGTGCACGGAGGAGACATCGTCGGGAATATAGCCAATCACAGAGCCAGTGTCATGGAATTCATTTCGGTGACCGTTCCGGCCGTTCATCATTCCACTGGTGACGTTGGAAGCATGGTTGTAAGCCATCTGGAACCGCTGTGGACCTCTATATGACTGCTTTGGACGACTGAATTGAATAAGAGATTCCTGAAGGTTGGACAGGGGTCCTTCCACAAGACAGTGTCGTTCCTTAAAATGCTGCAGCAGGCAGTTCCACAGAGGATGCTTGGACAGGACCTTGGGATTTCCGAGAATGACCAGACCATACTTAGCTCGGGTGAGTGCGACGTTCAGACGACGCGGATCACTCAAGAAACCAATGCCTTGGTGGTCGTTGGAACGCACACAGGAAAGGATAATGAAGTCTTTCTCTCGACCTTGGAAAGCATCAACCGATGCGACTTCGATTTCTTTGTAGTGCTCCTTCTTGAACGTGCCATTAGCCTGCATAGAGCTGACGATGTAACTACGTTGACCCTCATAAGGCGTGATGATACCAATGTCGGCTGGTTGCACACCGGCCTTGAAAAAGCGAGTCACGATTTTCTCCACGTTTGTAGCTTCGGTTCGGTTGAGATACGAAGTTCCTGACGCCGATATCTCTTCGTTGCCAAGGTTCGACCAGAACATCATGGGACTGTCAACGACAGGCCAAGGGAAATCCACGTCACGGCGAAGTCGGTCAAAAGCAGAGACACCATTCTGCAGAGATCCTTCATAAAACATATTCGATGGAAACTCTGACAAACACGGGTGCATACGGTACTGCACATTCAGTCGAATAGGGGAGCAGCCGAGGATAACAAGTCGCTCGAAGAGGGATTGGTTCAAACCCGCTTTCGCCGCTTTCTTGTTCATAATAACAGGTCCAAGCTGCTGGTGATCACCGACGAGAACGACCTGCTTGCAGCCAAGGACCAGTGGAATCATACACTCAGGCTCAGCCGACTGCGTCGATTCGTCGATCAAAACAGTGCGGAATTTGAGCTTAGCAAGCCGCGGGTCACCAGCGCCGACACAAGTACAGCAGATGACGTCGGCATTGTTCAGAATCTCGCGCTCTGCCGAACGAGTGAGTTGCTTCAAACGCTTCTCGTCTTGACTCGATAATTCGCCCAGCTCGGCCTTGAGCTGGTTGAGCTTGATGAGTTCAATGTTGCTGTCGTTCAGGCGAACTTGCTCGTGCAGGGAAAGGAAGCCCACAGGTGACTCAACGTCCTCACGCGACTTTGCAGTCACACGTACTGTTTTGAGACCGGTCCTGTGAATACGCTCGCACAGCTGATCGACCGCAACATTGGATGGTGCACAGACCAAGACTTGACCTCCGTTAATCTTGGCGAGATGGTAAATAATCGTGGCAGACGTAACAGTCTTTCCGGTTCCTGGGGGACCCTGAATCAAGCTCATGGGCCGCTGTAGCACACTCTTGACTGCATTGATCTGGCTTCCGTTGAGCTCCGGTAGGCCAGGAACACTGAATTTCTTCGGTAGCTGAGTCTTCATCGGTGCAGCGGCAACTTCATGTCCAAGGAGGCGATGGAAAATATAACCGGACACGCTCATCTCGTCAACAGCGAAAGTCTTCATGGCGAGCTGCATACGATCGAATGAGGTTGATTTCCAGACATAGTCCGCAGTGAAGTTGTGGGTACATTCGGTGGGCACGGACTTGTGATCGCCCTTAGCGCGCAACTCGATCGTCACTTCATCAGACTGATTGTTTGGAATCTTTATGACGTATCCCACACCCTCCCACTTGGGCCGTAGCTCACCCGTGTACTTGAGGCGCATCTCATCTCCCACGGCCAATTTCACGTCTCCAAGCTCGAGCTTGGGCAGAATGAAGCTGGCAAGATGTTTGTTGTTCAAGCCAAGGTCCCAACGGACGATGAGACCATCCTGTGACTGAGATTCCTTCAGCTTACGATCGTAGTCTGCTTCAATCTTGACCAGGGGACCGAAGATGTTTTGGTACTGAAAAGCATCGTCATAACGTAAGAGAACAGGCGCGGGCTCGTCATCTACCGCCGTGGCTTTCTCCAGGTCCGCGAAAGTCGCCTGGGAATTCTCCTTCCACATTTCCTCCAGTTTTGCGATCAACTGCGGGCTAAGATGCCGGGCTCGGAGCTGCTCTTGATCTGATGGAGCGGCAACAAGCCATGGCAGGAATGAGCGATCCTCAATCAGTGGCTGCCAGCGCGAAGTGTCCCAGTTCATATCCTTTGACGACGGCATGGCGGCACAGGGCTGACGACAAAGCAAAACCACAACTGTGTCGGATTTGGCCGGAATAAAACCCAATAGAAAAACATTCTTAGTTCCACAGTTGTAACACTCCAGGATAGTGTCGCCCAGGGACGAGGCGGGGTGAAGCTGAACCTCCTTGTGGCGAGCTCGGACAAGATGGTTGACGATATGTGAAGAGGATGTGTTCCCACGAGCACTGCAAAACCACTTGCTGCAAGCCAGACATTTTACCACACTGCTCGGATTATGAATACCGCAATAACTATAGAAAGGCAGGTAAACGTTAGCGGAAGATTCGGACCAGAGAGACACATGGTTTCGTAGTTACTCACGCGCATGCGTGCGGAGGTAGCTCCTTCTCCTCCTCAAGGTTGCCCTCATTTTGCCTGCGGCCAGTCACAGCGGCGCTGGTAACACTGTCGACGTCGTCGTCACCAATATTATCCGATCCATCATCTTCGTCGTCGTGTCTTCTTGGGCGCGGACCGCCGGTCATGTTCAGAATAGTCTCATCGAGATCCGCTGGAGCCCTACCATCGCCAATAGCAGCCATAGTCTGCCTGAAGTCGAAATTGATGGGTTATCAAATAGCAGAAAACCTAGCTCGTGTTGCTGACTCTAGGCAAGGAACGCAGTACCACTCAGAGCGTAACGTTTCGAAGGGGAGAGACGGTAGCGTGGCAACCGCGACGGAAATCGAAGATGCCGGAAATACGGGAACCAAAGGAGCGTCAGGACAAGCCAGTCGTCCTAAATGAATGAGCAAAAGGGACAATTTTCAGTCCTTCTTGTCGAAAAGATCCAGTGTACCACAGTAGAGGGGCACAGGAACGAGAGAAACTAAGGTCCGGTCTTAGTAAGTCAACCTATATCAGCGCACCAAATAGACAGAACATACCGGTTGATTCCAATACCCTAGCCCACTTGACTTAGCCTTCCGTCACTATGAACCCGGCGAACGAAAGTCGCTAATCCTGAAAATCAGGACGGTGTACGGAGTAGTTGTCAGGACTTTGAGAGAGCGAGTCAATGGACTGCGATCGGCTTTTGGATGTTTTAAGTTATCGGACCTTTTGCCGCCAGAAGCCCACAGTCCGGTAGCCGGTTCAGGCCAGTGGCGCAACTTTTTTGGAGAAAAAAAAGTTGTTCGGCGGACCAGATCTCGACAAGCTATCATACAGACCACTCCAGAATACATTAAAAAAAGATGCTGGTAAGTATATGTCGCTCGCATACATATTGGCGGGATTTTTCTACTTTTTATAAAATCACAGAAACATTCTGACAGACACCTAGCGTCGTCAAGCCCGTGAGCGTCGAGACTATCTCTATCGGAGAGCTCTGCTTCTCCGTGATGCCTCCATCGCCGAAAAAAGAGCTCAACTCAAGGCTTCTTTGGCCACCGGAAAGACTCTTGACCCCTCAATAGCGGATGATAAAAAGCTCCGTGAAGACTTCAAATATGATGAATCATTAGAGACGCCCAACAAGGAGAACAAAGACACCGACTATGCTGACCTCGATGATGAATACGCTCTCACCTCTGGTATCATTGACCCTCGTCCGATTGTCACCACCTCCCGGTCACCCTCCGTCCGCCTAGGCACATTTGCGAAGGAAATCCGATTGCTTCTACCCACATCAATCCGCCTGAATCGTGGTACTCTTGTCCTTCCTGATCTCGTGGCGAGCGCAAATGCCGCGGCGTTGACAGACATGGTTCTCTTGCACGAACACCGTGGAACGCCCACCGCGATGACCATCTCTCATCTTCCTCATGGCCCGACAGCCAGTTTCTCGTTGCACAACGTCGTTCTCCGTGCGGACATTCCCAATGCGGCCCGTGGGACTGTTTCGGAGAGCTACCCTCACCTGATCTTTGAGGGTTTTAGAACGAAGCTCGGTCTTCGTGTGGTTCAGATTCTGAAGCACCTGTTCCCACCTCGTGAGGCTGGCAAGGTCGGCAATCGAGTCGTCACCTTCGTGAACAAGGAGGATAATATTGAGGTTCGGCACCATGTCTTCGTTAAGACTGGGTACCGGGATGTCGAGTTGGCTGAGGTTGGCCCGCGGATGACAATGAGGCTTTTCGAAATCCGTGGTGGCTCGCTGGAGAAGGGCTCGAGTGGTGATGTTGAATGGGCTCTCACGCAGTACACAAGAACAAGCAAGAAGAAGGACTATCTGTGAGCATTTGGGACATCGACTGGAGGCAGTGGCTCTGTGTATATTCTTACGGATGCAAAAAGTTACTTGGCGCACAAGGTGTTTAGGAGGGATCAAAGTGCTTGATGTTTGGTAGCACTGCATCATTATTCATTAGATTGGTTATACCCATTGAGAGGAAAGTCAAAATTCGCTTCAACTCCTTCTGCAACAACATAAGAAATGATGATCCTCAACTGTGGAGCTGTTCGTTAGGAGATAGCAAGGCTAGCTGAACCGATGAACAAGTCTGTCCCATAGCTCGATGGAAGAGAAGCAGAATATCATCGCGTAGGTGAGACCAGTTGCGCAACCCTAAGACGGCCGATGTTCCCAACAGTGCCAACGATTTTCCAGCTAGATGTAGACCATTCGCCCTGATAGATGCGGCAATCGTATGGCTCTCAACTCTTGGCCTGAAAGAACTGACCGCCGTCTTTCGGAAGACCCCTGGGCGCTGACTTAGGGTTGATCTACCACAGATCCGTCTTTAATACCAGGCGGCGTCAAGAGACCATGATCATCGCTGTTCGAGCCGACAGCAATCTGCTCAGCACCCTGGCCCGCTGCACAACTTCGAGTTTCCCCTTGGCGAAGAAAGATCGAAAGAAGAGATCTACCAGTTTCATAGTAGAACCAGCCCTCATGGACCGGAAGTTCCTTTCCATCAACATCCTTCTTCGGAGGCATAGGGAACCCATCCAGTCGATTCTCCCAATTCTTTCCCGTCTTGGCCGCGAAGAAGTCTCTGAATGCTGCTATGGCACTGTCCTGGTCACTGCCGGGAGGCGCGAGCATCTCGTCAATGGACTTTCCGGTACGACTGTACTTGGCTTGCGTCGCGTAAGTGTGAGGCATGTCGTTTGACTCGTGGACCTACAGATATATCAGCTTATGTTGCAAGCGCGAAGAGGTCACTCGGCGCCTCGGAGGCAGGGACCTACCTTGATCTGGAATTTCTCGCGTGTATTGTTCCGAGACAATTGGCGGTAGATAGTAGCGCTGTACGTCTCCCCCGTGCCCTGCTCAACATATACGTGATAGTTCGCTTGATATTTGATTGAATCTGTCAGACCGCAGAGCCACACCCTGGTTAAGGAGACATACCTGCTGTTAAGGCCTTCCCCTTGCGGGTTCGAGACTTCGGGTTAGACGAATCGTTTCCAGGTGCTTGACTACAGTCAATATCTTGAAGCATCGGCGCTATTATGACCATACGTACCCGATGACTTGTCCTTGGCCTTCAACTGCCTCGTCTGGACCTTTGCGGCCCGTCTCTGTTTCTTTTTGTCTTTGTTCGGGAGATTCGCCAAAAGATAGGCTCCCTCGGGCTTCGGCTTACGGAGTTTTGACTGCAACGAATCCTCGAGCCAGCCATAGGTTACAATCTTAACTGTTTCCAGAAGCTTGGCCTTTTGAACTGTTCCATCTGGAACCTTAGTACCTGCCTAGTCTCGGCTGCAAAGGGAATGATGGGTGCCATACCTGCTTCGACATTCTTTTCGAAGGTCTCCGTGGTGGTAATCAAGTGCGTAACATCCTCGGTGACGTCCTTCGAAAAGGTCCCTCCATGGGCTCGTATCCACTGTTGGATCTTATCACCGTTGACAGGGAACCTGCCAATGGCACAAGCGTGGATATTTTTGAATGTCTTTCCCATGGTTTCTAGAGGCGAGGTGATAACTTGAATTTGGTGAGGGCGGCAATAAAATCAGAGGCCAAGATCAAGAGCAGAGAGCACAGCAGATGCGTTAGTGATGAGGGAGGAGGAAGCATGAAGTATTGTTTTGTAACACTATCAGGGCTGATACTAAAACGTGTGCGATGTGTTACTACCCCTCAGGAAGATATGAATTGGCAATGAGGTTACCCAAATGTGTCCATTTCAGTAGAACTAAACTACTAGGAGTATGTAGAGGAGCTTCAGGAAAAGACAGAAATGTTTCTGAACCCAGAAATAATGACATACATGTAGCCCGAAAGTGATCTTGAGATAAGATATGAGTGAGACATGATCTTGGAGAACGTAAGCCTTCTAGTCATTAAAGAGTCATCAACTCATCGTAGAAAAGTGGCACTGAACTGATGCCACGGAGCAAGGCAAAGAGCTTTCTGCATTAAGCCTCAGAGGTTTTCACAGCTTGCACAAAAGCGCGAATCTTGGCAAGATCTTGTGAACCATCAGATTCCACACCAGAACTCACGTCGACCCCAACCACTTTGTGTCCAGAGTCTCCCAGCTTCTTGATGGTATCAACAACGTTGGAAGGGTCCAAGCCACCCGCCAGAATCACTCGTAGCCCATCATCGCCACCAAGGACTTTCTGAACATGCGACTGATCGAGAAGCTCACCAGAGCCACCTGCACCGGAATCGAGCAAAGGCAAGCTGTGGTAAGCTCTGCGTGCGATACCAGACTCATCCAAGGCAAATTTACGAATGACGGGCACAGGGATTAGGCTGGCCCATTCGAGGGGTTCTGACCCATGCAGCTGCACGACGTCCAAACCTAGTTTTTGCTGCTTGTCCAGGATGTAAGCCAACGGCTGATTTTGGAACACTCCCACAAGCAGAGCCCGCGTTGGATGACGCAGGACGCGGGTAGAATGATCAAAGAAGTCGGAGGAAAAAGTATTGGCGGGTGATGTGGAGTCAGGCTGGACAGTAGGGCGCTGGGTCGACTTCACTACCTGAGCAATGCGCAGAGCGACATCGTCAGGTACACATCGTTTGCGACCTTCCACGAGGATAATGCCAATCAGATCTGCACCAGCTTCGACAGCAGCACGTGCACCCTCTTCCGAGCGAGTTCCACAGATCTTCACCAACCGTGAGCCCGGGGCCGACTTGGAGTTATTTTCGGAGTTACCCCCTAAAAGTTCTGTAACAAAGGCAGATGTGTTCGGGGCCCGCATCAGCGCCTCGCCGACAAGGATAGCTTTGACACCATCCTTTTTATAAGCCTCTACATCCTTCGGTCCAGAGATACCACTGAGAGCACAGACGATGGTGCTTTCAGGTACCAGGTCCATCAACCGACTCGTAGTGCCCAGATCGACTTCAAAGCTTGTCAAATCCCTGTTGTTGACGCCCACCACCTCGGCGCCCAGTTCAACAGCAATTTTCATCTCTTCTGGGGTGTTGACCTCGACGAGAGGCTCCATTCCAAGACTGCGGGAGTAATTGTAAAGCCTCGTAAGAAGCTCAACACTCAGCATCTTCACGATGAGCAGGACGGTGTCGGCACCAGCTAGACGTGCCTCCAGGATTTGGTATTCGTCAAAAATGAACTCTTTCCGAAGGACAGCGGGCCGGTTAGGCAAGCCTTCCAGGCTCTGACGGACGGCTCGCAGATCGTCGATGCTGCCTTTGAACCACTCTGGCTCAGTGAGAACTGAGATGACACTAGCTCCAGCCTTGGCATATTGTCGGGCCTGAGCCGGAGCACATGCCGTCTCCGCAATCATGCCCTTGGATGGAGAAGCCCGCTTGATCTCTGCCATCAACGATAGTGGATAGGGGGATTGTCTGAGGCGAGCAGGAAATGAAATCTGAGGTGGCGCGAGGCTGAGGTCGTAGGCAGCCTGAAGATCTTCGGGACGTTGCGATGGAGTCAGTTTCTGAACAGCAACGGCTGCTCTCCGGTGATCATAGATCTTATTCAAAATGGAAGTCTTCTTGTCTACCTTTGGTGCGCTGCCGTTCACCGTGGCCGAGCCGGATGAGGATTTGCCGTTAGCCTCCCAGGTCCCTGCTGTAAGCTTCAAGAAGTTCCTGAACATGGTGCGGCCATGCTCCGTAAGAATACTTTCCGGATGGAACTGGACACCTTCCACTGCGTATTGCTTGTGTCTGATTCCCATGATTACGTCCTTGCCGCTGCCATCGTTCAATGGGACGGTTGATGTAACTTCCAGACAGTCTGGGACAGTCGCGTGCGTTCCAGCCAACGAGTGATATCGAGTCACTTCAACCGCAGGAGGCAGGCCTTCATAGACACCTCTGCCGTCATGCTTCAGTATCGATGTCTTGCCATGCAGGATTTCACCGAAAACGTCGACCTTTCCACCAAAAGACGTGATCATACATTGCTGTCCCATACAAACACCGAATACAGGTATTTTCCCACCGAAGTACTTTATGGCCGCATTACTGATACCGGCATCTGTTTCTGGATGGCCTGGGCCGGGACTAATGACCAGCTGAGTCGGCTTCTTGGCGATCAGCTCTTCCAATGTGATCTCGTCATTACGAAAAACTGTGACGGTGGCTCCCTCTAAAACAAGATACTGGTATACGTTCCAGGTGAAAGAATCGTAATTGTCAATGAGAATGACATTCGAGGCACTGGCCAGCTGTGCGGCTTTGGTGGGATGGCGGGGAGAATGGTCAACGAGATCGGAGTTCGCCATGATTGAGACTTGGAGCAGGAACGATTCGAGGTCGCTTTCACTGAGGAAGATGAACAAAGTCTGCGTTAGATTTGCGCTTGTCCTGCCAGAGATGGAAGGGAAATCTCACCTGCTTCAGATCGATCAAGGGGTGCCTTGTGCCACCAAGAGTAATACGGAGAATAATCACGCTGTTTGACTCATCACAGTCGTCCGATGCAGGGGGGTCAAAATTTCCTAATCGGGCTTGTTTGCCAAACTGCGCAAATAGTCTGCCTCACCGCCTGGCGCTAAGCCCGAACAGGTATACATTGTTGACCTCCAGCCAAAAGGCTCCTTCAATAATATTCTTGAGCGCCCGCCTGGAGCTAAAGCTCTGAGCTGCATTGATTTCGACCTTCAGTTGGCTCGATTTCTCAGTCGAATTCTATCCTTGTCCGTCACGCGACTCCTTGCTATATCCGATTGGTATCTATAATGTTATAAATTGTCTTGCCAAATGGCTCCCATCCCGGAGGCCTATTTCCCGTCCCTGGACAAGTGCTTCTCCGGGGACGTCCAGCTTCTGTATGCGCGTTTTGTCCGTACAATTGAAAAGTGATCGGTGTTAATATACTTTCTATTAGATCTTGGAGAAGAGCCTTCATCTATACCTGCAACCCTGACAGTGATGTCGACGATACAGGCAGCTTCCATGCGTTCCTTTCGCATCCAGAGAGCACTCGCCTGCTTTCAAATTGCTTGAATGCATTCTCGTCGCCTTCGCCAAAGACAAAGGCCGATTTCGAGACCAGGACAGCGGCAATCCATGCAGAGACAACTGCCCAAGCTTCTTACGATCTGAAGGAAATCAAAGCGGATACCCTGTGGTTGAGTCAAAGGGCTGGGATCGACGAGATAACCGCTCTTCGGATCACGGTTCTGGAATGGCAGGATCGTCCTGCTGCGCGCTTGCTAGCTAGATTTACTGAGGAGGAATCAACTAGCCTACAGAGTGCCGCTGGGATCGACAATTTACGTGCGTCGCTTGCAGGGCCTGCGTTGAGTGAAGTTCTGCGACAGAAGGCTGGTGACGACTCCGATTTCTTGTCCGAGGAAAATAGACGACTTAGATTGCGCAACCTTTATCTATCCGAGAGAAGCCATCTGTTGAAGACAGCACGCAAACTGCTCGCATTGTCCCTCCACAACAGCTCTCAGAATGATGCTGCTCCTCCCGCTCCTCATGTCAGTGATCGCACCGAATCCTTGCGCAAGCTAAGTGCAGCCGTCTTTCAAGAAAAATCTGCAGGCAGTGAATGGCGGTCCTTTGTGGAAGCCTGCATCAAGGCCATCAAAGATCGACTTTCCGCATTAGAAGGAGATGGGGGCTGGTTGGGTGTCGCTGAGAGCAACGAAGCAGTAGAGAACATGTGGAGGACCGTCCTTGTTGAAGAGGTCCTGCACGTCACACAGATGCTCTTCCTCCAACTTCAGGCATCGCCCGAGATTCCCACTGCTGAACTATTGGTATCTTGGCTCTGTGTCATGGGTGATTACAGTTTCCTGGAATCAGTCCAAGTAGTAAGTCATGTTCTGAACTTCCTCGATTATCGTGACTCCATGACTGACCATTAAAGCCTTGCCAAAACCCCTTGGAGATACTCTTACCGCTACAGGCTTTCGTCGCTCTGACAACCCTTGCGTTCATGAAGCTACCACTGGCCATGCCCTCAATCATCAACAAATCAACGTCAACACCACCTTCACAGTCGCCATATTTCCTTTCCAAGGACAAAATCGGCCAATTGAACGAAATATTTGTAACCGCCGGGCTTGAATCTAAAACTGCAAATCCCGCAGCATTCTCATGGGGTCTACTTCTACATACGTTGAGAGAGCTGGCACTTAGCGACAAAGAGACGCGGGAGCTGGAACAGTTTCACAGCGCGGTGGATTCCTTTCAATCGAATACCCCCACTCAAATTCGGGCCGAGCTTCGGAGCTCTCCTTGTACGAGGAGTTGCTCGAATGCGCACGGTCTCCCACTTGCACAGCTGAGGACTCGATCGCCCTTTTGACTTCGAATGCTATGAAGGACATGATGTTCGAAGTGATAGTCGCTTTGGCCACCAACATTGGTTCAACATCGGCCGTCGACGACGTCCTTACAGAACGGTGGACACGAGTAGTACTTTTGGATCTCATTCGCGTCGTGAGGATTTACGTGGAGTATTCCCCCGAGATTGTTGGCTCTGTCTTGGCAATTCTCAATGGGCCTCCCACAAAATCACTATGTTCTTCACAGTCTCTCTCTGCCGCTACCGACCCGCGATGGATTTTCATGAACGATGATTTCCTAATGGACAAGATTTTCCGCATCGCACGCTCACGGTTTCCATACGAAACGGTGCCATTCTTGAAACTCTGCCGAGCGCTCATTAGCACAGACATGGTGAACGAGGAGGGCACTCCACAAATCCTCAGCGAGATGGAGAATATGGACACCTTCACACAGATAGTGCCATTCGAATTTCAGGGATATGAAACAATCCGTGAAGATGAAAATGCCAATCTCGTCACCCTCACACAGCCCCTGGCGATCTTCGAGTCGTCGACGGCGAGGCAAATTATGGACCATGAACCAAGCAATGCTCTGGTTGTCACAAGCTCATCACATGTACCTTCATCAACTTTAGGACAAGTGATATCCGAAGCAAAGCCAGCAGTGATTATGTGGTATCATGAATATTCCTGCCTGAGTTATCTCGGGAGTTACTTAGAAGAATGGAATGAAAACGGTGGGTACTCATCCGGTGTGGAAGAAGACAACGTTGCGGAGATTATAGGTCTTATGGCGGACCTACTTGTTGCCGCATGGGTTCAGCCAACGCCAAATGAGGCAGGATCTGGCGCCAAACGTATTTTGGAGATTGCAAGCGATGGATTGGCTCGCGAAAGTGATATTATATCGTTGATCTTCGATATATTCGAGCGCAGTCTGCACAATATCGGTCCGAGGGCCGGATTAGACAGCAAAGTAGAGTCGGTCATCGCCTGCTTACGCTTCATTCGTGCACTTACAATGGTTTTACCTGGAAGGGTATGGCCTCTGCTTGCTCGGAGCAGTCTACTCGGGTCAGACGGCAAGGGCGGCGTCATGACCGCAATCGTTTCCGCGACTGAAGTGACATCGGGAGATTATCCATTCCTGCTTGAGTGTGTCAAATTATTCCAGACTGTCGTGGACGACTCAGCATCGCGCGCGATGGTGAGGAAATGCCCGAATAACTTGTCTGGAAAAATGGCGGCTGCCTCTGAATGGACCTCTGGCGTACCAACTCATATCATGAGAGGTACCTTATTGAATTTTGTGCGGACAATGGTAGAGGTGTTCAACAGCAACATCGACTGGCGTTTCAACGCCCCGGAACAAAGGCTCGAGATCAATGCCACTCTTGCTAAGACCTTTGAAAGGATGATACATTATACCTATGGGACGAACGATTCTGCCAAACTGGATTCGAAGGTTACTGGTGTTTTCTCCTCATCCGCGACATATCTTCTGGATGTGCTACGACCACAGTCCAAGGCAGACCTGCCTTTCAATCCAATCCTTCGGTTGGTCGTTGACGGCCTTCAGACGCCGGCTACTTTACATCTTCGCTACCTCGTGTTGATGGAGAAGCAGGTGAGATCGACGTTGGAGTTAACTACCAGACTATTGGAGGCTGCCCGGTATCTGGAGCAACCAACCTCGCTACTAGAGGACCAACTATTCAAGGCCACTCCCGTTCTCGTCAAACTATATTCGTTGCTCGATGCCTACCGCTTACCCGTCATATTACTTCTTGAGGTCCTAATCTCCGGTGCAGCTCTCGACTCCGCGAATGAACCCCCGTCCTTGGTCGGACACCTTGGGGCGGAGTCCTCCTGCCTCTTCCTCGACGTTCTGTCACAATTCGACAAGCCGTTGAGTGATCAGAAATTACACTTAGCGGTATGGCACTTCCTATCCACAATCGTCAGTAAGCGTCAGCAGTGGCTCGCGGTGTATATCCTCACTGGATCGTCTGCCCGGCAGACAATGAAGAAAACAGACGCAAAGGGCGGGCCCACCATGAGGGGAACGCCCTTTCTCCAAATTGCCCTTGGAATGCTTTTGAACATTGAACAAATGGATCTTCGTGCAGCACTTTCCTTGCTGGAGTTTGTTTCGTGTGCTCAGGAGAATTGGCCCTGGGCCACACCAGAGCTGCGGAAAACCCCTCAGTTTTTTAACAGCCTTGTCAACTATGTCTCGAAATTGAAAATTCCATCATTACCGGTTCAGGATCAGATCTTCGCTACGCGAATTGCCGCCGTCGTTGCTGACCTTTGTGCTGTCTACCTTCACTCGGCCAAGGATATGGAGGATCGGACTTTTTACAAGACATTGATCCCGCTTGTGTTTTGGTACTCGAAAGACGCAGTCGATGTCTCTGCTTATAATGCATCATTACACGCCAATCTGAAGAGGAATTTCGAGATGAGATATTCTGGCTGCAAGCTCGCCGGTTTCAGGAGGACATCTTTGCAGCCTCGCTCTTTGGGCCGTGACTACTATTACGACATTCAATTAGGAGACAAGCTTCTTTCTTATGACTTCGCTTGGTCAGGGACTAAGAATCAAGGATTTGCCGAGGAATTCGAACGAGCCAACATCAATCTGTCATTGGTCGAGGCACAGGTGGTACGTACAGTGGTGAACTTTTACCTTACTAATGAGAAGATTTCTGACCATTTTTGTATAGAGCCTCCTCCATAGCTGGAAGTTCTTCGCGACGGAGCATTGTACGGACTTTATGGCGGACCGTGAAGTTCAAAAATCGATGGCTTCGGTCGTGCAGAGCTGTCTCGAAGCCAACATCAAGGGAGTTCCGCAAGAAGCAATATTTGAGAAGATCCAGCAAACAAGGGTGGAATTTGCACAGGCTTTACTTCAGCGGCTGGTAGAGGCTGGAGCACAGGGTGCTGAAGTCTTCGGCTTGCTGAGAGTCGTTTGGGATGCTTTGCGCACTCGCCGCGCAACTTATGAAGAAGCCTTGGTGAACGACGACGCAGAATACTATCGCTCAGTTCTAAATGTACTCTTCCTTGCGCTGCAGTTCCACCTCGACAGCAGCTCCCGGACGGCGCCTGAAGCATCGAGCAGGAAAGCAGAGATCTCGTCCGATCTGACGTTAGTGATTGAGATTGTGAAGACCGTCGTTGCGCACGGTTTCCGGTCGTTGACTACTTATCTGCATGACCAACCGGACAAGTGTGAGCCGAAGGATTTCGCTCTACTGACCGCTATCCTGCAGACTTCGCTTCAAATCAAAAATGCCGATCGCTTATACGAGCACATTGTGTACCACATTGAAGATAACGACACGGCTAGGCACGCCATGTCACTGTTCTCATGGGCGGATCAACTAGCGGTGTCTGGAGATCCCGTGTACGGAGAGCTCAGTATTCTGTTCCTTGTCAAGCTGTCAACGCTGCCGATGCTAGCAGAACATTTGGCAGTCGAAGCGGTCTTGACGAGGCTTTCCACCTGCCGGTTGACTAATATCTTGCAACAACCCCGAGGCTTTGGACCGTTCGACACCGTACCCAGATTGTACACGATCTGGACTGCGGGATTCCTTCCATTGTGCTTGAATCTCCTGTACCACGTCCTCCGCACCGCGCCCGAAGTGGCTGCATTCCTTAACCAGTTCGAAGGGCAGCTTAAGCGGGCGTCCGAATCTTTCGTTGCGGACCGCTCAGGTTCTCCATCACGACGCATCTGTCTAAGCATGGCATCCGAAGCATACTCGCTTGCGCTTATTTCCTTCATCTTGAACCGCTTCCGAGAAGCCGGTCCCAGTGCCGGGGTAGATGCACAGTGTATCCAGGAACTCAAGTGGGATAAGACGCAGGTCAAGGAAGATATTGAGGAATTGCTAGAGCGTCGGCAGAGTCTTCGCGCGCGGATTGTGGCTACCAGCGAAAAAGAAGTGGAGCTGGCGCGACAGAAGCCGGTGAACCCTGCCTCAGGCGCAGAAAACCGTCTGGAGGAGAAGGTTGTGAATGAGCTCAAGGCAGCGCTGGTTTGCCTTGGAGGAGAGGAGGCGTAATGATGATGATGATGTATTGAGCGGTCCAGCTGTTTTTGGCCGAGTTTACGTTTCTTACCTTCGCATCTTCAGGGTATCATTTCTTCTACTTCGATCTAGCATGCTCTATGGGATGGATCGGATGGAGTGTAAATTATCCTGGGTAGAATATATCTTTGTTGTCTTCCTTCGCCTTTTTTCTCCGTTTTCCACGAAGAGCATATCCTTTGATTTAATTGACATCGGATAAGCTTCACGGATAAATGTGCCGTCTCATGCATCAAGAACGACCGAAACGCACCATACTGACTCTAGCCAATAATCATCCCATGATCCATGCTCATAATTCCAATACCCATGGCATTAAAGCTGAGATCCGACTATACCGAGAAGTCCGAGGTCAGCCTCGGAGCAAGGAATAAGCGATGCGGGGGAAATGCGGGGGGAGCTTTGTTTCTCTGGACGCGCCAGCGACGTAGACTAGCATCACCAAGAATGTAGGCTACGCATTGGACGCGATCGGTGACACAATCGGTAAAAGGGGTCATTTTAGGTCTACTTTGAGCTTAGCGGGGTATTCCGAGGGGAAAATAACTGGGCCCAGTGAATGGCGTTTGTATCTTGGGTCTGAGTATATATAGATTCTGCTTACTTGCTTTTCTCAGCGAACATCCTTGGAGCAGGACATCAATAATCGACTCAGATTTCAAAGAACAGAAAAGATATTGATTGAAGATGCCGTTCAAATCGCGCTATCACGTCGATATCCCAAACACACACCTCGCCTCACTCCTCCTCAAATCGCCCACGCACCCTCTCTCGACAACAAATCGATGCTTTTCCGAGGCCGCCCGCCCAGACACCCATTACTTCACCACCCATGACTTTCGACTGTGGAGCCAGCGGTTCGCGGCTGGACTGCGCAAAGCTGGTCTTCAGCGCGGTGACCGTGTACTGCTCTTCTCCGGGAATGATCTGTTCTTCCCTGTCGTGTTCATGGGGATCATCATGGCCGGGGGGATCTTCACGGGTGCTAATCCGACGTTTGTGGCGAGGGAGCTGGCTTTCCAGTTGCAGGATAGCGGGGCTTCGTTCCTCCTCTGTGCGGACGTGAGTCTTGATGTGGGGATCGAGGCTGCCCAGATCGCCGGGTTGAGCCGGGATCGGGTCTTTGTGTTCAATAATGCGATCTTTGATGGGCAGGGGGAAGGGAGCAAAGGGTGTCGCTACTGGGGGAGTTGGTAGCTTCCGTTGAGGAGGGGAGAGGATTTGTCTGGGATGAGCTGTCGACGCCCGAGGAAGCTGACCGAACTCTTGCGCTGAACTACTCGAGCGGCACGACGGGCCGGCCAAAGGGGGTGGAGATCACGCACAAGAACTACGTTGCCAACATGCTGCAGTACAACTACATGTTTTACCTGAGCCCTGATTGGAAGGAGAGGTCGGCCAGGGCGCGGTGGCTGTGCTTTTTGCCGATGTACCATGCTATGGCGCAGAACATTTTTATCGCAGCTGCGCTGAGCCGTGAAGCGGCTGTCTACATTATGCCAAAGTTTGACTTCATCAAGATGCTCGAATATGTGGAGAAGTTCCGCATCTCGGACCTCATTTTGGTGCCCCCGGTGGTGGTTGCATTGGCCAAGCACCCTGCGGTCAAGAGCGGAAAGTATGACCTGAGCAGCGTAGAGACCATCGGAAGTGGAGCAGCGCCCCTGGGACGAGAAGTGTGCGAGGAGGTTGAGGCCCTGTGGCCACCTGGTCGCATTAATGTCAAGCAAGGCTGGGGAATGACCGAGTATGGATTCTTTGATTTTGATTGCGAAGAGTCCTGACAAGCTAATCTTATGTCTCTAACAGAACCACATGTTCGATATTGGGCTGGAACCCAGCTGAAAAGAGCTATAGTGCGTCAGTTGGAGAGTTAAATGCGAACTGTGAAGCGAAAATCATGGCCGACGACGGAGTGACAGAGTATGGACGCAACCAACGCGGCGAACTCTGGGTACGAGCCCCGAATATCATGAAAGGTTACTGGAAGAACCCCAAGCAACCAAGGAAACCAAGACGGCCGATGGATGGTTGAAAACAGGGGACATTGCATACGTGGACGACCACGGGAGGTTCCATGTCGTCGACCGCAAGAAGGTTAGCCCAAACTCTCTCGCAGCACTGCAACCCATGGTGCGTGACTGCTGCATGAAGTATTGTAAGCTGACAGTGCCGATCTCGGATAGGAATTGATCAAGGTGAAAGGCAACCAGGTGGCACCGGCAGAGCTGGAGGCCCTGTTACTGGAACATCCTGCGGTTGCCGATGTTGCCGTCATTGGGGTGCAAGTGTAAGTAAATCGACCAAAAATGAGACCCAAGGCTAACGCTGGTTACCTGAATAGGAATGACGACGAGCGTCCTCGAGCGTATATTGTGCTAAAGCCAGGACACAACGCCGCCGCGGACGACATTGTCGCCTTCATGGATGGCAAAGTGTCTGCAATCAAGAGAATAACTGGTGGGGTAGTCTTTGTCGACGCCATTCCTAAGAACCCGTCTGGAAAAATTTTGCGTAAAGTGCTTCGAGAAAGAGCCAAAGAAGAGACCCAAAAGAATGGGGTCGCTGCTAAGCTATAGAGTGGTGATTGGGTGTTCTTCCATTTTGACATGATTTAGCTTAGTTTGCCCCTCAGTTCATGCATATTGATACAGATCGACTGTCACTCCCAGAGTTCTGGTTGGTGCAGGATATTTGAGATCTGTACAGAGTTTGATGGATCAAGCATCCTATAGATAGCCTGCTCTCCGGGATGGCCAGGTCGTTGGGACAATAGATCAGATACATGAGACAGGAGAGTCGATTAAACATTCTCTATATTCCAGAAAGGAAGTTCTCCACGTCCGAACTGAAGCCAATTCGCCATGGACGACTCGAAAGGCAACGACATTGATACAGGTGTCTGGCGGAGTCACCAAAAGGCGACCACTTTCTCGCCCCTCGACGGCGCCGCTTGCTCTTATAACGAGCAAATCTCGATAATGGCGAGTCATATGGATCGCCTGCGTGAAAATCTTGTTAGCACTTGTTTTGATTTGGATCCATATTTTTTTGAATGATTCATTGGTGTATACAATCGTCCACACTGGATCGATGTGGCCAATTATCAACAAACCGGGAAGCGATGTACATGGACCTCATTGTCCTGCACTAAGGAGTATCCATTAAACTTCAAATGGCTATAGACAACGGGACTCAATTCTTTGGATGGAAAGGGAAAAGGGAGAAAGATGGTTGAGGAGAAGGATGAAAGGAGGAGAAAGCGACTGGTGTCGTGGTTTCCCCTCCCAAACATCACCTGTCTCCCTGTTTTTCTTTCTTACAATTCTGTGAAGTTGAACTCAGCCAACGGAATGGCTGACTGGGACAGCCTCATCAGATATCTAGACTATATCGTTGATCCAGGACTATGGGTCTGCAATGCCGACTGGTCAGATTGATCATAGACCCCAAACTTAGTGAGTACTTAGTCTGCTTTAGTTGATCGTCGCTAGGACTGCCTACTCGCTAGCCTCTGTTTCAGGCGCCACTTTCGCTCTCTGAGCCCACCCCTTCTGGTGGCGCATCTACATCAGCTGAAATTGCCAGGCTTCGGAAGCCCAGGCATTCTTGCCCCAGAGAACTGCCCTATGAGGACGTGGGGAGACTTGTGTCTGTCCTCCCGTGTCCTCATCCATTTCACCAGTTCCGTGGCTGATCACAATGCAGCTGGGCCGGGATGGCCCCCTCTCTTAGTCGTCGGGCCAGATTGCCAGAGGGAAAGAGACGCACGATATTTATGGTCATCTGGGTTGATATGTGGAGTCTATTCGTTTCCAAGCCCCAGGCTATTAGACAATGACATCTTCCTGCCGAATCAGCCTGGGGGCCAGAATGTAACTTCCCGTGCCTTGTGTTCAATCAGCCTCATCTTATAAAGCCAAGGAGAGCCGTCCTGAGACCTCGATGTTTGCTTCATTTCTCTGATGATGTGCTTCTTGTAGCTTACTCTTACGTCTACTACACTCGAGTCCACACTGCATGGCAAACCTCCGTCGGCTTGCTCTTCCTTTCTCATCTTGTCCTTCAATTTCCCAAAACATAACATAACCGTGAGGGTTCGCGTGAGGGTTGATCTATCCTTGTGGTGTGTTACACAGGTTCTGGTAGATTCCTTGTTATAAGGCTTGTTGACAACGGTATTAGGATACTTATCCCGATCCAGCTTAAGAGGTGGCGGAGGACAGCCACTTCATGGACGGGGACACTGCACGTCTGGCAATGAGCCCTGGAGATCACTGCTGGGTCATACCTAAAGTCTTGCAAGCACACTCACTCGGGATCGTATATCCTGCTCTTTTAGTGATCTGCATCGTAGGCCTAGCGCGGCTTATCAGACGTCGACGGCAAGGGCAGTGCGGACTGCCTATGAGCGAGATGGATTCACGATCCTTGAGGCAGGAGAAGTATGATTGCGAGCAGCAGACGAAGGAACTGCAACAGAGTACGCCCAGTTCAAATGCTCCGTCGCACAGAAGCTTCCCTTTGCCTTCGGCTTGTGATATACTGCAACCCCTGTCACAACTTGCGCCGTTGCCGTCAAGTGGCTATCTTGCCTCTATTTTGGGTTGTCAACCGAGTAGAAGCAGATTGGCATCTGAAGAGGATGGCCAGTTGCAACAGTCTTCTGCACTTGCTGGGTCCGAGTCCAGGGCCGTATCTCAGGGGAACGTCTCCGATCGCGATGAATATTGCCCAGCGACCTCGGATAGGAATGCTGGCTTGGTCGGATCATTCACTTCGGCCTGTTCTAAAATAGAAAATGAGGATCAACGCCGGGACGAAGCTTCAACAGTACCTGCCGCACGGTCTGTTGAGTCTCACAGACAGGAAGTCTATGAGCTTGCAGGCTCCGAAGAACTTCATCCACCTGAGAGACGAAATCAAACAGTTCACTTTCCTCAGGTTGTGGATGCAGAAGGCACCCGTTCCTGGAGGCGGGTGATCGTGGAATACAGCTGAGGTGGAAGAATCCCTTCCTGAAGTTTGGAACATCCTCTGGGCACATTTCGGACTCTGTTTCTTCTTTTTATCTTGTCAGTTCATCTATGGTAGATCAGCGTGGGTGGCGGTGTGTTTTGAAGATAAAGTTGTTTATGACTGATGATATTGCATGATTTTCAATGATGATGTTTTGACTTTCTCGATCTTCCCAATACATAATTCCATTTGAAAAGTATTGATTCTCCGCAGTCAGCCATCATTCACATGCCAGTGATGTCTATGGGAGTATTCCAGGGGTAGGGCAGATAAAGCGCAGAAGCTCTCCGCTGCTTACTCATCCATGGCATGCGATCTACAGCCAAGTGACAGCATCTCCATCTCCACCTCCAACTTAGAGCATCAGCCTCCTCACTTCCCCCAACCACTATCTCCAATAGATCAGGGAGCGCAAACATGACTCTCACAGCCTTCCCCCACATCTCATCAACAGCACCCACATGCCCCGATCTCAAAATCCTCAACCTCTCTCGCCTTCTCACCCGCCTAGAACACAACCTACTCTCCCCATCCGCAGACCTCAAATCTCTCCGACGAAACGAATACCAGCGCATGCGCATAGCAGCCGTACGTCTCCCTCTTCCATTCAATTAGATATCGATCCAGCAATAAGTCTACCTTCCATGCCGCCGAATTGACACCCATCACAGAACGTCGAATACGCCCGCACCCTCCTTTCACAGCTCGAACGCACCCTCCCAACCCTCAAACCCCTCGACCGCCGCCACGAGCTCCAAACAGACCTCACGCGAAAACGACAAACACTCAAGCTCCTCCAGGATGTATTAGACAGGAGTGCCGCGGAGGCGGAAATGCGCCAAGCACCCGAAACTGACTTAGAATCTGACGGAGAGGACGAGATAATTCTCGACGGTGAGGAGGAAGAAGCGGTAACGGTCACGCCGGAGGCGGGGAGTACATCGTCCGCATCTGAAGGCAACAGGGATGCTGTCTCCGAGGAAGCGAGAGAGGAGGTGCACGCCGAAGCGGAAGGCGAAGCTGAATTTGAGACGGATATTCCCAAGACTACACTGCAGACTACTGCGTCAACAACGACAGCATCACCGCAATCAGCGACAGCGACAGCGACAGCGACAGCAGCAGCAGCAACAACACTACGACACCGACATCTGAGGGGCCCTGCTGCTGCAACAGACTCCGCAGCAATAGCCACCGGCTCCGCGACCTCAACCTCCAAACTCCAAGAAACAGAGCAGACGCTCGACGCTCACCGCGCCGAACAAGAAGACCTCACTTCCTCCCTGCTTTCCCTTGCGACGCAGCTCAAGGCTTCCTCGCAAGCATTCCATTCCAGTTTGGAGGCGGAGAAGTCGGTGCTGGCGCGCGCGGTCGAAGGTCTCGACCGTACGACTACCAATATGGGCGCCGCTGAAAAGAGGATGGGGATGTTGCGGCGCATGACTGAGGGGAAAGGCTGGTTGGGGCGGATGATGCTGTATGCGTGGATTTTCGGACTGTGGATTGTGGCCGTGTTGATTGTGTTTCTGGGGCCAAAGTTGCGACTCTGAGTGTCTGTACTTTGGTTTAGAGTTTTGCCCTTCATCCATGATCTCAGCGTTGACAATTCGAGTGTTCTGTATATACGAGCTCCTGGCCCTCGTAGCCCGTACATACCTATCCTTTACTTTGACCGACGAACGAGTAGCTACGGTAATCCCATGGCTAAAACAAATGAATAATTCACAATTCCTTTAGCTCTGACTATGACCAACTACCGACCCGACATGACACGTGAGAAGAGACATGATAATCTGCATATCCTGCCATTCCCTGTGCCCACTGCCATCTTGTCCTTCATTGTTTCCAATGGGCACGAAACCAAGGATAGGATACGTGGTATCAGGTTGCACACAGAATCGGTGACGAGGGCATCAAGATGATGAGAGGATATCCAGTATTCGAAAAGCAGAGACATGGAAAAATTGTGGCAAGTATGGAAACGTAAAGAGGGATGTGATAAGGATTAGAAGACAAACGACAAGATTGAATAAGAAAATGCGGGCATCCCATGGAGAAAAAAAAAGAAATAAAAGGAAATGGACATAAACCACAGAGTCTCTCGCCTGCAGGGCTGTAAAGAAACAACAGATAACCCGCTGCACATGGCGAATGGAAAAAGAAATGATGAACAAACTCCTGCTCTGTGTCTTTGGGGATATCAATAATCTTAATGATAACAGAGAGCTGGTGAGATATCATTTCCACACAAAGAAAATAAGGAGATTAGTAGATGGACAGATTGAATATCTCAAACGCTCTCAAACGCCAGGGTCTCGAGCAGGAGAGAATCGAGATCACATATGGCAAGAGCATCCAGGAAAAGAGACAGAACATCGACATCTGATTACAAGCCACATCATATGTGGTCTAAAACGTTTTGAAAGGGAAATCCTCACTCCGTCAAGTATAATGGCTCATTAGATCAGACCACAGAGTCTGAGGTTCTCTTGGATAATGATATCTGGAAGGCGTTAGTGGTCGGTAATTAAGAGTAAACAAGGGTCCTTAGGAGACGTACCATTCACAGCCGCCATGACGAAACGAATTTGTGTAGTATCGGTGGCGCATGTGAAGTGAGTGTAGATCTGCTTCTGCTCGGCCTGGTTGAGCGATACGAAGCGGTTCAGGATGTAATCGCAGGCTGCGGCGTAGTCGGCACCGCCCTCATAATCGGGGAAATAGTTCTTCATGGGGCTGACAGGCAGCTTCTCCTTGAACCGATCAATCTTGTTCAGGAACAAGATGATAGAGGTCTTGACGAACCACCGCGAGTTGCAAATCGAGTCGAACAGGGTGAGCGCTTCCTGCATACGGTTGACGGTCTCGTCTTCGAACAGCAGCTGATCGTACTCCGAGATGGCGACCAGGAAAAGAATTGTTGTCACGTTCTCAAAGCAGTGAATCCACTTCTTACGCTCCGAACGCTGACCACCGACGTCGAACATGCGGTAGGTCAAGTCGCCAATAATAAAGGTCGTCTCTGTGATACCAGTGGTCTTGACTCGAGAGCGCAGAACATCCTGGTCGGTGGGAAGGTAGTCAGGCTGAGCGATACGGTCGATCGCATCGAAGTAGCTGTCAACCCGATTAGCAAACAGTCTGAAGCACCGCAGAGGGACAGGGTAAACTCACTATTTGGCGGAATCGTTCAATTGGTACTCGCGAGAACGCTTGAAGCACTCCTGAACACCAGTATCACGCCAAAGAGCACCAATGGCGTTTCCAACCTCCGGGGGCAGGCTGTCTCCCTCAATCTGAGCAGGTTGCATGAAGATGGTCTGAACATGGTATTCGTTGCGAGCGTCTTCCAGGGGAAGTTCCAGCGACTCCATAGCCTCCAAGATGACGCGCATCGACTGGACAGTGTTGCTGTAGATGATTTCTTTGAATGATTCCCGCTCATCGCGCGAGTATCCACCCTCATGGATGAGCTTCATCTGCTTCAGAATCGTCGACTTGCCGGACTCACCAGCTCCTGTTCAAGGACATTAGTTGAAAAAGGTCTTGTCGAGAATGAGAAGCGGCTCGATGGAGGCATACCGAGCAAAAGCATCTTGATCTCGTTTCGCTGCATCATCTTATCCCTTTTGAGCTGGTTCTCAATCTCCTCGTTACGGGCCTTGCCCTCCTTATCCTCGGTGCTCATTCCGCAACCCATCTTGGCGGTAGTTGATTATTCAATTGACTGGGGTATCTTAACGAAAGTCTAGTGTAATGCAGGTATACTCGGAAGGATTTTCGCGGGACAGATTATCGTGGAAGCCTATCAATGACAGATGTCAGTAAAAAAGGCAAGTACCGTCACGAAACCATTAGATGATACAGTCAACGACATCGAAGGTGATACATCATGGGAGAGAAGAATCGCAAATGGAAAATGTTCATAGAAAACAGACAGGCAACAGACAATTACAAATCAGAGTGATCGTGCTGACGCAAGGAGAGGTAGGTTCATGCGGCGGAAAGGCCCTCTCGAGGCAGACCAGACAGACGGGCGGCTGTGCTAGAGGGTAAAAGGAACAGAATCACCCACTTCGTTTGAAATCCTTTCCGGCGGGAGGATGATAGTTCGCACTTCTCAGATAGAAAGAGGAAGGCGAACGGCTTCTCCGAATTGATTGAAGACAATATTACCGAGAAGCTGAGCGACAGTACAGAAAAATGAGGGGAGTTTAAAGGGGTGTAAAAATTATAGGTAGGTGAACGAGTTAGGACCGGGCGGGAAAGGAGGCGAAAAGGAAAGCAGTAGTTAAGTTGAAACCGCCCGCAAGGCCGGGAGAATAATGGGCTAAGCACCGGGTACGGAACCACAATCTCGATCCGATCGAATGGAGAAGAAGAAAATAAAGTATGTAGAAGGAAGACAGCAGGCACAAGAAAAGAAGCTAGAGAAAAGGCGGGATGAAGAAATTGATCTATCTATCAACCCTTGTCAGAGGGGGAAGTCGATAGATGAGGATGGATGATTTAGGGAGAGAGAGGAAGAGGACGAGAGAAAGTGGGAGCGGAAGAAAAAGCCTAAGGCTTTAGATTTGGGGGTGGGAAATGCAGGTAGAGGGACCGAAGAGGCTAACGTAAGGGGAAAAGCCCGAGAGACAAGAGACACAGACAGAGAAGATATCTATGGAGATACCTACGGAGTAGAGAGGTACTACTAAGTACTAAGTCAACGATCTATCTACCTAGACTACCTTGTAGCTAGGTAGGCAGGTACTGTACGAGTACACGGATGACTTCAGTAAAACTAAGTTTCGGAGAACGAGACGAAATGAAGCAGATTTGCAGAGGAAAACCTCTCTTTTCACGTTTGGGAAAAGAACAATAAGGGGGAAGTGGAGCCAAGTGACCAGAATTGTGGGAAGTTTCCTTTAGCCGCTATGATGATTGGTTGAAGGGTAAGGGGCCATGCTGGAGACACAATTCTGCGAACCAATGATCAAGCCCATCGGAGTCGATTACCCTCCTTTTTGATTAATGGACCACCAGTACGTTAGTTACCTCTTCAATAATCCGACAGGGCGGCTATCATACAGCTGGCTGCAAAACAGAGATCTACAGAGGAGGTACGGAGTACGGAGTATACTATGATGATCCAGTAGGGAATGTTTAAAGGCAGTGCTATTCAAGCAGATTGAAACCATTGTGGAATCAGAATCAGAATGAAGACTGAAGAAGCTGTCATCTTGGTTTTGCCAGTTGATGCAACGAGATGTGGGTATCATTCTTGTTTGACTAGAGTTTGAGATGAGAGCACGCCATGTCTGTATTCATATGCCATTGCACCCGCTGAAGCTCGATAAGTAGATATCTGCTGATGACCTTTCCACTTGTGCTCTAGACTCTTTTTCATATGCCGGCTTATGAGGCCACTGAGGCGATCATGTAATAAAATGCCATCATCTTACGCGGATCATACCTGTCCCTGACTAAGGACTCTACACAACACGATTCAGCTCTGGAATGAATGGTGTCCCTCGTGAAATATGACACCTGAGCTAGGACTTGGCTTGCCCTTACCGTTTCCATGTACAAGCCAGAGTGAGCATAACAATTATGCAATGCCTATCTAGACCAGATAGAGAGGTAGATAGAGAGGTAGATAGAGAGGTAGATAGAGAGGTAGATAGAGAGGTAGATAGAGAGGTACTACAAAATATCAATAGTCAGCTGAATGATGGTCAACATTGGGACTGCAGTTTCAGCGTGTCGCCACGAGGTGGAGATCGCCTACGATCGGAGCCACAGACTTTAGCATCGGTCCAGGAACGAGAAACAACATCTGCATGCAACGCGACTAGTAGTGGTGGCTGCGGCGACAGTGGCTTTTTCTCTCACCCTTCCAGAAGGATTCTGTCTCAAGCATCTTCATACAGATGAACCTATTCTTGTTCAAGGCAACGGAGAAGATGATGATCTCTAACACCTTGGCTACCTGATACCCAACTGATACGCCCATACTTGCTTATTCTTCGTTTCTCCACAGAATCCTGTCGATCAATAATTTCTCCGCAGATGTAAATCACCATTCGGCATTTTGAAGGAGTCTACCTCACTAGCGAGACGGGTGACTTTCCCGTCTCTTGTAGCATCGGCAGTAGACTAGATACTAGTAGTAGCCGTCAGATAAGTAGTCACGGTCATCGTCGAAAGTACTTCATCATAGGTACCTAGATTCTCTGTACGACTACCAATAACCCTGTACCAACTTTGCGACCGAACAACGGAAAATACCCGGCTAATTAGACTCTCTTCCTGCTGTATGAATGCACACTGTGGGTTTCGTGTGCCTCATCCACAGTAGTCTCAGTCTCCACTGACTATTCGTGCTCTTGCCGCGCGCTTTGTTTTTGTGATGACCAACTAGACTAGACTGCGATGACTATGACTAGGACAACTAGTCGACGAGACTATTGAACGCTGTATACTCCGTACTCGATGCATGCCCCCAGCGTTTCATCTCCCCACATGGAATCACAGTGATAAACTCTAGAGTGAAATCAAGAGGGTCATGGCCACGAAAGAGTTCATATTCGGCGGTGTCTGGACTATGAATATCGATGCCCTGGTTCGGTGTTGCTTTCTGAACCCTGGACAGATTAATGAAGAAGATCTTGGTTGCTCCACATCTTCAACCACGAATTGAGTTCTCTTTGCCCGCTCATTCGCTGGTCGCAAGAAACGCCGATTCAGCCCTCGATCCCGGTCTCTGTTCTTCACATTGTATCTAGCTATGATATTATCTTTCTGATTTCACATTTCATCACCTTCACAAAATCATGCTATGACATAAACTTTCGTCTGTATATAATACCACATCCTCTCTCATAATGTCTCACGAAATGTCCTTTATGGGCCATCGGGGTAAGCCGCCCTCACCGCAACCCACGGAGTTCGGTCTACTGCTCTCGAAACAGACTCAGTCCACGATACACCATATATGCTAACAAGCAATGCGCTAAATCCAGCCTTCAATCATGACCAAAGTGCCGACGCAGAAGCCGAATACGACCGCCTCCGCGACCTAGCCCGGCAAGAAGCCGCAAAGCGCAACTCATGTTTCCAACGGGTGCGCCTCACCCTCTCCCCGCTCAATGCACAATGACGACCCTGGCAGAGTAATTGACACGCATATCATGCTCGCAGAGCCAGGAAGCGTACTCAAACGGGGACGGCGCCCTAGCCAAAGAACTCTCCGAAAAGGGTAAAGCGCACGGCCGCAAAATGGACGAGTACAACAAGCAAGCGTCCGAGTTCATCTTCCGCGAGAATAACGCCGACGGGCGCGTGCCGGCCGACACGATCGATCTGCATGGGCAGTTCGTCGAGGAGGCGGAGGAGATTCTCGAGCAGAGGATCAAATATGCCAAGGCGCATGGGCAGACTCATCTCCATGTGTTAGTTTTTCTTCTGTCGGTTGACGGGTAGAGGGTTAGTTTGCTGATGGTGTGACTTGCAGCATTGTCGGAAAGGGAAACCACTCCGCCAACCACGTGCAGAAGATCAAGCCGCGGGTTGAACAGGTCTGTCGCGAGCTGGGACTGCAGTATGCCACCGAGGAGAACGCGGGTCGGATATATGTGAATCTCACCGGGGCCCCGCGGAGATGCCGCCCTCCACTGGACATGGACATGGCCATGGGCAGAGTTACGGACATGGCCAGCAGCCGCATCAGCAGTACCCCGGTCAACAACCGCATCACCAACAGCAGCAGGGTGGGCAGCAGCAGGACGAGATTGAACAGGTGGTCAATGCGATACTTCCCCGAGTGCTGCGCAAGCTCGAGAAGGCTTGCTGTACGATTATGTGAATGTCTCTTGGTGGCTATATTCATGGGTATGGCGTGTATAAGATATGATTTGGAGGCTATAGTACAGTAATGTTTCGTGGCTATTTTGGGTTGAGATACCTACCTACACTAGAAGGTCAAAGATATCATGATGCAAGAGATTACAATGAACGAATGCATGCTCACTCGAAAAGGCAAACTCAGTTATATAGATTCTGCATTAGAGTCAATCTGTCTTGAAGAAGCCAATCATCATCATTATCATAAATGACAAGGTCATCAATGCAATCCGAATTCAACCATATTCTGCCATCCTCCTTTACGATGCGGGTATACACCCTCTGGGTATAAGGTAGTTGTACTTTGGAAAAGACACAAACTCTCATTTGCCACCATCAGCGCCATTAACATCATCCCGCAAAGTCGACTCGGTGATCTTGTCGAGAATCGCCCGCACCATCGCCCCATCCTTCTGCCCCTCGGCCTGTTTCCCATTTCCCTCTGCGTCAATCTTGTCGATGAGAGATATCGCCTTGCCACGGAACTCCCGGACCACTTCCCTCGTATAGGCAAAACTGCCAGTACTTTCCATGTAACTAATCGCATACAGCTTGACTTCCTCGTCCTTGGTTCGCTGTTTGAGAATACTGATAAGCTGATGGTTCCGTGGGTTGGATCGAATACTGTGGATAATAGGGAACGAAAATTTGCCCTCGGTCAGATCCTCACATAGACCCTTGTTCTGGGTGTAAGTCTTGTTGGAAAGGTTGAGGTAGTCATCGCAGATCTGAAAGGTCAGGCCCATGACATTGACGAGGCTCACGCAGTCTATGCCGGTGTTGCTCTCAGCTTGCATCAGCTTGATCGCGAGTCGGAAGAGGCCGCCTGTTTTGTTCCCCACCATGTCCAGATAGTCCTCTTCCGTAGGACAGGTGAGGGTGTCTCGCCAGAACAGATCCATCCCCTGACCCCGATGCAGGTTCAAGAGTTCCTGAACGAAGATATCAATAGCAGTCGGGTTATTCAATTTTTGAACCTCTTGAAGAGCCAGAAAGTATACGTAATTGGCAGAGTTGATGGTTTGCGCGGTACCGAAGATGTTGTGAGCGACGGGAATGCCGCGGCGGAGGATGGAGTTATCTTCCACATCATCGACCCTGGCAGGAGACGGAAATCAGTGACTATTCTAGCGGGAGTATTATTTCGCGACTTACAGCAACGAAGCGGTGTGAAGCATCCCCACGACTTTGGTGATGATTGAGAGGCTCTCCGGAGGGACTTGGAGCCAGACGTTGAAAGCTGTGATGAGCTGCCGCCGGATATCCTTGCCGGGATGTTGCTGCATGTAGTCATACGGGCCCATCAGAATCTTCTCGTACTCCTGCGACCATTTCCCATCACGATATTTGGTGCCGTCGAAGCTGGATCGGTTCCGGGTATGTCTTTTGGAAGAGTCCATTTCGGTCTGAGGCCTCTCGCCTTGCAACTGGCTTCCATTCATCGCAAATGAGCTTGTATGCAGACGGTCGGCCATTCCGGCGGAGCTCTTCCGAGTTGGAATCTCTATCGGAGGTTGAAACGCAGATCCCGACGACATGAGGGGCAGTTTATACTGCTCTCACTTAGAAGTTGCTCTGCCCTCGAGGTGTCAAAAACATGCAAGTAACCTGGTCGGGAACAAAGGATTAGAGAGCGGTTGCATCCATCAGCGATCCTCGACACTCCTGTTCAAATACTAAGGGGCCGGTGACAGAGCGCGTGGATATGCCAGCACATCCCATATGCATGGTGATGGGAAACTTTGTGAATTTATCACATGCACCCCGCATCCATCAGTGGTTGTGAAGAACCTTAGGCCGCTCGGCCGCTAGGCAGCAAGGCAGCAAGGCAGCAGGAAGTCACGTGACTAGAGCATTCGGCATCTCGGGTTATTTGCGGTCTTGCAGTGACTCAGGAACAAGGGATGAATCAAGGCAAGGGTGAGATTAGAAAATCCCGTCATCGGTAGGAATAATACACATTCGCACGGAAGGGGCTGGTAATCTGATTAGGGAGAAAAGAAAAGTTTTCTTTCGGAATTTCTCCACCTTCAGGCATAGCTGCGCTTTTTGTTGATATGATGGTGTCATTGTTGATAACTCTCCGTTTCCCGGGGCAGGGATCTCTAAATGAGAGGTAGTCCCAGGGCCGAGCTGAACAAGATTAATCTGAAGGAACATGGCGTAGCTGAGGCTGACATCATTAGTAGCTTGAGTCTTGAAAAGCTCTTACTCTGTCCACCAACAAGATGGTCCTAGTTCGTCACCAGGGCTGAAAGGTAAGCGCCCACGGGCAATGGGGGCCGCACGTTTCCCGGGGCAACCGTCTGGCTGTAAGACCGTAGAGACTAGACAACTGTGGGTGGCTGGGATGTGGAGAGAGACGGTCTAGAAGAGCCACTTAGCGAGGGGAAAATGGATCAGAATGATGGAATTAATCGGCACGATCTTCCCACGATGATGCTGATTAGGATTTAGGCCCTCGACACTAAGAGTCTTATGATGCTGGACTACGACGGGGTAAGTTAGCCCAGATGCCCAGAAGAAGTGTCAATGATGTGTTGGGCAATTTGGTCGCGCTATCTTCCCTTTCTACCAACGATCAATAATCTTAATTAATTATTAAATCCACATCCCAGCGAAGGAGAGAGGGAGAGAAATTTGAGAAAAAAAAAGAGTGTCTGGCCGGTGTTCTATTTTCGCCTTTGGCTTTTAGCGAGCTATAGATAACACTACTGTCTCCAGCGTTCCTCTGCCTCGGGACTAAAGGGTTCTTCTTCTTAACTATCCTCATCCTTCGGTTTATATCTCCGTTATCCTGTATCCTTTGAGCCTCCATTTCTCACTTACTCATACCATATTATATCATATCGCATCTCCATTCTATCCACTCATGGAGACGCTATTGGCGCACTCATTCGACTATCTCTCTTCTTACGAGCCAAGCAAAGTCCGCAAGGGATTGCGCCAGGTGGAAGGCCTGCTCGCACAGATCTGTTTGTCCAAGTCGAAACAGCCGGCGTCTGAAAAACGAAGGTCGCTGCTGTCGTTTGGAACTCCACAGCCAGAGCCTAAGGCTCTATCTGACTTGAAAGATGATCCCGCCTTTCGAGAATTCTTCAAATTGCAAGAAGGCTTTCAATGGAATGGTATGTTCCCATCAATGTTGTGGTCGTCGTCCCGCTTGTCCAGAGACTAACAATTCTGCAGTCGCAATGCGCTTGGTGACCTGCCTGGAGCATCTGCTGGGTCGCGGAAGGACTGGCACTAACGACTTGCTCATTCTCTCTACCCTTGACCTGATCCAAGGTGTTCTACTCCTCCACCCGCCATCGCGGACTCTTTTCACTCGCGAAATCTACATGAATCTTCTTCTTGACCTCCTCGACCCCATCAATTGTCCTGCGATTCAGTCCGCGACCCTTCTCACCCTTGTCACAGCCTTGTTGGACCACCCGGCCAACACGCGAACGTTTGAAGAACTGGACGGACTGCTCACCGTGACTTCCTTATTTAAGCAGCGGGCGACGTCGCGCGAGGTCAAACTCAAGCTTGTTGAATTCCTTTATTTCTATCTGATGCCGGAGACGCCAACATATCCCATCGGAGCAAGTGCTCCAAATACGGCGGTCTGTGGTTTACAGCGCAGTCCTAGCAAACTGGGCGGAGGTCCGTATTCACGAAGCCTCAATGTGGCGGGGCCCGGGCATGGAGGAAAGGGCCACGGAGATACGCGCACAACCGAGGAGAAGCAGGCTCTGTTAGGGCGATATCTCAATAATGTGGAGGACCTAGTGGAGGATCTGAAGGAGACGGCTCCCTTTGGAGCGACGGTCTATTAGCATTTGGACTTGATATGCTGGATTGATATTGCTTTTTAATCTCTCTCTTCTGTCTATTCAGCGATGGAGCGTTCCTGGGTATGGGTGCTATCGGTTATGACTGATTCTTTTCTGCTCTCAATTCTGGGGTTTGGATCAATGCCCGGTTGCTTCTTTCCTTTCCGTTTTCTTTTCATACTTTTCTTACCTCCCGTCTGGTACGGTGTCAGGTCCATTTTCTTTTACCTCCAACCTGTTTTCTTTCCCTTTCTTTCTTTCTTTCTTTCTCATGTTCGAGTCACGATCTTGATGTCTCATGGTGTCATGTCAGGCAGTCTAGAAAGATAACGATCGCAACAATTGAATGCAACATGGTTTCGAATACCTGCTGTCTATGAATACCGGTTTTTGGCTACCTAGCCCGTGATACACCACGTTGACACGTCGCCTGTCACTCAATTAAACTTGCATATTATGCATGCAACCTCGGAAACATATCGGTTTCCGCTTTCAACGTTTATGATGCATCTGCTGGACTGGTATGAATCACATCTCACATGAACACTTACTGATTCGACTGGTCGAAGACTGTCTTTTCGGTAGCCAAAATGAGAGATCCGTTCTTACACTGCGTTGTACTGACTGCAGTCTGGCGCTTACACTAAGAGTACATAAGACCTAAAAATGACCAAAACAATCCAGGAAAGGCTCCTGCTCCGAGCAAGCCCAAACGGCTACGGAAGATCTCCAGAAATATATTTAGTATTTGGACACAGTTGAAGCATACGGCAAATGGACAGAGGTATGCAGCCACAATCCTTGAGTATAAGAACAACGACTAAGTCTACCCCCGGTTCTGCGACATAGACGGGGACTTCCTCCAAGCACTGGACACCATCCGACTACGCGATTTACTTCCCAGATCTTAGCCAAAGTCTCCCAATCTCAACCGCAACGACTCCGATTGGTCGATCTGGACTGTGGCACGGGCCGGAATACCCTGCAGCTTCTGAGGCTCGCGCTTCGGGATGCCGAGATTGTCGGGCTGATCCCGCACGGGGGATGTTGAAGGTAGCTATTACGGCTGTCCAGGAGGCACTTGCAGACAGAGATGGAAGCGCGCGGGAGGTATATCTGGATATATTTGATTCGAAGCGATCGCCACCGGAGGCTTCAAGGAGTTGGGTAAGCTGGCGCAGAAGTGGTTGGGATCACTGGTGGTTTAGTATGTGCTTCACGAAGTGGATGTAAACATTAATATCTGTCTTGATTTGTCTATTTCAAGCGTCTTGCCTTCTTTCGCAGCTTCAGTAATGCATGCAGGTATGGTCAGTACATATTATACAGTAGGCTGTGTACCTAAAAGAATCTTAACAGTCTGTCGCGATGTTGTACAAGATTCTCATGCTGTCGCAGCAGCTCCCCCAGTCGATTCTGCTTCCAACCCATCCCTTCATCCAGAATCAGATGCGTGTACGCGAAAACACTGGCATCGAACAGCCCGGGATTCGGTCGGTTGAAGAAATGCTCGTTGTCTCCTAGTAGTGTCGAAAGCGCCTCAAATGCGTCCGCAGCATCGGCCTCCAATGCGATGACATCCACGTAAGCCGAGGTCTTCAGTAGCTCGTCACGCGCAGCGTGCTGGAGCTGCATGGCCAGAGCGGCGCGCACTGCAGAATTGCTGGTCGATGGATGCACGTATAGTCTCCGCGCTACTGCTTCAAAGTTCTTCGGGTCCAGGTATAGCATGTATAGCTATTTCACGTCAGCGAAGCTCGATTTCATACATCCCGAGGACACCACCCACCCAGGCATTTCGTATCCGGTGATCCAGTAATGAGGCATACACCTCAAAGCGCACATCCAATTGCTGCTCTTCCTCACAGTGGACCTGTTCAATGGCCCATTTTTGTAGTTTGTTCGAGGGAATTGGCCCAGTAGTAGCGGCTGGCAGCGCGGGGAGAAGGAAGGGAAGCGCGCCGGTTGGAGAAGCGTGGTTGTTCGAGGGGACGATTTCTAGGTCAATTCCTACAAATCTCAAGTATGCCTGTACTCAGAGAAACCCAGTCAGTGATCGATCATGAGTAGGTATTTGCCCATCATCCATCTAACCTGCCACTTGAGACATTGCGGGTTGAACGACGGCCTCCCTCGTCTGGCGCTCGCGGGATCTGTGAAGACAAACAAACGGTTGCCGCGTCGGGCTATCCCGGAATGGTAAGGAAGGTCATTTGAAGGATAGGTGACAAGAGGGAATTGGTCGAAGATGCGCTTAATCGGTGCAGGAACGGAGAAGAAATTCCGAGCGCGAGAAGACGGCGTATCCTCCGGAGCCTGGCCGGAGGCGCCACGGTTGTCTGGGGACATGGATGAATGACGGAGGATGGGAGAGGCTCGACTTGTTGCCGTGGTGTGGTGTACACCCTGATGACAATGACTGTGGACGTAAAAAGAAGTATCTCACGTCAGACGGGTATAAGGATACCTGAACTATAGCTAAGAAACGCCCGGGGCGGGAATGGTTGGTTCCTGAAGCTAGTCGCAGCTCGATTGGCAACGCATCCGCTTGTTTCCAGCATTTTTTGATAAACTCCGCGAGAATGCCTCAGGCATGCAGCGACAGATGCCTGGTTACTCGGATAGGTGCCTGAGGCTCACATCGCGTCACGTTCCCCCACCCCATCATGTCATCAAGAACCCAAGACTCTCCATTATGATTGGATCTTCGCTTCTTTGTCAAAGTTCTGACTCTCCAGGGGAAAATTATTTACTGCCACTATCAAGGACTATCTCCCGTCGCTGCTCCCCGCATCATCAGGCGCCTACAAGGGTGCAGTCTGGCTGTTCGATTTTGCGTTCTTGGATTGCTATTTGCTTCTTGGCTTCCTCACCGACAGATAATCGCAGAGAGTCGACAAATCAAGTCCTGCCCTGTCTTGTCTTATTTTCAATTGCTACTTAGATTGAACTTCCCTCCGCTTGGTCGAGCAACCGGATCCTTCCGTACTCTATAGTGTCTGATCACTGTGATGTTTCTCTTTCTCATCCCCTAGAACCGACCTCAGAAATTGTGCTTTTGACCGAAAGGTTTTGGTTTGTATCATTCTATTTATTTTCTAGCCGCCCTTACCTCCCTGCTTGGTACTTGATCAGAGCTTTGACGCGCTAGTCATTTGCCAAAGTGGGGTAAAAACTTGCGGACGCTTGCAGAGTCAATTGATCCAACCGAGGGACATATCTGTCGCTCAGCCCATATTTCAAGAGGTTGACAGTCAACATATGGTCTGGGCCGGGTTGAGATTAACCAACTGCAACCATGCCTCTTGATGAAGAGGGAGCGAAATGGTCATGGTAAGGCCTGACTCTTCAGTTGAGTGTTGGGATGTCCTCCGGTGTTGCTAAGCCTGTCTATGCAGTAAACCATGTATTCGTGGCCATCGCTCGTCGAAATGCCAGCATTTCGACAGACTGATGATCAAAGTCCCAAAGGCCGGGCGTCCGCTTGCCAAATGTCCCCATCCCAAAGGCAAGTGTAGCTGTCAGCGGGAGTGCGCCTTTATGATTGCTATACCCAAAGGTTAGTATGGCTCGGAGGAGAGACCTTCTAGCACACCATTTTTTTGCCTTCGGGACTCTGGAGGCTGACAGTATCCAGGATCTACCTGTCTATGTAGGCCAGTATATCAGGTGCCTGCCAGCATGGGGGAACATGTTCCGGCTCAAAATCCACTCTCCGTTGCCCCATGACTCCGCAACTACCGTCCACCGGTGATAGCCAGCAGTGCGAGAGAAGGGCCAGTACTTTCCAACCAACTCCTGGGAATTTCGCCAGTGGTTCCACCCCTATTTCTGGATTTGAGAACAGGCACGGCGAGAATGGAGTCTTTAGCCATTTGCCGCCATATTCACCATATGACGCAGGGCTCGGTATTGCTAGCAACTCGAGCGGCGCTACAAACTCGGGATTCATCACTCCACCTACTTTTATGGCTCAGCAGGCATTCGATAACGTCCAGAGCTCAGGGCCCCAAAAGAGTAGCTGCTGTTCTGCAAAGACGCCAGCAACCGTTCCCGCACAGACTCAGAGTTCTTGTTGCCGAAAGAATGACTCGCCTATGAATTCGCAGACTGCATCATACCAGCCCTACTCGGATGGCGCGATGTATCCACCAACTTCGACTCCACAGAACTCATCCTGGCAGCATTTCTATCCAGCTGGCCAGAATAACTACTCGTTGCATTACCCTTTGCAGAATCAGGAACTTGGGCAGCCTGGGGTCATGCCGAACTACATGCCTCAACCGACACTAGACTACTCAAAGCCGAGTTTCTCGCAGCATAATGTCTCCAACGGTAATGGGTTCTTCCACGGCACCTTATCACAGCCCACGTCGGGTCAGACACAAACTCTGGGTTCCCCACAGGCAACTTTCAGTGGCGAGCGGAAGCATGACTGCAACTGTGGGGACAGTTGTCAGTGTCTAGGATGCGCCACCCATCCCTTCAATAACACTACCAGACAGCACGTCCAAGAAATGGGTCTCTTAGTCACGCTTGATGGTGAGGAGTCGAGTTTCGAGCGTTTGAATGGCTACCGCAATTTGCAATCAAACGGCAACCCTGATGCCGCTCCGTTCAACTACAACTTGACCAGTTTCAGCCACTTCGGCCACGAAAGCCACTCGGAGGCCATACACAACACGGACAACACCAGTCCAAATGGCAGCTCGCCTTCTACAGAGTACCCTTCAGAGCAACATCTGATGGTACCCTCCGAATATTACACCATCGAATATCCTGTGCAACTCCCCAATGCTTGCTCAGATGTGACTGGCAGTTGCCTCTGCGGCAACGATTGTGCCTGCGTTGGCTGTCTCACACATAGTGGTCACAATGGCCTCGCGGTCGAGTCCTCAACGATCGAGAACAACGATTTGTCTCCATCGAGCCCTTCTGCAAAGCATGAGAGCGTCGGCTCCCCGCTCGTACCTGGCCACACACATGCCACCCTTCAATCACCAAACCCAATGCTCTAGAAGATTTAGCGATTGATGGTGCCTTTTGCTGCACATCGCTAAATAGAATGTTTTGCCCCATTTCTCTTTTGATGCCGAACCTGGCGTTCGAAAACTTATGACCCCGATACCCACCTAATAGATGCTGGATCTTAGAGCTCCTCATTCTGCTTCCTTTCTTCTGTGCATAGTTCTACTCGGACTGCGTCCATGGCTACTCTGAATTCTTCGTTTTCGAGCGCTCTCCCCTCTTTTGTGGAGGTAAATTCCCGGTGTTGTGGTTGCTCAGTTTCTCATTCGGGGTTCGTGCCTTGAGCGCGTGGACGCTGCAAGAATGGGGTTTTCTCCTGTCTTCTTTGCTCCTGGATCGATAGATGCGTTAGAGTAGCCTCAAAAGGCAAAGAACGCAGACAGTCTACTGCTTAGTATCTCAGACAATATGCCAGCTACCGAGGCGAAGACACTGCCATTCCTCCGAGGATTCGGCTTGTGCTCTTCTGGCAAACATAGGCGTAACATGCTTGAACGAGTCAACAAGCGACATTGAGGCAGTAAGATGACAGATATAATGTATGCTGAAAGGTAAATAAAGCCTAGAACATCTCTAAGCTACCTGAAAAGCGCCTCAACCGAACTTGTTTTCAACACCTATGCAGGTATCGTACATGATAAAATGCTAAACCAATCTCTATTTACGCAGCGCATCTCTAACGGGAGAATCACCCCGACGGAAAGAAGCTAGAACCGTGTTAGCCGCCGTACTCATTGTCTGTATCGATCATCAATGGCCTTGCACATACCGTCGGCTTCTTCCCAGGCACGACCAGCTCCGAAACCCAGACCAACCCACGCTGGCCACGCTCTCCGCTTGAAGAGAAGAACTGAAAAGACAACGCCAAAGGAGAGACCGAGGGAGGAACGAATGATCATGGAAGAGATGGCGCGATCCCACTGTAAACAACGTAACATCATATTAGCCATTGGCAGCAGATATTGTATGCAATCGGGCTTGGATCCGAATCGGACTCTTGTCATAATCGACGCATTGCGGTCGGATCCAGGGCTGACAGCAACGATAGAAAGGAAGTCATGAAAGCGTGATAGTACCTTCTCGTTCAGCAATGCCTCGCTCACGGGCTTGGTGGACCGGAGAACCGGCTGGGATTCATTGGAGTCGGCCATTGCGGAAGATCTAGAAGTTGGCCCATTAGTATAATGGCAATAATGAGCAGGGGCGGGTTCGCAACCGACATTCAGCAATAGACTTGTGCAAATGTCACGCGAGTGAATTGAGAACCAAATTAAGGAGATGATGAAACGAGTCGGGGAGCGACGTCGATCGAGCTTCGGCGGGCAAAGGCGGTCGGAAAAAATAGGCTTGGGCGGGTTTCTGTCGTCAGTCGGTTTGGGTCCGCCGTCTTAAAAAGGTATCACAACTTTTTTTTCTCTTTGAGCTATCTGATAACGAAGCAAAGAACACCCCACTTTCTTCCTTTACTTTGATTTGGGAGAGACGAACGGGGAGTTCTGTCTGCATAATCTCGGACGAGATGCCCTCGGTCGCGGAGGTTAGTATTTTCAGACTTGTCTTCTGGGGAATGCGTATGCTGATCTGGTGTTGCTTTGCTATATACAGCGCCCGCGCTCGTCGCAGGAAACTCTACTGCGGCTCGAAAAAGGCACCGCTTCACCTTTAGCACAGATTAACGACGCTGCTCACATTATCGGACTTGATCTAAGCCTGTGTACGACACATCTGGAATTCAATCGAACCGGACATATCCAGACCAATGCCGCCCCGAAAGAAGAATGGGTTCTCCGGTGGTTGTTGAAGAAGCTGCGGGCAGGGAAAAGCCATCGTGTCGAACCGGCCTCATTTCTCCTTCTGCGACAGTTGATCGATCTGATCCCTCCAAAGACCCTAGCGACAATACTCAAAGACCAGAAGTTTCTAGCGACATTAAGCGACGTGATTACAGATCTGGAGGAAGATATTTTCGCAACTCTCGAGAATGGAAAGGCTGAGGATCTGCGCTTTGGTTCGGAGTCGAGCGATACTTTGGGCGATTCACCACATGACGACAGGAAGGGAACTAAGAGAAAGAGAGCCGATGCCGACGACCAAGATGCTATGGATATCGACCAGCAGCCGCAGACATCCTCCTCCTGCTTCCTCTCCTTTATTCGCGTTTTGGATTGTCTTTATAGCTTGGTTACGTTGACGAGTCGGGCAGCGGGTATCGATGAAGTTGCCAGCTTGCACTTGAAGCATGCCCTCCGCGGTGAGCCAGAGTCGGTCGCGAAGCTGCTGGGTCAGTCATTCAAGCTCGCTGCCATAGTCTCCAAACAGCTCTTCGACGGACGAAAGACGACCGACTTGCAACATCTCCTCTACATCATCCCGGCCGTGTTGGAGTTGTGGGAAATGAGATCTTCCCTCCGGGACGATTCGGACGCCGGGTCAAGTCATGAATCCTTTGCAAAGTATTGCTTCCAGAATGCACTCAGGCTTCAGGTCTGTGTACGCTCTATCAAGCTTGATACGGACGAGAGGGCTCAGGTCTTACACGGTGTTGAGCGTTTGATTGCTCTCCATGTCGTCCTACCGGCTCGTACAGCGTTCTTCGACCGAGGTGGTGCGGGCATAGACTACTCAAGTGACGAGCCGGACTGGAGCTCCGTCAAGCCCGTGTCGGAGACGTTCAAGCCTATTCTCTGTGCGACTGATTCTTCAAAGACCATCAAGCAGGAGAAGAAGCTCTGGAAAACTGCTGAGCTGCTCCCTGAGTTCCTCGATATCGCTACCCGCTCCGTTCCCAGAGACACCTTTCGCCGGCAGACACACGAGGCTCCCTGGTTGGAGACCCTCTTTGTTGCGGTTGCGGAGCTGGCGTTCTCGATTGTCAAACAGGAGAGTTTGGGTTCATCGGCCGCCTACGTTTCCGAGTTTGTTATCATCCTGGAACAGCTCTTCCGTATTGTTTTAAACCGGAACGTGCAGCTCTCTCTACACACGCTTCTCACCCATGCCGCATACACGGGGCTACTCAAGGAGGGTCTGTCCCCAGTTGAATGGGGCTTGACGGCCTTGTTAATCGAACTGGGAGCGGATATTTTCTTGCCAAATTCTGGCCTCAAGGATTCCGCCAAGTTGCTGAGGGCTCTGCTTGAGAAGATACTTCTTCATTGGCGCAGTGGCGTGCGCCGCACAGACAGCAATTACGATACCATTAAGAACGGAATAGTGATCCCCTTGCTGCGCGCGTTCCTTGCTGCAAGAGATCTTCCGACTTTCATGCAACTATGGTACGAGCAGTTGATCGACGTCGAAGAGGCGCGCCTCGCGGATAGCAGCTTGAGCCTCTTCTCTATTTGGGAGGACGATGATTTGTGTAACGTTTATAGCGACATCTTGCGGAGTCCCCTCACACACGCTACTGCTGATGCGCAGATGCGAGCAGCTGCAGTGGAAATAAGAGGCGAGGACGGGAAGATTTCCTCTGCACCCGGCGCTTTTGCTCAATTCGTCCTCTTGGAAGCTGGTCTCAGGAACCGAGCCCTCGGTGCTGCGGGCGCGAGAGAAGAGTTGAACTCTATTCTTGAGACCATGACGGCGACGCTGTCCTCAAAGCAGAGTTTCCACTGGCGTTGGCGTTTGTGGCGACTGGCTCGCAATTTACTCGCGAGTAATGTGCAATCAGCGGAAGATCCGCTCATGGTCGCGACTGTGAATCTAACCGATGCGGCGGTGAGCTCAATCCAGCGTAACCACAAAAATGGAATGAAGAATACATGCGCTGCATTGGAATCGTTCGAAGCGTATCAATTCGCGCTGGTCGCTGTCAAGGAAACAACCGACACAGGTCATTTGGAGAGCTTCCACGTCCTGACCGGCGAGGTTAAGGACTATATCGGCACAATCACCAAGCAAGATGCTTTGGGATCCCTAACTTCGCCTTGGAACGGTCGGGTTGAAACGCTAGATTCATCAGTGTCTCTTGCCTTGGGCTACTTCCTTACGCTCGTCAGAAGCCCTCATATTTGGCCTCAGCTGAAGACTGATGATAGGCGCGCTCTTTTCGAGCGCGTTCTGGGTCTAGCAGCGTCACAAATTCCGTTGCCCTCTAACTTGGAGACTCCTCCGCCGAATGCAAGATTTGTCCAGGCATGGGCCTCAGTCGTTTGCCATGAATACCTACTCAACTCGCCGGCAATCGCAGTGGATCTCGTTCATGTACTTTCCAAGCAGTTGAAAGTTGATAAGGAACATCGCAGGCTCTATATTGAAAGCCTCCAAAGAGTGCCTGGACCGTTGATCATGCGGCGCCAAAGAGGCGTGCTTCTGGACTTGCTTCAGGAAATTCTTGTCCAGGAGGATAGCATGACGGAGATCAAGCTCGGACTCCTGTCGCTGATGGCCAAACTGGCAGATATGCCCAAGACCGCAGCGACTTTCACGAGCGATTGGGAGCCTATGTTCACCGCTGCCAATGCTGTTACGTTGCAGGGAACTGAAAACGATCTACAGATTATGAAAGCGTTCCGCAATCTACATCGAGCAGTAATATTCAAGCTGCTTGTTCTATCAGAGGAAGATCGTGATAAGCTGTTCAAAAAGATGTATCGCAAGGTTTCAGCCAAGGTCCTGAAGTTGAAATCCCTTGACCACGACTCAATGGAGTGCTTCTTCTTCAGAATTTCACTATCGCAATTCTGGCTCCGTCGCGAGCAGCTTTCTGGCGCATTTGTTGAAAAGGAGCTCGACTCCTGCCGCCGGCATATGTTTGATTTGATTGTGGCTGAAGTTCGGTCTGTCAAGGACCAGTTGAAGAAGAAGAAGATTGAGGAAACCGTTACGTTGATCAAGATCCTTGATGCTCTGGAGGACTTTGAAGACCTGGTGGCGGATAGCACTGAGGTTGGGAAATTCTTGACAAAGATCGAGAGCTACGTGGAAAGGTCTATGGACTCCCGATCTTCGTTGAGAAGGCTCATAAGACGCCGTGTCTTTACTGGTCGGCGATCGGACAGAAGCATCACAGTTCCTGTTGTCCAATGCGCTGAAACTCTTTCCCTCCAGCATATGTTTGGCGAGGAGCAGCAACTTTTCATCCGAGCGACTACAGAGAAATTCAAGTTTATGAGCGTGGAAGAAGTGACCGCGGTGATTCAAGAATTACGCGAGCTTGGGTTCGATGGCAACCGTGCCGCTTATCGCCTACTTGCTGCTGGTATTGCAGTCGCTTCACTACCGTCTATCGAAGACAAGGAGACTTCTGCAGCAAAGGAGTTGTCACTCCTATGCACGGCAGTTACAGAGTCTCTCTCGCAGAGTACTTCCATTGAACATTTTGCTTTCGCCGCAGAGTGTCTGGACATTCTACTTCGCAACCACACACGTTGCATTGCGCAATGGAACATCGACAGCCTCCTGGCAGCTATCGCAGTATGCGCGTCGAGAGCCGGACCCCGCATCAACCCAGAGTATGCTGCAACCATATACGTCCGGCTCTGTAAGCTGATGGGAGTGCTGCTGGGACTTCACCGTCAGAAACTCGGCGGGCGTTTCCACTTGATCCTTCCGGCCATGCAGCGACTTTTGAACTGCCTTTTCGCCCGCTCCAAGAAGAGAAGTCGACCCATGCTTTCCGCAAAGGGGCACACGCAGCAGCCGTACTGGCTTGCACCACTGCAGGCTTCACATGCCGTCCATTTCACCCGTCTGCTCACCTCGCTCTGCGATCCCACCGTCTCCGCCGTCTCACGACCCACACAATCTGGAGGCAGCCGTGAGGCTCTCACTGACCAGACCAAGAAAGCCAAGCGTATTGCGGGTCAGTATTTGCAGTACTTGATCATGGAGTACGCGCAGAGTTCACTCCGCGGCTCCTTGGTGCCCGAAGTGAAAGCAGCAATTCTTCCTGGTCTCTATGCTGTTCTGGACGTGATGTCGCGGGATACCATGCGGGCCATGAATGCAGGCTTGGATGTTTCGGGACGGGCAATCTTCAAGGGTCTCTATGATGACTACGTGAAGTTTGGCAAATGGAACAAGGGTTGAGGTTGAATTGGCATTCCTTCTTATGTATACAGATACCACTTTTCCACTACATGTGAAATCATGAAGATTTTATAACACGTATCAGAAGCACTCTTACCGTAAACACAATTCAGTAGTCGAAACATTCAATAGTGCCAGCATTTGGCTCCTCCAGTTAAAACCACGTGACCTTCCCGTTCCCGGTGATATTTTCGGCGTGGCTTCGTTTTCTATCATCAGATCTTCAAATATCGAAACATCTGGCAATTTGGCTCCTCATGCCAGATAGATGCTAAGGACCATCGCAATCTCGACCTTCGACAATGTGAATCGTTTACTCGATCCCATCGAGTCACAAACCCACAATGACCGTGAGATTAGATATGCCCAGCCGGGCGGCCTCAGGGCGGCCTCTGAGTCGCTGGATGCCGTGGAGCTCCCCAGTGCTCAGGCTGATTGCGGAGAGGCCAAGTGGAGCAGCAACCACCATTCATGATCTTGATTGCTGATAACGGCCGTCGCTTACACGACCGAATGGAGCAACGGAAAATGATAGCACATCCCCCAGAGGCCCGACCACGGCCATCATTGTCTCATGGAGGGCGACAAGGGACGATGGTTTGCCCACGGCTCGACCGGGCGGGATGATCCTGGCCATTCTGAGACCACGGATCATTCACAGTTCCTTATCATAAGTGCACTTGGGATTTTCCCCTGTTCCTACGGGAAGTCAGTGGTCGCATGTTACTGGCTGGTTGCAACTCAAGGTTACCCTATCAGGGCTGTCATTGTGGATGGGTCACCAGTCACCACCAGGTTTATCAAGGCTGAGTTTATTGGGTCATGACGCAACATAATGTCTTATCTTATCCAAGGCATGGGGTGTGGTTAGTGTACGTGTAACTGAGTTTATATTCATATGAATTTCTCTGGATGGCATGAAGTTGGTTGTGTTGCTGGAGCGCGCGTGAATTGTATAGAGTTTTGCGTTGTATACCTCATCATCTTTTTGTTCCTTGCTAAAGAGCACCGCGTCCTTCATTGCAGTGGTACAACTTGTGGACAGGCAGTATGGTTCGAATCAGGCGATGGGCCGAAAAGCTGAAGGTGCCATCGGAGCCGGGACTGAGCAATGCTCAGTTGATGTTAACAAATGAAGACTTGCGGCCAGGTGAGATTCGCATTGTGGCCATCGGCTTTTTCGATTACGCGACGGCGTTCTTGTCTTGAACCTGTTGAGAGTTTTCCGATCGAAATGAAGCTTACCGGTGTTCTTTCGTCTTGCAGTCGATCCTGACCGGCGTCAGTGGAAATGGTTCAATTTCATCGCTTTTTGGATTGCGGATTCGCTGAATATCGTAAGTCCCATACGCAGGAGAATTGCAAGGCTCGAGGCAGGCTGGTACTGATTCGATATAAGAACACTTGGATGATCTCCTCTTCGATGATTGTCGACGGTCTCTCATGGTGGCAGTCTTGGATCTGCGTTTGGGTCGGATACTTCATCGCAGCCGTCTTTATCTGTCTTACTGGTCGCATCGGTGCGAAATACCACGTTCCATTCCCTGTCGCTATAAGATCTAGTTTCGGAATTTGGGGTTCGTTTTGGCCGGTCCTGAACCGTGCCGTCATGGCTGTCATCTGGTACGGAGTGCAGTCATACATTGGAGGTGAGTTTGTTTGTCGTCGACCAGTAAGCTTCAGGATAGAGATTGATTGTTGTCAGGACAATGTGTCACTGTGATGATCGAGGCCATCTGGCCTAGCTATGCCCATCTTCACAACTCGCTTCCTGCCAGCGCTGGCGTCGAGACCAAGGACTTCGTCAGCTTTTTCCTCTTCTGGCTTCTATCATTGCCTGCTCTGTGGTTCCCAATCCATCAAATTAGACATCTGTTTACCGCCAAGGCAATTTACTCTCCTATTGCCGCCATAGCTTTCTTCGCGTGGTCGATTGCTCGCGCAAACGGTATTGGACCGGTTGTACATCAGCCCGCTACAGTTCACGGAAGCACTCTTGCCTGGGCGATTGTGAAGGCAATCATGAGCTGCCTGGGAAACTTCGCTGCCCTGATCATGAACGATCCCGACTTCTCGAGATTTGCGAGAAAGCCAAAGGATGCATTGTGGTCACAGCTGTTGACGATTCCCATCGGTTTCGGCATCACTTCGTTCATTGGCATTATCGCATCTTCAGCCTCCGCAGTCATCTATAACACTGACCCTGTGTGGAATCCGCTTGACCTGCTAAGAATGTTCTTGGATGGAGCTAGCTCTGGTGAAAGGTTCGGCATCTTTGTGATTGCCACTGGGTTTTCCCTCGCACAGCTGGGAACAAACATTTCAGCAAATTCCGTCTCTGCTGGCACCGACTTGACGGCTTTGGTCCCGCGTTATCTTAACATCCGGCGTGGTAGTTATATCTGTGCTGCAGTTGGCTTGGCTATGTGTCCGGTATGCCCCTCTTGCTCGTCCACATTGGCCGTGTGAGGACAAGCACTGACATCTTGTAGTGGAACCTTGTGTCTTCATCCAACCAGTTCACCACATATCTCTCGGCCTATTCCATATTTTTGTCCGCTATTGCCGGCCCCATGATCTGTGACTATTATCTCAACCGCAAAGGCTACCTTCAGGTCAAAGATCTCTACAGCGCCAGCAGGGACGGGCCATACTACTTCGTCTTCGGCTTCTCCTGGCATGCGTATGCCTCGTATCTCTCCGGTATTCTTGTCAATATTGTCGGCTTTGCGGGAGCTGTTGGTCGTACCGTGCCTGTGGGAGCTCAGTACATTTACAACATCAATTACTTTTCGGGCTTCTTCGTCTCCGCCGTGATGTACTACATACTCACCCGCGTCTTTCCTTTGCCTGCATCGAGTGACCGATGGAACGAAGTGGATTCCGATGACGAGGTGGCCTATGGACAGGAAGTGGACTCGGATGATATGCCCATGCCCGGGAAAGTGAGCTCGCTGGACAAGGACTCAGATTCGGATCGGAAAGGAGCCAAGATTGCCTCGGGGGCGATGGTTTGATTTCTTCTTTCTTCGCGTTCGTAACCTAATAATGACTCTACCTATGATCATGCCAACAACAATGATACCTCCTGAGTTTTTATGACCTATGAGAATTCGAAAACGCTTACTCTATACACGTCACGAAAGACAGTTCGGTCAGAGGAGGAGAAGTGAATATCGCATTGAAACTCTTGGTTGAATATTCAGAGATATATATGGAAAGTGAAGCGATCTGCTCTAGAGTCGACGAATCTTCATGACGTAGATTGGTTGTGGTATTCCAGGTCAACCATCAACCATCTTCAACCTCACCTTCTACAACTACCCCACAAAACGCCTAAACACAACATCAAAGCTAAAATAAGATGAAAGAACACAACAAACCACCACGATACCGCCGCATCGGAGCTGGTGCCTGCGGGACTGTCTGGGCGCCCTCAGAGCGGGGCCCAGCCTACAAACGAGAAGATGGCAACCTTGCCCGATCTCTCAGAAACGACTACGAGAAGCATCAGAGAATCCTTCACAGCCTAGATAACCTACCGCTCTCAGGAATCCAGCCGCGTATTCACGTTCCCCGCTGCTATACCTTTATCCAACCTACAGATGAAACCTGGTGGGCAGAGCATCTCCTCCGCTTCCCTGAAGGATACTCACCATGTAATGTCATCCGATCTCAGCGCATCGCTCCCTTTCCCAAAGCAACGAGAGAGCGCCTTGTCGCCGAATACTGCCCCTCCGATCTCGCAGCAGAGATCCTGGCCAGCGAGATGAACGAGGATTGTCTGGTTCGGCCGTATCTCGGTCGAAGACGTACACAGGTGCATCAGCCTGCGCGCACGTCGAGGTTCAAGGCCTTTTCGCTCCGAAACTATCCGCTACATATAGACCAGATGGAGGAACTGGGCATCCAGACCCAGGATATCAGGGGATACGCCGAAGTCATGGCGGAAACACTGGCGATCATGCACTGGATCGCGCAGGTCGATGTGAACGATGTAGAGTTTGTTCTGGCTCCTCCTGATGGGGAGAAAGGCAAATGGGAGACTGTGCTTGGGCAGCATGCGATGTGGATGCTTGATTTTGACCTGTGTAGGTATATGTCTATGGATAAGGAAGGAGTAGAGCAAGCTGTCGCTGCGTTTTGGAAAAACGACCCGTTCTATCCCCGACCAGAGAAATAATCGTTTCTGTGGCAGGTGTTTCGAGAGACGTACTTGAGCACGAGCCAGCGGATTGTGGGGGATAGACCGGGTGATCGGCGGCTTGAGCTGGCGAAGCTTCTTGTTGACTCGCTTGAGGAGGGAACCCAGTAATTCGATGCGACATTCAGTGTCTGTTTTACGACAACTAGGACTCCAATACTTGGTTACATTGAGCTGCAGGATGACGGATAAGCGACAGGGGACAAACTGATGCTATCAATTTATCCCAGTCGATGCACAGACCTAGCTGGTGGGGTGTCGAAGTGCTCTGATACATAACTAATCAATTGCAAACATCACTTCTTAGTGACAAAAAACACAATAATCCGACCTCGTCACCTTCTCATGCCGATGGCACCTCAGCCGTTATTTATCTATTGACTCCCAGAGACACCATGTCTTTGGCTATGATCTTGGTTGCACTCACGCTGGCAGCGTTCATAGCCCGCGTTGTTTATCTCTGCTACTTTCATCCTCTCGCTCGCTATCCTGGGCCTTGGTTTGCCCAACTCTCTAATGCATGGTTCGTTCTCATATTACTCTTCAGTTTGCACAAAGATCTGGGCCTGACTCGACCAGGAGACTCGTTATATTCTTCAGTGGCCGGCATCACTTGATAGAACAGCGTCTACACGCTAAGTACGGTCGCGTGGTCAGAGTTGCACCTAACTGGCTGTCGTTCTCCAGTCTGGAAGATTTCGAGGTTATCTATGGCTTCAACAAGGCCATCGAGAAGGACGGGTTCTACGACTTTGGTCGCAACCGGGGCAGTCGGCCCGAGAGCATCTTCGCCGCAAAGACAGAGGCCAGTCACCGAGTCAAGAAGAAGAAGGTGGTCAGTCCAGCTTTGACTAGTACCAGGATCGCTACATACAAGCCTGTCATCGATAAGCACGTCCAGATTCTGCTGGCACGCCTGCAGTCACGGTTGAAGGGTCCAATACACGATGGGGAGAACAATGGCACTACTGGGGTGAACATGGCACCCGTTGTGCATCAGTTCACTCTAGACACACTGCTTGAGCTGCTTTTCGGCCCTAACCTAGCGGCACACCCGTATACTAATACCCCTGCTGGCGAAGGGGTATGTTCAAATCTCCGCATCATGAGCAAAATGGCCTGGAGTTTCTCACTTTGGCCCGCCTTTGGGTGGCTCATGAACACCCGTCCAGTTGATGCAATGTTACGGCGACCGACTTACAGCAAGCAAGGCGTACTCACCGGTATGGCAGACCTCATGGGCGTGGCCATGCCGAAGCTCCTGAGGAACCCACAACAAGTGGTTGCGTCTCCCCAGCCTAGTATCGTCAAGAGCTGGCTAGAAGTCCCTCTAGATGATGCGAACCATATGACTCCAGCTGAAGTCGCGTCGGAGGCGACCAACTTGATCATAGCAGGACCAGGAAGCACGGCAGCTGCTCTGACAGCGGTTATATTCTACCTGGGCACGAAAGAAGGCCAATCTTGGCAGGAAAAAATCCGGGACCAGAGCCTCGATTTAGGGGCATCCTCGCTGGAACTCCAGGCGGTGATCAAGGAAACGTTAAGACTAACCGCCCCATTTCCGACTGCCTTCCCCCGAGTGATTAGACCTGGCGCTGAGATGGCCATACCTAGCCTTGCCGCTCCGCTGCCTGTCGGAACAATGGTCTCTGCGAATACGTTTGTGCTAGGTCGATCGCGAGAACTCTGGGGCAACAACGCCGAGGAATGGGAGCCACAGCGCTGGCTGGGGAGTGAGCAACACCGTCGAGGGATGGAGACGAAATTTGTGGCATTCAGCAAAGGCTCACGGAGCTGTATCGGACGTGAGTTGGCGTTACTTGTTCTCGCGCAGGCGGTGATTGGGATCATCCAGCAATGGAGATTCCACAGTAGGGGGGAGTTGCAAGGCAAAAGCTTCCTTGAGATGCAGTATGACGAGTGCTGGATTGAACTCGAGCCGCTTGACCTGTCGTTGAGCGCATGAAGCATAGCTCAGCTTGATATCCTGGTAGCCTAAAAGCACACTTTCATCCGTTGCTGCGCCTTATTCGTCAATATGCAGACCATGAGTCACAAATGGAGTCAAATATGACTCAACATGTAGTCCGATTCATTGTCTGGCTGGGGGAGGCGAATATTGATTGCAACCAGCTGCAAGACATGCTGGGCTAATCTGTTTTGTGACCCCGACGGGAGGCCGATCTGCGTCCAGATCCACTGCACCACCGTCTACTCCATCTCCACTGTTTATTTACCCTTTAAGATTTTACTTTCGTCACATCAGACATAAATACTAAATTCCATCATCTCCTTCTTTCATCTCTCTGTCTCTATGTTACTCATTCACTCTATCTCTCTCTAGACTCTAGCATCGTCAGGAGGACGGTGTTGCGTTCCGTCCTTCAAAGCCACTCCTGCGTTCTCACGACTCACTATTCTTCATTGAATGTGAGGAAACTACGTGAAACCCCTGAAACAGTATCGCAGAGGAACTGAAACTTTTAGCCATTTCATCACCTCAGAATGGCATCCGCCAGTGCCCTTCCCCAAACCCTCAAATCGATCACCGCCACCAAAATCAAAGAACTCTCGAAACAGCGCAAGCGCTTTGAGGAACGCAAGGACAAGATCTTCAAAGACGCGCAGGACGCCCCCGATCTGCGTTCTAGAGTCCAGGTCCTACTCGAGGGAGTAACCAAGCTCAACGGTGATCCCAACGACGCCTTCGATAAGGAGGATCTCGACGCGGAGGATACTGAGGAGCAGACAGCCAGAGTCGCAGATTGCTCTGACCGCGCCACATACACCAACATTCGCCGCTTCCTCCTACAGAGTCAGTATGACCCTTCTGTTTCTGAGAGTAGCTTGAGAGACTGGATTGCGCAGCTGGAGGAGGAGCTGCGGTCGCTCGAGCTGAAGCATGAGCATGCCACGTTCTACAGTGATCTGGTGACGGAGTGGCTGGAGAATTTGGAGGCTGAGCAGGGCGCCAGCAAAGATTTTGAGTCGGTGGGACGCGCGGAGATGCAGGAGCAGCGTGCGACGTGGGAGTCATTGGTTTTCTCGACGGCGGAAGTAAATGCTGATGCGATCCGTGCGTACCTCGATGGTCTATTCAACACGGCGCCCTTGACACAGCAGGCGCTCAAGGAGCTCCGGGAGAGGATCAAGTCGTTTGGGACCGAATTTGCTGCGAAAAAGAAGTGGTTCAGCGTCGACGACCTCAAGTGGGTCTCCGAGTCGCTGTTGAAGGCTGACCTGCTCACCAAGGAGAAGATGGGCATCCTGAGGGAGTTCATGCGCAACAAGGCAGTAGCTCAGGAGGTGGCAGATGTGTTGAATATGCGTCTGGCTTCGCTGGATAGCTGGAACTGGCCCGCGGAAGGGGTACCTGTGGAAATGCGTCGGCAGCTCAACGGCAAGTACCGAGTGTTCATGGACGAGGATCTGCTGGACAGTCTTCTCTTCCAATACCTGGGACTCAAATGGTCGGTGGCGTTCAAGAAAGCATTCAGAGCTTTTTTCAAAACTCGCGCTTGGCAATCGCCGCGCCAGCAGATCTCCAAGGTAGAGCGGGAACGGCGCAGGTATTTTCTGGACTCGACGGTTCGCGGCGACTGCGTGAATGACTACAGACGACAGATGTACGAGACGGACTACTTTATGACCCAGCTGCCGTCGTCCGTGGAAGCAGCTGTTCCCGAGTACGGCGACGAAGCGAGCAGCGACGATAGCATCGACGGGGAAAAACGCAAGAACGCCCTGGGGACAAAGCACGCGCTGCTTCACCTTCTGATCACAGAGTCAATCATCCACACCACCCAGTACGGACAATTTACGGCCATCCGTTCCGATTTCAAGTGGTTTGGCCCATCGCTGTCGCACGCGACCGTTCTGGCGGTGCTGGAGTACTTTGGAGTTCCCCAGAACTGGCTCCATTTTTTCAAGGTATTCCTCGAAGCGCCGCTCAAATTCACGCAGGACGGAGAGAACGCCGCAGTCCAGGTTCGCAGGCGGGGAGCTCCCATAAGTCATACGCTATCGGACTGCTTTGGCGAGACGGTCCTCTTCTGCATGGACTACGCGGTGAACCAAAGCACGGAGGGCGCGTACCTGCACCGTCTGCATGACGACTTTTGGTTCTGGGGCCGCGAGCAGACCTGCGTCAAAGCTTGGGGCGCCATGACCACGTTCGCCAAGGTCATGGGTCTTGAGTTCAACGAGGAGAAGACAGGAACAGTCCGACTGACAAAGCCAAACCCCCGTCAGGGTAGCCCAGTTCCAGCCGGATCAGAACATTCATCCTTGCTACCGACCGGGGACATCCGCTGGGGCTTTCTGAAGCTCGACCCGCAGGAGGGCCGCTTCATCATCGACCAGTCGCAGGTGGACAGCCACATTGCCGAACTGGGCCACCAGCTCGCCTCGTGCAAGAGCATCTTCGCCTGGGTACAGGCCTGGAACAGCTACTTTGCGCGATTCTTCACCAACAACTTCGGCAAACCCGCCATGTGCTTTGGCCGGAGCCACATCGACATGGCGATCTCGACGCTCAGCCGCATCGAGCGGACCCTGTTTCCCGACGGCGTCACCGCACACCTGCGCCAGATGATCGCGGACAGGCTCCGCGTCCGCGATCTTCCCGACGGCTTCTTCTACTTCCCCATCGAGCTTGGTGGCCTGCAGCTGCTGAATCCGTACATTCCGCTCCTAGCTATGCGCGAGGACATCAAGCAGACGCCGCAGCGCCGACTCCAGAAAGCGTTCCTGGAGGACGAGGACGCGTGGCATGCGGCCAAGGAGCGGTTCGAGAAGGACGGGCCCCGCAGCTCGGCGCGGGTTGACTTCAACGATGATGACAGCCCGGCCACGTTCATGTCCCTGGACGAGTTCATGCGATATCCCGAATCTCACAGCCGGGCTTTGCTGCAGGCGTATGAGGATCTGATCCGCATCCCCGAGGAGGTCAGCGTCAACCAGACGGCCGGGTTTCAGAGTAGCCTGATGTCGCTGAGGAAGACGGGGTCGGGCGGCGCCAGTCGGGGAATCACGGATTCGTGGCTGACGATGACACCGTACTGGCGCTGGACGGCCGAGGTGTACCACGAAGAGATGGTCAAGAAGTTTGGAGGTCTGGCGGCTGTTAACAGGGAGTTTATGCCTTTGGGGGTTGTCGAGACGCTGAGAGAGGGCAAGTTCCGATGGCAGGGTTGATTTGTACTTTATACCCATTTGTGTTTAAGTCGCTTTTCATGATCATATCTCATCATCATTCGTATCAGCCATAACCAGTTACCGTAGACTTCTACACGGTATACGTATCCTCAAAATCCAGCAAAAGCCCCTCATCCTTTCCTTCTCAGCCTGCCCCCCAAAAATCACATCCACGCTCTCGCGACACAACGCAAGCAGCTCCGCTCTGCCAAGCTGAAAGTGCTCCGCCGCCAGGAGATACTCATTCGAGACAGGACTACAGAAAAAGCCCATATCGTCCGTCTGCGCCTAACATCAGCACCTGATCCTCCCCAGAGAAGGTAATGGAAGAAGCAGCTTACGCATAATACAACCGGACAATCCACATGCCTCCAATACCCGAAATGATGCGCGGGGAACCCCCATCAATCATCTCCGCATGCACATTACACGACATGCACAGCTCGAGCCCCAGCCGCCGGCGCGCAATCTCGCGCTTGAAGTCCTCAGACACATGGATGACATGGCCCACACGGTCCGGCCGGAACGATAACAGCGTGCTTAATTCCCTCTCCGAGCCGGACGTCTCCGTCTCGGCGAAGTGCACGGTGATGCCTAGGCCGTGGGCCTTGGCTTTGGCGAGGGCGGGGCCGTAGAGCGCGACGTCGCCTTTCGTGGGGTTGCCGCAGATATCGACGCCGACGACGCGGGGGCGGTGCGCGATGGCGAGGTCGACGATGGAGAGGGCGTCGGCGGCGGTGTTGTTGCCGCGGTCGATGGCGAGGATGAGGTAGACTGAGATTTGGGAGGAGTGAACTGACAAAAAAGTTTCGATGGTGGTGAGGACGGTGGTGAGGTATTCTGTGCGGGTGAAGGCGAGGGTGGGCGAGGCGCGGGGGATGGTGCGGAGTTCGAGGTAGCGGACGCCGTCGGCGAGGAACTCTTGTAGGACGGAGTTGGTGGCGTAGGCGAGGGAGTCGAGGTCGTTGCAGAGTTGGTAGATGGATTTGGAGAAAACGGAGAAGAAGCTATGCATCTTAGCGGGTGGTTCTTGTCACCTTGTGCGATGGGATGGTTCGGTACGTCTGAAGAGAGTAGTCGACTTTTCCTGGTGGCATGACTACCAGGGGATCTTCGACGTCAAAGTCGGGATTTTGGGCTTTCTTCTTTAGCCAGATCTCATGGAGACATTGGCGGCTGATGCTACCGCTCAGATGAGCGTGGACCTGGGACTCGTTAGACTCTGTCAGATAGTGTGAGAAGTTCCTACAGTACCTCGATTTTGGGTAGCGCCTTGGTGAATGCGACATCGACGGGCTTTGAAAGGTCCATTATAATGATTTGTTATCCTTCTGTGTTATCTCCAGTCGCTACGGACGAAGAAACTGGATGGCACAAGATGAAGAAGCTACAAGGGAGTTGGCGTGGCGAAGATGGCGGTGACTCCTCTCAAGTTCTGCAGGAATATCTGCACGGTGAGGATGACCAACTTTTTTTCTCTACTTTTGTAGTATGGATGTGGATAATTCCCATGCTCTCAGGACTATTCGTCTCACCACTACTGCTAGTAATAGCCAAGTATCTGAACTGGTTAGGATACTTTTCCTTATAAAAGTATGTGGGAATATTCTTGGAAATCGACGCATCGAGGTCTCGTATCACTCTACTCCGCCAGGAGTCTTCCATCTGGAAGGAGCGAAACATTTAAAGGTCAGAGAATACGATTAGCAGTGGTAATATGGAAGACAAGGCGCTACTTATTAGAGCGGACAAGAATCGCTCGCATCATCGTCTACCAGTACATAGTCCTGGCGCCTTTCCTACGCACCACGACCCCCTGCCCTAGTTATTTGATCGTTTGTACTCCATAGTGCCGCGAAATTCAAAGAGAGACTGTGAAGCACGACGTGGTCCATCTCGTCAGTCTCTTCCGTGGACCTGAAGCGACCATTGGCTTCAACTCCGCCGATAAAGACCGGGACACGTATGTTCTTGCGTCGTCCGGATGATAAGGTACGTGGCCAGGCCAAATTCTCGAAAACTAGATGGCCTGACAGCTGAATGTGTGATGGCCCTGAAGTATAAATATGATAATTATCCACTTTCATCCCGCACATATCCATAGCGTATTTCTCTAACTCTTGCCGCCTTGTGGGGTTGCATCAAAGTCAATTGGGCGAATCCGGTCAAAACAATAGGCTCCTAGGTAGTTCACCCTTGACAAAACCTGTTACTGTCTCAGCATGTCAAGGGGAGTATGGCTATGTGCAGTCCCAGACGGTCAACATCCCTGTCATTAAAGAGGGGTCTCTAACAGAGTTTCTAGAAAGCAGGACCCTTGCGCAATGTGAGGACCTTCTCGGCGATGAGCTGAATCAGCGTAAATCCTGGTAGAGTCAGATGACGTTCGGATGCAGTAAATGGCAAGCTAGCAGCCTAATGCGGGGACTGGCTGATACTGTCGATATTAACGACAACGAAGGAATCACGGAATCTCCGAACCAGCCAGTACCTGTTTCGGTTAAATTGGACGGGAGATTCAGACGAGGGCTCAAATAAAAAGTGGAGAAGGAAGGGTAAAGGAGCATGGGAGAGTGCGGAAGCCGGAGGGTCATGGAAGAAGATTCGAAAGAAATGAAACCTTGATCAAGTGCAACCTTGCTCTCCTAGCTGACACCAGGCTACAAGGCGTAGCCGCCTGTCGTATGTATGCATCTGTGGACTTGCACAAGGGCGTCTCGTATACTCTGTTCTGGATATCACTAAACAACCAGTGCGCCCATGCCACGACAGGGAACATGGTGGGGGCATGGGGGCACCGTAGCAGGAGCAGAAGTTTCACAATCCCTCTTCCCATCGGCCGTATAAGCTCATGCGTTTGGAGAGAGAGTCATTGCCATGCAGGTCGTTTCTGCGTGGGATGCACCAAGTCCAGGACCGAAATTCGAGGAAATGGTACCCCATTGGGTTTTCTCGGCTCTCGCTAAGCACATTTCTGAAAAGCCTAGGATCTTTAGTAGCATTAGCGCTTTAAAAAGGCGGGGTCGCCAACTGTCATTCTTCGTGTCTCAGATTCTCTTCCCGTATGGAGTATGGATGCAGTTATTCCTTCAGGGATCGTTGCTGAGGAGAAGGTACAAATGTGGCTGCCTTCCAGGTTGCAATATGCACTGCCTCAGGTCGTCAAGCGAGCCGAATGAATCTTGCGATTTCTCCACCAATTCCTCGAGGATGTCGAAGGATTCTGGAAATGCACCTAGGAGTCTAGGACAAGAATGATTGGATAGATAGTTTCAGATCCCAAGCAAGTGAGGCTATTTTTAGTAGAAGATCTGGTGTGGAGATTTTAACGGTACAAATAAAAACAAGAGATTTTCTGTTGCGTGCTTAAAATCAGTAGTTTAATTGGCAATGTGTCACTTGGTCAGTCGATAGTGCTTCTCATAGCCGGCATTTGGCCCCTTACTACTCCGTAGGCCCGTCAATATTGAACTCCTGATCGTATCAAGCCCAAAATTCAGGTTGTATCGCGGGACGCAAGTGGTAATTTCGTCCCTAGCGATTTGTGCGTGGGACAGCTGAGCTCGGGAGTGGCGCCCTGTTGCCGGGGCGGACCGAGACTAACAAGAGAACAACATCTGAGTGCGGACTGCGAGACGATGGAAAGGGTAAAGACTCTTGAGTGAACCGCTAGGAGTCTCGACTATCATTATTGACTAAGAGAAGTCGTAACTGATCATTGATAATGCGGTTAGGACCACTGGGCTGGTCCGCGAAGCATGCCAGTATCAGACATCAGACACTCAAAACCAAGTCCCCGGAGACGGAAAATACTGAAACAGGCTGAGAAAGAGACCAGGATCAGATGGTGGATCTCAATTATCTCGATCAAACACTGCCGGTCGGTATCCAAGCAAGAAGACAATGGAGCCTATCCCTCGCTTGCGTGTCTCAAGTGCCTGGATGGACAGTCAAATCAAACTCGAGAGTCCGGGCCCTGTAAGGTACAATAATATTGTCTTTAGTGGGTTTCTATAATTCAAGCACACATCGGTAAGTGACGAGCCTCAGATGTCCCTTGATGGAGCTGCATTCCTAGCGGTGAGTAAGAATCCAATAGTAAGCTCACCAGCACATAGAGAGTGTGCGCTTTCGAGAAGACAGGCGACATGCACCTTAGTCACTAGTCACCGCACCTTGAGAGACAGCCATAGGAATTCCGCAGAGCTCAGGAAAAAGGAAAGAGAGGAACTGCCTGTATTGAGAATTGTGATCACAAGACTCGACAGAAGATAGAGTGAGAAAGGCTTCGCTCCTGCAGATTGTTAGCCTGGTAACTAATATTATTGTTGAGAGTATCTATATCACCCACGAATCGATGACTATTGAACTGATCGCCAGCCAGAGCACGTTGGTGGTTGAGTTGTGGCTGGCTGGCTGGCTAGGGTGGGGAGTGTTAGAATTAGAACTACAGTGAGCAACTCATCAGTCCAAGGCACAATGCACGACGGAGATGACCGTGCTGATGCTTTGAGGCGCGAGCTCTGTACACTGGGCAGCATGAATTGTAGAGAGGACTAGAGTGTTGCATTGCAGTATCGAAAACGCATCGAACGATCGAAGCGGCTGAAGGTGACATCCATGCCTAAGGCAGGAGGCTTGCATACCATTCAGCTCCTCCTTCTGAAATATTATTATTGGGCACAATTACAAGTGCTATCAGCAGAGTTAGACTAATGATGAAAGAACCTTCAATTTTAATTAATAATATTGCCATCATTTTACGAATTATGAGAGCCAGGATGATACTAATATTGGCTGCATCTAACTCCTATGGAAAGGCAGACGCCCAGCTAAAAGGCCAACGTACAGGAAAATATACCCATCCAACCCCGGTCCGAGAGGCGCAACGTTCCATCCAGTTGGGAACATGCTCACCTCAGCCTTCATCTGGTCATAATTACAAAGAAATTGCATTTCGTAACCCCGGCAGTCGATGATGTCAAAGGCCAGGTACTAGGAATGCAAGAACACTTACACGAGTTTGTTCTGCGCCGTTAAGTTGGTCTCCTGTAAGATCAAGGAATGGGATTCCAAATATGTATTCGACGAAATCATCTGACTGCGTGTCATGAATTGAAGTTCGGCCAACTATCGAAGATCGACAGCGAGAAAACCTACCTATTTGCAGCCGGTTTCTATTTCATATGGGGTTGTGTGGGTTGTGGACACTGGAACTTGGGGCCGCAGAATACCGACAGGGCAGAACCTCAGATGTTGTACGGGAGGTATTGTATGTACTTTCCTTACGAAAACGGTGTAATGGAATTACATTGGTCAAGTCCAGTGATACACGCTAATGCATCTGATGCAGCAACCACGCTGGCGGGAAACGATAGACTAAGGTACCTAGTCTCCTTTTTAGTTTAAACTGTTTTCTTTGAGCTAGATACCCATCAGGTAAAGTAGAACCAAAATGCTGGTAAGGAATGTATTTCCATTGAAGCCGCTCGTTATTCTCCCCCTTTATGTCGTGCTTTCAATTAAATTCCTTGTGATGCGCAGAAGGGTATTTCTTGAAAAGCGGGGATCCCTGGTTCATTTGCATGGGGCAATTTGTCTATGATGTCATAATGTCCTTAACCGTTGACTGCTACCCAATTTCGCAGGACCACGATATCCCTTTTCGCTCTGCTTTAGCCTTAGCTTGATGCCTTCTGGAGAAAGGCACATTCATTACTGTATTACAAACGTAGAATGAAGCATGCCTCGTTTCGCACGTTTCTCTGCAACCCCCCTTTCTAGCGGGGCTTCGTAATACTGTAGGCCACGACTAGATTGGGAAAATTAACGAATGTGGAAATAAGCTAGCGTCATGGAATCATGGACGATATATGATATGCCGATTGAACCGGCAACAGAATATAATGATGACTTTGAACAAATGAGAGACTTGATTTCTCAACTTTGTAGTGAGGGGGATACGAAAACGAAGACCCAAGGACGAAGCGGGCGGTTCTTGACCGCTCTCTCACTGGCTGCTGGCAAGTGTGTGATCGTAGCAAGGAATTTTCGGATGCGAGATCCTTCCTGGCTGAAGGGCAAAAGAACGATGGATGGAAGGCTTGGAAGCTGTCAAGTGTGGGGCAGCTACCGGTTGAGAATAGCCCCATGAGGCAGACTCCAAGAGCCAATCAGCAAGCTTACGCCCTCGCTCAGGATGGAAGGCTTGGAAGCTGTCAAGTGTGGGGCAGCTACCGGTTGAGAATAGCCCCATGAGGCAGACTCCAAGAGCCAATCAGCAAGCTTACGCCCTCGCTCAGGATGTTTTTGTCCTCATTGGATGCCTTAGGCTGCGAAGTCCAATGGGAGGAGCCGCTCCTATGACTCAAACTACTAAAGGTAGGTATGATTACTTATGATTACCTGCCTAGATACTCAATAGATAACTTGGATAACCTCTTTTCATTATGCTGAGGAGATGGATGCTCCTGGACTGAAACCGACTGTCATGGTAACACAAGCACTACGAGCCGGCCCATCCCGCTACGAATAAGGGGGCGCGGTGATGGTCACGGGGCTAGACATGGTTGCTGTCGCTCTTTCAAGTTCCTGTTTATTTACTGGTATGTATCATCATGAAAAAAGTGACTCGCAACGATTTCCTACCTATCATCATCAGTCATAGTTTGGTTGCAAAACTATACTGCTATCTGTTGATATCGTGGCACGTCAGGACGCGCCTCAATGATGCTCATTAGAGCGGTCAGATCGTCAGGATTGTCAGCACTAATATGGAGCATCATCATGATCAACAATGACTGGATTGAGAATATCAGGTGCCCTGGTTTGAGTTGCTGCTTATCGGTCGATAAGCTATGCATGTAGCAGAGAAAGACGGAGACTATTTTCCAGATGTTGTACCTGTGACTGGCTCCATTAACAGCTGGACGTCGGAGAGGGGTAGGTTACTAGTTTTGGAAGTAGGTAGGTATTCCCCCTATTATTCCCTCAGGGCTTTTGGGTCATGAGGCAAATCCTTCAACTATAAGCATATGCAGGATGCAGTAAGGTGGTATGGATTAGTCTCTCAGCATATTAACTACCCAGGTAGGTAATTCAATAGCACAATCCTCCCAGGCATGTTGTCATGAGAACAAAGAGAGATTGGTGATAATGTTTGGTACCTACCTCGGACGGCTGTCGACATGTACCTATGGCTATGCCTTAATCGTACGTACATGCAGCCGGTGATCATGAGCAACTGAAATGTACATGCTCCTGCGTCATTAAACAATGTGGCCTGATATTGGAGACTAAATTGATCTAAACTACCCATCGACTTTGTCAAGGCACATCCCGCAGTAACCGCGAAACCGGTATGCAAACGGATAAGCGGGAAGAAATAGTGATTGCATTACGATTTCGTGGTAAACAATAATAATAAGTAAACGATGTTGCCTGGTACATTTGACGGCAACGTGCCTGATACGACGATACACCCTCTCAAGGTGATTCAAAGTCAGGCTTAGAAACCGAGGGGAAGCTGCAACCTCTCACCTGATCATTCGCATCCTGCCTAGTCTTTCATTGGAGGACAATCCCAGCTAGTACGACCTACATACAATGAACACCTACCTACGCTAATTCGTGCACTATTCTAAGACATTCCGGATAGATAATCAATGTCAATCTAATCAGAATCTGCCCTATGGAAGCGTGAAAGAATCCCCAAAGAATAGATAATGAAAGTCGCTGTGTCCGAGCGGCAGTTTCGCTGGAGGCGGACCCCGACATCCCTATCATGAGTGACAGAATGATGCCATGCTTGGAAGCCATGATCCACGGCAGTCCTTATGAGGGCATCTTCTTCTCCTGACCTGGACGGAAGTTACCCTAAGCGATGCGCAGTGCGATGTTGGAAAAGTCTCCTCGAATCGCCGGCCGATCAATCTCTGGAGTAAACCTTGCCTGTATGCATCGTTTCGAACCGCGCATGTAGATACGCTGCGTCAGGGACAGAGCAGTTGGGGTCGAAGGGCAGTCAAGACAAGCATAGACCCCGGGTGTTTTACCTTTGGAGGTTAAGAACAAGCTGAACACGGTGGTAAATGACGAACTTGTAAAGCTGTCGTGCACTATGTGAGGAAATGAGCGACGCCGATTCAGCAGGAACTGTCGCCCATGTGCGGGGTTGGGGAGGCGCCCTGCAGAATGATGCTGATAGCTGGTCTCACAACAGGGCAGGCTCAGCCTGTCAATGCACTAATCAGGCCAGACGTAAATTCGCAACGTGATCAAGTCTGTTGTCAGAGCGTCAACTCTGATACAATATCAGCATCGTGCATAAACGATGATTAGGATGAGTGATTCAATAGGTATGGCAAGTTTGAGCGCCCCGTCTTCAATCTGAGAGAAACTAGGTAGGCATGTAGCCGCAACCAGTGTAGATAGGGAATAGTCTACTCCGTACACCACCCGAGGATCGGGGAATTTGACCGCTCTTCTCGGTGGATGACTCTCAAATTTTAAGGGGAGCGTCATGGGCTCGTAGGGAATCATCGCAGAGATCCTCGGGATAATTCCCCATGGATCTGCTAACTAGTGTTTGAAGAGCGGAGTTTCATAACCTTCGTTATTCTCCGCTTAGCAGAGGACGATGATCCCTATTCTCAATTTCCCCAGTTGTGACTTTTTCCCTTCGCGCACCGCCCCCTGGCCCGCGTTTCACCGCCACTTAATATTCTCATCCAGCCTCAGCCCTAGGACTTAGAAACCTTATCGCGGCCGCGTACTGTGATGTTCCTGGTAACTAGGTAACTTACCACTGTAAACTTGTACGAGACAATATTGGAGAATAGTCCTGGTTACAGGGGATACTTATCAGCCATTTCTGAGATCAATCTTCCAGAATTACAGTTGCTGCAGATACAGTGGGCTGATGCGGTCAAGAAGCATTCGGAGAAAGTTAGTGTTCAAAAAAATGATTGACAGTGATATTCATGAAATCCTGTTCTGATTGTCAGGTGATGTGATCCACCCCCTAAACCCCATCAAGTCAAGTAAGTCTACTCGATATCGATTTGCCAGCGCATATTTGAGTTCTGTAAAGGTGACCCAGGATGTGTTAACAGAATTGGAAGGTTTTATTCTTGCTTCATCAGCGACAGCGGTGCTGCAGGCTGGGAATAAACAAAACTCCCTCAAAGTGGCCAATGCAAGTTCGCCGATCATCTACTGATTATGGGCAGATAAGACTGAAACCTCCACAGCTTTGTTCCCACGACCATTGTGTCGGTGCCATGCACTTTCTGTAACAATAATAGTGACAGCAACAGGGAGGTATATGTGGGTACTAAACAAATCCTATATGGGCTGGCCTAGCTTTGACATTCTACATACCATTTTGTCGGGTGTAGACTAGACTGCATAGACTGTCACTGAACAGCTCAGAGAATTCTGTGGGAACCTATGCAGCTGAAACAATCTTTTCATACCTTATCATCTCATGATCATGATGGGATCGTTACATCTCAGGACACGGGTACGAGGCTGTGACGGAATTCATTAGAGTCTATCTACCAGTTCTGTTACACACAAGGCATGTAGATGGAATGACAAGACTTCAACTCCTATGGATACATGATTCCCCATCCTGTAACAAAGAATGAGAAGAAGGTTGGCAGGGATTTTGAAACATTGATCATTCTCATGCAAGATTGACAGTGACATTCTCCAGGAATGGTTGGCCAATTAGAGGGCCGAATTGGGATCCGCTGATTGTGTCCTTGCCAAATGCGGTTCCAGTATCTACGGGTCATTTTCGAGACGATGAATGGGATGAGTTTCTCACATATTAAATAATAATTAAGATATATTAATGCGCTTTTGTTGGCTCAATAATAACCTATAATATTAGTCAATCAAGTACGTACATAGAGAGTTGTGTCTCAACGGGGCTGGCTCTAAGACAGGCGGTAAAGTAACGAGAGAAAATGCTTAGCTCATTGGTCACGCTTCTAATTAAGCCGGTCAGATTGCCTTAATCTTCTTCCAAAACGGTGGGGAAGAGAGGTAAGTTCGAAAGATCAGCTCAGGAAAAAGGGAAAAAGGAAGAGCTAATTAATTTGGGCTGCTGTTGCGAGCTGTTGCGAGCTGTTGCGATGTGCTGTTTGAATCCACCCACCGGCGGAGTCAGGATGCCTACCTTACCTACCTAGCAACCTGGACAAGTAGATACGGAGTACAACGGCCCAGTCTAACGAGACTACATGCCTGATGAAGTATCATCCCTTTCTTGACCCTCATAGTCTGATATTTAAATGGAGGATTGTACTCCCTTTCGCAAGCATAGTTTGATTACCACCACAGATCTGTGTTCTTCATTCCTATCAGGACCTCCGAAAAAGCCATCACATCACCATTATTGTTGTGTTATATCATCATTACAAGTGCTCATCCTTCGATACCCAAATCCAACCTCTAATACTCCGTACCAGCAAGAGAACGGCCTGTAATATTCCAAAGAACAATCAGTACTCCGTATCACCCCAGGGAATATCCGCAGGCCTCCGACAACGACGGGAAGAGAGGAAAAGGCAAACGAAGATACGCCACCGCGACGCGTTACATCAAAGGTATCAATTACAAGAACAAGGCCTGGAGAGGCTAACGGGGAAACTGGTACACTTGTCCGTACGTGTATCAAACGGCTGTGACGATACTGCAATACCAAGCCGTACGTCAGTGTAAGGATCCACCTGAGCTTTCTTTCAATCAATTGAAACGTCCATCGGTTTCTTCGAATTCGATTCGAGCCTTCCAAAATCCTTCTTCCAATTCCAATCACAGCCCTGCCCCGTGCGGCCCTAAAACTACCTTATCATCTTCCTCCCCGTCATTTAGTATTACCTATTATTATTTTTTCGGAAAGGGTAAAAAAAAGGGTATCCAAAGAGAAAAGAAATTCGAACAGTTCTTCAGATTTCTTTTTTTTCTACTCCCTTTTCCACCTCTCCCACTTCAGCCTACAAGTATCCTTTGTACCGCCATCTATAACCTCCCGAGTACTCGGTTTCTGCCTGGACGAAGGATAACGCTGGCACATTCTCCTCCGTCGCATGATCCATCATCGTTTCTGACTCACATAGAGATTTGTCGGTCTACTTGCCTGGACGGTGTTACTGCAGGTCAATCTCCTTCGCACCACGTAACCGTGCAGGAAAACCCGGCATAGCTTTGACGTCGAGCAAAACTACACTACTACCTCTCACGACGTTTCCTCTCTACTCGGTCCAATCTCCGATTGCTCATCCTCAAGTCCCTCTTCCCTTTTGGACCGCGTGCATCCACCTGTGTTGGCAGGCAATCCTGCGTTCGCATTGCAATCGGCCCCGATTTTCGTCGCCGAAATCCCCATTCCGTTACCCGCGCCGCCTCGCCCTTTTGTCAGGAGTGGCGCCAATCGACGCATAGTTCGATTTCCTGGCTCTTGTTCCAATTATTGTCGCGAAAAGAGCGCTGCTTGGTTCTGCGGAGGGGGGCTCTGCTGACAAGCACATGCGCAGTTGCATACGTTGTGACTCGCATCTCGCTTTCTTAGAGCAAATAAGAAGAGCGCGAAAAAAGAAATTGTCTTTGAATTTCGCTCGCCTTGTCCCTCATTACACTACGGCGGCCGTCTATATCTCCAGTCAGTGAGACAGCCGTCTCCGCAATCCCCTCGCGTTTTTCTTGGAGAGGATATAGCTTTCCCCGCGTACTGGAAGATCGGCGCTCCGAGGAGGGGTAACAATATCATAGTCGACCGGGGAGGTAAAAAGAGTTATTAAAATATAATAATAACAGGAGACAATAAGAACAAGTACGAAGCTCAGCCCTCCAACCGAGGCCGACACGGAGACGAGCGAGCCCGCAGCCAAGTCTCCAGTCAAAGGCGCAATTGCACCATTCTGCGATTCGTTACTGTGCGCCTGTCAGATTTCGGCCGCAGCCTTATCGTTACACAACAGAGCCAGTGCCTGTCTCAATTGCTATCAAGGACCTGAGTCGACCTCTCTGCCCCTTTTGCTTGTCTGTTCTCTCTCGCGAGCGCTCTCGGGCAGGGCTCTCCGCTTTGCATCAAAGGCTGGCCAAGATGCAGATATCAAAATCGGAGCAATCCCGCTAAGGACGTGGCTTGTGCATTTCTCACTCAGACGCGTTCCCTTTTAGGGCTCGTATTGCATCCTAGCTATAGGCTGCTCGCCGAAGCAACTGCATCCCTTTGGTAACCGCCTTGAACTTCATTCGTCCTCCGCAGAGTCCAGGTGACTCAGGCACAGACACGATTCAATACAACACTCCTCTATCTCACGTTCTACAGCTTAGCGGTATATTCAGTAGCCGCAATGGCTTATGCTACTACTTCGTCGCCTGCGGCTCTGAATGGCGACGCTCAGCCCAGTTTAAATATCAACAATTCTCTCCCCAACCCTCCAAAATTACATCATGTCATCACGTCTTTTTCGCCCGCAACTCAGACCTCCTCGGCAACCTCTTATTTGTCTTCGCTCACAACTACTCCCTCATCTCTTTTCCCCACTTCCAACCATTCGAATGCTTCTAGCCCTTCAGGCACACCATTACAGATCGCTACCGACGGCCTTCGGGGGCGTTTATCTTCTTTTCCTCCCGTTTCGCTTTCCTCTTTCGAGCTTGGAGAGTCAATGATGGCTATCCCAGGTAATCCGGCGACCTCAAATGTGGACTCTGCGGGCCCCAATCCGAATAAAGGCGCTGGCCTGATGCGGAGAATATCGAGAGGCGCAGCCAGCAAGCTCACGCGAAGAAGACAATCTGCAACTCACAGTGATAAACGAGATCGCAGCTCCGGTCCGGTCATCATGCGGCGACGCAGCGACAGTAAAACAGCAGCTCAGACCGGACGTGAGTGTGCTCTTGATTCTAGCAATGAAGAAGATAGCAACGACGCGGTGGATTCTCTGGGTGCCTGGTGTGGCTCGGAAGCGTCCAGTCTCCCGAATGACGCCAACATGATGGCCTCGCGCAACGCGGGCGCCGTTGCGCCCAAAGTTGATTCGGCGATTCAGCGCGGGACGGTGTTGACGAAAGTGACTAAGAAGCGTAAGAAGCAGGTGCGCTTCTTCCTCGACCTTGATGCAGGCAAGGTTTACTGGGATCTGTCAAACCCGGCGAAACGCTTTTACATTGACGATATCAAGGAGGTCCGCGTCGGAGCGGATGCGCGCAACTATCGCGAGGAACACCAAGTTCCTCAGGATGTTGAAGGCCGCTGGTTCACCATCGTCATTGCTGATCCTGAAAGGTCCAAGGGTCGGTCCGTCAAGACGTTGCACCTCATTGCTCCCAATGACCATATCCTTGAACTTTGGACAACGACCCTGGAGAATATCTCTCAGTATCGAATCGATCTCATGGCTGGCTTGGCTGGGTCCGGTCAGAGTGAGACTGTCTTAAAAGCGCACTGGCAACGTGAAATGTCAAGGCTGTTCCCTCAGGGCTTGGCACCCGGCGAAGAAGAGAGCCTTGACTTCGGTGCCGTTGAAACAGTTTGTCGAAGCTTGCATATCAATTGTTCAAAGAACATGCTTCGAGCTCAGTTCTCCAAGGCTGATCTTGGCAACAAGGGTCGACTCAACTTTTCAGAATTTCAGAACTTTGTCGCTCGTCTAAAAGAAAGGAAAGATATCAAGGACCTGTTTAAAACATGGGCCGCGAATGCCCAGGAAGGTCTCACCGTCGACGAGTTTCTGACTTTTCTCCGCGACGCACAGCAAGAAGATGTCGATACCGATCGAGCCTATTGGGTTTCAGTTTTTGACAAATATGTTCGAAAGTCCAAGCCGCGAGCACCAAGTCTCCCAGAAGGTGTGGAACGTCAGGCTTTCCGAATGAGCCTGGAAGCCTTCTCTGCCTTTCTCTCATCCAACTGGAACGGAATCTACGCATCTCGCCCGCCCCAATCGCGATTTGACCGACCGCTCAATGAGTATTTCATTTCCAGCTCTCATAACACGTACCTGTTGGGCCGTCAAGTTGCCGGCGCTTCCAGCACAGAGGCGTATATCAGCGCCCTGTCACAGGGTTGCCGATGCGTCGAGATTGACTGCTGGGATGGTGCCGATGGCCGCCCGATCGTTTCGCATGGACGGACCATGACAACCAGTGTTCTCTTCGCCGATTGCATCACTGTCATCAACCGATATGCATTTATCACCTGCGACTTTCCCCTGATCCTCTCGCTCGAGGTTCATTGCAATCCCGAACAGCAGCTGGCAATGGTCAAGATCATGAAAGACACTTTTAAGGAACGACTCGTCCTGGAGCCGCTCTTGACAAATAGCTTTGTCCTCCCATCACCAGAAGACCTGAAGGGCCGGATTCTCGTCAAAGTCAAAACATGTGACGAGAAGCTCGAGGGAGTACGGCAAGATACCTCGACTTCTTTTGCGAGCACTGGTCGGAAGCGCAGCTCAAGTTCCCCATGGATGCGTCCTAGCGTCCCTGAGAATCCTATGTTCATGAACCTTCCTCCTCTCTCCAGTCCTGCGACCATTGGCCAGGAGAGTGTAGGGCCCTTCGTTTCGCAGGATAGACGGTCTTTCACCACCACAAGTATGAGCAGCGCGACAGAAGACAGCGATGGCGCGTTGGTGTCAGTCAAGAGAGAAAGAAGGCGACGTCAGAAGAGCAAGATCACGAAGCCTCTATCAGACCTTGGAGTTTACACCCGTGGCTACAAATGGCATAGTTTCTCGTCTCCCGAGAGTCAGCGGTTCAACCATGTTTACTCCTTCGCGGAGCGGCCTTTCGAGAGCATCTGCCGTGACGCGGAGAATAAGGCCCTGTTGGAAAGACACAATCAAAAATACCTCACGCGAGTCTATCCGTCCGGGTTTCGTTTGCGTTCGTCTAATTTCGATCCGCTCAAGTTCTGGCGACGCGGCGTGCAAATGGCAGCCTTGAATTGGCAAACGTACGACATCGGAATGCAGCTGAACCAAGCCATGTTTGCGGCTGGAACTGATCGCACTGGCTACGTCCTCAAGCCCGAATCACTTCGTCTCCCGCCTTATGAGCAAGCGAGCAAGGCGTCCACCGAACGGAAGCTGGTTCGATTCTCAGTGGAGGTCATTTCCGCTCAACAACTTCCTCGACCACGCACCATGGGACCTGACGACAATATCAACCCATATGTGGAAATTGAGATGTTCAGCGCAGACGATCGCGGCCAGAGTTTTGTCGTCGGAGAAGGAGGCATGAATGCTTCCGCGCGGAACGGCGTGTCGGGCATTGGCTATCCGCATCGTCGGCGCACAAAGATCGAGCAGAGCAACGGATACAGCCCAACTTTCAATGATCGTTTCAAGCTATCGCTCGAGACCAAGTATCCAGACCTGGTGTTCGTTCGCTGGACTGTTTGGAGCTCACTGGATGGGCGCAGTGCTGGGAACAACAACAGTGTTCAATTGGCCACTTTCACTGCCAAACTGAGCAGTCTGTCTCAGGGTTACCGTTACCTGCCACTGTACGATCTGGGCGGTGATCAATATCTGTTCTCCACCCTATTCTGCAAGATTACCAAGGAGGACCCGGTGCCGGTTCAACGACTAGGCGCCGAGGAACTTCGAGCCGAGCGTCTGGGGATCCTTCGTCAGATTGGTCAAACAGTGTTCAAGCGTGGTTCATCGACAGAAAGATCTGAAAAGGGTAGCGAGACGCCTGCAAGCCCAGACGACAAGGATACGTCTCCGGCGTTGACGCCCACTGTTTCAACGACGTCCACATCATCTCTGTTTCTTTGACAAGAGTCCTACCAACCCTGCCATACCTGCAGGTCGTGCTTTTACATTTACTCCCTATCTTTTATCCTCTGGCCGTCCCCTCAAAATTATCATCATCACCACCTCGCATCTGGATGACCAATACTCCTGTGCAAATATTGGAGCGGCGTTCTTCTGATTGAGATTGCATCTGTTTCTTTGCATTGCTCTTCTTGATTTTCCAGTTGCTTCAGGGAAACATGGCGCATAGCGATTGTTCATCACCACCGGATGGCTTGAGGGAACCATGATCATATACCTACTTGCTTTGTTACTCATGTATTACGTCTGGGACGGTCCGTTACTTTTTCGCGGATTCTAACCGCGCATTCAAGATTTCTGTTGTTTGATGTCGCTATATTTGTTCTGTTTATTTGTGCTACTGGATTATACTGACACTGTTATACCCGTCTGGCGATACCCATTGCTTTTCTTTTGTTTTTTACCAGTTGTGCGCATTGCTGTGGACTGTTCCAACGGATCTCCTCATGCCTTGAAAGCTCCTTCGAGCGTTTCCAAGGCTTTCGCTTTCAAGATGGCATTACTTGCGGTTTCAATTGTATCTGATGGAACGGTAGCATTTGAGGAGTTACCAGCGAAATGACTGTTGCTTGTCCTAAATTGTCGGAGGATACGTTTGGAGACATTGTTTGCGAAGGTCCCTCCGTGTCATTCCCACGCTCGCAGGCGAGAAATCATCCTGCAGTCCGCCATACACATCTCCAAGGGCTCCTGACGATACCCTGATGGCGAGGCCTCTCTGTCTTTTAGTTCTTCCACTTGTCTTACTATGAAGATGCGGCTGGGACGCTCCTTTTTCCAAAGCTATGGGCAGCCATTGCAATTTCTCGAATTTGTTAGATATAAGGAAATTAATAAAAGAATTCCTCTCCTCTAACAAGTACATCTATACTATTTCCATCATATCCACCCGTATCTACCAATTTGTGATAGAATATGGAGAGTTGCATCTCATTGCGCGATCGGATAACTTGCCATTAATCCATCGGCTGACCTGCTCTCACCGCCTTACGATCCCAAGACATGGACCGTGTTTTGAGGCCAGCGTATACTTGTCTACATCTACAAGATTAATCCTATTTTAATCCGTTGATCTCTTCACATTTTCCAATATGGACCCATTCTCGACAGAAGGTGGTGAGTGCTGACCGCTTGACTCCCGCAAGACCACTTCGCAGCCTATGGAAAGCAACCCAATTGACTCCTAATTTCCGCAGAGCTCATCAACATCCACAATGCCTTCCATCAAGGCCAATACCAGAACGTGATCGATTTCGACACCTCGGCCCTCTCACCAGACAACCACCTCACCGCCCGCATCCTGCAGCTCCGCGCCCAGCTTGCCCTCGGCCAGACCGCCGAAGTCCTGTCCGCCGTCGAAGGCGAAGAAGAGAATCCCGATCTCGCTGCGGTGAAGGCACTGGCGCAACTCGCGGCGGGCGATGCCGAGGCTGCGCTCCAGCTGACGCAGGAACTGGCGGAGAATTATCCGGAGAATGCCTCGGTGCAGGTTCTGGGGGAACGGTGCTGCAGGCTCAGGGCCGGAGCGAGGAGGCGTTGGCTGTTTTGACGAAGCATCAGGGGAATTTGGAGGCGTGAGTTCTATTTATCCTTGTTTTAGCATCTCCATTTTGGGGTGGGGTGCAACAGGGCAAATAAGCTAATGGCGTGTGTGAGGGTAGTGTTGCCTTGATTGTTCAGATCCATCTCCAGCAGAACCGGGTTGATCTTGCGCTCAAGGAGGTGCAGGCTGCTAAGCGCTGGGCGCAGGATTCTCTGCTTGTTAATCTGGCTGAGTCGTGGTTGGGGATGAGGATCGTATGTTCTTTCTTTTCCCTTCTGCTTTGGTTCCCCTGGAGTGGTTGATCCCATGGACGTGGCTAATACTTATCTGGTATTCAGGGTGGTGAGAAATATCAGTCTGCCTTTTATGTCTACGAAGAACTTGCCTCTGCGCCTGGTACGTCGGCGCCTTTGTCTATCGTCGGACAGGCTGTCGCGGAGATTCATCTGGGCCGGTTGCTCGAGGCCGAAGCTGCGCTGTCGGCTGCGCTGGAGAAATACCCTGAGGAGGCGGAGTTGATTGCTAATGCCGTTGTGCTGAATGTATTGGCTGGGAAGCCTACCGAGGAATTAGAGAGGTATGTTTTGCTGTCGAACTTGATGAAGACTGAGGCCAGGCTAACGGATGTTCGTCGCTGTAGTCGTCTTCAACAAGTCAAGCCGTCGCATGCCTTACTTGCCGATATCCAGGAGAAGAGCGAGCTGTTTGATACTGCTGCGTCCAAGTACGCACCGAGAGTGGCTTCTTAGATTTATGGGGTACACTAGGCCACCTCTGTTTCTTTCTTTCCTATTTCAGTGTGTATGGGTCTCCTTTAATGAATTGGTATGACGGCTAAGCTATTGTGTTACCCAGCGCTACCCTTTCTTTGTTGTTTATTGATTTCTCTAATAAAAGTCGCATAGACAAGTGTTTCTGTTGACGTTGCTCATGTGTGACTAGAAAAACTTTAATGTCTCAGGGGGATATATCATAAACAGTATCTGAATGTGATATCGTAATGTGTATACAGTGTAACCTTAATATATAAGCCGCGGCTGGTAGCACCCTTGCATATATACACCACATCCACGCCCACACAAACACTTACAGCCGCGCCCCGAGCCACCTCTTCAACTCCTTCCCCTGCTGACTCTCTGTACTCTTCAACGAAGCACTATAGACCGCATCGACGTGCGTCTCACCATACCCAACCACGCAAGTGGTATTCGGCACAACAGACTAGCCACAATTAGCAACGAGACACAATAATCTCCAAGATTCGACGAAGAATAAATACCTTGAACCTCTCCACAAAGTCGTCAATCGCAGAGAACAGGATCTCATGCTGACCCGCAAGGATCAGAACCTGGTCGGTCTTTGCATCCGCCCACCACTCCAGAGGCGCGAGCGCCGGCTCGCTCCAGGCATCGCTTTTCCCACTGGCCAGATACGCACTCGACCACTTCTTCAGCCCGTCTGCGGGGATCACGTCCCTGTACCTGTTTGCGTCCATCGAGGTCCCGTCTGTGCGGAAGCTGACCCACGGCGCGAACCCGAACACGCCGGCAAGGTTGGTCGAGAGCGCGACGGGCTCGATTTCGGGGTGTGGGTGGGAGAGGTGTAGCAGCAGTGCGAAGGCGAGGTTCCCTCCTGCGGAGTCGCCGCCGACGATGACGTTGGATGGCGAGCGGTTTGTCTCCGTGAGGATGTAGCGGAGGGCTTCGACGGCCTGGCGCAGTTGGATCGGGTAGGCGGCGTGCGGGGTGAGGGTGTATGCGAGGAAGAAGATGGCGACGTCGTGGCCGTTTGCGTTGAGGTCGGCTACGATGTGCGAGCAGAGGTCGAAGTGGCCGGGTGCGCCGCCGACGGCGAATCCGCCGCCTAGTTGCTGTCAGCCATGTTGCACCCTTAACGCTGGCGTGACAGAAAGCAGTGGGGACTGACCGTGACAATAGATGACCACGTTCTTTGCGTCGGGATTGCCGATCCAGTGGCCCCGGCCGCCGTGCTTGAGGGTCACGGTCTGTGCCTGCAGACCCTGTTTGGTCATGAACTGCTCATACGCTTTGCTCGTTGAGGGGGAAATTGACCTGTTTCTGGACGTCAGAGGTGGTATTCACAGATCGAATGGCGGATGTTGATCCACGTACTGCATTTGCCGCGTCGAGAACCTCATCACCATCTTCCTCACAATCGCGTGGCCGACATGGACACCATATTCCTTTGCACCGGTGCTCCCGCGAAAGATGCCAGAGACTGCGCTGTAGAGGGCAGTTGCCAAGATAGAGAGGTAGCCGGGAATGAGGTCAGCTTTCTCCAGCAGTGTGAGACGAACATTATCCGGGTGGTCCGCCATCTTGAATGGTCGGCGACTATCTCACAGCCAGCCTGAGACAGCACAAAAGAAGGATATATGCTGTTTGACGGTCGATTCTAAATGCTGGGGGCTGGGCTATCCGAAGGCTTGAATAAGCGCTCTTCCCCGCACTCCATAGCGCATCCCCCGCCGGTTCGGGTGAGCGGCCGTAGATAATTTGCACTGGTCTATCTGTTCAACCTGGCGTGTCTGGGCTGGCGCGACGTGGTCATGGTGTTGGTGGATGCCTAAACCTCGGCTATTCCGTCGGCAGTAGATGTTGTCGGTGGCGATCTTCCTATTTGGGAGTCCCAACTAAAAAGGCCTAGAGTCAAAGCTTAATATGAGTCGCTGAGATGAAAGGATGGCAGGGTTAATTGAATGGAATAAGGAAAAGATATTTGAGCTGGCAACCGATTTTCTAGTTTCCGTTTACCATGTCCTCCTTCCCGGTCAAGTCACAGAACGCTTTAAACGTTGTAAAGGTATCTTCTCCCGTGCTCTCAATGATACATTCTGCATTGGCTCCAACAAAGAACACATATCCCTCCTTGACCTCCTCCGTCTTGGGACCGACTGTTATCTTACCCGCTCCGGCGGTGCAGATTGCAATGCTCGGGCCCGAAATTCCGTCGAACGTCGCCTTGGCACCTTGCCGCTTGAGATCTGTCTTGACCACACTGAACTCCTCAATGGGGGATCGTACAGGATGCAGGAGGAGCCGCTAGAGTAAGCAGGGGCATTGAGGACTGCATAGGGATAGTCGGTCGGCTCAAGCTTCTGCTCAGCGATGGGAGCGTAGGAATATGTCAGCATGTCAACCAGCGTATCCACGTCCTTGAACTTGGGTGTGAAGCCTGCCCGCACAACGTTGTCCGACGAGGCCATGCACTCAATGATGTCTCCGGAGATGTATGCATGGATGTCATCAGCCTTGAGGAACATAGCCTCACCCGGTTCCAGCTTGACAAAGTTGAGGAAGAAGAACACGAAGGAGCCGATGTCGTTGGGGAACTGTCCGTTGAGGCGCACGGTGATGGCGGCCAGTTCCGCAGGATTAGTGGGACTGGTCTCCGGTGTGCTGGATGACGTCGCAAAGGTCTCGGGCGCGTTCTGGGCCATCGCGACAAGTTCCTTTGTTGCGGCCTCGATACTTTCAGGAGAGGACCTCATCAGAGAGGTGAAGAGGGTGCGGAGAGCCTGCTTATTTTTCTCGGCCACCGCGGGGTCCTCCGATTCCTCCGAGCCCTTGACTGTGTTCTCAAATTCGCTGGCCGCCTGGTCGCCTACCAATTGACGAAGAGGCGCGACCGCTTTGAGGAAGTGGGTGATTTCAGCCAGAGGACGGAAGCCGCAAAGGCCTTCAAAGGGGTGATGGCGATGGTCATCTCGGGTTTGTGGTTGTCATCTGAGAAGAACCAATATCAGTGGAATGCAATTTCGAAGTAGACAACAAAAGTCTGCATGAAGGCTGTCACTGACCTGGATAGTTGCGAGGATCCCTGGCATGAAGCTTTTCTGCCAGCTTCTTGTTCGGATGGGCCTGAATGCTGAGCGCCTTTCTGATGGACAGCACCTTGAACAGGAAGGGAAGCTTTCCGCCATATCGTTCGCTGACCTCTTGAGATATCAATGCCTGGTTGTCCTGAACCATATCCAGTAAGGTGCGCTGAGTCTCGAGATCTTTCGAAGGGAGTGATGGGTGTGTTCCCATCCACAACTACGTCATCGGGGTCAGCGTTTCTATCTTTGTCGATAGCCATTGTGAAGAAAGAAAGTACCTCAGCATAAGGCTTGTCTGACTGTATTGAAAAATCGGAAGCTGCTGTAGTTGCAGCATACTTGGCAGCAGCCGACTCATGGCCGACCTTGCCTGTGAGGATATATCAGTGTCTGCTTCATAGTGTAGAACAAACTATATGGATCTTACCCCAATCGTAGCTATTGACACCTTCCAAAACACATATTCTTCAGCCTTCCACGCATATTGGATAATCGCAATGACAATGACAAAAAACCTACCGCATTGGAGTCTAAGTAGTGGTACTGGAGGCATTCTTGCTGGTGAGGGGCAATTCTCGCAATCAGAGGCCCGAGTAAACACAATAATATGGATGGAGCAGTGAATCTCGCGAGCACTGCTCAACTAGCGCTGCGAAAAATCTTTCTGTAATTCACTGAGCAGCAAACAGTCAATGTTTTAAAAAGCACTCCGGATCACTCTTTTCGTGAGACTTTGTTTCTTTCTCTCTACCCCTCCAGATGCTTGTTTCTTATGCTACCTTACTGGACACGGACTTGATCCATCCCGATTTGGCTGACCGCATCCGTCATGGCACCCACCAATCAGCGTCGTCCCCAGTTGGCCGCCTCCGCCCTCTCGTCTTCCTCGGCCAAACGCGATGTGATCGGATCCGCCAAGCAGTCCCTGGCCAACGCGCTTGACCAGTGTCAGAGCAGCACTACTACTATTAGCCGCCGCTCCGGGGTATCTGTCGGTGTCAGTGTACCTTCTGATCAGGGAACCGGCTTTGAACCGAAACTAAGCCAGCAGAATCCCGCTGCTGAATCTCCACCCTTAGATTCAGCCTCCAACAGCCCTCCCACTGGCCGTCCGCATAATCAAAGACACGGTGCGGCTCGGGGAACACGCAGCGCACGCCAGGAGATCATTTCCGCCTTTGAGTGGGAGGCGTTGAAGCTTGAACAGCGCAAGAAGTCGGGACCCGTTGCGTCTTCCGGGAGCAGTAAAGAGCTGTCGCTGACTGTTGGGCTGTCCAAGTCCCCATCTCACGAGATGTCGAGGAATCGGCCTAGAGGTCCTCCTGTGCCTAGAGACAATGGTCTCGCGGCTAATGAGGAGACTGATATGTGGAACAAGATTCTACAGGACCTACGCAAGGCCAAAGAGAAGAATGACAAGCAGAAAGTCGTGGCTGAAGAGATTGCTGCATTGAACGAACAGATTGGTAGAGACGGTGGGAGTAAGTTGATTTCTTCACCTTTTCTACGACTATCCTAGTCGGATTACAGTACTGTGGTCTTTTGCTATACCCCCTTTTGCATCGGTGTCTAGGAAACAGTCAACTGTTCGATAGACAGTCCGCTTCTAGTCTGCCCGCGTTTACTCTAGTTATTAAATGGCTTCGGGACCTTGGTCTTTGCCACAACCATAGTGATACTGATTGTTTTGACAATTTATTTTATGTGCTCACGGTTTTCAAGAACACTGCCACTGACTTCGCACAGGACCCACCCTCAGCGAGCATAATCAGCTAGACAGTCTATATCGCCAAATGTCCAAGCTCTGCGAGGAAGAGAGAGCTATTCTCCAAGACGAACCCAGTGACGTGATCAAGAACCTGGGGTTATTGACCGCGCTTCGTCAAGCATCTGAAGCGGAAGCTCCATTCAACCGCGCCGCCTCTCTGGTCAAGTCTCGGAAGAAGAGAAGTGATGTGGATGGATCAGCGACAGACTCGCCCGGTCCCTCAGGCCCGTCTGTATCGGACAAAATTGGCCGCATCAAAGGCGTCCAACGTAGTACCAGTGCTTCCAGTCCCCAGACACGTGACGGCCGCGAGGTTCGTGACAGTGTCATGGTCAAAATTGAAGAGACGGCGGAAAGCATCAGAGGCACAATTGCGGAGCGCAACGGGCAGCTGGTCATCGGTGCTGAAGTGGTTTTCAAACATAACAAGAACAAACAGGGCGTTGAAGGGGAGGGGATCCAGTGTATCATCAAGGGAATCTCCGGTGACGGTCCTAAGAAGAGGTATATTATCTTCGCTCGTCCTTTCTGATCGCAAGGAAATTGACCTGTTTACCACTAGATACGACGTCCAAGACCCCGAACCAAATGAGAATGGCGAACAAGGCGCTGTCTACAAAACCACTGCTGCATCTCTGATTCCTATTCCGCAAGTCGGTTCTACACTACCCGTTTTTCCTGTAGGGAAGCAAGTTCTAGCACGGTACCCCGACACTACTACATTCTACCGTGCAGAAGTGATGGGCACGAAAAAGGACACCTACCGCCTCAAATTCGAGGGCGAAGAAGATGACAAGGAAATGGAGGTCGATCGACGATTTGTCCTAGACATTCCGGGGAAATAAATAAAAGCGGACTGAATTATGGATGACGCCCTTTTGATGATACCCTCTAGCAGAAGTGTTCTTAAATTGCGGGAAGAAGAGGCCGTTCAGGAGTTCTGGCTTGTTTGATCACATGGGATTGACATCTGGTGTTGAGGCTGGGGAATTTTACTTTTTGTCTCTTGTGCTTCGATATCATCAGATTGACAGTTAACGATAACTATGGATTGCAGCTCTATCTGTTTGGTTGGGCCAATTTCATCTCGTAGAAGATGCTAGACTTCACTGTGAAGACTAAATACTAGGCATAGGTAACTGCCGCGGATCACGTCAGGCCTGACAAATGACAGGTGGACCTTCATGTAATCGCGTGATGAGTCAGCGCCTTCTCCCCGCCGACTGCAGCTGCGGATGTCCCGAGGAGCCGAACATCGAATCCGTATCCCAAGAGTGACTGAAATATGATTGCAATCGTCTTCTTTTTCTTGCAGAGAACGTGGTGAAGTGATCAATCGTGCTTTTTCTTCATATATTATTTTCTGTAATGATCATTCTTTGTTGAGATACCCTTCTCTAAAATTGTACTTTCGCCCCCCTCCTCCACCCCAAGTCCGTCATCGCAATGTCGAATTTACCGTCCCATGCCTCTCCGTCTTTCGGGGCGCAAACGCCTGCCGCGCCGCAGCCCGTCGACGAGCTTTCTCTCAACTCGAACACCACATCAGCCCCTGCGTTACACTCCAGATTAGATGAACTCCGAGATGAGACTTCCAGCCAGATCAGCAGCACCGACACCGACCGCGGGGACATGACCCCGCGGTTCCCGCATCATTACTCTCCCCATCCTTCACTCCTCCAGCGACCCCGGGGGTTCGATCAATACCGCAGAGCTGCTTCAACAGGCCCAATTGGCTGGCGCACGGCAAGGGTCAACACATACGAAGCCCCCGAGGCTGCTTTCTCGCCTTCCCAACGTCGAGTGTCTCGTCCGCGCTCGGATACCCACGACAACTGGCGCGGAGATGTTTCTTCACCTGTACCACAATGATTTAGACAACAAAGAGCATTTGGCGATTGTCTTTGGGAATACAATTAGAAGCAGAAGCTTGGACAAGGTCCGGCCTGGGGAGACGGAGATGGATCGCATGATCCGCGGTGCGTATATAGGGAAACTCCGTCCGGGCCGTGTGAGCAGCTGGTATGACGAGGAGAAAGCCGGAGAGGCCGCCAGCCCGGAAGCTGGCGGCGCTGTATCCAGTCCGCACACACCGCCTCAGAGTAACCTCAAGGAAGCACCTCTTGTGAGAATCCATTCGGAGTGCTACACCGGTGAGACAGCTTGGTCTGCACGCTGCGACTGTGGCGAGCAGCTCGACGAGGCAGCTCGGCTCATGTCGCTGCCCACGGAGACGTTGGCAGAGGCTGCGTCACCGCAGGATGTGGCGGTACCGTCAAGTGCTACTGGGGGCGTGATTGTGTACCTGCGCCAAGAAGGACGAGGCATTGGTCTTGGCGAGAAACTAAAAGCGTACAATCTTCAGGATCTGGGATCTGACACGGTGGAAGCCAATCTCCTGCTTCGCCACCCTGCGGATGCAAGAAGTTACGGATTAGCTACGGCGATCCTGGTGGATCTTGGTCTAGGGGTTGACTCGAATCCGCACGGCATCCGGCTACTCACGAATAACCCGGACAAGATTCGAGCGGTCGAGGGACCTAACCGAGAAGTGGTGGTGAAAGAGCGGGTGCCGATGGTGCCATTGGCATGGAGTTCGGGTGGAAAGATGGGAATCAAGAGTTCAGAGGTCGAAGGGTATCTGAGAACGAAGGTATGTCGACAATCTATCTCTTGCAAGCCAGCTATTTTCTCATCATTGAACAATGTCTCACTCTCTCCGCGCAGATATCGAAAATGGGCCATTTGCTCCAATGATCCGCGCCCCTTTCGGTTGTAAGCTTGTGTTGAAGTACGCCTTCCTGCTTTTGGATTTAGACAAGTCGAAACGGTGTATGGCTCGTCAATCATGTAACGGTTCTGCAGCGCAAACTTTCTGGTCGGTTATTTTCTTTTTCCGTTCGGTCTTTTGGTACGGTACATAAAACTGGAGGATTAGCGCACTTTGTACATGATGTTCTCGCCATGGTCCATCAGGCCGCGATTGGTCGAGATAATCCCTCTCTAATCTCTGGTTCGCATACTCTTAAATGCAGCTCTAGTCTCTAGACGGACTAGTCCTCCTGCAGTGGATATCTGACGAGTATCTCCAAGGACCGTTTTCCGTGTCCAGTTAGTCCAATCACCAAATGTCGGCGAGACGTCGGCGGATTGAATTACTTGAGTCAATGGCGGAGAGTGGCGATTTATAATTCTGGATGCCTAGAATCCAGTTTGATTGGAAAACCTAGAAACCCCGGTCGATCGTGGCGGCAGTGCCTCACTTTCTTTTTTAAATCTAAATGATAAGGGGTTCATGGGATGGCTGAAGGAGCCTTGGCTGCGATCCAGCATCGTCTATAATCTTTCCACGATAATCCGATCGAATGGGACTGCATGAGATGGTAGATGGGTTACGTAGTGGTCAATAATAGTGGCTGTGGATATAGACTAGACCTGCAGAGTCAGACAGACAGGCCGACAGACTCTGATCACCACAGCTGCACTGAGAGAAGAAAAGGCGGAGTAATCTAGATAGACGGTCGCAACAATCACCAGTTGAAGAAAGGATACTCCGGGGCTGCTGAGCCAGAACCGTCCAACCCAAGGCCCTAGGATCCTACTGTGCCTTAGATAGGCCCAAAGCCAAAGCCCCAAAGCCAAAGCCCCAAAAGTCCCAGGCCCAGGAAGGGAGCCACGGGCGACGGAAGGTTTGGGCCGGAACTCCACTTGACCACCATCCCCCAAACCATTGTCGTTCCGCGTTGTCTTAGTCTCTGAAGGAATGGCTCGAACCGTGAACAGCTGTGGGAAATATGCAGGCCCCATGTAAAACAGCATCTGGCTCGACAGCAGCAGAAGCAGCAGCAACGCCGAAGGAAGAGGAGGAAGACGATCCTGAACCGAGATAGAAAGATTATATCTACCCCGCCCAATTCTATCTGTCGTGTCTGTTCCAAATGTCGAGTCATTCGTATCTCCGCTGACACAATCCCCGTCTCGTGGATAATATTTCCATCCACTTCCACTTGGCACTGCACATCATCCAATATCTTTTTCCCTCTGACACTTTGAATGGCCGTTGGCGTCAGCTAGACGCGCCAGTGAGGGCCATGGCCACCCGCCTGCCTCCTTTAAATGATGTGGCGCCCTCGTCGTCCCTGGAGTCATCGTCATCCGTGAGCACCACTCCAGTTCCAGTTCCAGCTCCAGCTCCAGCTCCAGCATCAGCCACAGTGTCAGTATCAGCAACAGCATCAATACCACTCACCTCGAACCCGTCCTCAACAGTCCTCTCCACTCCAAATCAAGATCCCGACTGCGTCAAGCAGGAAGCCTCCCCTACCCCCTCCTGTTTCACCTCCGCCGACGGCGACACACCCGTCGCCGACAATGGCGGATCTACGACGGCCGCGGGCCGGAAACGCAAGCTCAACAGTACCTCGTCGCGCGGCGTGGCCAATCTGACTCCCGAGCAATTGGCCAAAAAGCGAGCGAATGATCGGCAGGCCCAGCGGGCGATCCGGGAGCGGACCAAATCGCACATTGAGTCGCTTGAGCAGCGGGTGCGGGAGCTCTCGTCTCAGAAACCGTTTCTTGATCTCCAGGCGGCGTTGAAGCGGAATGAAGTGATTGAGGCGGAGAACCGGGATTTGAAGCACGGGCTTAAGGCGGTGATGGATATTATACAGCCGCTGGTTGCGAAGCAGGACCCAAGTGAGTGTTCTTTGGTATTGTCATGCATGCTCGCCTGGACTATCTCTGACACAATGGACAACAGATCTGCCTCCTCCTCCTCCGCCTTCCCAACCTCTGAACCCTTCCTTCAATCCGCTGCAGTATACCGAGACTCACCATTTCACCTCGAGCGGCCAAAGATTCGAGTCATCCTATACGGCGACGACCTCTGGTGCAGAAACGCCGACGTCGACACACTCGGCACCTACGATGAGTGCTCATCCACAGGATAGCAGCAACGGACTGGCGTCGTTCCGGATCGCATTCGACTATCAGCGTCATAACCTCGCTCATGGATTGGATTTTGGTACAGACGAGAGACTGGGTTTCAATTTCCTGCTCGATGCTACTCAGCAAGTTCCTCGGATGGAAGGGTTCCGTCGGTCAATGGAGAGCTTCAGGCCGTCTCAGGCAGATCCGCCTCCAGTCTACACACCTTCGCCTAGCGGTCTTGCGCCGGAGCAACCCTTGCCCGCATACAGAACTCCGATCCGGAACGTAGCCCCGACATGCACATTGGACGCCATCCTGTTAGATTTTCTTCAGAATCGTCAGCGCAAAGCGGCAGAGGGAGTTCCCACACAGAAGCTCGTGGGCCGCCTTATCCGAGTGTCTCGTCGCTACTGAACCCCGAAAAGAGTGTTTACTCGCATCCACTGTCAAAGGTGTTTGTCGATATCCTTCGCGCATTTCCAGATATTTCGTCCCTGCCTGAGCAAGTAGCTGTCTTATACGTAATGTTTCTCCTCATGCGGTGGCAGATCTACCCGACGCCAGAGAACTATGAGCGGTTGCCCGAATGGCTCACACCTCGGCCCTCTCAACTTCTCACACCCCATCCGGCTTGGATCGACTACATTCCGTGGCCGCGGATGCGCGATCGGCTGGTCGCCTCGTATCAGGAATATCCGTTTGAACAATGGTTCATCCCATTCACTCGGACCCTGTCCGTGAACTGGCCGTACGAGGCGACGGACTGCTTGCTTTCCACCAGTGATCATGAGGATCTCATCATTAATCCAGTCTTTGAGCGACATTTTAGAAATCTGGACAATTGGTCGCTCGGCCCATCTTTCGCGGAAGCGTATCCGTACATGGCCGAAACCGCGAGAATCAAATCTTAATACACGTTATGTTCCTTTCATTTCGTTGGTCCGGCGTCTCATCCGCATGTTACCTCCCTCTCTTTTGTGATGCACCTCTCTTTCTCTTCTTCTCTTGTTTCACATACAAAAGGGCATATGGAGTGTATGGTTGGTGATTTATCTGACTGTCGACTTTCTTTGTGACTGGCGCATTACGAGCAGGGCGAGCAGAGGTTCACGGGCTCTGTTGTACATCTATTCAGATCTCTTCGTTGGTGGTTCGGCAGCGAAGATTTCATTTCTTGTTCTATAATGGTTCGAAACAGTGGTATATAGCATAAACACGACACCGACGCGTCCACGAAGCATACAAACAACGCTGATAATCTACTACTACCTTCCACCCTTTCTGCTCTTCTCATTCCAAAACTCTAGGCCCGCCTGCTGCCGCAAGACTCCATACATGGAGCTGCTGTCAAGGCATTCGCCCGCGTACTCCCTTGCCGCCGTCATATTCTCCCTCGCAACCTGCAAACCAGGCAGGCGGACATTATGTTCGTTGGCAATGGCAAGCGCGTGATTGGCGTCCTTGATGGCCAGCGAGACACCAAACCCAGGGCGGGAGTCGAGGGATGGCGCATAGGCACCGGTTGTCAGTCTACAACAATCAGTTCGAGTCACCAGCAAGATCGTATCTGTAGCCTATCTGTTCCACAAACCTCTTAGAGTAGCCACCCGCCACAGCACCGAATGCCTCTCCGATCAATTCCTCCATGGCCCGGGTACCTAGGCCCGTCCGCTCCGCGAAGACCTGTGCCTCCCCGACGGCTTCCATCAGGTTCACCGTGACAATGTTCCTGTACAATCAGCAAAACCGTCCGACACCCTGCCACAAAAAAGACTGAAGCGGGGAAAGGCTCACCCAGCAATCTTCAACAAGGACGACTTGGTCGCATCCTCCCCGCAGTCGATGATCTTCCGCCCCATGACATCCTGGATGAGCGGCTTGACGGCCTCTGCTGCGCTGCTTGGGCCTCCGATCGCGAAGACGAGCTTCCCGTCTACGGCGATCGGGTTCCCCCCGAAGACGGGGGCTGCTAGGAACGAAGCCTGCTTCTCCTTTAGCTTGGACACGGTCAGTCCCACCGTCTGCGGGTGGACGGTCGAGCAGTCGACGAAGATCTTGTCTTTGAGCGGGCGGCCTGATTCTACGGCTGTGGTGATTAGATGGTCCAGCACGGTGTCGTTGGAGACCTGTCAGCTATCAGTATGCGTTCTGCAGTGCCCTCTGGATGGAAGGGGGCTACCATGGTGAAGATAATCCCGCACTGGGCGACGAGATTGGGGAAACTCGGCTCGGGCACGGCGCCCAGGCTTTTCAGTGTGTCGCCGCGTGCCATTGTCCGGTTTGAATAGACGAGATTCAGAGCTCGTTTTGTGGCTAGATGGCGTTGGAGGTTGGTGGCCATTGCCAGGCCCATGGAGCCGAGGCCATACTGGTTCAGGATCAGTAGTGGCTTGTGGGTTGCTTTGGTTTGGTCTGGGAGACTTACCCAGCCGATTCGACTCATCTTGGTTTTAGGTTTACGAGAGAGGTTATTGCGCAGAGTTAGAGAATGGGATGAGGGTATATCTATTTATTTCTGGGGATCACCGGCCGGTCCCGATCTCGGGAGGGCGTCGGCCGACAGACTGCTCCAGACTGTAGCTGCTGCATCGTAGGAATGCCTGCCTTTGGAATCGCTAGAAGATGTTCTGGAGGGCCTTTCTTGAGTACACATAGTATTTACCCGGCAAAGCTGACTATTTCGGACTGCGTTGTTGATAGTTGTTATGGTGTTTACAGGCGGAGGGTCACATCATGGTCACCAACAATGCACTCTCCAACAGTCTACTTGAATTGAATACGCTCAATGGATTATCTACTGGCTAGTCATCCCAAGACCGAAATGCAAAGAATTCAAGTGAGATTTATGACTGCAGTAGCATGCGTACCGTTGCTGATGAAATGCGGCTCGGCGCGCTAATGACGACTATGGGGAAGCCCATCGACTTTAACACACCTCCAGACCCAAACTCCCTCGCCGTCCCCTCATCTTTACTATCCATACACAACTCTCCTCCCCAACAGCGCATATCACTCTGTATTTTTTGTTGCTTTTTAACGGAGGAACTAACCGAACCAAAAGTACTTATTGTTCGACCACCACCATGGCGGATATGCCCATTGGTGAGCACCATTCCCTCTCCAGGCAGCTTCCCCCGTCCGCCAGGTAGCTAACCCACACACCTAGTCCTCGATGGAGGAACTGGTTTCCTCAAGGTCGGATATGCTGCGCAGGTATGTCGGTTATTACGCACAGAATATCCCTCATGCGCCATACTCATGCGTCTTTTTGTCTACAGAATTTCCCAGAGCACCAGTTCCCCTCGATAGTGGGGCGGCCCATACTGCGAACTGAGGAACAGGCCGGCGACATTGTCGTGAAGGATATCATGTGCGGAGATGAAGCTGCAGCTGCCAGATCAATGCTTCAGATCAGCTATCCTGTACGTTCTACCTCCCATATCCCTGTCCTTGTTGCGAACGGTTGCTCGCCTTCCCTGAGGAGCTCCCGTCACCGTCTTTGCAGCAGGGTGTTGATTCAGAGCCCATTGGTTGACGTCCGCGGGTAATATAGATGGAGAACGGTATCGTGAAGAAATGGGACGACATGCAGCATCTATGGAACTACACTTTCTACGAAAAGATGAAAATCGACCCCACGGGGCGCAAGATCCTCCTCACCGAACCCCCAATGAACCCCTAAAGAACCGCGAGAAGATGTGCGAGGTCATGCTGGAACAATACAACTTTGGAGGCGTATACGTGGCCATTCAAGCCGTACTTGCTCTATACGCTCAGGGTGAGTCCAACAGTAAAGCAGATAGTAACGACAGCTGATCTCTGTTCGTTCCAGGTCTCAGCAGCGGTGTAGTCGTCGACTCCGGTGACGGCGTTACACATATTATTCCCGTCTACGAATCCACCGTCCTCAAGCACCATATCCGCCGACTGGACGTCGCCGGCCGCGACGTCACCCGCAACCTGATCGCTCTGCTCCTGCGCCGCGGCTACGCCCTCAACCGTACGGCCGATTTCGAAACAGTGCGCCAGATCAAGGAGAAGCTCTGCTACGTCTCGTACGACCTCGAGCTCGACAAGAAGCTCTCCGAGGATACCACGGTTCTCGTCGAATCCTACACACTGCCCGACGGCCGGGTCATCCGGGTAGGCAGCGAGCGCTTCGAGGCCCCCGAGTGTCTCTTCCAACCTCACCTGGTGGACGTCGACCAGCCCGGCATGGCCGAGCTGCTCTTCAACACTATCCAAGGCGCCGACGTCGACGTCCGCTCAAGCTTGTACAAGGCCATCGTCCTCAGCGGTGGAAGCAGCATGTACCCCGGTCTGCCTTCGCGGCTGGAGAAGGAACTCAAGCAACTGTGGCTTACGCGGGTACTCCAGGGAGACCCCGAGCGACTTGGTGTATGCCTCTAAAGCTGACCTTCCTTGGGAGAATGACAAAAGCTAAATCTCTCTCGCAGAAATTCAAAGTCCGCATCGAAGATCCCCCCGACGGAGACACATGGTCTTCCTGGGCGGTGCCGTGCTCGCCAATCTGGTAAGGATTCGATTCCCCTCATGACCTTCCTTCGAAGACATATCTAACATATCTTAGATCGCCGACAAGGAGGACATGTGGGTCAGCAAGCAAGAATGGGAAGAGCAAGGTGTCCGCGCCTTGGCCAAGCTCGGTACTAGCTAGTTGACTCGAGTCGCCTTTGCTTCGGTCTTCGTCAATCCAGTCCCATCTCAACCCACCTTTCCCCCTGTCACTGTCAAAGTCCCCCATCGGACTCACTTCGTGTTGATATAGCCACTTTTACTCCTCTGAAAGATTCTTCTCTGGAAGACCAGCATGTCACATAGGTTTCCAGGGCGTCCAGCTGCCTGCCCGTTCGACCCTTGTACGTAGTATAGAGTAAGCAAGCGAGTTGAGCACTAGGTATTGATCATTATATAGAATAACTGCCATTGCACTGTCCCTTTCTGCTCATCGCAATGTCCATCCTCTATCCGCAGCGACATCTAAAAGGGAACCCAATCCTCTATGAAACCCGGAAATATAAGTAAATATGTACAAGATCCCGGTAGCCAAAAGAGCGGTACACTCAAGGAGATGTACACTATTAGAAAACCTCATCCACGGTAATAGTAAACAGAATGGGGCAAGTCGAGCTAGTCATCACATTCGGACTCCATCTCCTCGGCTTCAAGGCTCTTCCTCTTTTCCTCGTTCATTTCGCGGTAGGTGCTCCAGCTCAGGAGGAAGAAGGCGACGATGATGAGGAGACCGCCCACGATCGACGCGGCGGAGAGCGGTTGTCCCGTGCGCAGCCAGTCGACGATGGCGACGAGGAAGATGGTGAGGAGGGCGGCTACAGACGAGAGAACGGGGAGGTAAGGGAGATGAGGACGAGGAAGCATCCCGAGAAGGCTGGTTGATGGTCAGATTGACGAAAAGAAAAGAGGCCGATTGGATTTGGAATATGCATGACTTACTGGCATTGGCGGCGACCGATATAAGGAGCATCCATGCGGCCTCGCCGGTGGGCACTCGAAACTCTTCCCAGCCCAGCATGTGGAGGATAGGCAAGGGAATCCAGAGGACCAGCAAGGTAAAGCATCCGATGAGACTGCCGAAGGTGTTGGCGAAGATCATGCTCCGGCCGGCGCTTGTGCCCTCCGGGGGACAAGCGAATCGCTTGTACAACACCTCGTAGAGACCGTAGAGCACGCTTCCGATCCCGATTATGACATTGCCCAAAAGTCTGTTCTCTGCTTCCTGCTTTGCCTTCCCCACTGTGCCGTCCGGAGTCTGTTTGCTTTCGCTGCGATCACCGTACGCAACCACCAGAACTCCGACAATGGCAACGACAACCGAAAAGACCTTATCGAACCGCAGCTTATCTTTCAGTAGCGGAATGGAGAAAGCATACGCGAAGAACGCGGAGCAGTTGTAGATTGCGGTCAGGTCACTGGCCGTCGTAAGATTGACTGCCACATACCATGATCCACCGGCAATGGTGAGAGCTACAGTCACAAAAGCCGTCGTCCGGAGCATGTAGGGAATCGGTGACCGGTGCAAATCGCGCGACGTGAGGTGTAGATCTCTCGACTCAACCATTTGCGCCGTGGTGCGTAATAAATAAACGTGACGTCGCCAGAATGCTTCCCAGGAAAGCTTCCTCTTCTGTATTCGCAAGATAAGGAGTTGGACAGGCCACAGAAGGGACCACGACCCGTGGGTAAGGTAGCTGCAAGAAAAATCCAAGTCAGATCAAGTTCGACTGCCCATAACCACTCAACTTACAGCATGCAGTACGGTTTGTCCCAATGCAGCTCATGCTGGATATATACCGCCGTCTCAGTCTGAACCACAAAACTAGCCAAGCTCAACAGCAAGAATCCCGATGCAATCATGTACTTTCGCCGAGTCGCCAGCTCCGCAGAATACTCCGGACTCCTGATCGTCGGCCGCCTGGAATGGTGCAGCATAGGCCTGTGTTCAGCATTGCCATGGCCAAAATCGGTGTTCGACAATCGCCGACGTTCATCCTGTAGCAACGGCTGGTGAGGGCGGCCGTCTACTGGACGATGTACAGTTGGACGGTTTGGCGACATCTCGTCATCTGATTCGTGGGAGTCGAGGACCGGCTCGAGTTTCCAGCCTACCTCCTCGGGTTGTGTATGTGTCGAAGCCACCGTAGGTCAAATTCGCCGGCCCTTCCCAGGGTTGACGAATATTCGGCGTGAAGATAAATGCCCTCCTTCCTGCGAAATCAAAGCGAAAACAGGGAAGCGGTTACCAATCCCTAGATGTAAAATCGGCAGCGGCTGGAAACAATGGGTGCTAGGAGGTATAAATAAGAAGAAGAGAATGAACTGTCCATGCAGGGGAAGCCGGACAAGGGATTGCGAATATGCAATTCAGCCTTCACCAAGACGGAACGGGTTCTGAGATTGCGAGAACATGCAGCCTTAAAGAATGCGCTTTTCGTAGTCCAGGAAGTACTGCTGCTGCGGCCACGTTTGCCAAGTATAAAACCGAATGAATGTCTCAGATCAGGCCAAGAAACACGGATCCGACGGCCGCTCAGGACCAAGAAACAAAAAGGAATAGACACTGGCCGTGAAACAAATCCAAAGCCTGGAAAACGGTTGAGAGGAGATGATAGCTGGCAATGGCTAATCGAGTCTCGTGAGTGTCGCATCCAAACGCAACGGGCGCCTTACGTTGCAGGCTACTCTCTTTACCGTTTTGGGATGGTGGCGTCCACCCTATATGTAGCACGTGATGATAGCCTTATCACATACCCAGTCAGGCTTAGGCTCTTGGCGCCTTATGCATCAAGGCGTTCATTTAACCACATCTCCATTCCTAAACAATCAAATTTCATTTCTATTGCTAATGATGGTCTAGACTGCTGTATGAGGCCAAGAGCCATTACGTATACTGTTGGTTAATGCGCAAATCTGAAGTCCAGTCTTCTGTTCCCCTGGTCCTGTGTTGTCGCAACGTAGTCAACTCGTTGGTCGTCTGTCATTGCCTGCCACTTCATATCCCGGCGGCGATTCTGCATCACATAGTATAGTTTGGTCAAGGCATAGAGGACGATGTTAGTGCAAAGGATGATGAGTAGCGTCCTGTTTCCAACGACATAGCGAGGAGCATCCGCTATTTTGACAAAAGTGGATGCCTAATTAGCCAAGGAACAAAGGGCCCTCATGGATGGATCTGGCCACACTCACAGTCATGGTATATGTTCGAGCCAATGATTTGAGACGTCTGCGCCGACATGTTATATAATGCGGCTGCGATTGTCCGAGTTCGCACGCTGTTCGAGTTGCGAGAGTTCCACCCAGCGTGAAGCGCATGGGCTGAGGAGGAATTGTCGTTAGTAGTGTCCCGGAGAATTTCAGGGGACATGGTGCTTACGGTTTGGAAAAGAAAGAATCAGTGTGAGTACTGTCCATGCGACCCATTTGTTGGTTTGGCTGAAATCAACCGCATTAATATAAAGGAGCATCGGCAGCATCCACAGCTGGGCTAAAATGCCCATATATGCAATGGACTCGAAGGCCTCAGCTCCATAGACAAGGGCTATTCGGGTCACAGCACCCATCGCCTAGTCGAAAGTCAGTATTCAGCAAAAGTTGGTGGATGATCTTGAAATTACGTACATTGCATGGGATGGAAAGCAGAATTGTATTGAAAGTGCTGAATCCAAAATCTTTTAAGAGCAAGGTAAAGTATTGCGATATTGTTGCTGTTGACATTAGCTAACTTCGGCAGAAGATCCATTTGGTCGAGTCGTGTGCTGTACTCACTATTAGGTATCAGGAACAAAAGCCCTATGATATACAAGGGCCATAGATCGTAGTCTTTGAAACTCTGCCAAATAAGTTTGAGGGTCAACGGTTGGCGATTATGCATAGTGCCCTTGCTGGGGTCTTCTCGGATAATACGGTTGACCATGATAATCTCCTCTCTATCCACAAGCCACCATTAGCATGTCCTAGCGTGCCATGGAAGTAAAAGATATACCTTTCTGTAAACCATCCCTTCTTGCCTCGGGCCCAATTGGCCGTCTGTGTTGGTGACGGTGGCATGAGGATGAAAGCAAGGAGACCAAGCGTCAATGTGAGCAGCCCCTGTGTGTGTGTGAATAAGGAGCATCGAAACAGAGGCACTTGACCTGCCACAAACCTCAATCAAGAAAAGCCAACGCCAACCGGCGCGACCACCCACTCCCCGCAGGTGCAGAATCCCAAAAGCGAGACACCCAGCGAGGATATCCGCAAAAGAAGCTGCTGTATACCAGAAGCCGAGACGTATGGAAAGCTCGTGATGTTTGAAGTAGTAGGAAAGGTAGAGGATCATCTGTCATACATGAGCTCAATAAGCTTATCGTGTGGCGAAACCACTGACCGTTGGCACAAATCCCCCGGATAGCAACCCCAGAAGAGCCCTTGTGCACAGAAAGGATGTCCTGCTAGAGAGCCAGAACTGGCACAGAGCGATGATCGACCATGATGTCATCTGGAAAGGAACCCATCTGTCGGCGCCGAGCCATTTTGCCATGACCTGTGCAGGTACTTCGGCGAGTAGGTAGCATAGCCTGTTAATGGAGTTTCCCAAGTTATAGTCTGAAGTCATAGAAACTCTGTCAGCCTGTCGAAGATGGAGTTGATGGCTGGCGCAGACTGACCGTCCCGAGTCAAGTGTAAATCGGTCAAGAAGTTGTCCGCATTGGCTTGTTCTGAGCCCATACATGATCAGTGATCTTCAAGGTTGCACATTTGGATAGACAGCACGTACGGATATTGGATCGATCAAGCTCCAATGCCATAAGCATCACACAAGCCAACAAGGTAATACGAAGATCGATCTTCCGAACAATTTTCTACATCGCTGTCAGTTTGGGTTGCGAGGTAATCCTTATTGATGATTGTTAACGCACGTTCTCTTCACCCCATGACCATCTAGCCGATGGGTCGAACCGATGGATGTTTTCCCAATCTGGTCGAGGTCTGTATTCATCTGCTAACTCCGGGTCATCGAAGACAGACGGCTGGGTAGCGATGACATTTGAGTTATCGCCTTTAGACCGCTGGAAGAAGAATCGACGTTTGTCAGATACGTCGCCGAGATCTGACTTTTCTGTACATGATAGAATTCGTGTTACGCTGATTGGAGTCTTCTTCTCAAGATCGGAATCTGTAGGCGAAGTAGGCTCTGAAGTCTCCTTCTTGGCCGAACGAGCAATGACAAGAGACATCCTGCTAAGCCTGAGAAGAAAAGACTGTTGTCAAGAATGCCGAGGCTGTATTCTGAGCAGGGGTCAGGGGAGGCCATGATGCCCATTTTAAAGCACCCTCACATATGATAAGAGGCAATGGTGCTCATCACTCTAGAATCAAACAAGGGGCTTGCGCTGTAAAGCAGACCTCAATGGACTCGTTCTCGATTCGAGTCCCACACCATCACACGACTAGAGCTGCTCCTCGCTTGGGGTTTGACAGAGATGCAGCCATCCGGTCTCCAGATTTCGACAGAAGCTCTCTGAACACATGCAGCGGCGGCATGAGGCCCCTTGATCCAGAGTCCAGGCGCTCGCCGATGCGGGAACAGTAGACCTCCGGTAAGTCACTACTATCCTTCTGAATAATGCGGTATGAAGATGTGTGACCGGATCATTAGCAAGTTACTAGACGTCCACTAAAAGTCCGAAGGGGCGCAAATGCCGGAACGGCATCGGTTGTTGCCGTTGTCTGAGGCCGAAGCCTGTGATGTCCGCTGGAATTCCTCATGAGAATACTTTTTTAATCTTATGATTTCTATGAGCTCAACTCTGTACGATCTGTCGAGTTTGCGGGCATTGAGTTCGGTCATTGTTCGGCTCATTTTCTCACTCTATCTTCTGTAGGTCTAATAGCTTGTTTTCTGCAGTTTGGCTACGCAAGGGATGGATGCGCGATTTGAGGCAGTACTCTGATCAATTTGAGGCTAACCGGGGAGGTCTGGAATGCCGGAAACGACATCTGCAGTATGCGATAAAAGCGTCCAGTCTATGAGAATCGGCGGCGTTCTCGATTCTCATCCCATGCGAATTGCATAACGGCCCAGACCTTGACGTAAGAGTACGATGCAAAACTGTACAATGAGGTTTCGGGCTATGTGGCGAGGTGTGCCTTTCAGTGATTCCTAGCCTGCCTCGAGCTGTCTAGAATGCCCTAGTGAGGAATGGTGCAGTCTTCGCTACAACAGCCCGAAAGTTCCACGGAATTGTATGGAAGATGGCGCGCTAGAATCCTACCCTCTTTCACCTTTGGAATCCAGATGCAACGCTAAATTCGGTCATGGTGTTCAGCGAAGCGACACACGATGCAGCTTTCTCTGCGCCAATAAGGCCAGCACTCTCGATAATGTTGGAAACAAGGCTCGTGTCTCCCTCATGACGCACATTTCCCCTTTGGCTCGTCATGAGCGAAGAACGAAGCTGTAAACCATTGATAGGGTTCGTATTCCAGATCTGGTTTTTCTTACAAACCAAGTTCTTGTGAATGCATAAACTTATTTTGGTTTCCGTGTCACGAAAGAGAGAGTTGATATCAAGAGATAGATAATAGTTGCATACAATCTCTCGTATGACTCTCTCACATTCCTTGTAGGATAGAGACTGTATTGCCGCTCCACTTTCAAGTTCGGCTCCGCCAGGATGCAGTTATTCAGGGTGGATAAGACATCGAGATTATGATATGCTTTCCAAATCATTCTCCTCTTTGCCCTGGCGTTGTACACTGGCGACTCCGGGGGCAACAAATATTTTTCCAGAGACGACTCCCTTGAGTGTACTGACAGAGATGACCATCCAGTGGATCACGACTATCAACGAGAGGACCTGATGTAAGTCTTAGACTTTGATTGCAACATCAATCATTCATGTAAACTTACTGTTCCCAGGACCCTGAAAAACGCAGAAGGCAGCTGCCTCCCTAACTGACATGTTCCCATCGCATACGCACCAACTGGAAAGGTGAAAGCCCACCAACCCATGTTGAATGGAAAGCTTCCTGACTTCAACACCGATGCGAAGGCAAAGAAAAGCCAAGGAAGACCAAAAGCCCAGAGGATTAGTGCGGTCATTGCGCCTACGACATAAACTATCGAGGGGCAGAGCTGTCATTCAACATTTGAGTCTGTGATAGAACAGTCTTCCCAGCTGTGCCGAGTTTCATGGCCCTGAAATCGAGTTAGGTGCAGATCATGATGAAGCTCGTCCTGGGGTCATACGCAAATGTGCCAGATCCCAAAGGTCCCATCGGCAAGAACACGCTCATGATAACACCCTTATGCGGCAATTTGTGCACGGTAAGCCGTTGAAAGTAGATCACATAGACGATCATCGACAAACAAATTCCGACTCCCCATAGGACATAGCTGACGATAATAGTCCATAATGCATAATTAGGATCCAAAAGGAGGTCTGCAACGACTGCACCAGTCCCTGAAGCCACGACACAGCTTGCAATTGGCAAGAGCCAGATCGCAGTCATCGAGGACAGCTGTGCATCGACGTTTGAAATCATTCTGCTTTTGTTTAGTCAAATGCAGCACGCACCCATAAAGAAGCCAAACTTACAGTGAGAATGGCAGGTATAATGCGGAGATAACTGAAAGGAAAGCATCAATCATCCACAAGGCCCAAGCGAGATCTCTTGTCCAGTTTCCCCACGCCGGGACGCACACAAAGCAGACCATGTTCACAATGGTCGCTAGTCCCATGGGAAACGTACTCAAGAACATTGACTGAGCTGGTTCATTCATGATAGTGTTAAGGGTCTCCGGGTACATAATGTAGCGGAGCACACTCAGAATGCTGCACACTGCGAAGATGGCGACATTAAGGGCAAAGACGACGATGGAAATCCAATAAAGCCAGCGACCATTATAAGGAAGAGTATTTAAGGCGGTGGAAATCATCCCAGTCCCCATAACGACGGAAAACCATCTGATACGAGCGTTAGTAGCTTCCAGGGACCTCAGGATAACCAGCCCCTCTGAGGGAAGCCGGCTTTGAGGAAATCGGAGACGTACGATGGTGTGAACCTATACACGGTTCGTCTCCAGCCACCATGGGGCTCTGAAAGTCGATACTCATCAAGAGAGGAGCGGCAAGGAAGTGTATCCGGTGAGGCCTCTGCTGTGCCTGCGTCTTGGGGCCCTCCTTTGCTAGGCCGGCTGCTACTCGCCAGTGAGGTTCGACAAGACTTGATGATCGTGCTCATCGTCAACCCACGCATGTCCCTTACAGCAGAGACATACTGCAATCAAACCTTCAACCACAGTTCTCATAGGAGACAAGCTCCAGTGAGCGGCAGCAATTTCCGCGAAAATTCATCCTCTGTTTGCTTGGCACGTCTACCATTCCAAAGACAAGTAGGCCACACTGTTATCAATCAGCGTTCTAGAATCCAATCTCAGACAAGAAGATGGGGCTTGTTACCGAATTTTGCAGGGCAAAAAAACGTGGAGATCCACAACCGACCGAGATTCCGACGCCGACATATGACGACATCGGGATTCGGGACTGCCTACCCAGGACTGGAGATATGAATAGCTGAGGCGTAACTTCAGAAATTAAGACTCCATGTCGTATTCACACGTTTGATATCTTTCTTCAATTCCTTGTCTTGGACTCAACTTTCCTTCTTTGCTCTGAGCAAAGCGGGTGGAACGGATGACGCCGGAAACTTACCCGTGATCCGAAGGGCTTTGCTCGGTTCAATTTCGGCGGACGGTTTTAAGTACATGGAAAGGATTTCAGGTTACCACATGAAAGAATCAAGGCGCGGATGCTGGACGATGCTGCACGAACAAAATCGCTAAGAAAGCTTGTATGAGTGAATTGCGAATATCTACTGAACAAGGGCAATGTATAATCAGATATGAGCTACGCCTTGGGTTTAGGCTTGAACAAGGCCGCTTGGGTGTCATAGGTGTATTTCAAGTCGAGATGCCAGTAGTTTGCAGCAGTCGGCTTCGCAATCAACCAGGCTTGGTCCAATACGTCGACAACTTCCTGAGGCAATGGGCCCTTCTGGATATCCTTGAGGTTGTTTTCCAGCTGCGCGAGGCTGCTCACACCAATAATGACACCGTCGCGGCCCTTATCCTTCATGTTGAGCGCGGAGTGGTGATGGATCCAGCGAAACGCAATCTCGGGCATGGTTAGGCCATGCCTTTCGGCAACAGGCTCGATCAGTCGCAGAGCGTCGAATGTCGCGTCCTTGAAATAACGTCCCCGGTACAAGGTTCCATCTGAAGACTGATCACTATATCTTCCTTCCGCAGGAATGTCCTTAGTCTTGTATTTGCCAGAGAACAGACCACCAGCCAGCGGATTATAGACCACGATGTCAATCCCGTAGCGCTTGCAGGCGGGGATGAGCTCTGTTTCGATGTTGCGCGCTGTGTTTATCGGCGTCAGTAAATACAATTCGAACGGGACCCTAGAGCAGACATCTAGGTCACAGCAAGAGGATACTTACTGATAGCATTATACATCGCCTGGTAGATTGTGGGTCGAACCCAACCTCTCTCCTCGCAGAGTATAACTATCTCCGCAACTTCAAAAGCAGTATAATTGCTCAAGCCCAACTGCACGAACTTTCCCTCCTTGTGGAGCTCATTGACGGCTTCCAAGGTCTCAGCAAAAGGCACAGATCGATCCGCGGCGTGCAGGTAGAAGATGTCCACTTGGTCGGTTTGCAGTTCCTTCAAAGAACGCTCGAGGTTCTCACGAAGAACGTCGGGTTTGTGTGCACCGGGGGTATGGGGGTACCATTTCGTCGCTAGAGTCAGCCCACGTTCCTTCCACCTGGCTTGGGCTGTAAAAGCCTCTTGTTTTCCTCCCACGTAGACTCGCGCAGTATCGACCTCGTTGTAACCTTGCTGCTGGAGATGATCCAAGCACTTGTTAAAGTCGTCGAGGGACGTGATGCGAGCACCTTCGGACTCATCTGGCCCAAAGGTCATCAAGCCGAGAATGACTCTCGGCGTAGCGGATGGCACAACCAAAGGCATTATGAGATTCAAGTGTGAGTGTAGTCGTGGTGATCTTCAAAGACTGAAGGTGGAATCTGCTGGAACAGTGAGGTCAGGTCTACCTTCCGCCGGGATGACGACGAGGTTCAGGGTCATTGTCGCTATTTGTATTCGAGACTGACATTCTCAATTAATAATACAGCAATCTCACGACCACACGCAAGATAACGACACCCACAGTAGCCCGCTAAAGAAGGGGTAACGAAGCGAATACGAGGCCTCAATTCCTCAAACACCTCCGCCTGAGGTGGAATGGATACAGGTGGTGTTCCCTTACCCCGCACTTAAGATCTGCTCATTTGATCTCATCATAGAGTGGGCAGAGTAAGACATTGCAGTCGAGAATGCAAGCATGACTGCAAGAAGGCGATTAAGCTCAATTGAGCTTAAACGCCGGCTCTTGGAAGCTTCTTGATCCTGAAGTCTGCGATCCTCAGCATGGACTAGTGTCTCCTGGTGGGGAGGACAACCAGGCACATTGCTGCAGACATCTGGGAAACGTCATCCGGTCGGAACATCCAATTCCCAAAGTTATACAGCATAATCGCATATATAGCAACGAACATCGGATCCGAGTGGGTTAGCGTCACAGTCCAGGTTAATTCATAGCAATAAGCTGCTTCAAGATGGCTACACCGAACGACAACCATCGATTCTCGGTCCTAATCATCAACCCAAACACGTCAACCCACATGACGAACGCACTCAAACCCATCCTAGAGAGCTTGGATTATGCAGATATCAACTTCGAGTACTTCACGGCGCCTTCCAGTGAGTCTGTCACACTCCCGGATGGGCGCATTATCAATGGAGTGCCTAGCATCAACTCTGGAGAGGATTCTATCATATCAGCCTTGCATTGCAGGCCCTTTGTCGAACCGCTTGTTCCAAGATATGATGCATTTCTTGTGGCATGTTATTCCGCTCATCCTTTAGTCGGCATGCTGAAAGAGGCGATCGCAGAATATGAGCAGACGTCCTCCAGAAAAGACTCCGCAATACCGGAGTGCCGAAAGAAATATGTGACAGGCATATTCGAAGCTAGTGTCTTGACCTCTCTTTCCCTCATTAGCTCTTTCCATCTGATGGGAGATGCAAACTTTCATAAAGCCCAAGCGAAGGACACATTCGGCATAGTTACGACTGGGAGCATCTGGAGAGACGAACTGACAAGAGCGGTCACAGAGATGATCGTGAATTCTGGCGACAGCGGCAGCTCTACTGCTCGCTTTGCCGGTGTGGAGACCACTGGATTGACAGCCGGTGAATTACATACTACGCCTGCCGAAGACGTGAGGAGAAGGATCAGCGATGCGACAGAGAGGCTCATCAAGAGCACGTCGCATCCTGTAAGTGCCATTTGTATGGGGTGTGCAGGGATGGCAGGCATGGAGGAAGCGGTGCGAGATGGCTGTATCAGGGCATATGGTGAACGACAAGGCCGACGAGTGAGGATAGTGGATGGCGTAGTCGCCGGGGCAGGCATGCTTGTGACGGCTTGCAAGGCGGGATTCTGAGACACTTGAGCATGGCGTACTTCGTCTTTTCCTGGCACATATAAGGCACGCAGCAAATGCAACTCCATGGCGTGCCACGGTCAGCTGCACGATGCTCAGTGATTTTCCATGGCTCAGATTTGAGACGTAGAGTGTGGTTTAGCATAATGGTTACTTCAAGACCAAGACGTGGAGTGGAAAGCGGCGTGCAGATTGACATCGAAAAAGCAGGATAGAATAAGAAATTTAATCATTCATATACATGGTGCCAGTTAATGGTTCAGATCAAATCAGTCGAATTTACAATTTCGGTTCTATGATTCCATTGCTTTGGAAAGGTTCAGAACACCACTGACAGCTACCTAACATTGTGTACCTGAGGCCCACCACCTCCAAAATAAGATTCCCCGCGAAAACGCGCTACGCGTGGGCTATAACCTCGACTACTTCTGGTGGTCACGGAAAACGATGCCCAGGTATGTGCCACGATCTGCCCAATTATATCTATCTGATCCTCTGCGTGAGATAAAGCCAGCTAATACTCAAGTTGTCTTCAGAGAAATAATTACGATCCAAGCCGGCCAGTGCGGCAACAATGGTATGAATCTCAAGCGACGCAAACCAGCCGTCCGCAACCTCATTAAACATGACACTCTTGCGATGCCACGGTCCCGCTAACTGGATTTTTATACAGTTGGCAGTCAATTCTGGCAACAGCTTTGCCTTGAGCACGGGATTAGCCAGGATGGGAACTTGGAGGAGTTTGCGACAGAAGGCGGGGATCGCAAGGATGTCTTCTTCTACCAGGTAAGAGCTTTTGTGGCGTGGTGAATCTGGGAATGTGATGCTTGGATTAAGTGAGCTGACTTTGGTGAAATCAGAGCGATGATACCAGATATATCCCCCGGGCGATCCTTCTGGACTTAGAACCAAGAGTACGAATTCGCCCTCTACCAATACGCTGCGATTTATTTCTCTCCTGGATCTGAGCTGAGCTTGCATGGACAGGTTTTGAACTCAATACAAAGTGGACCCTACAAGAACATCTACAATCCCGAGAACTTCTTCATCGGTCAGCAAGGCATAGGTGCTGGAAACAATTGGGGTGCCGGCTACGCCGCCGGCGAAGTCGTACAGGAAGAGGTCTTCGACATGATTGACCGAGAAGCGGACGGTAGTGACTCTTTAGAGGTGAGACACTCAGGTGGAAGGGATCGGACATCGGACATTCTTGGCGATCGCATATGAGTATTGTTGGGCTAATTTGGTGTCTCGTTATAGGGCTTCATGTTCCTGCATTCGATTGCAGGAGGAACCGGCTCGGGACTTGGTAGCTTCATCCTCGAGCGGATGAATGACAGGTTTCCGAAGAAGTTGATTCAGACATACTCCGTTTTCCCAGATACCCAGTCGGCGGACGTCGTGGTCAACCCGTACAACAGTCTGCTAGCCATGAGGAGGCTGACACAGAATGCTGACTCTGTGGTAAGTTTCCATCTACGGGACTACCCAATTGACAGGACTAAGTTGCTGTCAGGTTGTTCTCGACAATGGTGCACTTTCGAGGATTGTTGCAGATAGACTTCATGTGCAAGAGCCTTCGTTCCAGCAGACGAATCAGCTTGTGAGTCTTCCTCATTGCAAGTAAACCGCATACAAGCAAAGCTCACTCTCAATAGGTGTCCACCGTCATGTCAGCCTCTACCACCACCCTCCGTTACCCCGGTTACATGCACAATGATCTTGTTGGAATCATCGCCTCTCTCATCCCCACACCTCGCAGCCATTTCCTGATCACATCATACACCCCCTTTACCGGTGACAATGTCGACCAAGCAAAGACAGTCCGCAAAACCACCGTTCTAGACGTTATGCGCCGCCTGCTACAGCCGAAGAACCGCATGGTCTCAATCAACCCCAGCAAGTCCAGTTGCTACATGAGTATTCTCAACATCATCCAGGGCGAAGCAGATCCCACAGATGTGCACAAATCTTTGCTGCGTATCCGCGAGCGACGCTTGGCATCGTTCATTCCTTGGGGTCCGGCCAGTATCCAAGTAGCCTTGACCAAGAAATCTCCATACATACAAAACACGCACCGTGTTAGCGGCCTGATGCTGGCGAATCACACGTCAGTGGCGACTCTCTTCAAACGAATTGTCCAACAGTACGACCGCCTGCGGAAACGAAACGCATTTTTGGAACAGTACAAGAAGGAAAGCCCTTTTACGGACGGTCTAGGCGAATTTGACGAAGCGCGGGCTGTGGTGATGGACCTCGTTGGTGAATATGAGGCAGCAGAAAGAGAAGACTATCTGGACCCAGATGCGGGAAAAGAGAAGGAGATGGGGGTGTGATCACGACCACTGCGTAGTGGATGGCTAAATTCTGCGAAACGGCGTTTGCTCCTTGATTTCCTTTGCGCTGTTGCTATGGCTTTTTCTGATGGGTTAAACTTTGGCAAGCGGCGTTTACCGTTAGTTTTACTTTGCTATATCCTTGCGGATCCTCCTACGCGTGATCATGGGCGTTACTCCATGGAAAAGGTTTCAGGCAAAACCGTATAGGAGGAGATAGAGACGAATAATGCGACATCGGATGTCCAGCATTTTCAGATCCCGGAAACCACTTACTGAGAGTTTGAACTACATACGGAAATAGTAGAGACGTGCATGCTCTTATCAGGGCACGGACATTTGGCGATCCTGCCATGATAGAGTCGTAAGCCTTACCGCTGCGAGGCGTTGGTGCTGCAGGTAGATAGTGTATGAGCCCAACGTCGTCAACTGTGATTGACAACGCATGGACCACGGAGTACGCGAACCTCCATCTTCCACATGCACTAGGTACTTGGAGATGGTGGAATCGATCAACTATATAGAAGCACATATTGCATAAACTAGATATGGGCGGAACAGGTGGCGTGTAGGCGAGTATTCGAAAGAGAGCGCGGTTGCATATCCCTTTGTCTGGAACATATAGACAAACAATGGCTGTCACGGCTTGAGGTGAATGCTAACCTTGAATGCCATCCTGACGTGACAAGTCTGCAGGCGCCCCGCTGTGACTGTGGGTGTCTGAAATACTGGAGGAGGAGATGGATGGTTCTGCCAAAGGAAGATGGCTTGAGTAAATTTTCTTCGCATATTTCGTTCTTTTGTTGTGTTCAGAATTGTCGTGAGCTGTCAACAAGTGCTAGCGCTACGAGGTACCTGAGAGTACTCCATACCGAGCACCGGCTACCACAGTGGTACCTAGGTGTCTACCTTGTGGAGGCTAAGGCAGATATGCCAACGAGGTAACCTAGCGCTTTCCGTCCTTATCAAATGGATCAAAATCGGCTAACTTAATGGAACCACGCACATCTGCCAACTCAAATGTATATTGTGCTACCTCTGCAGGCCAGATGTGGGTAGCTACAATAGTGCAGTTAGTGGCGTTTCCAACCGACTTACTTCAAGGTGGTAAAATGACTATCTACCCCGTCCCAGCTTATCATGTGTTGCTTCTCATCTTCCAAGGAAAGGAGGTTAATTGTCGCGAGAACCAAGGATACTTTGCATTATTGGTGGTCTTCGTCTTCCCGAGGTAAGTAGCTACCTTTCCTGAAGATAGCTAGATAGATAACTAGTGGCTTTTACTCCGCACCGTTGCAGTTTCATCGAGTTGCGCCAACCGCAAGCAATCTGCACGCGATTCCGACAATGCCCATTTTCATGCTGGAATTTTATCAACAAATGGACAATTGCTGGACTTGTTATACAGACTAATTTCAGTTTTCAGTTAGAACTTTGATTTGATGCTGTTTTTAGTCATTGGAGTCGCCGAGTGCTAGGACATCCACTTCACGTGACTCATTCTCGGTGCGGAGAAGGCCGACTAGTACGGAGTAGATCCAAGATGAAGAGCGCCATCGGTTCGGCCAGTCACTTGAATCAGTTGAATTAATCTTTAATCGAGAGACATTGATAACGCGCAGTGTAAAACAGCTAGTGTAGTAAATAATACCTGATATTTGTACAGCTTGTATCAAACCGGTAGCGATCCAGATCAGGTGGACTCAGCATGCTCCGCCATAGGCTCCAGTGGTTGCCCTGCATTGTTACGGGCGGTTTCGAGGTGATGATCATAGGCAGGATCTGCCTTATATGATCTGACTTGTGAGATAATTTGCATGCCTTTCAGCAGCAGGCGCTATTCAATTAGATATGCGTAGTTGGAATTCAGAATGGGTCGGTGCGTTCATAGGGGTCATAAGGGTCATAAGGTACTCCGCAGGACTCGTCACCTCACCCAGCGGAAAGGGGAAAGCGACTTGGTCATTCAGTCGACATACTGTAGAGATGAACTGTCCTTTTTGGATCCTTTCCCCCTTTTTCTTGTACTATTCGTCTAGTGTTTGAAAGCCTTCTTAGTTCCTTGATACTCCGGATCTGACGATTGTTCAATGGATACTACGGAGTACCGCGTAATGAAGAGCCACTGGCCTCGAGTATCGCCTCGTCTACGGAGTACTACCTCCCCGACTCTTGATGATGATAATAGAAAATGATTTGTATTTCTCTTTTGCAAGCTCGACAGGACTCCTCCGATAATGCCGCAGATGATCGCAAGATGTGGTACCGAAGGCAAACCGACCTCGTGCGCCGGGCAAGTGAACACTTGGACTTGGAAACTCCCTTTCTACTGTACAGTAACTTTTCAGAGGCCTCAGGCTCCACCCCGATTTTGCCTCCACCAGGTGGCTATAAGTACTTTCACTAGATCAGTAGTAGTAAGTGAGTAACTCGATAAGTACAAAAGTAGAGTGAAAATGGAGCCCTTTTGGATCAGCGGCGGCACTAGTGTACTATTCTGTACTATCAGTATCATGAAAAATTACTAGTTGCTACTATGCTACAACCTCCTACGTAGATGTCTCCAAATGAAGCAATCTAGCCTATCTACCTGGCTGGGTATTGTGACTCAGCATTCATCCCTCTCTTCCAGTTTCTCCTCAGTTCTTCCCATGTTAACTAATATTATTCATCCGTAGCATCATCGGGCTCCATCCATTCTTTAATGAATTATTAAGACAATCCCCTTCCCCGTCGCCTCCTGTCTCTGTATCCATTTGTACAAATTGACTTTTTCTTTTTTTGCCTCACTGCCACCTCAATTTCCAGCAAAACTCAACCCCCATCCTTTCATTAGATACCACCTGTTGTTCCAGTCCCGTGCCTTCCGATCATCGGTCTGCTTTCCGATCCTCTTTGAAAGACATATATATAGCCGAGCCGCTGGCAGCAGTTACTTCCTCCTTCTTATCTCTTTCCTTATCGACTTGACTCCTCAACAGTCTGCTCTTCTCCCTACCCTTGCTCTCGAACCTCCTTATCTTATCCTCGACCTCGCCATCAATCACCTTTACTCTCAACCTCGTCGTCTACCCGTCCATACGGTTCTCCTCGATTCCTTCTTGACTGCATTCCTCAAATTGAGCCGATATATATTTCATCGACTTCCTTCTTCCTTCCAACCACCTTACCTAGCTCTTGTCGCAACTTTCTAACAACATGGCGCCTCGCAAGCCTCGCTGCAACTTCAAGGAGTGCAAGGAAGCCGCACAGCGGATCGTCGGTGACTGCAGCTTTTGCAATGGACACTACTGCTCGAAACACAGAATGCTGGAGGCTCACTCCTGTACGGGGTTAGAGGACTGCAAGAAGGAGTCTCACGCCCGAAACGCCGACAAGCTCAACAGCGAGCGTACCCAAGTCATCAAGGGCGTATAAGAACCTGGGACGGGTTTCGCATCTCAAGCAATTCCACCTTCGACAATTCTTTCGATTTACATCTTCACCCTACGTCGCAGTCGATTAAGCCCGTTGAGTTTAGCGCGGTGTTGTGACTCGATTTGATACCTTGGCCGGTTTGAGCATTAACGAATTCGTTTTTGTTCCTGTCGGCTGCACATAATGCAAATCCTCTTTTTTTGGGACTTTGGGTTGGGAGATACTCTTTTGGGTTTTATTTCTGATGGTTGTTTGCCCATCTCATAATCATTCATACGCGTGGCGTTTATACATTGGAGTTTGGATGAATTCACTACTATCTGCAATATCGATTTGTTGCGCGGATACGCCATCGTGTTCAGCCATCCATAGACTACTGTTCTATCTTCAACTGAGACGATCTGATTTCTTGTTTCCTCCTCAGTTACAACCATATTTTCTGCGTAGTGTAGACCGCTCGGACCTGCTATCGTCTCCCCGCTTGGGTGTCGCACATAACTGGTTGTACAGTCGATACCAAAACTCATCGATTTAGGGAGCTCGCCAATGGCCTTGAGTCGTAGATGGGCAGTAGTGAGGCAACTAAGGCAGCTACCCTCGTAGCTTAGGCCGCATAGCGCGCCAGCCATCCCAGATGTTTGGGCCAGTGGGAGCTCAACCTGATCTCGTGTCATATGATGTTCAACGACGTTGGAGCATTGGCCCATGCTACGTCCAAGAGCTTGAGAAATGAGAACTCGAGTCAATTTCACGAAGGCGGCTTTGAAACCAAAATCGGTGGACTACTGAATAAGAGCGTACATACAAACCAAAAAAAAGTCTCCAGAGCCCCATTTAACCGGGTCCAATCTTCGGCCTATAGCAGCACATGTCAGTCCATGCCTTTTCACAAGCGAGTAAGAAATAAAGAGCACATACATGTCATGGTGCTCACTCAACCTGCTCAAATACTTATTCAACTCCTCCACTCGCTCCTTGTGAGTCTTGACTCCTTCCCGCTTTAGACGTTCCAAGAGCTACTCCGATATCAGCTGCTTTGTCCTTTGTTCGTAGACCTCTCCACCGTCAAAGAAGCGCAGGTAGAGTCTGTAGACAGAATGAGATACGTACCCTCTTCTTTCGTGCCTCTTCGTACTTCCTTTCCGCCTCTGTCTTGCCTACTGTTGCACCCGGTTCATCAGGTGTGGTGTGGTCCTCGCTCCTCCCTTCTTCATCTGGGTGTCTAGCTTCGGGCGGCGCGGAACCAACCTCACCCTCCTTGTCGGATTTGCTCTTCTTGGACTTCTTCTTTTTCTTTTCTACTCGGCCGTCGCTGACTTTGGAGCCTTTGAGTTTGAGTTTGCCGCCCCGCCGGCTGTGTATTCGTCGCCGGGGCCATTCGTATTTTCTTTCTTGGTTTTTTGGGAATTCAGAGGACCAAGACAGTGGCTTATGTGTTTGGTTGGCAGGAGTTATATGGTTAATGTGTTTTACTTTGGCGTGGTTCTGGTGATGATGGAGTGTTGTAAGTGGATCTAAAGACGTTGTAGATGGCGATGGTCAGGTGATTATTACTATTTTGGCTTAGCGTTGTTTCTTGTGCTACTTCTAGAAGTGATATGGATGAAGGAACGGTAACTAAAACTCTCCAAAGAAATCCTGTTTCCAAATTTAAGGGTGATGCCAAAGGTGGATTCTGGAAGTGTGCCTTCTTTGTCTGTTTGTTCTCTCTTTGTCTGGCGGAGGACAACATAATCTGGACAAAGGACGATCTTGTCGAGGAGGATGCTGTGCTTGATAACCCAACAGCAAGGAGATATCCATTAGTTACTCGTTTTTGTTGTTGCGACAAAGGTATCTTCTTGCCATACTGAAAACTACCTTAGGATACAATGGCAGCCTCATTGAACTCTTTGATGTCCTACCATCTTGAGCGGTCTCTCTTTGACCTCAATGCTCCCTTTGATCCCAAATCTTAGGATCTGTCTCTATTGAGCTTCAGTTCGTTTCCTTTTAAATGTCTCAGTGACGATGTTCCTGCTGCATCGTGCCCCTTGCCATCGCCTCGCCTTCAAATATTCTACTTAATCCCACAAGATTTCCGCTCATAAATCTCGTATACCCCCTACCCTCCCCCGCGCCCTCCTCCCGGGGACGATCATGGAACGCCTCTTCTCCGACGGCGACGATGACCTATTCACAGCAGACACCCTCACAACGCGGTACGTCCATGTGCCGCTCTCCTCCGGCTACGCCCATGACAAGGTTATCCTCTTCGACGCCATCTGCAGCGCCATCCAAGCCGGCCGCTGCGAGATCTATTCCTCGCGTAACCTAGAGAATACCACTTCTGGGTTCATGATCGAGGTCCAGGCTCGATTCTCCGAGCCGGGGGCAGTTCGGCGTGCGGCGTACCATATTGCGCAACGGCATCTGGAGTTTCATAGAATGGAGATGCATAGTAGGACGCAGACGAGGCTGGCGGAGAAGTGTCTGGCTAGTTTGAGTTTGGAGGATGCAGGAGGGAAGTAGAAAGAGCTTAGATAGAGCATCGAATGACTTTGGGGAGTATCCTTCGTGTGGCTTTGTGCGTTGGCGTTCTGAGATGGCTGAATAGGAGAAGGTGTTGCTTTGCAGTATCTTGAAGATATCAGATGAGGCGTCAACTTTCGGAAAGACAGGCACAGGCAATTTGCCGCAATTACTGCCATCTGCGCTTTGTTAGTCCTAGGCCTTAACTGCGGGCAACTACAAAGGAATTAGGTAGTACACAAAGGTATTGTCTTGAAGGTCCAGACTCGTCTTGCAGATTCGACAATGCATGCAAGCCTTGTGTGGTCTCAAACTATGCGGTCTTCTTTCTTGCACGTCTGATACTGCACCTTCAGTTTCAATCTAGATGTCTCATTCATTGTATATAAACAGTGCCTTGAATGCATCACCACCATCGATCATTGCATCAGCATACATTATAGCTCAATCGTCCCGACCAGCCCTCTACAAACTCATTCAAAACGCAATACCCAAACGAACGAGCAAACAAGCAAAATGGGCCTCCTCGAACTCATCCAATACCTCCGCGGCGAAGAACCGGCAGGATACACCTGGTACGTCCACTTCCCCCTTCACGGCGACCCACTAACCAAAAGCGAAATCCTTCACACGGCGGTCCAGGAAATGCGCCACGAGAAAACAACTCTGTGGTCCTCTCGAGGCGCAGCGCCCAACAAGGGGATGCTGATGAAAGTAATTGTGGCTGACGACAAGCTGAGGAGGTGCTCAAGGCCGCTGGGACGGTCCTCGAGCGGCGGCTGCAGGATGCGAAGATGTCGCTTGAGCGGATTCTTCAGAGGGATAATGATAAGAGGGCGGATAACTATGTTACCAAGTTGACGAGCGATTTGGCTGCGTTGTCTATGGATGGGTAAATAGCTCTGTCTTTTCTCGTGGGTGTCTGGCGTCTGGCGTCTGGTGTCTGTTGTTCTTGGTTAGGTGTTGGTAGACAGCTCCGACTTTGACGGAGCGTTACTGAATGGGTTTGCTTGGGATAGGAAATGGTGAGTTCTCTTGCTAAAATGATTCTGTGGATTCCTCAAAAAGCCGGCAAAACCCTACTCCTTGAGTGAAAATAGAATTCAATTGCTCGCTTCATTGATAGAGCTAATGTATGTTGTAGTCATTCGTCATGAAGGTAGATGTTAATCAAAAGGAATCGGTCGTAGACCTGTTCCGCCAATTCGTTTCCTCATTTCGGCTCCAGCGGCAACTGTACTCGGCACTTTGATACCGCAGCAATCTCCGAAATGATCAGTGTGACGGGCGTGAGGATGGCCATCTCCATGGTCGTGGAGCTCGTCATCCTCCGCATCATCCGTGCGCTCTCCCATACTCGGGTCAGCGGGCAGCAGACTGCCGAATAGAAAATGCTGCATGATGGGTAACTTTCCCAGAACCTCCTTGATGAACATTTTCTTCATGCCTCCTTCAATCTTCAGCCAGTTTCTGGCACCGGAAATATCATCCAGCATGGGACTGTGCCACCGGAGGCCTTTGACCGTCTTCACGCTGTCTACCCATCGCACTTGATCCAGATAGATATATCTGTCTCCTTCTTCGTCTAATACTGCCGTGTTGTGGATCGCTAACGGTGTGATGTACGGATGATCCACAAGCTGGGCGGCACCGAAGAGGAAGGGCAGAAAATGGTAGTCGTCCAGACCCCAGACACCATGTGAGCCAGCAGGTTCCAGATAATAAGTCATTTGTACTTGCCGCATGAGATGCATATACTCGAGATACACTCTGAAAACGATCATTGGAAAGTCTGCCGTCGATATCATCTGCATCTGTCGAAGGCACAATAGCCACATCATAAAGTTCAACTCATGTCCTGAACCATAGTCTAAACGGTCCCGCGATCCCAGGGAGTGGACCAAATATGATGATACTTCCTCTATGGCGTCCGTATTCTGTAGTCCGAGAATGTCTCTATGCCATGTCGCACTCTGCGCAGCCACATCATCGAAGAGATCGCGGAAAGCCGGGTTACCGAACCTTGAACCGCCTTGGTCAATGGAAGGATGTTTGTCAACGAGTTGTCTAATACTGTCTATCACGGATAGAATTCTGGAGATGTTTGGGGAGGCGGGTTGGTCTCTGTCATCTGTAACCGCGCGTCCTCTTACTGAATCAGAGAGGCCGAAAATGAAGGCGACGACGAGAGTGTAGGTCGACGATGCAAGAAAGGTCTCGTGATCTTTCCGCGATAGGATACGCCGGACAGGCCGTGTATAGGTATGAGTCGATAGATCTGGTGGGCTGGGGAGAGAAGGTGTCACCGGGGCGGGCTCTCTGGACGAGGGGCCAGAGTGAGACTTGCGACTAGCTCGCAGCTCGGATAACTTCTTGGACAAATCAAGCTTGGGTCCTGCTGGCGGAGACGACATAGTCGCATGAGAAGCCATCATGTAGTTCGCATAAAGAGCGATCTGATTCTGACAGACGCTGGCAAGTGACCTCGAAATGTAATCACTTGACTGTAAAGTGGCAGTACTAGTACCAAAGCTGACAACGAAACAAAGTGGTGTCACAGGCGCTCTCGCCGGCAGATGGGGCGTATCAACACACCGCCTGCTAAAAAAGGATTATGACGGCATTGCCATAAGCAGGCTAGCGTCATCTACTACAGTCACCATGTGATCAGGCAATAGACTAACCGCTAATGGCTAAGGAGACCCTGTTTGCGTAAAGACAAGCTGAAGGAAGCAGGTGGAAGGACAGCTGAAGTCTGCTGTGTAAATGCGAAAGAGGCAGGAAATCACGGCAGGATATTAACCAATTCCATCGTCTTCTCAGCACCTCTGACCATGGTCGATGTGAAACCTGGAAGACAATCTGGAGAAGTAACGGTTGATATATCTACATCTGGCAGCTGATGGTGTGCCGTTTCAAATAAGCAAATACTGCATTGGCCTACTGTTAGTCCTGCATTTTGGCGAGCACGCCATCATGGACCACTCGGATCTGACTGAATCCCACGCCAAAGAGGCCACTAGAACACATCGCTCTTCATCCTCTCCATCCGAAACCTCGAGTTCAGCACCCATGTCGCCGTCAGCCCTGCCACAGGCAAGTAATGGTGCTGATCGAGCTGTAAGTAACGGGCACTCCGCACAGCGGCAATCCGGCTCGACCGATGGCCTCAGAAATCGAGATTCCGGATCTGGCAACGGTCATGCAAAGAATGCAGCACAAAGAAATGGAGGGAACACCGATGCATCAAACGATCAGTCGGAATTGGACGATTCACATGTCGCGTGGTATACTCGACTGGCGGAGAGATATGGCAGTGTAGAACTCGAAAATAAAGGAAGCGTCGCTCGAGATCATCTTGCATTAGGTGTGCCTCCACGTCTCGATTTTTCTTTTTCTCCTCTTTCCATCCTCATATCTGTAGCATTCGTTAACGTCTGTGGCTGCTAGAACGCACATTTTTGGCCTGGTTGAGAACCTCGCTAGCTTTTGCTTCCATTGGCATCGCAGTGACCCAGCTCTTCCGCCTGAACGCGACCAGCGCACCATCTTCCGACGTATCCTCTCAACAGTTCCCTTCTCTCCTTTCACCCCCTTTCTATGATCCTGCAACGATAAAGATCACGTCTGAATCACAACGACTGCGGAATCTCGGCAAACCTCTCGGAACGACGTTCATTGGAATCGCCCTGATGATTCTTCTGATTGGGTTCCACCGCTATTTTGAAAGTCAGTACTGGATCATCAGGGGTAAATTTCCGGCGAGCCGTGGAAGTGTTGCTCTGGTAGCAATTGTTGCGGCCGCTTTGATCGTAACCACTTTTGTCGTCATACTCGCAATTTCGCCGAGTGCTACTGAGACTTAAGGCAAATAGGAACATGGAGCATCGTCTCCCAGGCGACTGGCGTTATTGTACGGGCATTCAACAATTGCGTTCACAATTTATGTTGATCTGTTTCATTTCAGTGTATATCCCTTTCACTACCCTATATAACAAACAGTATTGGGGCCAAAGGTGGAACCTTGATTATTTCTGGCGCCATTATTATCAAGACCTAGATCTAGACTATTCAAGCTCAACAAGGTGCCGCTCGCAAGTAATCCATCAGATGTGAGTATCGCCAGTCTCCCTTATTCTTCAGCTTGTAATAGTCGAAGCAAAATAAGAGATGCGGGGTTACGAAGGGAGCATCTTGCTCTCACATAGGCCGAGAACATTTCCTGCTTGACAGCCAATGCGACAATTCGGATGAACTCAGAAGCTATGTGGATTACTTGTCATTGACAATCCTTACCTCTAAGGTTGAAGTTGATAAAGCATCCACTTCCCATCCTATCACGGCACTTGACTATCGGAGGTGTTGACCTATCAGTCACCATCGATGTGGCACTCCGCCTCAACCTACCTCTAAAGGTTCAGCGTATCCTGAGTTCCTTAGATGGTGCATTTGCGGTCGAATGATGTGGTTTTGCTCTGCCCTGGACTGCTTGGCTGTGCCCATGGACCTTAAAAGACCATGTCTCCCCCTCAGTATAGTTCGGTTGTCCAACTTCGGCTTTGCATCGTCGATTGCATCAATACGAATCGATAGACTAGCTGCTCAGTATGACTATGCTGCCGCATCCCCTTGATCCATTGTCACCGGCAGAGATATCGCTGGTAAGTTCGTGCCTTCGCCCCATGAGGTTGTTGTGCAATGTAAGCTGACAATTCAGGCTGTGCGTCATCTGAAAAATGCATATCCGAGCGATAAACTCGTCTTCAGGGTAGTCACCCTTTTGGAGCCTCCCAAAGCTCAGATGATACCGTATCTAGAAGCAGAGCGTTCTGGAAAATGGGACGTTACTGCTCCAAAGCGGAGTGCGTTCGTTCAATTCTACAAGAACGCACCAGCAGATTTTCGCGAGGTTCATCTTGAATTGGACACAGGCAAGGTTACAAAAGAGAAAGACCTCGCGGGAAGACATTCATATGTCGACACGGAGGAGATGCAGGCTGCTGAGGATGCTTGCATTGCCTCGGCCAAGGTGCAGGAGGCAGTTCGTTTGCTGGAACTCCCCGAGGAGGCTGTCGTGTGTATTGAGCCTTGGACGTATGGGACGGACGGCATGAACGATATGTCGGAGAGAATTATCATGGTATAGTATTCGATCACCTCGGAGTGCGTAGTAGTGACGTTCCGTACAGTGCTACTTCTATATGCGTCTTGGGAACCACGGTGATGCGAACCATTACGCGTATCCGTTAGACATCTGCGTGGAGATGTCGGGCGATCTCACGGTTAAACGAGTTCTTTCACTGCCTTCGGGTGAGCACGACAGAACCGGGGTTGCCAGTGAGATCGGTGTCAAGCCGTTTGATCGGAACAAGATCCACCGTACCAGCGAATATCATCCCGATCTTGTCACCGAGAGGCGAACTACAACTAAGCCATACCAGGTCGTCCAGCCAGATGGGCCTTCGTTTCAGGTCCACGGGAATCTGCTCACATGGGAGAAGTGGCGGATGAGAGTTGGCTTCAACTATGTGAGTCACCATCCGGGAACCAGCAGTCGATCTCAAATTGACACTGTTTGCCTTCTCAGCGGGAGGGCTTGACTCTCCACGATATTACCTATGATGGTCGGAGCGTTTTCTACAGACTCTCCCTGTCCGAGATGTTCGTACCGTATGGCGACAGTCGTGCCCCATATCCGCGCAAGGCTGCTTTCGACCTGGGGTCGAACTTGGCCGGTGTGAACTCAAATAACCTCAAGCTGGGTAGGTATTCATTCAAATTAGGGCTGATGGCAACAGTCGCTAACAATGATGAAAAGGGTGCGATTGCTTAGGCTATATCAAGTACTTTGATGGATACCATCACACCTCTGCTGGTGACCCGATAGTCCTACCGAATGTAGTTTGCTGCCACGAAATTGATGACGGTATACTGTGGAAGCACACCAACTATCGGACGCAGAATGCTGTCGTAACAAGGTCGCGCGTCCTTGTGTTGCAGACGATCATTACAGTCGGGAACTACGAGTACATATTTGCCTTTCACTTCACTCAAGATGCGTCGGTCAACTACGAGGTTCGTGCAACAGGCATTCTATCCACGGCACCCATCAACTTGGGCCAGACAGTGCCATATGGAACCATCGTGGCCCCCGGGGTCATGGCGCCGTACCATCAGCACCTCTTTTCTCTGCGAATCGACCCAGCTATTGACGGGCGCAGAAACTCCCTGATGGTCGAGGAATCCCACGCAATGCCCTTCAACGACCCCAGCGTTCATAACCCTTTCGGAGTGGGATACACAACCGTGAACCACATCGTTGAGTCCGAAACACCCCTGGATCTCGACGTCACCAAAGGACGAGTGTTCAAGATCATTAACGAGAATGTCAAGAACCCCATGTCCGGGGGACCAGTCGGATACAAGCTTGTGCCGCACTACTCGCAAATGGTACTGGCGCACCCGTCATCCTACCACTTCAAGCGCTCTGAATTTGCCGAGCACGCTATCTGGGTGACCAGATACAGCGATGAGGAGCGTTACAGCGCAGGCGAGCACACGATGCAGTCACTGGGAGGAGAGGGCATCGCTTCCTGGATCCGATCGCGACTGGCGCCAGTCAGCGTGCGCAACGAGGATATTGTGGTCTGGCACACATTCGGCACGACACATAACCCCCGTGTTGAGGACTGGCCCGTCATGCCGGCGGAGAAAATGACAGTCTCGTTGAAACCGGTCAATTTCTTCTGGAAGAACCCTGCATTGGACGTACACGTCAGCTCGCAGGAGGATAACAAGAGTGTTTTGGTGCAGGACCAGGACCAGGATAAGGATCGTAGGGGTGTCCAGGCAGATGCTTGTTGCAAACTTTAAGAAGCTGACACAGTGTAGGTGCGACGAAGTGATCGCCCTAATCATTGAGACCGAAGCGGTAATCTTGATCTAAAAGAATGTCCACCTATCTGCAGTGCAACCATGGAACATCTCATAGGGCTGAGATCCGCTCCCGGACTTCGCCGTTTGCTTTGCATACCTTTGGATGTCAGCGGTCAGCCCTTATCTAATCGTACTGTATTTCGTGAACCGGTAGATCCGGAAGTGGTACTCTGTGGATAGAGTACGGAACTCTTCGCAACCGCCGAGTGGATTAAGAGTTGCCGCTGACATAACCATGGATCAATATTAACTATCTGAATTGTCCAACTGGTAAATCCAATAATAGTTCTGCCTGCGGTACATCGATGAGACATCGAAAGTAAGCCACGATATCTATAACAAAAAGACCCTTGCATACCACGTAGCTTATTGGGAATATCCCATCAACTATTGTTTTGTAAACTGGGGTAATTACTGGGGATAGTTAAATCTGGTTATTCATTCATGGGATTCATTGCCTGATGACATCTGTGCGATCATGACGCAGTTGTGGGATGTTGACAGCCGGCGTCGGTCCTCAGGGATGACTTATCCTGCGACTCGCTAACTTATCTGATGCAGGTACTCGAGGCACTAATCCAGTAGTCAGGAAGAATAGAGTAACAAACACTTTATCGGTAACCAGAAATAGTAACGATAAGTAACGATAAGTATCACGAAGGGTGTACGCAGGTTAAGTGCCGATGCAGTTGCTTGAGGTTTGCGATGTGAACAGCGGCATGACGAGCATCAATCGACATGGTTCCCGCAGACTTGTAGGGGTCTGAGACAGTGATGCGATCAAAGCTATCGATTGAAGATTCCAGTATGTTTCGAATTTGGGGTTGATGATCCGTGCCTGCTTTGTTCCCGAAATAGAAGCGGATAGACAATGCATTGATGATCAAACTGCGCTATCTGCAAATGAAACAAATGAACAAGGACACACATCCTGGTGTCCGGAGAGCATTTCTAATCTATCTCAAAGATGGAGCATCTACGAACTACTATGTTTGATCTTGGCATGAGAAGCACTTTTCTGGACAAGGCTATCAATCTGCGGTTCCTGTATTTGTTAGAGGTTGTCCCAGAGTGTTCGAAAACAGCAGCAGGGAACCTGCCTGGTCTGTGCCGTATGACTTGGCAATTGTCGCCATGGATATACATACTCCGCACCCCGTAGACCACCTACCTAGTAAGCTAGGTGCCTGTACTTCATATAAGAGCTGAAAGCATGGGATTGTACGCCAAGGAGGCAGAAGGGGGCCATAGCCTGATTCATCAGGATATCCGCCAGGAATGTGTCAATTGCCAAATGCCTGACAAGAGAGACTTGCCTCGATCATCCGTAACGGCGCATTTAAGCAGTCCACAATCCTGAAAGATGCGCCATATCCACGTACTACCTTTACGTAGCCGCTCATGCTCCACTTGCCAACAAGGGGGGCTGCCCAGCATCTAGCCCATGTCGGTTTTCTTCAAGATTGAGGGTGGCATATTTGCTCCAGCCGTACAGTCTGCATTTAGTAATCTTGAGGAATAAGAATGCCACATCGAGGGTCAAGCCCTCCGGCCATTTTTATGGAACCGAGTCCTTCAGAAATGAACAGTTCAAGAGGCTGTGTAAACTAAGAATATCAAGCAAAGCAGGGATCACCGGATCACCGTCTTATTGATGTGCCTGGTAAAATACACTAGCCCATTGTAAGTTACTACTACTAGCTCACTTCTGGTTCAAGGTTAGCTTCATGGCACTAGCGGTGGCGCTCAGCCGGACCTTGCCAAGATAAGTGAGATTTCGACTGGCCTTTCTGCACCGCTGATTGGATACGCCGTCAGGAACGGGCATTTAGTCCAGTTGGTGCCTGGAGGGATTTCTCCGAAAGTGTTCATTTCGGAAATGACCATAGGTAATGTTACGGTGTGCACTGCAGCTATTGACAATTTTTGATTATGAGATGCATTTAGTCTAAACCATAGGTAGTCAAATCCCAACAATCTGAACCTAATATTGATTGATTTATTATTATGATCTCTGCTGAATAACAATATTAAACCACGGGTGATTTAATAAGATTTGGCAGACTTTCAAGGGCGTTTGTGTCTTATCCCCTAACCAGGGTTGACCTCGTACACCCAGTGGCAACGCAGGGTCCATGACGCTTTTACTTTGGAGATGTTCCAGTCACAATCAAGAGAGAAATTTGTATGACACTCACATGCTGACTTGTTCCATTCCAGTCCTCAAGAGACTCGAATTTCTCCCAGGTACATCCTGCCCCGGAGATGCACGAACCGAACTCCAACAAGGACTCAGAAACGGTCGGACCGAGTGACCGCAGCCAACTGGGTCCGCTTCATCATTCAATACCTTGGTTTCCTGTCTGCTAGATTCTTAAATTGAATGATGATGGATCATTATTCATGAATATCTTATAATATACGGCTAGTCTAGTTTGAATATCTATGAATCATGGGAAATTAGAACCTAGTGATAATAATAATAGGCACCTGATTCTCGTACTCCGTAGGCCCGTCAGATACTTGTATTGCAGCAGTTCGTTAATTTTCCTGCCACACATTAACTAGGCGGTGGGTTTCTGATCGACTGGAGCGGGTAATACCGCGTATTGAACCGGTCAGGTCAGGTACAAATTACGCTAAGGAAAGTTACTAACTGTCCTTGGACCCCCAGACCTCCACTCTACCGTGCAGAACAGCCAATCAGTGTGTGTTGCCCTCCACACATTCACCCTTCTCCTCCCTCTTGCTGTGGCTCTCTCGCTGCCTCTCGCTCTATCTACCCGTCATTCACTCCTCGCCCGCAAATCAGCCTGTCCTCCTTCGTTTCCGTCGGTTGCTCCAATCTTCGTCTTTTCTTTTTCCTGTTAGTCTGCTAGTTCTACGAAGTCCGTTACTCCCGCCTCTTTACTCCTCCCCCATCCTCATCCTCATCCTCATCTCCTCTTGACTTCCCTCATTTTGCTTCTTTTAGTTCCTTTTGCTGTTTTCCTCTTTCCGTCCGCTCCTCAAATTTTCTCCCTCTGGCCCTTCTTGTGGCCGTCCGCTCATTAACCCAAGCAACAATTCAGACCTGCGCTGTCATCAACGACTCCGGTCGGATTTGAACTTGCTGCGCCCATCGCCTTACTCAAATCGACTCGACTGTTGGATATTGAAACTGCAGCCCTAGGAGTTGTTCTTCGACTTCTGTTTTCCTTCGTTATCTCCCTTTTTTCTGTATCTCGCAGACCGAAACTTGGCTTTGATTGGGATCGTCGCCTTCGAGCTCGTGGAGTCTTTCGACATATTCAATGGTGTCTTTGCGAAGGTGAAGACCTCCAGACATCGCCAGGCTTTCCAATAAACCGAAGGAAAGTCACTTGGTCTGGAGGTCCCTGTGCGTCCGGATCAATCGACTGTGGATATCTTCTTTTCAAGGAGTTGGGCGGATTATTGTTTTGACCAGCAAGTAGTTGCTGTCCACTGCTAATCATGGCTTCGATCTCTCTGCCTCTTCCAGCTCAGTCACCTGCAGCCTTGTCTCAGCATTTCGATTCGCCTGGCCAGTCTCCCGGCCGACACAGCCGTCGTAATTTAAGCATGGCCGCACCTCTTCCCACTCCACCATTCGTCTTCCCGGCTCGCGATCCAGAAACCTCGAATATCCAGCCATCCACGGCGCCTGAGCAAAGAAGCAGAATTCCTCCCCCTCTGCCAGCTTTCTCCTTCAACCCTGGATCGTCCCATGCCACGCAATCCTCCGTATCAGCAGTTCCTCCGACTCGAGCGGGTGGACACCGTCGGCGACCTAGTGAATTCATCGGAGGAGATCAGTTAGTCACCTCGGGAGGGACAGAGACCGGCCAGAGCAACGATGAAAACCCATTACCAGCTCCTGCTAAACTCCCTACTCCTGGTCCTGGATTCAGTGCAGGTGGGCCCGGACGACGTCACCATGCCCATCGACGATCTGCAGCCGTCTCTGGTGTAGATCTTGCGGAAATAACTAAAGCGCTTGCGCCGAAACCCGCAGGAAGTACACCATCGACACCAGCAGACCCAAGGCGTGAAAACGGCGCACTCGAGGAACAACACAGGCCCGTCTCCTACTCAGCGATACCTCTGGGTCGACCAACACCTCCAGCCTCTCCCCGGATTCCATTCGCTGGAAGCTCGCCTCATCGGGCTAAGACTGAGTCCCCAGATCGATCACCTGCTAGTGGACGACCAGTTTTGCCACTCAAGTCGAATAGTCCTGGACCCATGGGCTCCCACCAGTCACAACCGGTTGCTAGAAATAGCGGAAAGTCTGGTAAAGATGGTTTTCTCGCTGCTAGTGAGGCGGCGTCCTCTGCTCCTGAAAAGGTCTCCCCTAGACCCCGGACTGCCGATGCGCTCTTGATGTTTGATCTTGGTGAAAATGGGGTTTCTGGCGATGTATCGCAGATGAAGCGACCGTCGTCTGCTACTGGACACTCTCGAGTCCACAAAAGTCTGTCTTCTGGACTTCTTGACGCAGCTATTGGGAAGAAAAATCGATTTGGTGACGACGGTCACTCAATGAACTCTTCTCGGCGTTCATCATCCACTGGGTCAGGCTCCGATACATCTGGCGACGACCATGATGAATCAGCGGAACCTCGTGCCTCGAAGAAAGGGCTATCAAAGACCAAGAAGAGACAAAAGAAGGTACGATCTTGGGCGGGCTCGATATTAATCCGTAGCAAGGGCAAGCGGCATCACTCGAAGAAGGAAAATGGAGGAACAAACTCTGCAATTCCTACACCAGTCATCACCAGAACTAACTCGGATCTCGGTTCGGGGTTGGATGTCGATTTTGACGATGATAACATCGTTGTCATCCGCACTCCCACGAATCCCAACGCGCCCGAATCGAGCCGGTCAGCTATGGAGACTAATACGCAGCCGTCATTCGAAGAGTCCTGGAAGCCAAGGAGCTTCTACGAGCAGGGCGTACAGGATGATGCTCTCAGTCCAGTCATCGATTTGGATGCAGCTCTAGGACCCTTCAACACACCTGATATGCGTGCCGATAGAGTTGTCGGGAGTGGATTCTCTGTTGTATCCCGACGTATGTACAGTGGTGGACGACGGGGTGAATTCGTCGGGCCTGAAATGCGCTATCATCGACGTGCAGAAAGTGCTCCGGAGATGCCTCCTTTTGATCGCAGCTTTCTCAACAATCGCCTTATCAATTCCTCCAGCCTGGAAAATCCTGATGTTTTTTATGAGGAAGAGGAGGACGCCTTTTTGGCGGCTACTAGTGAATCACCGAAGGAAGATCAGGCAGCCTCCAAATCTAATGTCGTCCCACAACCCGATAATTCGGACCAGATAACGGTGCATAGCAAGGCCACTTCCGACACGTTGACTCGAAGGTCGGCGGATGCCGGATCCAGCACAGAAAGAGCTGGCCTCGGCATCCAGAACAACGAGGGAACAGGGCCAGAAGCTCCCATCCCTGCTCCTGCGAGCCAGGAGACCTCTGGGGATCCCGGACTATCTGCACATGAGAGGGCTGTTGACCAGCTCCACAGTGCTAAGAATCCTTTCACAAGCCATCCAAAGAGCCCGGTGGGAATCATCAAACACGAGAATTGGCCGAACAAACCGCCAGTGCCCCCCAGTCCTGAAATTTCACCAAGATTTTTGCCTGCTGACAACCGACCGGCGACGTCTCCTCTGGAACTCACTGGCACCATCCCCCAATTTTCCCTACAGAGTAGCTGTTCGCTATCTCAATCTTCTTTCCCGTCTCCGGACTTCACTTTGTCTTCTTCCGATGCTCCTCGCTCTATCACAACAGCTTCGACAACAGATCACAACTTCTCCAACCCATCGTACAATCCATCTATGGATTATCATCAGGCTTCAGTGGACGATGTGCCGTCTTTGACCAGCAGTGTGTCGACCACAACAAATACGTTGAATCGGTTCTCAGGCACCTTCTTCCATCGTTCTCGACTTTCCACTGACCGCTCGGCTTCTTTTTCTGCCGCCGGCACTCGCCGCAGCAGTCAAGCTCACAGCCAGAAGAGGTCAAGCTTGGCTAGTTTATCCAAACTCGTTGGTGGTCCTCAGGGCGAGAGAAGCAAACTGAGCTACGAGGAAAAGCCTCCGAGTGATGTTTCTGAGAAGTCAAAGAAGAAGAGCCGTCGTATCAGCCGTCTCGTGCATTTTTGGAGGACGAAAGACAAGGAGAAGCTGAATGAGAAGGCTGTTCGAGAAGATCAGCCGTCATGAACAGTTTCCGCCACTTCAACGATTTCACTTTTAATTCTGTACATATTGATCCACATTATGAACGATTCATTCCGCATGGTCTTTGCAGGTTCATTCCTTGCGGGACCAATCCAGCTTTTGTGCTACTTTCCCATTTCGGTTGAGATTACTGACGAATCTCTTTTCTCGGCATGCCTTTCAAGCGTAAGAGTATGATGCTCTGTTTCAATTTCTTGTCCCTCGTTGATGTCCGATTGTTATTATGGGCAAGCAATGCCGTTGCATTTATTCTCTTCATTCATTTTTAGCCTCTTTTTTTTCCCCCTTCTAATCTATGGCGGTCATTTGCGCATTCGTCAACATCATTGCATTGACGGTAGTGGCCACGTTATATGGGCGCTTCTGTTGTTTCCTGTCCCATGATGGATATGCCTGTCGCACTCATCGAGGCTTTTCAATTGTCTTTGGCGTTACAAACTGCACATTTGTGAGGCTACATGTCGGTGAATCTACACTCCAATCGTCATTGTCGAATACGAGACATTTACACGTTGAGGGCTTTTGACGCCGATTGTAGGCCATGTAGTTGTTGAGCATAGATCTGCATTACGAATCAGGTCATGTCTGTTTCCTGCACACTAGTTCGAACGTGATACTTGTTTCACAATGTTAACTTGAAGAAACATGATGAATATTATTAACGTTGTAGATAGTAAACCTGTCAAACGCGACATAAATCTGATTTTAATCGGTGGATGACGGGCCGAATACCAGGTAAGAAAAATACATAACCAAAGCCAGCCAGCAAAACTCAAGCAACCCAATCAAAAGCCGCAATCTGCAACAATATTCAAGGACATGGGACCACCAAGATCAGGTGCTTCAAAGAAATCCACATCATCAAAGAACGCACCAGGTCGCGATAACCGAAAAGAAAAGAAAAGGCCGCAGCAGAGCAAACAGGAAACAGCAACGTCGCGACATGACCAAACCGGTCAGGATGGGAACCAGATCGATCTCTCCGCCACCATCCCGCTGACTCTCCAGCAACTGCTGCTGAACGTATTCAAGACAGCCTTGCTTACAAGTGATGGGCCGCATGACCATGAGCGTCAAGATGAACATAGAGCACAAACGCCGAGGGCTGAGACAGACAGCGAACCCGAGGCTCAGACGACCGCCCCGCGGGAAAAGAAGAACTAGATATCAAGTCTTTGGTCCAGACTATCAAGTCCCATTTGTATAATCGGGACTTTGACTCGGCGTTTGCTGATGCCGATGAAGACCTCTTGCGCGCTTATGCGCTGCGCTGGAGTGCGTCCCGTGCGCTGGGGTATGCGGGGATTTTCAAGTCTGTATTGCGGACGTTGTTGAGTGGAAGTGATGGAGCTCAGGTCCAGGCTCAGGGTCAGTCCCTGGCGAAGGAGACGAACCATATCGTCTGCATTGGGGGCGGAGCCGGCGCAGAGATCATGGCAGTTGCGACTGCCTGGCGGGATATGATGGACGAGACCGCGCTCTCGAATAGTGTTGGTACGGTCACGTTGGAGGACGAGAGCAGGGGTCAGGATCAAAATCAAGACACAGCGGCAGCTGCGACTTCGTCGCCACGGCCAGGGCTGGCTATTACAGCTGTGGATATCGCCGACTGGTCGAGTGTCGTGGACCGGTTGGCGCGGACGATCCGGTCTCCCGCTGTTCCGGGCACAAAGTCGCATCCTGCGCCACTAGAGTCGGGAAGTGCAGACAGATTCGCCGTTAGATTTGAACGCGCGGATGTCCTCTCGCTGGCTGAGGAGGGATTAAGGAAGATAGTGCGTTTAGACGACGCGGCGGCACCGGCCCGCACGGTCCTGGTTACGCTCATGTTCACGCTTAACGAGCTCTTTTCGACGTCCATGGCCAAGACGACGGAGTTCTTGCTCCGCGCGACGGATCTGTTGACAGCGGGGACTGTCTTTCTGGTTGTTGATAGCCCGGGTAGCTATTCGACTTTGAAATTGGGCAAGTCGGCGAAAAAGGACGCGGAGCCGGATGGCGCCTCGGCGACGCCGCGGGAGAGACGGTATCCGATGAAGTTTCTACTAGATCATACGTTATTGTCGGTTGCCGCGGGGAAGTGGGAGAAGGTCTATGAGCAGGATTCACGCTGGTGGAGGAGGGATGCGGCCAGGCTGCGGTATTACGTTGGTGAAGGAGCGGGTTTGGAGGATATGCGGTTCCAGATTCATGCGTATCGCAGGTTGGCTGATTAGGGACAGGACAGCCAGATCACTCTATGTGAGGGCTATGAGATAGTATTATGACCATGATACCATATGTGGGACTTGTAGAGAGGAATGGATATACTATTGCTACAGATAAAGACTATGAGTTAAGAGAGACGGAGGAACAACCATACAGCATCAATTCGCCAGGAGATCATGCAAGCCCAAATCCTCATCCTGTTGGAATAAATGAGATCAATACAATAAAATGTCACATTGGGTGACCGGCCTCGTGCCTTGTTTTCTTCAAGCAACCGGATTTCTTCATCCCCCCCTCATTTAATTCCTCAGACCCAGCAGCAGACTTGTGCTCTTTCCACCGTCCTTGCCTTCATTGCCAGGCAGGTAGGTGACGTTGGGATTATTGGCCAGCGTCTGAGCAATATCCTTTGTGGCATCGATCCGACGAATCTCAATAAGACCACTACCGGCCTTCGCGACGGCCTTGCTGATGATCTCGGCACTCTCGGCTTCACCCTCCGCACGGATAACGTTCGCCTGACGCTCCTGCTCGGCTCTCTCGACGATGAACCGGGCACGCTCGGCGTCCTGCTGTGCGATCTGCTTCTGCTCGACGGCCCGTGTGAACTCCTTTCCGAAGGTCATGTGCGTAATGGAGACATCTTCCAGGGCGATGTTGAACTGTGCGGCACGCTTCAACAAGTCGGTGCGGATACGGTTCGAGACGGCCTCTCGTTGCGTGATGAGCTCTGCGGCGTCGAACTGGGCCACGATGGCTTTGAGGACTTCGTTTCCGATGGAGGGGAGGACACGCTCGTCGTAGTCGGTACCGTAGGTCTGTCCTACATGTAAGAGAGTGCCTCGACTCAAGGCTGCGAGCAAAGTGGACTCACCTGGTAGATGACCGGGAGCTTCGGGACATCAGGGCGATGCAAGACTCGCAGCGTCAAGCTCACCATCTGCAAGTCCTTACTTCCCGTTGTAGTGGAGATATTGCGGGGCTTGGTTCGAACATCATAGACAATCGCCTTCTGCAGCCAAGGGATCAGGAAATGTGTGCCCTCGTTGACAACCTTCTCCTGGACACCGCTCAATCGGTCGAAGATGACCGCCCGTGTTCCACCGCGGACGTCGTAGATGGAAGCGTTGAAGATCATCGCACCCGTCGCCACGGGGATGGCGAGCCGGTAAAGATTGTACAGACCGTTAGCCGCCATGATGGATGAGATGGAATGTGATGGGAACGGAGTCGTCAACACTAATAGAAGGTGGTCGTGTACTGCGGTCTCCCATTTGATGATGTCGGGCTTTTCGCATGCTGACCAAATCAGGACTAGCGCCGGACGCAGGGCCAAACCTCCCAACTCCGCCGTTTTGGCCCGAGTCGACCTCGTCTCTCTTTCTGCCGCTGCTCTCGACCTGTGCTGCACATCCACGTTTGTTTTCTCTGCAATTTTCGGCGCTTCCGGCAATATTAACAATGGGTGGTCATCTTGATCCTAAGAGCGGAGTGTGAGTTGCCTCGAATTGCGGTCTCAGGCGGCCTCCATATCCCTACGATCCGTGGGCGGTTGTATTCCTTCATCAGAAGAGGAAGGCGGCTGTCGACTCTTCTTTTCGTTCTAAATAGCCATTGATAGGAGCTTGATTGATTGGATGTGCTGACAATATGTCTAATGCAGGTTTATGGGCGACTGGGGTGATATGGGTAGGTTTATGGACCCCGACCTCAACCCGTGAACACTTTACTGCATCACGACCGGCTTTCGGATCCAAAGACGCTTCGAAGCCTAAAACCGCTCCAAGCAAACTCGATTACTGCAGAATGCGACATGCGGTATCCCAACCTGTGCTAATACTCCGTTTCTTGCTCCCTAGGCTGCCCGACTCCCCAGCGCATTGCTACCTACTCTCTGTCTTCCAACCGTCAGCGCCCTCTCGCTGGTGCTTTCCACGCTGCCATCTTCAACACCTTCCGCAGATTCAGAGGCCAGGTTCTCTACGTCGTTCCTCCTTTCGTGGCCGCCTACGCCGCCATGAACTGGGCTATTGAGAGGTATGCGCCCTCTTGCCTTGCATCTCACTTTGCGCTTTTGGCTTCAAACCAGTTGCTGATTGTCGCTTTTGTATAGAAACGAGTACCTTAACTCCAAGCCCGGCCGCCAGGCTGAGGGTGTTGAGGAATAAATGGATGCCTTTCCTTTACCTTCAAAATGAAAAGTGGGATCTGACTCAGGCTGTGAAGTCAGGAGGAGGGTACTGTGTGATTGCAATGTACAGTAACTAGAAAGCAATCAATTGTTCTTGTCTGTCTAGACTGCTTTTGGTAATTGTTGCGTCTGGTTGTTGACTTTCAAAAATCAGCGTATCCGCCTATCGCCGCCATGGAAGCATCGCAATTAGCACTAAAAACATTTTGACGGAATGCTAGTATATTGTTCAATGCTCGATGTACAGGACGGAGATGTAAGGGATTGAGATATAATGCCTAGGTAGACTTGTTGACCTCCGTAGCCAATAGCTAAGGTAGTATGACTTTAGAACAACTCTTATTGGTTCAATTCAATTGTCCCCTGTCGCCTGATTTCTCAGGCTCCCTTCGACACTGCGCTATGTAACGAGTGCACTTAACTGCAACTTCGAAGAGACTGCGAGCTCCATTTAGGCCGCTCGGTAGGCATATAATTTGCGCAGCAGTACAGTTTCAGTCATGTTTTGTCCAGCGGCTGGGTTGGAGCAAGCCCGATCGGTTCTGGCTGATGCCCAATTTATATCTCCACGATGCGCTCAAAGGAACCTTCTTGCTGGGGCATAATCCCATAACAACTGCAGCCGTAGGACCGGATAGTCCGGACAAGCACCTGCATCTCTGCTCAGAGACCGTTGGTCCCATACAGATGCCGCCAAACAGCGGCAAGTACGGTCGTCTACATATTGGTTGAGCGGTCTTCTCAGACTTGACGGATGGAAATCACATCCGAAAGATCTTTTGGACTGAATTGCACTTGTGCATGCCCCGATGAATGGGGATGTAGAGATCGGGTAAGGTTTCATGCTGCTCGTGGATGAATGCAGGTCCAACTAGATACTGATTGGATACTATACCTTCAGTAGCTGCAGTCAACAGACATATCAAATTCAGGGAGCGCCTGTTTGCAATTGAAGGCGCGTGGTTCTAGGGCCAAAACATAATCATGGACGAATTGCTCTATCCTTGGTCGATGAAACGGTTATCTCCAGGTCATTGAGGTCTTATTTTCGACAGGACGGGTGCCGCTTATCGCACTATGGGAATGCCATTGTATATGCAAGCAGAAGATGGCCGTGTCATAACCGTCAATGTCAGCAAAGAAGGGGAGGGAATGAGCTATAGAGAAGAGAACCTGATCTGAGAAGGTAACATACAACCGTGTGGACTGTGTTGGTGCTTTGGAGTATCCGCAATTGGAGTACTAATACGTAAGTAGAGGGGCCCCACTGTGCCTAAGAAATCTCTCTCGGGCCATCAAACAGAATTCTCAACGATAAAGAGGGTAAGGCAGAAAAATAGCAAAGCGTAGAAGAAGGAGGAAAAAACTGCCCACATCTTAAGGCCCATCAGGCAGTCAGGCACCCAGGCCATCCTTCCGCCCCCACTCCCGCATGCGCTTCTTTTGCTTTTCTTCCGCTCCAAAGACTTCATTTCTTTCCTCTTCTCTACGCCTGCGTCTTGCTTCTCCCTCTCCATCCTCTGTACTTCGTCTTCGTCCTCCTTGTCGACGTCGCTTCCACTCCATCACCATGTCCGAGATCACTCACCCCACTATCAAGGGTATGTTACTTTTCCTTCACTTATCGTCTATCGATCTTTATCGGTGCATCGCATCAACCCCTCCATCACTTTTTCCAACTACCCCACTTCCAGCACATCGCCAATAATTCCAATCCTATCGACCAATGGGTTCTCTCCAACCTCAATATACCTCAATCTACTCTGATTCGGCGTCAATTGCTTTACTGAATCGCTTGTTTCGTGTGTTGTCCTGAATCAATTCCGCTGACCACACCTCAGATGGCTGGTTCTCCGAGCAGTCGGATATGTGGCCCGGCCAGGCCATGAACCTCAAGGTTAACCAGATCCTGCACCACGAGAAGTCCAAGTACCAGGATGTCCTTGTCTTCGAGAGCACCGACTACGGCACCGTTCTCGTTCTGGACAACGTCATCCAGTGCACCGAGCGGGATGAGTTCTCGTATGTTTTCCCCACCGCACACGTTTTTTCCGGCAGCTTCTAATCGAGTTCTCTTTGTGTCACTGCAGGTACCAGGAGATGATTACTCACCTGGCCATGAACTCCCACCCCAACCCCAAGAAGGTTCTGGTCATCGGTGGTGGAGATGGTGGTGTACTCCGTGAGGTTGTCAAGCACGAGTCCGTCGAGGAGGCCATCCTTTGCGACATTGACGAGGTATTATTCCATCTACAATAGTTCCAGATGATGTTGATCGCTGACTTGTCAAGGCTGTCATCCGTGTCTCCAAGAAGTACCTCCCCGGCATGAGCATCGGCTTCCAGCACCCCAACGTCAAGGTTCACATTGGCGACGGCTTCCAGTTCCTCAAGGAGCGCAAGAACGAGTTCGACGTCATCATCACCGACAGCTCTGACCCTGAGGGCCCCGCCGAGAGCCTCTTCCAGAAGCCCTACTTTGAGCTCCTGCGCGATGCTCTTCGTGACGGAGGTGTCATCACAACACAAGGTTGTTCGTCGCCTTTCCTTTCTGTCATCTGCCCTTTATCTTATTTCCCTCTCCTGTCATCTCTTCTTCTTTCCTCTCTTTTTTTTTCCTGCGCTATCCAACCCCCCACTTTATCTTCGCTATTTTCGTTATCTTCGTTGTCTGTATTTCTATCTATATCTGTATCTGTCTCCATCCAAAAACAAGAAATCGAAGCTGACTGATCTACGTCCCAAACCACCCGACTCCCCACCCGGGATCGGTTTGGGTTCGTGTTTTACACTTCACAGCCGAGAACCAATGGCTGCATCTGTCTCTCATCACCGACCTCAAGAAGGCCTGCAAAGAGGTCTTCCCCGTCGCCGAATACGCCTACACCACAATCCCCACCTACCCCTCCGGCCAGATCGGCTTCATGGTCTGCTGCAAGGACGCCAACCGCAACGTCCGCGAGCCCGTCCGCACCTGGTCCCGCGAGGAGGAGGAGCGTCTTTGCCGCTACTACAACCAGGACATTCACCGGGCCAGCTTCGTTCTGCCCAACTTTGCCCGCAAGGCTCTGGATGCGTGAATCAAAATTACGGTTAGCATGTAAATGTAATTACCCAATGAAAATGATGTTCTTTATGATATCAGAGATTTTGGACCTGTTGTGTAATTTTTTTGACGGGCATTCATACGGACTACAGTAACTCATGAACGCGATGACCGACAATATTATGACATAATTTTATTTTTGATCCTCTAAATCTAGAAGAGCTTCACCAACAACCATGGGAGATAGGACCGATAAGAGCATTTAAAAGTAACAGAGATTCGTCGAGCCGTAAACATGACACTAAGAAAGGAAATCCATCATGACGCTAACGCAAGCCTTCTACAGAATCTGCTCAAAAGCACGGTTGATGGGCGAGCGCACGGGCTGGCCCTTGTAGAAGTCGATGGTAGCAAGGGCACGCTTGCTAATGCCCTCAGGAGTGAACTCGAATTTCTAAAGAAAAGGAAACAAGTCAGTACCGGCGTTTTTCTTATATCAGGCGGCGAGTTAAAATGGAGTCTTACCTTGTAAACCTCCTTGTAGGGGCCGGAGGCACCGAAGCGGTTGAGACCGAACTGCTCGTGAGAGTAGCGCTCCCAACCCATGGTGGACAGAGCCTCAACGGACAAGACCGGGATGCCGTCGGGAAGGACCTTGAGTCTGTAGTCCTTGGACTGAGCATCGAAGACCTCGAAGCAAGGGACAGAGACGACACGGGCGACGATGTTGTGCTTCTCCTTGAGGTAGGTGGCGGCCTCGATACAGATGCTGACCTCGGAACCGGTGGAGATGAGGGTGATGGAGGCGTTGGGGGCCTCGACGACGGGGTAGGCACCCTTCAGAGCAGCCTCAATGGTCGAGTTCTCGAGCTGAGGCAGGTTCTGACGAGTGAGGGCGAGGACGCTAGGAGTGTGCTTGGCGGTGATGGCGGAGTAGTAGGCAGCGCTGGTCTCGTTGCCGTCGGCGGGACGCCAAACCATGCAGTTAGGGAGGGCACGGAAGTGAGCCAGAGTTTCGATAGGCTGGTGGGTAGGACCGTCCTCACCCAGACCGATGGAGTCGTGGGTAGCGACGTGGATGACGCGGACGCGGGAGAGGGCGGAGAGACGGAGAGCACCGGCGGCATAGGAGACGAAGTTGAGGAAGGTACCACCGGCGGGGATGATGGTGCCGTAGGCAGCAAGACCGTTCATAACGGCAGCCATGGCGTGCTCACGCACACCATAGCGGATGTAGCGACCGGACCACTCACCAATGCCGTAGACGGGGGGCTGGAAGTCGACGGCGTTCTTCCAGCGGGTGTTGTTGGAGCCGGTCAAATCAGCGGAACCGGACAAGAGCTCAGGGATAACATCGTGGATCTTCTCGAGGACAGCCTCAGACAGTTTACGAGAGGCGACGGCAGCGTCGCTGGGCTTGTAGGTGGGGAGGCTCTTCTCCCAGCCCTCGGGAAGCTTGCCGGAGAGACGGCGGACAAGGTCGGCGTGCTCGGCCTTGTACTCGGTGGCGTACTTCTCAAGGAGCTGGTTCCAGGCCTGTTCCTTGGCAGCACCCTCGGCAGCGTGCTTGTGGTAGAGGTCGTAGACCTGCTGGGGAACGACGAAGCTCTGCTTGGGGTCGAAGCCGAACTTCTGCTTGACGCTCTCGCAGTCATCGGCCTTCAGAGGGTTACCGTGGACACCGCCGGTACCCTGGAGCTTGGAGCCGAAACCAATGGTAGTCGTCAGACGGATGACAGTGGGCTTGTCGGTGACCTTCTTAGCCTCGTGGATGGCGGCCTCGATGCCCTCGAGGTCGTTGTCACCATCCTTGACCCACACGGTGTGCCAGCCGTAGGCCTCGAAACGCTTCATAACATCTTCGGTGAAAGCACACTTGGTGTCACCGTCTAGATAAAAATATCTCAATTAGTAATCGAGTCAATAATGTTACTTTTTCGTAAGAACTTACCGATGGAAATGTGGTTGTCATCATAAATGGCAATCAAGTTGCCGAGCTTCAAGTGACCAGCCATGGAGGCAGCCTCGCTGGCAATACCCTCCATGGCACAGCCATCACCGAAGAAGCAGTATGTGTAGTTGTTGACCAGGTCATAGCCAGGCTTGTTGAAGACGGCTGCGGTGTGAGCCTGGGCAATGGCCAGACCAACAGCGTTGGCGAAACCCTGACCCAGAGGACCAGTGGTGACCTCAATACCAGGGGTGTCGTGAGCCTCGGGGTGACCGGGAGTGATGCTATCAAGTTGCTACGCAGGATTAGCAAATGCTCATTTCTTGCTCGATACTCACGGAAAGATCATACTCTGAAGCTCTTCAGGTCGTCCATGGTGACATTGTAACCGAAGAGGTGGAGGAGAGCGTATTGGAGCATGCAACCGTGGCCGTTGCTGGTGAAGAGCATTAGCAATTGAATTCTTCCATCATTCTAGGCCGAGGAAGCTTACGAGAGAACGAAACGATCCCGGTTCAGCCAGTTGGGGTTCTTGGGGTTGAAGTTCATGAACTTGTTGAAGAGGACGTGGGCCACAGGGGCCATGCCCATAGGGGCACCGGGGTGACCGGAGTTGGCCTTGAAGGTGGCATCGACCTGAATGATTGATTAGCACGTTTCTCCAACTGATTGCTTTTTATGCCATGAAGATGAAGCTGAGATGTGTCTTGTCGATGGAGGGAAAACAGCCATCATCCGAGCTTGCCCTGGACACTGAGCGGGGCGTTCCGCGGCCAGCTGTCGTTACAAGTTGGAGACAGCAGCATCTCAACCATCACAACCACCATCGACTGGGGTATTATAGAGGTATGCGTTATGAAAAGGGGACCAGATAGAGCATACCGCAAGAATACGGATCGTGTTGACGGCCAATTGATCCAAATCGGTGTAACCCATGATTGCTAACTTTTTTTTTTGCTGGAAGGTTAGATGATGTAAGTGATGGAGGGGAGACGGGGAGGAAGGGCAGGAGATGGTACTTATTAAACAAACTTTCTTCTGGAAATCTTTTTCGAGAAGGGGTTCAGGAGAAAGTGAGAGAGTAAGAGAAGGAGCAAGAAAAAGGTTGCAAGAGGGGAGTAGAGTAGAGAGCTATGGCAAATGCTTACTACGAGGTACGGACAGCCAGGTTGGAGGGGGAAGAGACAAGACAAGGTGGGGGAGATGGTAAGGGAAATGATGTCGGCGGTGGGGCAGCAACTCACCGAATGCTCAATTGACGTTGTTGGGATGGTCAGGATTCCGTAGCATTTGGGTTTTCCGACATCCATGATTTGCTATAAGAGTCGCCTCTGATGCATCATAAGTCAATTGGTGCATTGGACTCGCTTTTCTGCCAATTGCTACGAAATGGATAGAACACAGCTTCAATCTCTTCTGTATCAGAACCCTTGTGCTGACTGCGTAGCTGTGTAGCAGTCCCCCACTCCCGCTATCGCCGTCTACACCCCAGGCATCCTCTTCCGCGGAGTTTTGCCAGTTTTGCCATGTAGAGTAAGCATTTAGCATAATAGCAAAAAATTTACCATATGTGAGATAATCCTTATCAATCTAGAACCTTTACGTCTCCACGAAGGAATCTTCAGGTCGTCAATTGCCGTCGACTACTCGGTCTCACAGAGCGTCAAGAGTCAAGGCCTCCGACGCATAGGGAGTACTGATGACATTAGCCGACGCCGATCATCGGCCAATTCTTCCAGTTCTCCATGACCAGGGGATATCTGCCAATACTTGCCCCTCCATGCAAAGTGATATCCTCAAACTCACGCAGCAAAAAGCAATAACGACACAGCAACGCTACACAGTCCTCCGGGAGCGAGCCTATGTTCTTGACAATATTCCGTAGTTCCTTATTAATAACCGACACCGTTGAGAGCTCCAGAACAATGCTGGGTCCGGAGGACGCTACTCCGATCTATTCTACGCAGTACTCCATAATTTTTCCATGATTCAAGACCAGAGAGATGCCGCGGGTAAATAGGTAGATAACTATACTGCTGGTCTGCTGATTAGAAAAATTTGAATTTTTTGTAAGCATTTTGCACGCCATTATCAGATAATTATCCATCTTCTAGATATCAACTACTTTTCAGTTTCAAATGCGAGTGTCATAACTTTGCCAGTTGTCAAGAATTAGCCACCACGTCCTTCTACACATGCTATAAGATGACAATTCAGCACCTAGAAATAAACAATAGATAGACGCAGTTGATCTACAAGGCCAACCTATCACAGTACCCAAAACCTTCAGGAGCCTAAGGTACCTATTTGTCTGCAAGTACCCAGGTAGTAGACGGGCTTGCCAGATTCGACCAATCCGGTGCCTCTGGCGCTGCCATGCTTGCGAGCATTCCTCCAAGTATGCATGACTTGTGAGATGAAGAGTGTGATGCATATGATGATGGAAAGGCGCAGGATGCATATACAGCATCATTGATTTGAGGAAGGACTAATATAAATAACATATATATATATATATATGGTAAAATATGACCCTTACACCAAAAACAGTTCAAGATAGACTTAGATGACGAGAAAGGTGTCTGCTCAAGAGACTCACAAACCACAAGACTCCAGAGACAATAGGTATCATGGCGAAAAGAAAGACTAAGAAAAAATATCGCCTCCCTGAGCGCGCCCAGTTTATATAAAATCCTTCATGTCAAAAGCATAACAAGTCTCAGACGGCCAGCCGTCGGTCCCAACCGTGAGTCATTCCAAATTCATCAATCTCGTCGTCCACTGCCGGGATCATGATGCCCCGGAATGGGTCCAAATCGTCCAGAGGCAGCTGCAAATCATGGTACGGCAACCTATCCTCGGCACTCATGCTCTCGTCGGAGAAACTGAGGACGCTCTGCGGCGCGGGGTTGATCTCATGGTTCGGCAACATGTCGCTGTTGCTGCTCGCCGACCATGCTTCAGGTGACAGACCCGGGACATCCTTGGTTGACGCAGACGGCGGCATGGGACTTTGATCCGCTGGAACGTAGCCCGCAGTCAAAGAAGCAAATGGACCACTGTCCTCACCACATTCTTTGCCCCCGTAGATGCCGGTAAATATGTTCGAATAGCCGTGATCCATGTCGCTCAGAACAAATTCCCAGTCAGCCATACTCATCGGACCCGCGGCGGCATTCGAGGGAGCCGAGCTCGACATGGTCTGTGCGTGCTCATGTGTCATAGATGGCGAAGCGTAGTAAGCCCTGTTCATGGACTGTTGCGGAGCGGCATAGTTCTCAGATGGCAAGCTAGCCCGACTGGGAGATCGAAGATGACGGTGAGGGGCACCAATACTGGTGCCCGAAATGGTCGCTCTGCGCGACAGCGATTCGGTCGGCTGATTTGGCACCTCATCGCTAGCCGACCGTGATTTCACAGACTGCAGCTGCTTCTTGGGTGACTTAAGCGGCTTCTGTGCAGGTGGGGACATGGACTGGTTCTTGACGGAGGTCCCGCGCTTGTCATTGTCGAAGGAAACCAACAGGCTGGCTACCGAGCTGAACTCTGCTGCTGCTCGAGCCGACTCGGGCTCGAGTTGGTCAATAACCGCGGTAAGCAACTTCTGGCACTCCTTGAGGAGCTTGCTTTCGCGTTTGAGCCCCGTGTTTTGCCACAGAAGCCCCAAACCAGACGTGAACACCAGCTCTTTCCGGTTGATACTGATCGAGAGACAAAGACGTCTTTCGTCAAGCAGCTGGAGAATCTGAATAATATGCTTGCACGAGTCAAAAGTAGCCAGAATTGATGGAGACCGAATATGCTCTTCGCCAAAGCAGACAGCAGGGCGATGAATGAGAGAACGGATATAGTAATAAACCAGAGACTAAGTAAAACGGATGTTAGCCTACTGCACAGTAGTTGGGAGCGACGGGCCAAAAAACTTACCAGAAGGGGTGATCGGCTGCTTGTGATGTTTGTACTTGGTTTGTCCTGAGAGAATTCGAGGCGCAGGTGAGCAGGCAGTGTCTTTACCCATGCGTCCAATTGCTCGGCAACCGAGCGCATCTTCGACACCAATACCTCATAACCACCGTCCGAAGGGAAAATATACTCCAGAGCCTTGTTCAGAACTCGAGATGCTCCGAATAGTGCAAGAGCGCTCGAAATGCGAGTCGTCTCCCCCGGCAAAGTCGGCAAGAAGTCGGTCTCCGTGACATTCTCATCGTCAACGTCCTCGGGGTATTCAGTACGGACATCCTCTTCGCGTAGGAGGACTGGCAGTCCAGTCAAAGCAGCGGTAAGACTGTGGCCACGTGAGTAAAAAATCCCTCAAGTTCTTGAACGATCGAAGAGAGATGGGGAACTAACCGGTCAAGGACGTATTGACACCAAAACACCTTCTTACGAGTCTCAGCAACGAGCGGGTTGGAAGAGAATCGCTTCTGGCTCTGGTGGAGCCTTAGTTGATGGCAAAGGCCAACGGCGAGGCCGCGATAGCGGAGAAGACCTGTGTAGTCCCCCTTGGTCATGCAATACATCTGAGCAAGGACGTAGCACTGCAATGTCGAGATAGAAATGCTGTTCGACAGAGATTCGAGGGTTGACGACCAGTTGTCTTCGAAGAAGGTGGGATCCTGGTTGGTTCGTGACTAAACCTCCTGTTAGTTCCCCAAGTCTGTCTCCAAATGCAAGCCCAAACACAAGTTCTTACAGTAGAAGCAAGAGCAGCAATCCCGAAAATCAGGTTTAGTTGCACCATGTCATGAGTACTGCCCTGCAGAGACTCTGTGTTCGATAGATACTTTTCATAAGCTTTGAGTATGGTCGGGCGATGGACGACGGGGTATAGAGGCGCCCATTCTTGGAAGAAGATGTTGATGAGCTGGTCAGAGACAAGTCGTGGGGCGGTTTTAATGGCTTGGTCAATGCGAGCATGAGAGATAGCCGGAGGCGAGGCCGTCAAAGCCTCAGTTGAAATGCCAGAAAGAGGCCGTCCCTGCTCTTTGAGCTCTTTTGCGAAAACATCTACACAAAATTAGCAGGGCGTTCCGGGACCATACCGCGCTGTAAATATCATACCTAAAAATCCGCGAGCACTCGAAAGACCGAGACACAGACTATCAAGTGGCTCAGTCGAAGATTGTACTTCCGGGATCTGAATGGCTTCTTCGGCAGCCTCGGACAGCTTGGGGCGAGCAGATTCAGTAGAGGACGGTGATTGAGACGCAGCCTGAACCCTTTGCTGCGAAGCTGGCGAAAAAGAGTGTATACGTGACAGCACATCGATCTTCTCGTCCTTCTCGTCCAACAGATTCTTCAAATCCCTCACTTCCGCCTCCAAGGTCCGCACTCGTTCCTCCAATGATTCCGTGTATCCTCGAGGAAACGCTCGACGGCTAAGCTTGTCGCTTGTCTTGCACTCGAAACCGACATTTGCGCACTGTGTACAACACGGCCGAATTCCATCGCAGCGAATCTTTTTGCTTCTGCACCGATCGCAGGCCTGGGCTATACGACTTTGCGAGCCGTTGCCGACCTTGATCACTTTCATAGGGAGAATTCCAGGCATTTTGGCTGGATGCTCTTAACGCATCTGCCGCCGATAATTGATGCTTGCCTCGAAGTTGTGGTTAACGCCAAACAAGTGCAGGGTCGGGATGATATCTGTATATAGTACTCCCTAATGTTAAGCGACGATCCAGGTACCGAAGGCGTGATAGTTGTCTCGCATTCGAGATGTTAGAAGGGTGGAGAACAGACTGTCTGCGTAGATGTCTGAAGTAACGATATATTGCCAAAGAGAAAGAGGAGTAGTGGCGGTAGTAAGACGAAGACAAGAGGCGAGGAGAGGAGACGCAAGACAAACGGGGGATCGAGCCTGTTTGGGGATAAAGTGGGAAGAGTAACAACTTTTGACTACCGAATGGACCGAGTACCGTATTATTGTGAGGAAGAATTACAGCAGTACGTGAAAGTAGCATCACGCATTTCCCGGAACGTGTCAGGGGACCTGAGGGGAGGCAGCCATGTGGGGTGGCTCTTAAGCCACATAGCCAATAGTAATGGATGTTTTACTGCATTTCACTTGCTCAGCGGACACCGAAGATGCAACCGTGGGTTAGTCAATACTGTATTACGCTTACGGCTGCTCCATGTGGTTCTATCCAGAACGATCGTTGACTGGAGATTAATTGCTGACTTTAAAGAGTATCTTGGTTGTCGGCATTTCATGTCTCTGCTCGGATACAGATCTGGTTCACCGTCATGCTGCGATCATTTTTCCATCATGGAAACAGAGAACGGCAGTTTTGTGGAGGCAAATCTGGGGGAAACACTCTAGAAGTACTCCGTATCTGGGCGTCTGCCATGCAGTCCCCTTTGCATTTCTCCATCAGAGGTTATGCTTATGATGCGAAGCCTCATCTTTCAAGGTATGCCTTGAATCAGTGAGACTATGAGTATTGCAAAGCCGCTAAAACTCATAGTTCCAGCAGTAGTCTCTCTCCCTCTAGGCAAGAATGGACCGATGAGCAAACACAAATACGGATGATCGTCTATTATCCCTCCAATAACTCTTTTTCTAGCTCTATTAAGTAGAATATCAGCCGCCCGGACATGTCACATAGAATACAAGAAACAACTACAAAGATTCAGTCCATCCCATGGGAAGAGCTCTCCGCAACCCTGGCCTTGCGATGCTTTCATTGACTAGCGAGTTTCGGACTCAAAAGCTGGAGGCCTGACACGAGGGATGTCATGAGCGAGTAAGCCTTTCACCACCCACAACTGTGTCTTTGCGGCCACGGGGAGATTATCTACGGCTGATCCCGCCGAATTATTCCCTAGAACTCTTACAGCCCGAAGTATTCACGAGAATTTCTCGCCAGATAATCATTGATTTTGCGCACAAAGTCTTCCTCTAATAATACGAGCAGCAGGTACGGATACAAGAACATTAAAATGGATCGCCCCGAGTGTCCTGGCCGGCATTTGACTACCGTATTTTGCTGGGAGGGAAGATTCGGAACCATCTTACTGTTAAAGTTAGCTTGCCACTTTCGTGCCCCGTCTGTTCGCACCTGGAGAAAATCGCGGGGGATCCCCGTGGATACCATCGAATGCCAATACGAGATTGCCCCATTGCTCTCCTAAAATCCAATAGTATCAGAAGACATCGTGGCAACACTCAAAAGTTCAGTCATGCGATAAGCAGTGGCCACGGGTCTTTTCAAAAATTTGTGAATTTTATATGACCATGAACATGGAGTAACCATTTCTCCCCTTGGGAGAGTCTAATTTTTGCATGCCGAGCGTTGACCGAAGAAACCGCGACGGTGGAGGCGAGACGTTCAATATTTGGATCCGCCTTGATCCGGCTCCACCAACCATGAAAAGGACAAAAACTAATTTGATCAAGATATGAGCTCTGTGGAGATGATTACCAGAAGTAGGCGGCCCACGTTTGAAGATCTCCAGTGTTCTGAAGTTGCTAAACTCCGCAGGCATGCCCATTATCCAGTCTAGTACCTAGTGCAAGTGCACACTGCGAGTATCACAGCAGCTCATCATAGACACTAGCCGAGCAACAATAGAAATATCATGACGCTAGGCGGCTAGGCATGTAGCCTACTCCGTACCCCTTGCTGAATCTGCCGTTATCGGATGGACTACCGCAGGATGGCACGATTCCCTCTGGCTGGCGAAAGCTCATTTCTACCCCGATGACCCCAGTCCTTCTAGTCAACTTTCTGGAAGCACACGGAGTACAGGATTACATCTGGCCATAACCATACTTCATAGGCTCGGCGTCCTTTCCGCCCTCTCTTAGCGTGCGCATGGCAAGAGCCCAGGTTCCCCCTAGTGGATAATGCAACGACGTCATCCACTGGTGTCTCCAATGGCCAACTCATACCTTATTTGGACGAAACGGCCAAACAGAGTTTCGTGACTCGTGTCCCATGGCCCCAAGACTCCTACCTATTCCGAATGTCGACATCGGACCAGAACCTAACAGAACCAGACATTCCCCAGGAGCCCGAAATTGTGGTGCAGATCCCCAAGTTTCCTCCCCCAGTGTCCCGATCTTTCCCCGTCCTTCTACCCCAGAGTCGTGACTCGTACCCCACCAATGAATGGCTCAATAAATGTTAGGGAAGAACCGAGTATGGCTAGTTCGTTGTTCTTCCGTAATTGACTGGGTATTTACGAGTCTCCCATTGGGGGTATTGGGGGTAGTTTGACTTGGGGATGGGAAGAGTAGTGGAGATATCCTCGAATTTATTACTATTACTAGGGGACTGGACTTCCGGTTGGACTTCCGGTACAGCTAATGAACCATATGGTGATGAATGGATGCACACCTGAACCATTAACCTCATATATCACGTAGTTGGACTGCGCCAACGTTACAAACCCAATCGGAGTATCATTATGAAAAATCCTCTTCTACGTCATCCGACTGCTGGTTGAGGTACGCAGTGACCGTCTCAGATGTTATCAGTTCCTGTCGCTGCACGATGAAATAGTGGTTAGTGCATTCGTAAACGTGAGCGGGCATAGGATCAACACTCACCCTACTCATTAGGTCCTCGATACTCGATTGCAACAATCCAGCCTCTAGCCTCCGCAAGCTAGATATCGTATTCAAAACATCAGGTCGAAAGAGCGTTCGCATGTCCTCGTCATTGCTTATTTCGGCAACTAGCTTTTCGGTCTCCCGCAGGATCACCAGTTGAGTCTCAAGCCGATCGAGTATGAGCACAACTGCACGAAGCTGGAAAATAGCCCATAAAGGGTCCGCTGCTAGCAAATCCTTGAGGCGGCTGGGCGTTCCCATGTCCTCTCCTTTCCAGGTAGCTCTTAGTTCTTTGCCCCCATCGGTGGTTTGCACCACGTCAAAATTGAGGCCGTCTTCCTCGTTTACACAAGCCCACCATACAAAGGGGCTGTCCCAAGTGGTTTTGCCCGGCTCTGGACATGCTGTAGTAGCTCTGGTGATCCGTACCCCGGGGACCTCCTTGCAGAATACTTGCTTAGCCATTTTCAAAGGATCATCATCGGGAATATCCAGGTCGAGAAAGATCTGCTTCGCGTCCGTCCGTTCGTTTTCAACGAAACCGTAGGAGAATACCATCTCCGAGGCTGGTTTCTCATCACCATACCTACATGCCACCGCAATCAACATACATCTCCTTATCACGATCATCTTCAGAACTTACGATATAGTAACTTCCTCGCCGACACGTAATTTCTTGCCTGTTCGAAGCTGGAGTACAGCGTTTCCAGCTCCATCCTCATCGAATCTGGCTTTTACCAAGTCCTCACAGGCATGGTTTGCCATATCTACACATGGCACAATCGCATGCCCACTCCTGGGAAGATCGACCACTCGCGACCGATACACAGCGTCGACATACTTCCAGTCGTCGAATGTGAATTTCCCTGTGTCCTCATCCCACCAATGCTCCTGGCACCAGGGTATGTCCTCCGTAGCTTGGCGGAGGTGCTCGAATTCTTTTTCAAGAGAACCAAGTTTCGCGTCCACTGCAGTCTGCAACGATGTCCCGCCCAAGAGCTCGCGCTCTTCTGCTGAGTAAAATGTCGGTAGAGGTATAGAGGCCGGCATAAACCTAATGTACTCTGTCCAGGGGTTCGAGACACCGATCTTCTGGCGTTGGTTGGCGAAGTCAGGGCTTGCATGCGTGATTTGGACAATTAAAAAGATTAAAATCGCGCCTCTAGCTGTCTGTATATATTAGCTCGAGGGCTTACGCGACAGGTGACGAAAACCCGATCTATAGTGATCGTGACATATAACATACCCTGCCAAAGTCGCCGACGGCATCTAGGACCTCCCGAAGATGGCGATCTATTTTTGCATGGTTGTGAACGTACTCGAGAGTCAGCGCCAGGTCAGACGGAACCGTGAGAAGGGTGTCTGCTTCAGCTTCTTCGTCGTTTTTCTCCGCTGTCGCTACGATCGCGGAGCCCTTGTCTGTGACGTCTTCGCCATGGAGCTTCAGGAAAGCGACTCCCTCGAGGGATATGCCATTGAGCTTTGCCCAGTGAGACAGAGCTTCAACAGGTAGATAGTCGCGTCTCATATCGTTCCGTTGCCGGGACAATTCTGACTGTCAGACAGAGCTGACGCAATTAGAGAGGTGCAAGGAAACCAAATTGTCATCCTCCGCGAGCTGGGAGCTTCCCCACTCTGCCTGCCATGTCCTTATCGATAAGACGGGGTAGCTTAACCCTAAGCCCTACAATCTTGATTGGTCCATACCATTGCAGCATTTAGACGTCATAGGACATCTCGTCACTCGATATAGGCCTTGCTTTGGCTGCGGCCTTGCGCGGCTCGAAGTTGACGTCCCGGGAGAACTTACTTAAAAACGAAGCATTGCACTTGTACCGAATGTCTACGGCTTAAGAAGCACTAATTTACCACTGAACAACTAACACTCACAACCGCAGTCCAACATGCCTAGCAGCCCTCGCCTCCCGACTACAACTTCAAAGCTCCAAAGCATGCTTATTCCGCGCCCTCCACGCGTGACTCTTCTTCCGCTTCAATCTGTCTGGCAACCTGCCAGGCTTCCCACACCTGGCAATGTGAGAGCCCGCTTCAACAGCTCTCTAGGCCAAGAATGGAAGGGCTCTTCAACCGACGACCATGCCGTGAAGAGATCGAAGGACAAACGGGATATAACAGATCCTCAGACAGAATCTTCCGCTTCTGGGCTGAAGGAGAAAAAAGAAAGCGCGGGTGTCGCAGACGAATCCAAGCAGGGAGCGGTGACGGAGAGGGAAGGTCTCAAGCAGGAGCGTCAAGCTAAAAAGGAACACCCTAAGGCGCCTGAACCGATAATCGGTATGAATGATGAAAGAGCTGAGGTTAGTGCTACCTGCCCCTTCTCAACGGAGACTGTTGTCGTCGGTAATGTTTCACCTGGCTAACCTGTTCATGGTTTATAGAAGGGTACTTGATCGCACCGATTGACCACTTGAGGCAACTAGTTTTGCATGCGTTCGTGACCTTCGATTGTCGTTGTATTATTCATGGCATGTGGTTGTCTCGTTACAGAAATTGCCTTATATCGACTGTACATAGATGGAATATATTTCTGGTCTATCGGCCAGGTTTGAACGAAAGGACCTGCAAAAAATATTCTTAGCAAGCAAAGAAAAAGCTCAAGTACAAGGAGCAACTCACATCATGCTTCCCTACTCCAACTATTTCATCCTCAGACACTCGGGTGCCGCCAACACCCTCAATGTAAGAGATGGGAACGTCACCCATAACCTTGTGGGCAACGTCGGCTACCGTGCTTCCTCTGTTGGACGTCAGTCATATATTTCGTTGGTGCCCGATCGCAAGAAAACCCACCTTTTAACCAAAACACAGTCTCTGAACACCGCATTTCCGGCTCCAGATGAAAATGTGTGCACGTTCTTGACTGGGAAAACCGGCACAAGTCCCAAGAGTTCCGCTGCTCGCGAAAGACACTGCACCACTCCAGTGGAGCCAAAGCGATAGAGAACCATGTCTTTCAGGTTCTCAACACGGCTAGACGAGGTTAATCAGGTTTTCTTGTCCCAGCTGGGCATACTTACTTCTTCAACTTCTCGTCCATCTCTTTTAGACCGCCACCATCGGGATCGCCCATCTCTATGAGATCTTCTCGTGTATCCAAGAACTCACTGCCTTCTGTATACTTGATGTAACCCTGTTTTGCCAATCTTCGAAGAAACACCTCTGATATCGCGGAGCATAGCACTATTGACTTTGGATCTTGCATCTTGGCGATCTTGCTGATATTCTAGGTTATTTCTTTCAGCACGAATTCCAGCATGATTCCTGGAGTAGAAGAAGGAACCAACCTTGTCCGCGTCAGGATGGTCAATCTTGTTCAGTGCAAAAACGGTAGGAAACTTTTCATCAATGAAAGCCTGGACTACCCGCTCAATCGTTTCGTCCGACCATTCCTCTAGAGGTTCTTTCAGACCGATTCTATCCAGACAGCGCGCAACTGTCGCCGATGTGCTTCCGTATCCGGAAAATTGGCCTTGTAATGTATCCACGGCCGTTGATTCTGCACCCACAGTCAATACACTTCGATAGGTTTCCGGAAACGCGGCATTGACTGACTCGTCGCAACATGTCTTCTCTTAATAGAGCCCCTGCGTATGACCATAAGCATCGTGGGAGAAAATAAGAAAAGGGCCAGAGTCACCCTTGATCGTATCGTACCATTTTTGCATCAGATTACCCAAAACCCATCGCACAATCTCAGATCGTAGCCACTCGATGTCTACCGATGGATCATATCCGCGCGTTGCCTTTCCTAAGGACGCAATCCATTTTAGCTGATATTGAGAGATAAGAGGTAGACGCAGAATATAATTGCTGACCTTCTGCGTCAGTTGTTCCACTGACATCCACCACATGAATCAAAGCATCCGCATGACGTAGGTCGTCCAAGAACTTATTCCCTAAACCGCGACCTTGATGAGCTCCAGGGACGAGACCCGCGACATCTAAAAGCTCGATAGGGACGGAACGGCGACCGTCAACGCAGCTACCGTAATTCGGCTTGCATTTGTCTGAAACGTTGAAGCGCTTGCAGGCACACTCTATTTGAAGGTATCCAATGGCGCGCTGAGGGTCAATAGTTGTGAACCTGTACGTCGAGAATCAGAATTGTCCTGAAAGCGCATTGTATGCGGTTATCGTATGGAAACTTTCGGGCGACGGAGACAGAGAAGGCAGAGGACGTTGTTTTAGGCTACTCACGGGAAGTTTCCTGCAAAAAGAAAGAACCGGTCAATGCTATACAAGTGAGATTCAGGTTATCAACAACTCACCAACTTTCGAACTGGCATCTGTCAGACTGTTCAGCGTTGTGGATTTCCCGCTGGAAGGCTAATATGCCCCTCAACTCAATCAGCGGCAGTATCTTCTGAGATGGCAGCAGGAACCAACCTTTCCAACCAGGCCGATCAAGGGATCTCTTGGCATAATGACAGACCACCTGTGGCTCTAGGTATATGCAAAAGACAAAAGCAAAAATCGCTGTCTATAGTCGTCCAACTCAACAGACCAAAAAAGTTCGCATCTGACCCAGCGGGGACATTTCGGATTCTGCCGTCTCTCCGGCAGGCGGTGTAAGACCCCCGAAATTGTGATATCTTGCAATCGCGTGCTCAGTAAGAGGCTCGGTATCATAGAGCCATTGTAGGATGAGGAAGAGAGGCCTACACTGCCATTTTACGTTGTATGGCCCAACGTTGAACTATCTTAGTTACCATGTTGTGTTCTGCCTTTCAAAGACACTCATTTGTGTCGCAGTACATTCAAGCTGGCACACGAGAATTGCTCCTGCTCCAGAAATGCCAGGTTGAAGCACCCCCTGACATTGAAGCTGGTACTCTTAAGGAATCACCCCGAAATAAACTTCTGCAATTTTCATTGGATATTCCATTTATCCAGGTGTATCGCAGGCCAGCATGGACGATATCCCCAGCCCATGGTTCTTGCAGATCTTTATGACGACTAATTCATGACTGACGAGCCCAGAAAAGTTGCAAGAAGGATAAAGAAACAGAACGAATTCAGTTCAGGGACCACTGACCTCTGTACTATGACATCTTCGGTCTTCAATGGTGCTGCAGGCATGCAAACATGAGTGGAGTAGCGAGAACGTACCCCGGCGCAACACTCGAAATCAACGTTGAGCAGTCCCTATGAAGGCTGCCTATGATTCACTGAAGCCCACATTAGCCACTCATCTTGTCCTTGGCAGCAGAGATCTCTCCTATGGTGGGTTGTTGGAAGTCTGGTGCGGTGAACATGCAAACCAAGGCCTGCGCGGATAGTATGTCGTCATAATGGCAAAGTCACCAGCCTTGTCAGGACGATGACGGTCTCCAGTCACGACAGCTCCAACATATAACAACGTTGAAATCCCCTTTTTGCATACGTTCAGAAATTTCATCAACTTCAGACTTCAAAGACTTACTTGAGAGAGCTCTCTTCGCTTCACATCAAAGTCAATCTACTACCTGTCCTTTTTTCCTATCTCATACACCCAACACTTCTCCACAAGATGTCTAGCGAAACCTTCTACAAGACCCAACAGGACCTTCGCAAGCCCGAATCCCATGCTTCTCATGCTGCCGGCGGAAACACACCTGCCAATTCCAATGTCTCTGCTATGAAGGTAACACCCAAACCTCCTGACCCAGAGGCAATTCAACTTAACTTGGTGACTCAGCTGCTAACTCTACGAATCAGTCCGTCGTCGATGAGCACACAGACAAGGCCAAGGCCATCGAAGAACGCAAGGCCAACCTGCCTTTGCCAGACCAGCCTCCCGTCGCCAGCGACTGGCAGTCTGCAGACCAGAGAGCTGTCAACGTCGGCTCCGGCGGCGTACAAGGATCCGTCTCCGGCGAGAGTAACACCGCTCTAAGAGGGCCCGCTACTGCAGAAAGCAGCGCACGGAAGTCAGGAGAGGAATTGCACAAGGAAACTCAGCCCACAGGCAAGGTTGGTCGCCAAGCCACGGAAGGACTTTCGGATATCCCGGGGGATGCTAAGGCTCGGAAGTAATTTCTTTTTGGCTTGAAATGTATTGATACAACTTTATGATGAGCGACCCAAAGCATTTAATGATAATCCATACCAAACAAATAAAAGAATCTTCTAGTGTCTTTCTAGTGTCCCAGCTTGCGGTCAAGTACATAGACGACAGATTTGTGTTTTCCCGGGTAGAGCCTGCGGAAGTCTCACGAAGAGCACAGAACAGCCGAAGAGAAATATAAAAGCTTGATGATACTGACAATAAGATCTGCTCTTAGTGTAAGAGGCAATCACCAACGTTGAATTTTCGTATTGAGTAGAGATGTACCAGCGTCCCGATTTGTACAAGTTGTCGTGTCACGTGACTTATAATGTAGAAGCTTAAATGAACGTCACCCATCTATTGTACAGTAGTAGTGCAGTGCACTTGCACGTACCAAGATAAACTGCGACACGCTAAATGAGAAATAATCATTCGATTTCTATGACCATCCTACCATGCCTTTCCCGATCTCTGCGGGCAGTGTTGGCCGAGAATATCCAATGTCCCAATATACCTTGATGGCCTGAGGCCATGACGTCAAACAAGTTGATCAGCTCTAGATTCCCCAGCATCGACCGTCGAACGACACTTCATTGCGCAATCAGGGTTGGCCTCCGAACCGGGCAGTTGAGCATGTGGAGAGCTCGACAGTCGATTTCAGGCCCTGCAAGGATAGAGCCGTGTCATCGATCTGATTTGATCGAGGGCGGAGGTTTCGGTCTGGAAACCTTAAGGGTGATTGCAACATATTGCAGCAAATGTCTTCTAGCGCTGGGGCTCCGTGACTATCATTCTTCTCCACTCGGTCTTCTGTTGCCCGCGCCACTCAAGGGCAGTGGTGTTGGTTCATTGACGTACCTGTCTCTCTGATGTCGCTTGCTGGGAATCTGGGTGTCTTGGGGCGGGGGTTTCGACCGTCAGAGTGACATCACCTGGCTGGATGAGCTAGCATTCAGGACTACAACATCTAGCGGTCATTGCTATATAGCTTTCCATCGACGCATCATACTGTGCTCGATTACAGACACATCGACTAGTGAAGCAGAATCAAATCCCTTCCCAAGAGTCAATTCTTGATCAGGATCAAAGAACATCATAATGGATCTCCAAGGCAACCCCGTCCCTCCCGGCAAGAGAAGCACCAAGGTGCGTGAAGCAATGCAATCCAGCTCTAGACCAAACGTATGGCTAAGTGTTCGAGCAGGTCACAACAGATCCCGAAGCTAGAAGATATCCCAACAAGGAGACTTCTGGACCTGTCGCCAACGACTCCCTTGCTGCGGAATCAGCCAGGTCCGGTGGTGACTACAACCAGAACCGCGGTGCCGAACCTCTTGGGGTTTCTGGCAGTCAGTCTACATTCAATAACACGGACACCTCTGGCGCTACTAAGCTGTCCTCTGCTCCCGACGCTGCCACCCGTGAGGAGCTAGACAAAAAGGAGAAGTACCCTGAAAATATGGGTGGCCAAGGGAAGTTCCCTGGTGCCCATGTTCCAGAGACTGGCTACACTGGCGGCTCGACAGCTGCCAAGCGGGATCTGGGTATCAACAAGGGTGAATATTCCACCTCCCAGCAGAGTTCTCGGCCTCAGACCCGATCTCAGACTCAGTCTCAATCTCAATCCCAATCCCAATCCCAGCCTCAGTCCCAGCCCGCTGAGGCAAGTGGAAGTGGTTACCGCAGCCAGTACAATGCCGGCCAAGCCCCTTCGTACGTCCAGAGTGTGACCGGGCAGCATACTCACACCAAACCCAAGGGCAACAACTTGAAGGAGGGTGGCTTTGATAGCGACCCCAACAATAACGCCAGCTTCACTTCCGAAATTGGCAGCGACCAAGACCCTGGCCGCTTCGCCGAAAACTACTCTCAGCGCAAGGCTGCAGATACTGGAGCCGCTGATGCTGTCCGAGGCCCAGTCGAGAAGAAGGGAGTCGACGATAAGACCTGGTATCAGCCTTTGGAAAGTGATCAGAGAGCTTAATCGCGACGAACTCGAATACTTATGATATCAATGACGGCGGAAGGCGTATGAGCGAAAAGTTGACTTCTAGTTAATCCTACATTGTGCACGGACTGCGTCTGTAGTTGCACGATTATGTACCATAGAACTTGAAATGAAACATTTGATCATGGACATGCGCGTTATACCTTTATAGAAACGCATCCCTCGTCTCTATCGTCGGCCAAAGCGCAATCACAGCAACGCAGTTCAACCCTCCCATTCAAAACCAGTTTCTCCTCATCACACCCCTCACACAGACAATCATCCTCGCTGTCGCCCATCCACCCACATCTCTCCAACACGAACTCAATCCCTTCCACGATCCCAACCGCCAAGACAGCTAACCACATCATAACCAACATAATCATAACAGGCGCCATCAACTGCTCGCCCCGCCGCTCAGAATACAAAGTAGTATACTCGACAACAGATATCCAGTCCTCGCTCCCACTACCTTTGTCGACCGGTCTTCTCGAGATAAATGAGCCATGATAGCTCGTGAGCCAGCAGGCTGATTTCCGTGATTTGCAGACCGTGTCTACAGGAGATACCACTTTCGACGGGGTATCTGTTGTAATAGCGGGTTTTTCCTGGTTCTTTATAGTTGGCAACAAATTAGGATCCGGCATTGACTGAAGAATGGATTTTCATGGACATGCCTTTGCTTCGTGGAAACGGGTTGTCTCTCCGATGGGTTGGGAGAGATACAAAGGGAACGCGGAGATGAGATTTAATAAGCAGAAGGAGATGATGAGTATGGAACGTTTGGATAGCATCGTTGTTTGACTCTAGCTGCTTAACTGGTAGTGATTTCAACTGAGTTATGGTCCTGTTGATGGGATCTCGACTCCCATATATCTGTAGTTACGGCCGAGATGGTGTTATGAATACCATTGATATTTATTGACCGTTGAGCCTTGCGTTAAACTCGCCTTGAGTTCCCCCACAGTCTATTTTACGCGATGCTCTCGATCTGACTCAAGGATGGTTTTGAAACTACCGGAGGATTTAGAGAAACATATGGGCGATAGAGCATGTCCCTTGATGATTGTCCTTGGTCCCGCACGTTCCCCAGCGTTAACAAGGGATGGAAGGAAAGAAGGAGGAAAAAGAGGAGATGCTGAGTTGCTAGACGCACCGCCCCTTTACTTATAATTCTCTCCTATGATGGATCATCTCATTGTATTTCCAGCTATGCAGGCTTCTCGTTTGGAGTTTGGACATCCCGATCATCAACATATCAGACGTGGCACAGTCAGGCAAGATGCGCCATCTTAAATCAGGGCATCAATGATCATCAGCCACTGTCACCAAATCATATCGGACAAGCTTTCTCACCAAGGGGTATTCACGACTCTAGTTGACCAGTCGCTGACTTCTATGGTCCATCAGGTACTGAGCACCAATGTAAGGTCAGGAATCGTAATTCAGACTGAATCGTCCGAATCTTCTTCTGAACTTCTGCTATGGATAGCATGGATCGGTCATTCGTAATGCGACTCATGTCCTCATGGCTGCCATGTCTGCCAGCAGTGATTCGGGCGGGGTCCTCTGCAAGGCAGGAATCAGGAAGGAACTATCCACGGCTCTTGGGTTGATAACTATGCCATACCTCTCATTGGGAAGAGATATGAGCGATTTGCCTGGATACATATACAAGAAGAGACGAAGCGTCGTGTGGATCCCAAGCAGGAGAACCAGTCATGATTCTGCTGTCTGTCCGAACACTGTATCAGAATCTACAATAATTTATTTGTATATAAATATGTAGATCGAACAATATCAACTTCGTGTTGAGCTTCATTTTTAGAAAGACTTCCTGCCTTTTCATACACCAAGTTACGAACGCCAGATTTGCAACGGACATATCATGAAAGATCAACCCAAATGAACACGTCCCAAAGGCCAGACCCCAAAGACATGCACTGCCTTGTCAGACAAAAACGTGGAACTGTACAGCCAGAGCAATTGAGGAGACAGCAGCGAAAGAGGGCAACAGCCCCGACATTAAAATAAAACCCACAGAAACAGAAGAGAGCAACGGAAAGAAAGAAGAGACCTTTACAGGTTCACCTTCTTGGACTCTTTCTGGGCGAGCTTGGCCAACTCTTCATAGACTTCGCTGAAATCCTCTCCGTCGGCTTCCGACTCGCCGCTCTTCTTGCCCTTGGAGGCTGATTTGGGCACAACCAAGACGACACTGGTCGGGCGCTTAGTAGCAGCCGAGTTACCCAGCTCGGCTCGCGATGTGACAAAAACATATGGGATACCGTGGTCTTCGCAGAGAACGGGGATATGTGAGATGACGTCCATGGGCGAAATGTCCGCGGCAAGGATGACAACTCCGGTGGGAATGGAGATGGTAGCATTGGCGGCGGGGATGGGCGATTTGCGAAGAGCTTTGACGACTTCCTTGACACCGCGTTTCAGGCACTTGTTTACGGCAGCTAGGAGGTAGTTAGCATACAGTACACTATTGACCCAGTCGATGTCTTTTCGCTCTGAAAAATAGAGCTCCTGATAGACAAATCGTCCAAATGATTTTCAGAATCACTCACCCTTCTTCACACTCTTGAGAACCTTCTTAGCCTGCTTGTCCTCAACCAGAGGGTTGGCAAATGGCACCAGTGCACCGACGGGGCGGCTGTCGACATCCATCTCAGCCTCAGCAGTTCCATTGACGGCAGTCTCGGCAGCAACAGCCTTGTCGATTCCATCCAGAACCTTGCTAGTAAGCTCCTGCTCTACTGCCTCAGCGAGAACAGTCTTGTCCTTCTTTTCCTTCTTGTCCTTCTTGCTCTTGTGGACGCCGTCCTTCTCCGAGCGCTTTTCCTTCTTCTCACGCTTGTCCTTCTTCTCGGACTTGTCCTTGGCCATTGTGACGAAGTTGCGCTTGCTTAATATACCAAAAAGGACAGAAATAAAAGGGACGACCGAGGATTGGCGGGAGTTGGCGTGAACGTGGGGAGGAACAAATAATAATATGGTCTTTTCGGTGTCTTCGAAATCCGCAAAAAAATCAAAATCCATCTGAAAATTCTGACGCTAGTCCGATTTAGGAATTCGAGCTCATGGCACTGGCTGCTTACTCATCACTGGCTCAATCGGGTATGATCGACCATCCCATCGAAAACAATCCCGATGGGTAGCTGGGGGCCTCTCAAACGCATCGCGCAACCTCCGGCATTTCTCCAATTGTGGAACGTTGGGAGCGTTCTTGAAGCTCGGAGAGCGTGTCATGCGGCGCACTTTATACGCCCTATAATCTTTGGACCGATTGGGGTCTTTGGAACTTCGTCATTTATGGATACTTGAAGGTATATCGCACTCTGGCATCAAACCCAACTTTGTTGCTAACCGCAACCTTCAGATGGATCCGAATAGAAACTCGCGACCGCCTTTGGGGTCTCCTCCTGGGAGCGCCTCACCCTTGTCCATCATGGGAACTCAAAGTATTTTTCGCCAATCCGTCCGCCCTTCGCAGCCTCCGAAGCCCGGTTAGATCGCACGTTGCCGTGGATATAAATCATAGGACTGACTTGCCATAGATACGGAGAAGGAGGAGCTACGCGTACAAGTCAGCACTCTGCGATACGAGCTGGAGAATATCAAACAGGAGCGGGATTTGATGACGCTCCGCCATGAGAAGGAACTCCGTGATCTACAATTGAAGGCCGATGCGGACTTCAGGAAGGCGCAGGTTTGTTGCCATCGTCATAAGTTGTTAATGGCGTTGGCCGGATGTTGACAGCAGATTAATCGCAGGCTGCAGAATCCGCTAGTCATCGCGCCAACCATAAGAGTGAAACGCTTGCCAAAGAGTTGAAGGAAGTTCAAGACCAAGCCCTTAACGACAAGGTCGGACTAGAGCGGAAACTTAGGAGCCTACAGGATGAAAAGCAGAACATACAGGAGGAACTGGAAGAGACTCAAGCTCAGCTTCTCGACCAGGAAAGACAAAACAAACATCAGATCAATGAACTAGAAACAATTCGCTCATCGCTTCAAAAGACGCTCGAGGAACTGCAAAATGATCTTCAAAATGCAAGAAACAATTTACAGTCAGCTCAAGAGAAATTATCGCAGCGGGATATGGATGTTGCCAACCTTGAAACGGAAAATATCCGCCTGAAAGCGGAGGGGGCTGACGGAGAAACATTGTCCGTATTGAAGAGGGAGCTCTCTGATCAAGTCGCTCACATCAGGAACCTGGAGACTGCAAATCGAGAACAGACCGCGGAACTGCGCCACCTGCGGAAAGTTCAGAAGAATGTCGAGGTAGTAGAGGAACAAAAGAAGTCGCTGGAAAATCAGCTTCAGCTCATGAAAGAAGTGGAGTCAGAACTGAACACTCTTCAGATTCAAAAACAGATTCTAGAGGATGAGCGATGTTCCTGGACCAGTCTGCTACAGGAGAATGATGAACCTGCGGAATTTGACTCGCCCGAGGCGGTCGTCAAAGCCCTGTTGCAAGAACGGATTGAAAAGGCGACATTGGTTGACAAATTGGGCAGCATCGAGGCGCAATTTCTGGAGAAAGATGAAATAATCAAGAGCTTGGAGACTGTGAGAGCCAACCTCCGTCAGGAGCTAGAGAAATTGCGCGCTGCAGGCGCGGGCGCTGGCGGAGCCACAGCTGAGAGTCGCATCAGAGCTAGACTGGAACGTCAGCGGGCACTTGCAGTTAAGGAGGTTGAGTATCTTCGCGCCCAGTTGGAGACTTTCGACACGGAAGAGGTCACCATGAACGCGGAACAGAGCCAGTTCGACCAACGCAAATCCGAGCAGATCGCCAACCTGGAAAAGCTCGTTGATGAATACCGCGCGGAAGTGCAAAAGGCTCATGAAGAACTCGCGAAGCGAGAAGCTCCACAGCAGGACGATACACAACCCCGAGGCCTCAAACGACCGTTGTCACCAGCTGAGAGTGACGCCGAGAGCGAGCGAATCTCTGTATTGACGCGGAAGAACCGAACGCTGCAAGACTCTCTTTCCAAGTCTGAACAGGCCGCAGCGCTCCTCCGCAAGGAACTGGAAGCCACCAAATCCCAGCTCAAATCCCTCAAGGCCAAGTCTCGCACACGCATTTTGGAGCTGCGTGACAATCCCACCGCCGAAGCGGAGAAGCTCAAATTCTCCACTATCGCAACTCTCCGGGCAGAAAACCGAGATCTCCTGGCCCAACTGCAGGCCAACCATGCGGACGTCAAAGTTGTGCCCGTCAGCACACTCGAAAGCATGAAACTGGAGCTCAACGACATGGAGAAAGTAGTCGCCGACAAGGAAAAGCGCATGCGCCGCTTAAAGGAAATCTGGACCGCAAAGTCATCCGAGTTCCGCGAAGCAGTCGCCTCCCTATTAGGCTACAAGCTGGACTTCCTCCCTAACGGACGCGTCCGCGTCACCTCCATGTTCCATCTCTCCCCCGCCTACCGGCACGGCGACCCCGGCGCCTCCTCTGACTCCCGTGGGCCAGGGAGCATGGGTAACGACGAAGAAAACTCTATCATCTTCGACGGCGAGAACGGCACGATGAAGATCTCGGGTGGCCCGAACAGTCTCTTCGCGATGGAGATCAAACATCTGATCAAGTTCTGGGTCGAAGAACGCAAGGATATACCCTGTTTCCTGGCGGCCATGACGTTGGACTTTTATGATAAGACCACGCGGGCTGCGAGGATGTAGTAGCTGATAATGCCTTTTTGTGTCTTGGGTATCCATCCGTACTGTAAATAGTTGATTTGATTTCCTAACTAGCATTTCTGGTGCCACGTTTGATGAGAGGACTAATCTGTGGAAATGGTACCCCTTTTTTCATCCTGAAATCTCACATTTCAATATATAATGAATGATATCTACCAACCGTCCTGCTTTCTCTAAGCTGAGCCTCCGGTATGAACTTGTCCATTTCCCTGGGGGAGTAGTACTTAAACAAGAAAACTTATTTACAATAACCACAAAAGCCTACTTTATCCAGAAGGTATCAATAGGCCAGGACTTTGAAACGAAGATGTCGACATAGGGGAAAAAGGGAGGGGGGTTGTTAGAATCAAAAAGCTCTGAACCAAGTAATAGCGCAAGGGTGCTAAGAACGAGTATGTCGAGGGTGAACAAGTTGTCTGATCAGGCGAGGTGACTCCAGAAAACGCAACATCCAAAGGAATAAATCCACGGCGGTATCGTATCTAAGGGACTCGAATGGGCTGCCCCTGCCCGTTTAATGTGACACGTATTTGCCAGCCACCAGCTTGCGGACTGTGGGTGCTTCTTTCCAGGACGCGGGCGCGGCATCGGATGCTTGTAGACTGCCATCTTCGTCTGCGAAGGGATCGGTTCCCTTCTGCGGCGTGTCCTCTGACTGAGACATTGTACTAATTCCCAAGCGAGAACCAGCGTCTGCTGTCTGAAGCTCGAATTTCGCGTCAACTTTGCCTTTCCGTGGCCAGCTGGTTGAAGTCGCAAACCGAACAAGTAGCTTTCCATCAGCTCCGGCGCGTACTTCGAGCTCAGGGATTTTCCAGGTGACCGCTGACTGCTTGCGACGGAAGGTGGCCCCTGAGTTGGGATACATAACGGCACTCGTGGCATGAGCTGCCTCGCGGCCTTCTTCAGGAGAGGTGTCCAAGTTCACAGTCAATGTGAGGTTCTTGATGGTGATTGATTCCCTTGGTACCGACGAGGCGAATGAGGAATTCATCGAGTAGAAGATGATCACGCTTGCCTGGAACTCTTCGAGGTTCCACGCAGGTTTGAAGATCACGGGACAGAAAGCCGAAGCTTCCGACTGGTCGATGTGGACTTGATACTTGAAAGCCACGGTTGGTGAAGACCGTGCGATGTTAGAGAGAAGGACGTTATACTCGCCTCTCTTCTCGTCCCCTGAGCCCTTCTCCTCCTGTACAAAATGTGGGTTGGCAGCGACCTTCTCCAATACTTGGAAATTATCAAGACGGACGCGCGCGCTATCCGGCGTTGTGCCACTCGATGCATTGTAGGCCAGAGCAAGTTCTCCTACAACGAAGGACTTGGTCACGGCGCCCTCAGAGAACCACGCACTGACCGTCTCTACGATCGACGCATTCAGACCAGGTTGGTGTAGATCAGGATGGGAAACCGGTCCTGAGATGTTGTGTAAGGTCTGTGATGAGCGAATAGACGTTGTATCTGAGAGGGCATGATCGTCTGTAGCGGTGCTGGGAGAAGTGACATGCCTGGTAGGCAGACCTGGTGATGTAGGAGTAGAAACATCCGATCCCGATGGCGGAACAGGGAGCCCATTGCTCGAGCCAGGAGGATTCGGAATGAAAACTGTGTTACGAACATCGCGACGACCACGTATGGTGCCTGCATTTCGTCTGACTCCGCTGTGTTGGGCTTGCTGCAGAGAGTGTCAGCCGAGAGCGCAGGGAATAAGCTTCGCTAGCCGCACTTACCAGACGTAACTGATTAGCCATCTCGTCCATTGCTTGTCTAGCCTGGTTCTCATCTTCAAAGATCGGCTGATCTCTGATTGTCAGATTCATGCCATGCTCATCCAGTCTATAGCAGTTAGCATGATTAGTCTACTATGAACGGCAAGACGGGATATCATTACCCAGCCGCCTCTCGCTGAAGCCGTGTTATCTCGTCAATGGTCTGTGGTCGTTCTGTGAACCCTTCCGAGTCGACTCGCGGCTATGCATCGTCATCAGCTTAATCCAGGTGTTCATTATCGTCTACACATACCTCGTTCGCAGTCATAGCAGCAGCCGGTGTCGGCTCATTGTGAACCTCTTGAGTCGATCCCCCATTTGTAGTCGCTGGTGTTTGCTGAGGTTCTGGACTCGTCGGCAGTGAACCAGGAAGCTCTCGCTCGTGGATCTCACTTGGGATCGGTGCGGCTTCGCCATGGCTATCCTGAGTAGTTAGAGCAGTACCGGGACGATCCGTACCCGTAGGGGATTCGGGTATCTGCATGTCGCGTGAATCTCCCCGCTTGAATGAAGCAAACGGACTACGATGCTTCTTATCTCCGAAGAGTGGCCCTCCTCCAGAGGTGTGCACTACACTCTTCCTTCTGCCCATGACAGTTCCTAGTCGCTTGAGTCCACCAAGCGCTGTGGTGCGGGGCTCCGGAGCTATGACCCAAAGATGATTAGCAAACATTTTGTGAGACTAGTGGAGTGTCAGACTTACCAGGAGGTGTCCGGACAGGGCCCGAATTCTCCGAGCGTTGACTAGCAGCATCGTCCTGAATGCGCGGCGGAGGAGCAAGAGGTGCTCCTGCCCCGCCAGAGGGTATCGATTCTTGCCTTCTGGGAGCAACAGGCCTGCCCCCATTAACCTTGGCGGCAAATGTCTTGATCTCATCCGCAGTCTCAACATTGAGAAGTACATTTAGGCAGCTCTCGGCAGCCTGGCGACACCGTTCCACCTGGTCTGATTCATGCGTTTGCAATTGAGTCAGCGCGTCGCGGAGATGATTTACTCGGCCTTCGTCCGCTGCCTGAAGTTGCTCAAACACAAAAGGTGCCCTTGAATCCCATTGTTCTCTGATCTCCTCTGCGGCGGAAATGGCAGCGGCCAGTTTCTCCGCCCCTTTGGCCCTTTCTCCCTGGCCTTTTCCACCTTCTTCTGGTTCGCTTCGAAGCTCTTGGCCAACGCGGCGAGATCACTTTGGATGCCAGGCATCGATGCCAATTCTCGGTTCTTGCTGCTGTATTCTCTCAAGGGGCGCTCCACGTCCTCGTCAATCTTCTGCGCGAACGTTTCGTGTGATGCGGCCACGGCTTCGGTGGCATTGATAATGCGCTGCCATGGTAGTTGGAAAATGCTGTCGTGTCGTAGAACATATTAAAATTAGCCTTGTCTTTTCGTGCTTCAGTTTCCGAATGACCGAGCTTACCCAAGCGCTGCCCCATTCTCAAGTTGTGGTCGATGCGCCAGTTTCCTTAACCCTTGCGCGTAAGCTTCTTCAACACGGCGGCGTTCCTGTCGCGCGGAAGACAAGGAGTTAGATCCAAAGCTTCTGCTGTCACTTGTGTTAAGGTTGAAGCCATACCTGGAGCCAATCCGCGATATCCGCGTTAATCTTGTTAATGATACGTATGCGATCATTGAGGACATTAATCGCTTGGTTGGGTTGCAAAGAGGCCTAAAGGCAAGAATAGATTGAAAAATATTAGCTGCTGCAATTTCATTGCCATAGCAGGGGCAAGATCAAGGTGTGCGAGATCGGGTAATGCCTACCAGCAGGGCTGGATACTCCTGCCGTGAGAGCTCCATCGCTCCCAATCATAGATCAACGGTACCAGAAGGGAGCGATCGTAAGGTGCATAATAGGGATAAATTAAGAATACAGAGACCGAATTACGGGTGAAGGCGCAATTGAAATCCTCCGGATATTACCAGAAGAGACCGAATCCTTCGGTCAATGGAACTCAGAGTGGAGCAAGGAGCAGACAAGAGAAGGGGAACGGTTTGATGGGATGGGATGGGATGGATGGGATGTGATGACGATGGGGTTGCAACACGGAAGAATCACGGAGGAGCCGAGCAGAGGGGATGAGGCAATTGGTCAATCAGGCCGGGGGGACTCCAAAGCTAGCTGGATTCGGCTAGCTTAGCGAGTATACCTCAGGCATCGCAAGGCACAATTATTATGCTGCTAAGAGCAAAGGAAACAGTCACATGTTCCATCGATTTCCATACGGCTGCTACAACTGACAGAAGCAGTGAGAAGGAAACATTGCTGCTTCATCACAAGGCTGGTCCCTTATTGTCAGTACAGGTAGTTGATGAGCCGGTTATCGATCTTCCTTTGACTAGCTCGAATCTTCTCCAGGTTTATTCCGTCATCTCTGCCCCACGCGTCTGAGCCGAAACATCCAACGACATGGCTGCATCAGACTGGAAGAAAGCTCTGGGGTTCACCGATCGATTAACGGCAATTCAATCTCTGTAAGCCTATGATCATCGAGACCAGTCTCCCAGAACGTCGGTCTTGGCAAATTCTAATACTACAGCCTAGGACTACTGCCTATCAGCGAGCTTCGTCTTCGGCTGCATTTGCTGAAGCTCAGTCGCAAGCAAAGAGGTTCGAAAGTGAGGCTTATGAACAAGCTAACTCCAAGGTTGGTTCTCGACACACAGTCATCAAACCGTCTGCTCATGAAGGATCTTGCAGGAAGAATATGACCGGATGTGCCAGGATGCCATCGATGCCGCAGAGGCCAGTGGTTCTGTAGCCCCGATGATCAGCAGTCCAAACCAGTTGCAACATGAGCCCGATGAGGGTGCTTGGACAGCAGGAGAAGCAATTGGTCCGTTCAAAGGATGCCTCCATGTGTTTGATGGGCTCCATTCCACTATTTACAAGTCCAAGCGTGAGGATGGATCTGTGGTTGCAGTGAAAGTTACCATACCCCATCTCTTGACGCCACCACATGACGCTGAGCGCGAGGTTCGACTTCTGAGAGAAGCCGCGAGTCCTCATATTATAAGTCTGTCGGACTCGCTCAAGGTTGACGGAGGCAGACTCATCCTGGTCTTCCCCTATCTAAAATATGACTTGGAATATTTGCTCCGCCGTGATATGCTCACTGCAACGCAAACAAAGGCCCATTTGCACGATATGCTCAGCGCGTTGGCACACCTTCATGAGCTGGGAATCATTCATCGGGATGTCAAACCCTCTAACATTCTGTTGGACTCGCCTGATGGGCCGGCGTACCTGGCGGACTTTGGCATCGCATGGAAAGAAGGAGACGGGGGTTCCGAGCCGGCTGACAAGAAAATTACCGATGTAGGAACCACATCTTATCGGGCGCCTGAGATCCTGTTTGGGTTCAAGGGATACGGAACAGCTTTGGATCTGTGGGCCGCTGGTTGTGTTGTGGCCGAAGCTGTCGCTGTCGGGCACAAGCAGCTGTTTGATTCCGGGCCCGTGGGGAGTGATCTGTCGCTTGTTCAGTCGATTTTCAAGACCCTGGGAACCCCAGATGAGAGTACCTGGCCCGTAAGTCATCCGATTATATTCAGTGGCTCTTCCTTTCTGGGTCTTCGGGCTAGGTTAACATAGAAGACAGGAGACTGAGAAACTCCCTGACTGGGGTAAGATCGAGTTTTACCGATTTCCTGCCAAAACGTGGGATGAAATTCTCAGAGGAGCTTCTTCCAAAGGACGGGATCTCGTGAGCAGACTGGTACGCTACGAGAGCAGCGAACGGCTGTCTGCTGCAGAGGTAGGCTACGCATTCTAAGTGGACCGGCCCGATGCTAACAGTGTGGCAGGCCTTGAAACATCCATATTTTTCAGCAACCTGAAGCCGGTCTGTTCCAGGGGTTTAATTGCTCTGATCTCACATGATACAGCATCATCTCGCAATGATGTTGCGATCATCATGGCCAAGCTTCTAGCGGTCCACCAGTCTGCAGCGGGTGTTTCAGCCTTTAAATTTGAATCGGCTCGAAGCGGCATTACTACCACAATGATTGCCAACTCGCCACACCCTTGAGTGGTTGAGCCATAATTGTGACTGGGGGCTGAGCTCCAGCAACTGATTCCTTCAAATCCGCTCGGTACACTTACTCAGGATCTCTTAGTCCGACCGCAACCGAGGCACCGACAACTCTCGTCACAGGATGAACACATGGCTAATAAGCGATCATTTAAGCGAAGGCAATTTCCGACGGGATCGGCGGTCTTAAATACGAGTACGATTTGAAATGTGGCTGCAGCAGTGTAACAATCACACCTTGCAGTCAGAATCATCCTTAAATAGATATCTGCGTGGCGCACACAAATCAAGATCCACGGTCTTGAAATAACTAGTTATGAATTGGAGTCAGAGAAGAAGAATGAAAAGCAGCCTTCAGTCCCCCAATGGGATGATTAAATTCATCAAAGTAAATGGCGCTAGGAACGACCACGGAGATGGCGGGAGAATTAAGAGGGGCTTGGCTAATAATGAGACCATCAAATCGCAGCACAATGCTGATACGTACTAATCAACTACGATGTACAGTGATGACTAGGTAGAGAGGCGCAGATTGATGCAGGCAACCGAGTGTGCGAGAATTAAAGACTATTACTTGAAAATGAGCTGTGCGCAGAAAAGAAGTTGACTCCCAAGTTAGACAGCAAGAATCTGGGGACTGAGAATAGGGGGTAAGGCGGAAGTGAGGTCCATAGTTTGCTTATCCCATGGATGCTGGGTATCCGGCAGTGGAATCTGAGACGTCTGTACGGAGCATTATTAGAGAACGAATGATTAGGCTTGGTCCCTCGGACTCGTTTTAGAGATACACGAGTAACTCGGTAATGTCGTGCTCAAGGCTAAACCTTCCTCGATGTGTCATGTCAACGAGGCAGATTTTGTGATTCTGACACTTTGTCATATCCCAGACAATCAATAACTACCTACTCTGTGCCTACATACATACTCAAAGTGACTGGTACATAACTGTATTTAAATCAATTATGATAAACGTGAAATGATCGAGTCCAACAATGAGCTGGATTATGGCGGCTCGCTGAGTCCTCATGTTTGGTCGTTACGGTCATGAAACCAGGCACCGTCACACACTCAGCCAATGAGCAATGGCAGGACCCTGCGAACAGCGGGTCTGAGCCAGGGAGGATGGCCCCATCTGGTTAGTGTGGTCAGACCCAGCCCGTGTCTCTCTTGCTTGTGATTGGTCACTCCCCTCATTTTTAGCTCTGATCTCATTTCGTTTACTTCCGGCCGTTTGTGGTAAATGATTGACGGTGGCTCATTTTCCCTCTCTTACACTGGTACACAGGCAGAGACTAAGTACAGACAGAGCACAGACAGACAGAGCACAGAGCAATTATTCTGTTGATGCTCTCTGCTGAGTGTTAGGGCGTCTGTCTCTCCCGCTCGGGGCCATCACCACCAAAGCTGCCTTCTTTCGCCTCTCTTCCTTCCTTCCCTCGTCCTTCTTTTCCCTTTTGCGACTTTCTTCCTTTTTCCATCTCCCAATTCGTGGGCATTCCACGTTTTGGTATCCCTCCCTTCATTTGACACTTTCGCGGCCTGGCAGCTCGTGGTTCTTTCATTCATTGAGTGGCTAGTCCGCCAGCCCCTCCATAACCCAGATTCATTCTTTTACTTCCCACATTCCTTGACGCGCTTGCGCTCCCTTTGCTTTCAAACGCGGCCTGCTTGATCAGACCCAGCCAGTACGAACTAAGTGCCCATCTTTGATCTAGACACGTCTTGTCGGGTCTTTTTGTTTTGATGGGCAAGAATCCCATCCTCTCGTTAGCATTATATCAGGTCTCTGCAAGACCTACCATTCCATCACACCATCGTCATCATCAGAAGTCTATGCTTCTTGCCGTCGTTGTCGTCTGAACCAATTGCTCTTCCAGCAGCGAAGCAAGAGCGAGGACAACATCAATCGCAATCATGGTGCACGCTCATGCGCATCGCGATCATCACGCTGCCCTTCAGGAGCGAAGTCTCGAGGAAAGAGATCCCAAGAATGAAGCCGTGACCATCGTCTACGTGACGGCAGCTCCCACCTTTGACGGTCCTATCGGCGGCTATGTAACGGGCGTAGACCCGGCAGAAACGGCGACACGGCCGAATCAGGGTGTCGGCGTTCCCGTTGGACATACACGGCCTACCACAACCGAGGAAGAAACAACGACGGCCGAACCGAAGCCGAAAACGACCAAAGTGACGAAGCCTACGTTCACCGAAGCGGAACCCACGACCACTGAACGTACCACCAAGGCGACCAAGGCGATCACCACCGACAACACTGAGGACATCACCACTCCGACCACCTTCTCCACGGCCACCTCTAGCTCGACTTCGTCGCTGACTATCCCGGGTTTGGATACTACCACGACCACCCATGGATCATCGTCTCTGGAAAAATCGGCCTCCCCATCGGCCTCTCCAGTTGCTGCCGGTTCGAGCTCGGGACTTACCGGGGGTGCTAAAGCGGGTATTGCAATTGGTGTGATTCTTGGACTTGGTTTGATCGCGGGTTTCATCTTCTTCTTCATGCGCAAGAGGAAGCAAGGGCAACAAATGGCAGAGGCCGAAGCAGTCAACGAGAAATCCTATGAAGCCGATAATATGCTTCCCCCTGGACCTCCGCCAAAACCCCAACCGATGACCCCATCTGAACCTCCACAGCTCAATGTCCGCCCTGTCACTCAGTTTGCACCAGATCTGACCCCTATGGGCGCTCTCGCTGCTGGCGGGGCTGGTGCTGCTGGTGCTGGTGCTGGTGCTGGTGCTACACTGGGAGTCGCTGCAGCTGGATCGCGTAACTTGACCGGCAATGCCTCGCCGCCCCATACGCCACAGTCGAGCGTCAGTAGGACAGATCCGTTCGGCGATCCAGTGAATCCCTTTGGCAATCAAGCAGAAGCTCCTTCACCTGTTGCAGTGACAGGCCCGCCGAGTCCCTCGGCGATCCCTCTTCCTCAATCTCCCCTGTCACCCACTGTCCCGGCACCGAGCGATTCGGGCGTAGAATCTGCTCTTGGAGCTGCTGCTACCGGAGCCGCAGTGGCTGGTGGTGTTGCTGCCGCTGCCGCGGCCAAACCCTCCGACAAAGACCTACCTGGCCGCCCAGAAAGCTTATCGTCCCAAGCATCGTCGGTTCCCGAAGGATCGGCTCAAAGTCCTGTAAGCGCCGTTAGCGCTGATCCTGCATCGATCGCCACTGCTGCCGCGGTTGCTGTTCCAGCATTCGGACCCGGCGGTGCTGCAAGCCCTCCTCCTCCCGGGCCAAGCAATGTTCATCGCGTGCAAATGGATTTCAAGCCTTCAATGGAGGATGAGTTGGAGCTGCACGCCGGTCAGCTCGTTCGACTTCTGCACGAGTATGACGACGGCTGGGCGCTGTGCGTCAAACTTGATCGCTCGCAGCAAGGAGTCGTTCCCCGGTCTTGTCTTTCTGCCCGCCCTGTGAAGCCTCGAGCCCGTCCGCCTCCAGGAGCCGGCCCTGGCCCTGGCCCCGCGGGCCGCCCCGACCGCCAATGATGGGACCCAACGGCCCTTGGGGGCCTCCTCCTCCTGGAGGTCCAGGGCCCATGGGACCACCACCTCATGGCTTCTATCCTCATGATCCCCGCCCACGGTCACCCTCGGCCCTCGCCCCATGTCTCCAGCTCAACACCCTCATGGCGGACCCCGCCCCCGCGCCCGTATCCCCAGCACCCAATGTCTCCTGCACAGTTTCCTCCCACTCCGCGATCGTTCTCGCCAGGTCCAGGTGGCCGGCCGATGCCGCCAAGATCCATGAGTCCTGGACCTTACGGACCCCCAGGATTGCAGAGACCGGAGATGCCAGCGAGCCAGCGGAAACGGAGCAACAGCGCAGGTGGGTCAGTGGGAGCTATTCCTCGTTCAACAGGATCACCGGGACCAAGCCCTCTGGCCGGCCCAATGATGCCACCGCCGTCCGGTGCACTCCCAGCAATTCCCACTCCGCCACCGCCGCAAGCACTAGTTCGAGATGACCACGCGTGAAGTCAATTAGGCTAATGAATGTCCAAAATGTGAACGAAAGCGACCTGCAAATGCAATTGATTGGCATGAGGGGGGCAGTTGATTGTTATTGCCGCTGGACGGAACGAGCCTGGTATGAGTATCACCTGCGTCTGGGACGAATGAGCCCTGTCAACCTGCTTTTTTTTCGATTTCTCTTCTATTCTCCTCGTCGGAGGACTCTCTTTCGACTCTCTTTCATTCTTAGTATCTTTCTATCCCCCTCTTATACGTTTTCTTCTACGATGCCGGCAACTGTTTCCTCTCGAAGCAAGAGAAAGCTCTGCCAAGGTCATGTTCAACGGGTATACCCACTTCTTTCAGCTTTAACTCTTTTTTTTTATTATTCCCCCTCACTTGAGAAAGGATGTTGATTGTGAGGTTCATACATTGTGCTCTATCTCAACCCCTATACAGTGCGTTTATTGTGTATCAGCACAGTTCCAGTTACTCTGTCTTCCTTGCGCATTTACATCGGAGAGTGAGAATCAAAGGAAGGGGTCTGGCTTCCAGCAATAATCCTGTACGTTTCTCTGATTGTTCATGTATAGTTGGTGGTCGTCTATGTAGATAGTAGTGAATACAGCAAAATCAGAATATTTTCAATATAGGCTGTAATCCTTGAAATTATTCTTGCTCTTCTGCAGATGATAATATGCATATATATGTCCGTCTATTAGAGATGTGGAACATTCCCACTAGCCAGAAGCAAATTGACAATACTGATGATTCCCTCCCCCAAAATCAACCCTGAGGCTAGCACCACCACCGACGAAGACGCCGCGTCCGCTTCTCGGGCGGCCTGTTCGGCTGTTTTCCCGGCCACGGCCGCGGGCACTCTCGATTCTCCGGGTGTCTGATCTGCTACGGTCTCGCCCGGGGTATCCGAGGTGGCACTGCTCGTGTGCTTCCGCGACCACCACCAGGCGATTATCCCGCCGATTGCTCTAGCCAGTGTGAACGAGGGGACGTTGAAGATACCCACGGCGACGGCGATGCCGCCGGGGACCCATGCCCTCCAAGGAGCGGAGACGTTGCGGCGGCCGCCGTTCGCCAGGGGCGAGGCGGCGTAGATGCGCAGGATGGTGATGCCGACGAAGACGGTGCCTGCGAGCAGCGAGGCCTGCCAGGCCATGGGGGCAGGCCCTGGCCTGTGACGAGGCGGGCGGTGAAGATCCAGACGTAGGCGGTGGGGGTCTGGAACATGGGGCCGGGGACCTGGTAGACGCTGACGTACATCCTGTAGACGGCGGTGGAGAGGACGGCGCCGACGAGGCTGCCGATCATTTGGCCGTAGAACTGGGCTTTGGGGCTTGCACCAAGCAAGTGCCCTGTTTTGAGGTCCTGCATCATGTCGCCGGCTTGCAGGGCGCCGGATTCGGAGACGGCGCCGGCGAGGAGGTTGGTGATTAGGGCGGTGCGGCGGGAGAAGTGTGAGGCGGGTGTTGCGAGAGAGAAGAGGAGCTGGGTTAGTTTACTGATGCCGGAGACGGGGTTTAGGTCTGTCTCGCCTAGTGCCCGGACGCCCATTATTGAGAGTAGCACGGCGAGGAGAGTGGCAAGGCTGGAGAGCAAGGGCGACATGACGTCGCCGAAGACAATGTGCATGCAGACCACGTTCAATATCAGGGTCAAGGGAAGCAGAATTGCCACAGTCCGGGTAGAGATTAGCTGGGAAGGCGGCGCATCATCTTCTTCCTCGGGTTCGCCGTGCCTTGCCGGGAGGTGGGCGGAATAGGCTGCTGTCGATGACTCCTCAGAAATGGGACTCAGTGCGGAATATCTGACGTATGAATGGCGAGAACCGTTGTTCGTCCCTTGAGCCAGAATCCATTTTCCGGCGCGACTGGAAAAGAATCTGGCGCTGAGCTTCGGGGCGTTGGCGATGACGGGCTTCAAAACCAGCCAACCAAGACTGACAAGCGAGTCGGCCAGCATGATGGCTAGAGAAACCCATACAATCCAGCCCTTACTTCCAGCCTCCCAGTCATCCACACGCCCAGGGGCCCAGCCACGAGCCTTCGCGAGCGGAGATAGGATGCCCCAGCCGAGTATGGCCCCAAAAAGCATATGCATGCAGGTAGATGGGCCCATGATAATTCCTTGGCCAATGTATGCGGGGGACGGGTTGAGAGTCCATAGCCAGTTTTGTGCTAGAGAAAGACCGAGGAGGGGCACATCACGGACTTGAGGGACAAAATAGGAGAACAGCGTCTGTCACGGTTAGTGTCGCGGGCTTGGTTTAGTTACAGCCAGTAGCAGGAGACCTCACATAAACCCCAGACACCGCAAAAGCGCCCACCAGGAGACGCATCTTGGACCTCCAATCTCGTCTGTCCGCTAACTGACGTTCGCTATCATCCTTTTGCAGTAGCGCATTTCCCTCTTCCTCTCCGGTTTCGTGCCTCAAGGCAAGCGTTTCACGCTCTCCTCGTAAGACTGCAGTCGAATTGCTTTTTTTCTTCGCCTTCTCGTCGCTAGACCCACTTCCGTGTAGTACTCTGAGCATGAGAGCCGACGCCGTCCCACTCGGAAACCTCAATTTCTCTCTCACGATTACCTCCTTTCTCAGCGGGACGGCAAAGACAACCCCGAAGAGGCAAACTCCCAGACTCCAGAGTACCAGTTTCCAGAAATTGAGCTTCAAAGGACCACCCTCCCCAGTACCACCGTCGCCAGAAGGTCCATCTTCCCCGTCTCGGACCAGGAATTCCAACGCGGGGATGACACCAACAAACCCGCATCCTAATGGCATCGTTCCCACCGCCCCAGCCACCGTTTGTATAAGGACGTTTTCTATTGGCGTGAACGGATAAGAGAGGTACTTGGAGAAAACTTTGAAAACAGAGAAGCCGATAAGTGCTGAAGGCATGGCCATTGTGCTGATCCAGCCGGTCTGCAAGCCGAAGTAGGTATTGGAAAAAGTGATCAAGGCGCCAATGACGAGTCCAACGAAGAGGGAACGGGGAGTGAAGCTCTGAGGGGATGTCCGAGATGATCTCTCCATTTCCAGTTCCGGGTCAAATACATCGTCACGGTACCCAGGGCTCCGTTCCTCGTGGCCTTCAGAACTCCCGGGGATAGCTGAACCAGCTTGCTCGGGGCTGTCGGAGCGGTGGCCATTGTCGGTGGCATCAGCCGCCATGGTGATGGATTGATAATTCATCCAGACCGCAAGTCAAGATACATCTCTCAGAGCTGCAATTCTCGTTCCATTCGATAGACTTGAAGAAAGATCAACCACAGGATGGCAGTCGAAGGGCTGATCTGTCATTCCTCGTGAGGGGAGCACAGAATATCGGAGTTTGAGGCGACGCGTGACTCAACACGGTGAGATAGTTAACTAAGCAATATGATAAGCGATAAGATAAGCCACGGTACGGTGATGTCAGCGTCTACGAGAGGTAAGTTATAGCAGTACAATTTGTGGCATCCTCATTCTGTGTTCAACAACAACAACAGCAGGTGCATCGCTAATTAATATAATTCACTGGCTAAAATGGTAGTTGTCCTGGAGTATACGGGATATTAGTCGGATGATTATGTCACGACATTGCATGGCTGTCCTGCACTCCACCCTTCAATGGCCTGCTGGACCATCTGCGAATAGTTGGCCAAGGTTTTCTTCGACAACCACGCTAGATGAGGAGTGACAATTAGATTAAGATCCTTTGTCCCGTCGGACAGTAATGGAGAGTTATCCAATCCAGCAGGCTCTACACGGAAGACATCCGTGGCCGCACCAGAAATCGTACCCTTTCTCAAAGCCTCGAGTAGTGCGTCTTCGTCTACAATTCCTCCGCGGGAGACGTTGACGATAACAGTATGCGGTGACATACTCTCCAATTCTGGGGTGGATATGAGGTTTCGCGTTGAAGGACTCAGCGGCACTGCCACGAAAATGACCGTGCTTTGTCGGATGACAACATCGAATGGAGTCCTCTCGGTGCTATCGACCGTGCTCGGTGGCGCCGATGCTGCAGAATCTTTCCGCGCTGATATGAGAACTTTCATGCCCAGGTTACGTGCGAGCTGAGCAATCCTTTGTCCTGCGTTTGTATTGTCAGTCTCGAGAGCAACAATTGACGGAGCCACATCAGACTCGACCGACTTACCAACAACCCCGTTTCCAATAATCCCAACTACTTCATCTTCGCAACTCAAAGGAGGCTGGCCATGTTTGTCGAGAAGTTGATACATGATGGTTCCTTTTTTGTGCGCCCATTCGCCCGCTCGCGTCAACATGTGCATATCCAGTATTCGCCGCCGCGAAGCGAAGTACAATCCGATTGCATGCTCTGAAACTGAATTCACGTTTGAGCCAACGGATCGGCTCACAATGATCCCCCTCTTTCTGCATGCTTCGAGATCAATACAGTCTGTGCCCACTGCTGCGACGGCAATGAGTTTGAGATGCGGTGTCACCTCAGGGGAGAGTGTGTGCGCGTCAAAGGGGATATATGAGAATACGACAACCGAGGCATCACGAATACGCGAATGGAGTTCTGAGAGCGAAGTTTGCTGATAGACGGTCGTAGTAAAAGTATGACCGGGCGGGAAGCGAAAGTCGGGAATTGGACAATAATCCGCCTGGAGGAAAACAATGTGGTGATGCGCCGGAGATAGATTTGCGCTCATCTTCAAATATCTGATTCAATTATATATCCTGAGGAGTCTCTGGGCTGGTTTGAACCTTGGTTACGTGGAATCTGACATTGATGACACTGGCATTTCACCATCCCGCACCAGATATATATACTAGAGAGGCATCCCCACGCCCTACGAGCAACAATTCCATGTGGGTCTGGTAAGCTCCACGTCGTCCCTTGTACGGAGTACCTCACCACAACTCTACCGCCAACAGCCCCCCGAGACATATAGCTTCATCGATACCGGGTTAGGCAACAGGACCCTCGTCGATATCGCAGATATTTGTTAATATGAGGGGAATGCTTATTGGTTCTTGCTCGTTGCTCTGTATCTCGACGCACAATGTGTTCAACAAGTGCCTATATGGACCTCTTCCAGAACAATCCTGGCACATACGACCATAGGGTGTGGAAAACAGGGCTTCCCGTCCGCTCAGCCGTACTTAAGCCACACGCCGGCCGGTTAGTAGTTGGGTGGGTGACCACCAGCGAATCCCGGCTGTTGTATGTTTTTTGCTCAATTTATTACCTATTTTTGCTTCATTGCCATTTGCTGCCTCGTAAAAATATATAATACCCTGGCCCTCCTAGATCAGCGCATAGCTTAAGTATCTATTAATGTTTCCCATTTTTCTTTCGTAGTTTTTTTTGTGTTCTTCTATCTGTATACACCTTAATAAATGTTCTCTCCACCGTTCGTCTAATCCTTCAACCGACCAAAGCGATGGATCTCAGCTATTTGCATTTTAGCTCTCAATCGTTGCTCTGCCAGAAGCTCCATGTGATACTACAAGCATGAAAATACAGGGACATCAGGCTTGATTATATCTTGAAACACAAAATGTGAGACTCATTTCTTCTGATGGACGATAAGCGGCTAACAAGGCTAACCAACATCCCTAAAACAGATTCATAACAGTCTCATCCTTACGCATTGCTCTCCACCTTCAAGGTCTTCTGAGGAGGCTGAAAGACTTGCTCAAAATAGCCGGTCATTTCATCGACATTCTCGATGTTTCCAACCCATCCAATATGCTGATCGGGTCTGAGGATGACGAGAGCACCTCGTACTCTGTCAACACCCCAAGATTCGTACCCTTTTCCCGTACATTGTCGGTCCCAGAAGCAGTCGTCATCGCTCCAAATTTTGTCGTAGGCCCATCCTCTCTCCGGGTCGAACAGTCTGAGCATTTCCGGAAAGTCGGAAAAGTCCATCTCTCGCACTGGAGCACTGTGAATAGTGATCACTTCAATGAGACTGTCGAGTTTCTCGCCTTCGGGTGTATACCGCTGGAGAACCAATTCAGCTGAAGCTAGATGGGTGCTGAAAGCCTCGACGCGCTGTCTCTGATCTTTGTGACGCAAATCTCCTGCGAGGAGCATAATCCGGAAGCTCCCGTCGCTTTTGAAAAGGCGTGTTGTCCACCAGGCCTGGCTGTCTGCCTGATTACGGATCTTGGCTGGTGGGAATCTTTCTCCAGGGATCAGATGCGCAGCGATATCCTCGCCTCCCTTGTAGACTAACGAGCTGGGCCCGTAGTAACAGACATATCCGTTGGCAAATGCGATGGATAATTGGATCAGGTCCATCAGTGTTTCCTTGCCATTGCTAGGGGCTGTGCTTTCTGCAGCATCACCCTGTTGCTCCTTCACAAACAACGGCTGCAGGCGGCGGTCCAGATCGATCAGCATCTGCGCAGTTCTTTTACGCTCTAGCTCGTAAGTTGCGAGTATAGAAGGGCGAGCAACCCCTTTCGCGACGAGCGCCACTTTCCACCCGATGTTGAATCCATCTTGCATACTCACGTTCATGCCCAGACCTGCCTTGGGAGAATGGGTGTGAATGGCGTCTCCGGCGAGATGAATTCGCCCTTTCGTGAAACTTGACGCGAGTCGCCGACCGACCTGTAAGAGCCCTCGAGTCACTCTTTCTGTCTCAAAATGCAATGTTCGAGTTAAACCATACCTGATAAACTGTCCACCAGTCGCAGATCTTGAAGTCAAAGTCGAAGGGTCTCAGCACTTCCTTGGCCTTCTGCCGAACCATGTCAAGAGTAATTGAGGATCGATCTAAGAATACCGAAGTGCCGTCAACAGCTTGCAGAGGCAGATAGAGCCGGACAAGCTGCCTTTCCCTCGGGATGACCAAGAGAGTGCCGTGTTCCGTTGCCACGGTGCACACGCGGCGGATATCAGCTACCAGGAGTCAGCAGCCGGCATATAGCTATGGGCACATTCCCTCTCACGGAAGTTTGTGATGGGAACCATATCGACAACACCCCTGACACAATGAGTCAGTCAAACACCAGGCGGAACAGGGTAAAGTACCATATGTGCTCAGTTGTGGATCCTTCGAAAGGTATGTTCAACTCTTTCCTGGTCCAGCTGTGTGCCCCATCACAGCCAATGAGGTACTTGGCCTTCACTGTCTCGACATTTCCCGGTCTCTCTTTGCTCTTCTTGATTAAATCATCCCAATCATCAGGCGTGATGTTGCTCCGGAATAGTCCATTTCGAACGCCTCCAGAACCACCGTGAGTGGAGGAGGGATTCGCTTCTTCCTCGCCGAGGGTTCTCAATGTAACCGTGATAGGGTACGCATCGCCGCTATTCTCGAGGGTCTCATCGTACTCCAGTGATTCTGCAATGACTCCTCTCTCGACTTCAAGGTCAGAACAGTCTCTGATGGCATCCAAGATGAAAACGTTCAATTCTCCCTTGGTTCAGGATGCAGTTGCCAAAGGGAGAATTATTCAGATCGTGAATCGCATGCTGTTCTTGTCTCTTCAATCGACCATCCTCACCCGGGCCCTGAAACCTTGCGTCAGCCAACGATCGTGGACAACACCCATAGCTCATACAAAAGAGACCTACTGACCCAGAACGTGAATTCCGCCGCCTCACAGGCTTCGTGGAGGACTCGATGCACAACTCCTATGCTGTCAAGCAGCTCAAGCGTCCTAGGCCGCAGTCCGTCCGCCTGCCCGGTAAATACCTTGGTGCCACGCTTGTCAATGATTCGAGCATTCACACCACAGCGTGCCATCCAGTAGGCGGCCATCAGACCAGAAGGGCCGGCGCCGATGATGAGCCTGAATCAGATCAGCATCATGACTTGCAGCAGGGCAGGAATTGGCTTACACATCAGTGTAGGATATAGATGATTCCGTCATGTTGCATGAACTTCGCTCGACTTTTCGGTAGCGCAACGTCACGCTACTTGATCCAACTCAGAACGACGGAGGAGAGCGCTTGATGATATATGACAATGACTCAATTATAGCCATGGAATACTCGTTTTCTACAAGGGACCCTGAGCTGTCCGCTAGCGTCGCGGAGTCGACCACGAACTTCGTTGATAAAAGAAGCCAATGGTGACGAGAGATGCCCTCTAAGGGAGTACGAGGCATGGCATCTTCAGATATCGTCCGATGACGACTTCCTACATGTCAACCCATAGTCAGGCCGTGGAACATTGGCCCTGCTGGACCTAATCGCGCATTTCGTCACAAGTACCCAGGCATGAGGGCGACTTGGCCATCGTCCAGTCTAAACGCATCCTTGTCATCGAGTAAGCCCGCCGAATCACCACGCGGACCATCTATACAGGCTTACGGCGCATAGAGTGCACTGACTGTACTCGTATATGCCTTGGTAGTCAGTCCTTGAGCTGAATCAAGAAACATAAACAAGTCGACGGCCAAGTCCGCGGGGAGTCCGTGTTTGCTCTCGATTGCAAGCAGACCTCTGTTCGAATGAAGAGGTAGAGAGACAGCAATAACGCCAAAAGAGCTTCAGGGTTGTTCAAGGCAAGAGATGACGCAGCAGTCAATCACCCCGATCAAGAGAATGATGATACCTGAGCTCACTGGTTTCTCTGGCTGGCATATGCATGTAGACTCAGCTGACGTCAGGATTGAAATCTGGTCCACGGAGATCATTCTCGCCCAGCTAATTCAACGGTGAGGTCCTCGGCATGGAAGGCAGCATAGTAAAACCGGTTCGATTCGGAGTTAATGTGTGCCAAAGCCGCCCACTCCATCTGCTGAAGGTCGATTGGTGCATCATGCCAGGAAACCGCCGAAGCCTCGCTCGAGGAATGCGGATGTTCACTCGAAAGGAAGTTGTGGATACTCGTCCAGGTGCTCCTTGGGGGAAATCCTTATTCAAGTGGCATTTACAAACAACATCCGTCCCTGACCAAGTTCGCGGATGTCGCCGCATCGTGATGTTGCCATGCGGACGTATCAAGCAAAAGAAAAATGGCCCAAAGTTGATAACGGGGCAAATAGTCACTTTCAGATAGGGGAGCAAAATAGGGAAAAGAAAAGCGCAAGGTGAAGTAGTGACGCTGTCCTGATTCCAGGGAGTGGGTGCGCGGTAACGGTGCCGGCCCTCAGCAAAGCTCCCAGTCTCTGAAAAGACTTTCCAACTCGGGACTACATTTTTGGGCTGTATCTCGTGTTCCCTGTCCTTGAAGGGGCTAATTTACCAAGGAACAGGCAGAGCCAGTGATTGGTTGAGCGCGAGAGTAAACATACATGAGCCCCTTGCGGAGCTTCGAACGAGGACATTCAAATCCTAGGTTAACTTTCACAATGCAGGGGGCTCACATTCCATCTCTAAGCCTCGAGTGAACCTCGAGTGCAAAAACTCCGCTCAAGAATGGATGCCCTGTTTGCAAGCTCTACGGCACACATGCCCTTTCCTGTTCCTGCGTGTCTGCATTCCGGGGGAGCAGGCATGTGCCCCAGTTCAAGAAAGGAGTTTGCCTCAAGGATGAGAGAAGCGATCGGGGCCCTGCTACGCGTTGGATTGTTGTCCTCATACAATGGACATAAATAGACGGTCTGTGTCCCTGGCGCGCTGGCCTCTTTCGAATCTCGCATCCTTCCAAGTACCTACCCGCAGTCGCTCATTTAGGACGGACCCTCTACCTCACGCAAAAGCGTAAGACCATTCGCTCACTTAATCTTTGGCAAAATGCATTACTCTCAGGTGAGTTCTCTTATGCTCTGCACTGGCAGCTGGTCAATTGCTGATGATTCTCCAGTTCGTCACCGTGGCATCTGCGCTTGCGCTGGCGCCTACCGCCGTTGTTGCTCGCCAAGCCGCCGCTGCCTTTGTCACAGTCAACTCGATCGACACTTGCCCTAAAGGTGTGGCCCAGGAAATCATCACGCCGGGACCGAAGGTAGTTACCACGCCCTACACTTGCGAAAAGGTCAAGGTCGGTCATGGCCTGGACGTGTCCTACTACAACTTCGACATTGAGCCCCTCACCAAGGACACCGTTACTTCCTGCAGGGCTCTCAAGGTCTACGACAACGAAGGTTGCCTGGGCTTCCCTACTCTATGGATTCCTCTCGAGAGCCCACTCGAGGACCGGTGCATCCCTGAACGCTACTTCAGCGACGAAGTGAAAGCCATCTCGTTGCAGCTCGATTGCGAGGACCCCCCTGCCAAGAAGGAGTTACCCGGCCCTAAGCAGGTGGCCGAACAACTTGCCCAGCAGGCACCGCAGACAGAGCATGGTCCTAAGCAGGAGGCTCACCAAGATCTCAAGGAGGCAGAGGCTGCTCCTAAGCAGGAGGCTCACCAAGATCCCAAGAAGGCAGAGGCTGCTCCTAAGCAGGAGGCTCACCAAGATTCCAAGGAGGCAGAGGCTGCACCTAAGCAGGAGCAGGAGCGCGAGCAAGGTTCCGAGCAGGACGAGGAAGATCCTGAGGAGGCGCCCGAGAGAAAGGCCGCAAACCCTGCTGACAGTCTTGGCCTCGGTGAACTCACAAAAATGCTCGGTTTCCGGTGAGCGGCGCGCTCGCTTCAAGCTGTGAGATTGGGTTGCAACTTTCATCACAGGCAGGAGTGATAGGTTGATGTGAAAGGGAACTTGGCATGCACACAGTCTTGTATTTTAATTTTAATAAGCACCTTTTCTTGCCATAACAATGTCAATCAACATACTATTCATTTCTTTGGAGGGTCGCTACACATGAAGATCCGTAGATTATAGTATCGTCGCTAGTATGAGTCCTATTGCTCCATCAGTTGTACTGACCATGGAGGGGTATCGGAACCATCCATCCATAATAAATCATTTCTTGATTGCGAAGCCAAATTCGCACTTCCAGGACTGACCCTATTCCATGAAAACCACACGATTTCTTCTGCATAAGGAACACCTGATGACTGAGTCATCTAACCACTTGACTGAACCAACGCAGTCTTAACATCTCTCCGAGGACATAGCGTGACAATGATGTAGCCGAAGCTTCTAGCACTCTCATGCATTGCCGACTTGACAGGCGCGTCACCGTCACCATCACGGTCAAACAAAGCCAACGGAATGGAATGCAAGCCATCAAGCCACGAACACTACTGGCGCGCCGCCACCATGAGCTTCATGAGCTTGGCCCGGAATGCACGATATGCACTGCAGACTGTAGGCCTGACCATCAGTCAATCACACTAGCGTGTGCGTGTGCGTGTCGATTCCTTAGAGAGAGCTGAAATGAAACGAGGTATGTGCAGCCGTTTCATGCGTCTCGTCTCGTCTCGCGTCGTGTCGAGGTCAAGCTTTGATCGTGGCTGATTCCTGCCATCGGGACTAATGTACCATCATCATTTGGCTTTGGCTCGGATTGCGAAGGGGGCAAGGGAATGCATATATAGGGCTTGTGTTCTTCAGGGTCTAGCGAGTTAGGAATCGCGCCTTAGTGCAAGTTAACTCTCGTCCTGCTGTGCTGGACTATATCCTCACCATGCATTTCACGAACGTAAGACGAATCCCAAAAACCTCTGTTATCCACGATACAAGTCTAACAGCATCGCAGCACCTCCTCGCCCTCCTCCTTATCCTGACACCCGCGCTCGCCTCCTCAACTACAGCCCGCATCTGGGCCGAATTCTTCCCCTCCTGTCCAGTCGACCGCATCCACCCAGCCTCAGCGCCAGACCACCTTCCCTACGAGGAGTTCATCTCAGCACTCAATATCTCCCCGGGGGCCTGCACGAACATCTTCGTGCCGCTCTCGTACGGCCGCGAGGTAACGCACATGTCTTTCGACGCGGAAGTCGAAGTCGAAGGCACTAGACCCGAAGAATGCAGAATTGCCATACACGAGGTCCCCGGGTGCGTCGACCCGCCTCTCCTCGAAGAGGAGGTGAAGCACGGCTTCGCGTCCAGCGATTGCGTCCCCAGGAACTTTGTCTCGTATAATCAGGTTTGGGTCAGGTTGGACTGCGAAGAAGAGGAGGATGAAGACGTGCAGTCGAGTGAACAACCAGCGCATAGCCATAAATCCCTGCTTCATGACCGTCCTTATCTCTATGGTAACAACTTGGTCGAGTTGGCGAATCAGACTGCGCCTTATTTGAATGGGACGGGTTCCAGTGCTGCTGCCAGGCCGGTCTCGCTGCGGAGGGCGCTGCGGATACGGTTGTAGGGTCCCATTCTCCTTATTAATGAAGTTGGACTGTATAGACCTGAGCCTGATCTACCTTGTCTGTGATTAGGCCAGAATGATGATGGTTACGTATGTGTTGATCAACGTCCCAGTTATGAATTCACGTCCGCAATAGTCTAGCAAATCAACGTAAAAGCCAGTTCGTGCTATACAAGAGATTCTTGGCTCGCGAAGCAGATAATTTGCGGTCAATAGAAATGTATATACGTACACCAGACGCCTCCATGCTGAAAAGCCAATAACAATAAGTGCAAATCAGAATCCGAAGCTGTCGAGCAGTGAGTTGGCGTCGGGTTCGTGGAATATCGTAGGGGGTGGTTTTGTTTTGTGTGATACAGCTGGAGTCTTTGGTTCCTGCGAAAGACCAGCTTTGATCGGCAGGTCTGCCACCACAAGACTGCTTCGCCGTCGAAGCATCTTTCGGTAATCGACGCCGTTCTCCTGTAGCTTCTGCGCGACATCTTTCAACGTCTTGGGTGGAGGAGGCACGCTCAGGAACTCCCAATGGCGCACAAGATCCAGGGCAAGGAGGTCGCATCCCATGCGGTCATACAGGCGGGCATTGCGAATGATGAACTCCCATTCCGCTCGGGCTGATACCTGAGAAGCCCCTTTCAGTGTTTGCAGGGTCTTCTCCCGGAGTTGTTTGTACAAAACGACCAAGGCGGGATCGTTGGATAAGAATGACTTCGCTTGCAGCGGGATTGAGCCAGGGCTTCCAGGAGATGAAGGGGTAGAAGGGATCAACGTCTCGACGGGCGACTGTACGACCAGTTGTCAGTCAACGAGCCCAAGAAGGAACAGGTAATACCATCTTACAATCAACGAACGGACGGCCATGTCGCGACGGCCTAGCATCCAAAAGGCCCACGATGCCATCCATCGGTTCCCGTCAGATGCGGCTTCGGGCAAAACCCTCTCTTCCAGGATTTCTCTCAAAACGGGACCATTGTCTCCTTCGTATGCACGCGTAATAGCGATCGCAAGCTGTAGATCCCCAACCTGGTTCAAACAGATGTTGGCCGCATCACGAAGCTGGTCTGCAAGAAGAAAGAAAGCCGCCGCGTACTCTGGAAAAATGTCAGGAAAGCTTACTTTAATTCGAGGGGCTTGTGCAGGAAGACCGTACCAAACCTCCGTTTCCCAAGCAGAGCATAAGCATTTTTCAGAGCTGCAGTCTTCCACCGAGGTTCTTGAAAGTCATTTGCCAGTAACCGTTGAGTGGCACCTTGCTCGCGGTGCCAACTTGCCATCCGCCACAGACCCTGTAGAATATTCTTCTTCTTCAGCGCGATATAGAACAAGGAACAGTCAATAGGGTTCTTTTCCTCCGTCTTGGTATATTCGTTGCGCGCGACGAGCTCCAATTGTGCTCGCTGTCCTGTGTTAGCTCTTCATCCTCGGTAACGAATGAAGTCGGAATTGCTTACAATAGCATTAAAGTCTGTCAGCCACATAAAGATACCGCTCTCCCTGGCTGCCGCCCATTGCATCTTGCCGCCGTACTGTCTTGACACGAGGTCGGACAGGATATCTTGGCTGCCGCTATGGAACGCCCAGACGATCTCTCGCCAAGAAACCGTATCCTTATTTGCGACGCCTTGACTTCTTCTCAGCATGTGTTGTCGAAAGAACAAAAGATAGCGAGCAGCATTGTCATCCATGGACCGTCGGTGCTTCTCGACCGTGGCAACACATTCAATTGTATCAGCTAGGCGGAACTGCTCATGGCTGGAAAGTTGCGGCAATGCGAAGCGAGAGAGATTCTCATTCAGTGCGGCGGCAGCGTTTTCGTCCATCACATTGGAGGTTTCACTCAGATCCAGGTCGGCGTATGAGGCCTGTAATTGTTTGGAAGATGCTTGCTGCGGAATATCGTGCTCCACGTAAAAGTCTTCCAGCGGCCTTTCCAAAAAGCCATCGATGTCGTCACCTTCTGTGTAAAATTTCAATTTCCGATGCAGGGTCGTCAAGACGGAATGCACCACGTTTGTCTTGCCACTGAGGATGCATTGCGCAAGGAACTGTGGGTGAAAGACAGGTAGCGGACCGTTTAGTCGACTAACAACTTCGAACAAGTCAACGGAAGACAGACCGCGAGAGGGTATGCGGAGTTGCGAAACTAAGCGGTCGCTGGCGTCAATCTCGTTGTCGTAGACAAAGAGTTGGTTTCCAGCGCCAATCCCAAGGTGGCCGTTGCTAAGCCAGCAAGAATCACCGATGGGGTGAGGTGTCAGATCCCGGATCCAGATTTCTCTGACCTGCGTCCAGGATGGACGGGCATCGAGATAGTCATACCGCAACTGACACAGTAGTATGACTTTATGCGGAAAACCGATTGCCAAGACCGACTGCTTGTCTGGCGTAGATGTCCAATCGAGATCGCGAATGACATCGTGCTGCGCGAAGTGTTCCTCGAACTCCAGTTGCGCACCATTTGTATCCCAGATTGTCAGATGAGTGCGATCCGCGTCTACCAGAGCTGCCTTCTTGGTAGAGCTCCCACTGGCAAGTGAGGGATTCTCAATGCCCGTGTCGACCGTCGAGGTCAGCAAGAACTCCACCTGGCTATTCTGCTGATCGACCTTGGCAGTCCAGGTGTGAATCACACCCCGTGTGGTATACGACAGCGCTATATCCGGAGAAAACAGGTCGAAGAATCCCGATACTGTTTTTTGAGGGCCTGCAGGGTCGACAGGCAAGATGTACGACATGTCTTCGTCGAGACCTAGATTGAAGGTGCAAAACTTCCGCAGTGAGCACTGTGCAGCTGACGAGACACCGTTGGTCTGAGATTTGCCAGCGGGTAAACGTATCTCCCAAGCTATCCCATTCATATCAGCCCCTATTGTTGCGATGTAGACGACGTTGCCGCCCTTATCCGCTGTCGGTAACGGAAGGACGCAGAGCGGTTTGCTTGAGAGTTCGAACGATTGAGAGGCGATATTTCGGGCATGAAAAGAGCGGACATCCCAGACAGAGATGCCGTAGTGATGAAGATTGACCAGAAAGTCACCACTTTCTATCACGCAGCTACGATGAATGTGCTCGTCCGAGTACAGCCAGCTCTTCCGGACCAAAACCGACCGACCATGTCTCCACCTTTGCTTCCAGATTGTGGCCTTGTTCTCGTTAGTTCGAGAAACAAGCGTGTCTCCGGCTGCATTTCGAACGATCTTGTTGATAGGATCAGTATGTCCGGTCCAAGAAGCTTTCAGGGCGATCCGGTTTTTGCGCGGCGTAGGGTCAAACAGCACATCAACTTGCGAATCAAACCACTCAATTCTGCCATCGAAATGATGGACAATAATAGAAAATGAGTCTCCCAGAGGTGTGGTCTGAAAAGCACATAACTGAGCATAATCCTCCTCCGCGGACAGTCCAGACATGAAAGAGAAATCAATGCTTTCGACATGAAGAATGTTGAAAGCGTTCATGTTCGACTTGGTCTTGGACCCAACATCCTCCAAAGCCCATGCAGACATATGACCTTGTCCGTCTAGCACAACGCAAATTTCCGGATTCTTGTTCGCAACTTCAATAATGTGTTCTAAAGCATGGTTCTCCTTGTTTCCTGCGCTTCGCTGCACCGCTCGTTCAGTCGCAAGACAAAAATCTCGACTATCGACAACGAACCCATATCGACGATGCCTATTCTTCTCATCCGCAGTCTCCCTCGGTTGAACAGATGCGCCCATGTCAATCTCCGTCCATAACTGGAGGGGTGACGGCGCATGATGGTCGATCGCAGCCCAGACCCTGATCTTATTGTCCGCACTCAGAGTGTAGAACACATTTTCCAAGGATTGTTCTCGGTGAATTGGCTTACGCCAGTGTATCCCTGTAACAACCGCCGGGTGCGGAAGATATGAAACCTCGAATCGCACATCATCTGCACCGAAGGAGAGCCGCCGCCAAACCTTGACCATGCGGTCGTAGTGTCCCGTAGTGACCACCAGTGTCGAATCGGGAGAGAACTGCGCGAACTTGACCGGGTTGGCGAGCTTCTGCTTCCAGATAAGGCGCGGGACGTCATTTAAGAACCATAGTGTAAGATGCGAATTGCCCAGGAGTAGCTCATCGGGGGAGCCCCAGGACAGGGTTCTGATCGTCTCGCCATCGTCTTCGCTGCGAATGGTATGTAAAAGGGACCACTGAATTCCAAAATCACCAGCAAAGTCAGCAACGTGCGATCGCCACCATTCGCAGGACAACAAACACGCACCTTCAACGTTTCATGCTGGATGCCGTACGGCTGGTAAATGAAAACGTCCGGTCCACCACACACAGCAATTTTCCCGGAAGCTTCATCAATCGTCACAGCCTCGAGCGTCTTGGTCTCATCCACGTAGATGGTCTGAAGGAGGGTCTGCGGACCGCCGAGGATAACAAGCGCATGCCCGGAAATGTACACCTACGGGAAAACGCGAAAGCGACAAGTGTCAGCGGAGCTCGTAGTTAAGCAAATGAAGCATAAGGTCGTCTCAAGAATCACAAGGATGTTTGCTTACAACCACACGGAGACCGTCCCACAGCGCTGTGCTGAAAGACTGGAGCTTCGCTGGGGGTCTCCCTGGTAGCACCGCTCGCATAGAGGCGGTCGTTGATCGAGTTGGACGCTTGTTGCGCTCGGTGGTGCTACACCATTGCCAGTAATAGACACGTGATGATGACAAGCTCCAGTTGAAAAGAATGTGCGAGGATGTCGATGAGGAAATTAGATATGTTGATTTCTGAACTTGTGGGGAAAGACAGACAATATACTCCGTCCGGAGGTGTGAGATGTTGATGTCAATCACGCTGTTTCCGCTATCTGTACTCCGTACTTGCTCCACTATAGGCACTCCCGCCGTGTGACCAGAGCATGCGATCAACGTCGACCTAATCTTTACATAGAGCACTAGGACTATCTCTAGGCGAATTGTGGTATGGCAGTATTATGCTCTACTGCAGTATTGATGTCACGTTACTATGGAACTTGCTGCGAACGGTTGCGGTTCTCTTGGCAGCGAATGTTGCGAGGCAGCAGCGTCATTGTTACAAACTCCATGTCTGACACTCGGATTGAGTCTGACTCTGTTGAGGACGAGGGGTTGAAGAGGCACGGCGCCGCGGACGAGGACGTGTCCTTGCTGGTCGGACCGTGATCAGAGGAGTAGGCTCCGGCATGCCTTCCTGATTCGGGGTTGCTCTGATATGGCAGCTCTTCAATAGCGATATTCCTGCTGGCTTGCGAACTGCCGATATAGTTAGTTAATAGCTGAAGATCGGATGAAATGAACTAATATCCTCTCAAAATTAAAGAGGTAAGATGGCCGAGTGGTTAAGGCGAGCGATTTAAGTTGCAAATCTCGCTTGACGAAAGTCGCGTGGGTTCGAACCCCACTCTTACCATTTCAGAAAAACACCCTGTATTTTTTTGGGAGCCGCTGCAGCCGTACTAGCTTATTGTTCCTGCCACGCTAATCTAATCTTCTTCTGTCTACCTAGGTTAGGAGAGGTATCATCACGCAAAGTCATATACTGCACGCACATCGCGTGGCTATATAAATAGTTTATACATGCTTACATGATGTATTGGGCGTGTACTATAATGTGTGATATAGCTCTAGATCCTGGCGACTAGGTAGGTAAAAGAAAGTAATAATCTTGGTATTACTGCAAAAAAAAGTAGTTCTTCCAAGTGTGAGATGGGGGTAGCAACGAAATATACAGAAAACTGGAGGGAGGATAGATTGAGGATCTGGATTAAGGGAAAGCAAGAGTAAGAGTTGAGTCTCATGTGCTTGTTGTTTATATAGAGGAAGGAGCCTGTGATGGCCGCAGAATCAAGCCCATAGATGGAAGACAGTGAATGAATCTGGCACCACTATCTTTGGCAACTAATGATCCAGTGCTTGAAACTCTGAAAGCCATGGCATCCAAAATGTCCAAGAAGCAGATAAACACCGTCTGCACTTAATTGCGTTACTCATCACAGAATCGCTTGGTCGTGTATCACTCATAGTACATATATCCAAAATCAACAGTGGTTTACGTCGATATAAATACCCAAAAACCCATGATGCACTTGACCACACGCCACGCGAACATGCAACAAGGTATCGATATGCTCATCCAATAATGCACCAATTGCGAAACGAATCAAAAAGGAAAGCATATACACGAACAAAAGCGCCAACTTCTTCAGAAGCAGATAAGCAGATAATATCTCAAGGACGTCGATTCCCCGAGCCTCGACCGTCAGTCGGCGACTCAGGGGGTTGATCGACAAATCGCACACTTGTGCCTAAGCCGTTGCCCCGGCTATTGCGATTCCGGAAGCTTGAACCAGTCCGCGTGCCCATACCCTCGGCACGCAACAATCGACTGGCAAACGGCGTATACAGAGGCGTCGCAGGGGTTGTAGAAATTTGCGTGAGCGCTTTGGCTCGCGCGGCTCGCTTGGACGGAGACATCATGTAGTTAGGGGTGGTAAGCGGAGTTGCTGAGGGTACTTGAGACTCGGTACGGAAATCGCTGAGCTTGAATGGAGTCTCATTTCGATACCAAGGATCAAAAATGACCTCGTCTGTCCCGTTCGTGAGTGCACCGTCAAAGGCTCTTGCAGGAGTTTTCAATGGACCCGGAATGTCTCGGGCTTCAAGTCTCATCCTGGCCTTCTCTAACCAATGGCGGAACATGCTTCTTGCATGTTTTCTCAAATTGCGTTCATGCATAGAATTCGCAGTTTCGAAAGAGCTCTTGATCTGGAAGACGCGAAGGCTGAGTTTGCGGAGCTGACCGTTTGCGCGACCCAAGCCGTGCAGGCGGTAAACGTCGTTCGCTTGTTGCTTCAGGTCGCGATACTTGGCGGATGATTCCCTCCAGCGTGCCAGATGACCTCGAGCAATCTGGCGGGCGTACAAGATGTCTGCTTCTTCGCAGTCCTGTACTCTTTTATCTGTCGAGTCGCGCCATGTCTCCACATATTCTGCTGCGATAACCAAAGTCTTGCTCCGACAAAGGGCTATGGCTTGCTGCTCCAATTCTGCTACATGCTGAGCTCTCGATTGCCAGTGCGTTAGCGCATTGAGGGCAAGATTGATCTTGATCTTTCGCCGGATCTTGGCATAGGCTTCCTGACGACGACGCTTGGCAGAGTCCAATGTAGCCTTGTGCCACTTTTTGATCGTTCGGGTCGCTAGGAAGTAATACCTTGCGTCGCGAGCCCACCCCTCCAATTTCGTCATGTGTTGGTGTTTCGAGCGCCAGGCCACGAGCGATTCCTGCTGAAGGCGTGGCGCATAGAATTCAGCCGCAGCCACTTCGCGTTGGCGCTGAAGCGCAAGCTGTTCCCGCCAACAGATGAATTTTGATCGGAGAAGTTCTTCGTTACGGTACTCCTCATGTACATCGGCATGCTGCAAGAGACGTGTATAAGTGTCACGCACGTTTGTCACAAACCGAGAGAACACATCGCGCGTGATTCGTTGATCACGGATCCTTTGCATCAACCGAAATCGCTCTGCGAGGATCCATTTGTACATGATTTCCATCTTCATGCGCTCTTCTATCCGCGCAGTCAGAGCCTGACATCGAAGTAGATCATTCCAAGCGGTCCATGCATTGCGCATAACCCTCAGTCGATCCACTTCTTTTGCTTCTCTGAGCATTCGGAGCCGTTTGGCCCACTGCGAGAATGCCGTTTGGGTAATATTTCTATCTATCGTGGCGGAGACGCGAGAAGCAATTGGGCGTAATCGAGCCTCGACTCTCCATTCCTCGAGCTTTTCCTGCAGGACTTGCTTTCGATCCATGGATATAGCGTCCTTTTCTGCAGCAGCAATAGCTTCAGATCTCTGATGCCATAGCTGCCAAGCTGTCGCAGTAGCAGTATGCTTATTCTTCGCGTCTATTTCTTGAATACGCTCCCTATTCATGCGGAACTTTCGCAGCCAGTAAAGCAAGGAACGTCGCTTGAGGCGATGATCGTACCACTGGGGTGCCCGCCGATCACAGAAACTCCAGAACCATTGCCAGTAGACCGCATGTGTCAGTTTTTTGTTATGGACTGCCACCGCTTTTTGCTCCATTTCCTTTGCTTCTCGAGCCTTGCTTCGCCAGGCATTAAAGGGTCTTCGCAGCGCGAATCGCTGAGCTTTCAGCTCATTGACAGCTGTGATTTCACGCCAAGCGTTGAAATACTTGACACGCAGGATATGTCGTCGCGCAGCTGACGTTTTTGCAACTTCGTCAGAGGCGATTTGCGCCCAATGCGTGAAAGCTTTGGTCATAAGATATAGGTCTCTGGCGCGTCCAGCACGCTCTTCGAGATGTTTGAAAAATTTCTCTGTCTGAGCCACCCGGCGTTTATCTTGGATAATTGTACGCCACGTCTCAAAAGCTTGCCGTAGGAGGGTTACCCTGTCGCGATTGACCGCGACCACTTCCATATTTCGGTGTGTCTGTTGCGTCTGAACCGCCTTCTTCAACCACTGCGTCAGAATGCGCCGAGCGATTGCGCGCTGACGATACATATTGAATGTCGAAGCATCGCGCAGCAAATCGGAGAGTGATGGTCTATACAGCATTTCTGGAGGTACTTCCCTCTTCTCGAAAGAGTTGTGCGCGTCCTCCTGCGAGGATGTAGTAGACCCTTCACTGTCTTCATCCGAGGCTATGGAGCTGGCGGCGCGGGCAGGCCGGGACCGTGACTTTGATCGCGAGGCTTCTGCCATTCTCTCAGAACGGTCTCGGTCAACCGCAGATCTGGCATCTTTGCCAACAAAAGCTGGTGTTCTATCCCGCCTCTCCTCCTTAGAAGCCAGCTCCTCCATTCGGCGCATCAACTTTCGCCCAACGTCCACAAACTGAGCCATTAATTGAGTCCTGTCAGGAGAGATCCGTTGTTTCTCGCCCCGCGCCGGTGTCGGCTCAGGGAATTCAGTCTTCCCTGTCTGCAGACGCGACATGGAGGAACGCGAGCTCGGGCGGTTGGCGAAGCTTCTTTGCGTAATGTCTTCACCAACATCGTACATAGAGTTGAAGGATGCTCGCCTACGGCGCCTTGTCTGTGTGGTATCCTCTCTTGACGTCGTATCGCGATCAACCCTCCTATTGCGCAACCCTTCAATTGAGGGTTCTTTGTCCTCATATGTATCATTCGTTTCGGTAAAGGTATCATCGCCACCGAATTCAATGACAATACCCATTTGGCGAAGCAGATTCTCGAACTTTTCGAAGAGAGAATCGCCTACGACTTCTTTGCTTCCCATCTTGAAGAGGAAGCGCAGACAGGCATGGCCTGGATCCGCGTCCACTTCATGCTCGGCAATGACCTCATCGTACGCTTTGAACAACGCCCTGAAGGGAAGTCGGTTGGCGTCCGGATCCAGCTCCGCGCGGATAACGATCTGATACAAGAGGCCGACATCTATACACAAGAAAGACGGAGATTAGACAAAGAACCCGAATCGCAAAATCTTGACACGTCAGCGATCGAAGTTGCCTACCTTCGTCTGAAAGCGACGGGTTTTCAAAGGATAAAGCTTTACGCTGAGGGGGATTCGGAGGCATCGAAAAGTCCGCGACCTAAGGCGCGTTTTTCGCAGATCGGTCATGGAGGCGGAAAACGAAATCATGCATTGCGGGACGCAAAGGTGACGGTAGAACAAAGATCCGCAGTGTCCAATGCTAGAAAAGACAAAACCCAAGAAATCCAGCAAAATAGTATGTCCGACTATGCAGAGCGTTGAGACAAAGGACACAGCGCACCCCAGCTTTGTCCCCAGAACTCAAATTGTTTTGTTCGCGTCGCGCAGATGGGAATGCGTACATCATGTGATTAATAGTGCTTATGTAATGCGTTGCCCTGGGGCCGGTCCATGGGTCTGAATTGCATCACCAGCAGAGAGAAAAGCTGCAGAGGATCAGTTGCAGTATCACACCGAAAATGCCATCAACGAGGGTCAGACCTATTGAGAAGTTTGCAAAAGCTGCTTCTAAATGCTCTGCAGAGGTATGTTCATGTTCCCCGCGTTGCTCGTACTGTTGGTATGCAAGCTAATCAGTCCTCAGGCAGCCACATATGGCAAATGCATTGTTGCTGACTACAATGCAGTGCACAAGGACATGTGTGCTAAGGAGTTTATGAAGCTAAAAGATTGCTTTTTGGTATGCTGTTCAGAAGCTATGGTTGATGCAGCTTACTGATGAAGTTATAGTCGGCATCCAAGAAGGTATGAGGTCGTCGAGGTCCAAGTATTGGCCGGGTAAACCGCACAGGGCCAGGCGTACAGAGGGGCTTCCTGGAGACTGAAGAAGTGATTGCTACGATTCCAGATAGAACCAAGAGATTCGTAAACATAATTCATCTTTAGACAAATCTAAGATCTTAACTATTTTCATGCAGCATATCTCAATACAGATTGGCCCGAAGCTACAGCTTGAGCAACCGCAACAGGAAAGTTGCCTTTTGAACTTCCTGCTCCTCCTCCATGATAAGAGCTTCCTTGTCTCCGCTGGGGACCTTGCCATCGACCACGGCAACCTGTTCCAGGGGCCTGCGGACAGCCTTTTCAATGGCCTTGGCCTGCGTCTCGAAAGCCTGGTTGATACCAACACTGTCGGGATCAGAGAGAACGGCATATTCCATTCTTACATCATCAGTAGGGACCAAACCGGCCTTCTTACGCAGACGCTGAAGACGGTTGATGATCTCTCGACCTAATCCTTGTTGAGCCAATTCGGGGTATAGGTTGGCATCAAGGATGGTCAGCACATCAGCATCAGCGTTAGGTTCCATTCCCTCAGATGCAACATCCTCCTTGAGACCACGCTTCACGACAAGGTCACCCTCGACGAGCTCGATGCCGTCAACAAGAATCTTCTTTTCAGCAACAAACTTCTTCACGTCATCACTCGTGAGGGATGGCAATGCCTTCTTGACCTTCTGGGCGTCCTTCTTCAGCTTCTTGCCCAGGGTAGGCCAATCGGCACTAACGCTGTACTGAACATTGTACTTGGCCTCATCGGACGACAAGACAAGCTCAAGGACGTTCAACTCCTCCAGGATGTAGCCTTCCAAGGACTTCACATCGTCCAAGTATTGCTGATCCTGGTGAATCACAACCAAAGTCTTCAGAGGCGATTTCAAGCCGATGGAGCGGCGCTCACGGGAGACGCGGGCCATCTCGATGACCTTCTGCATCCGTGCCACCCGTCGCTCGACAACCTCATCGAACAGTTCCTCGCGCACCTCGGGGAAGGGAAGGAAGTGCACACTCCGGCTGTCTTCGCCACGGAGCGCCTGGGGGATGTGGGGAAGCAGCTTCTGATAAATGGTGTCGGTGATGAATGGTGTGAAGGGAGCGAGACCTCTGACTAGGGTATAGAGAACCTCGAAGAGGGTGTTCAGCGCATGCAGAGTATCATCAATGCCGTTCTCGCCCTTAAGACGCTTGCGGTTGAATCTGATGTACCAGTTGGTTGTGTTGTCAATCAACTCGAGCAACCGAGGAACTACTGTGTACAAACGGTATCCAGCCATCTCCTCGTTCACGAACTTCAGTAAACTTTGGCAGCTGGCCAGGATCCACCGGTCCATCACGTTGGTATTGGTGGCTTCAGCCTTGGGGTCGAAGACAAAGTCAATACTATTGTTCTTCTTGAACAGAGCTGCCTGACCCTCGAAGAACTTGTAGCTGTTCCACAAAGGGAGGAGAACCTTGGCAACGATCTCCTTCACGCCAGACTCCTTGAATCTGAGTGGCTCGGCACGCACGACGGGAGAGTTGATCAAATAAAGTCGAAGGGCATCGGAACCGTAGCGCTGCATGATCAGCGTGGGATCAGGGTAGTTCTTCAATCTCTTCGACATCTTCTTTCCGTCCTCAGCAAGAACAATTCCGTTCACAACGCAGTTCTTGAAGGGTAGGGTGCCGAAGAGATGTGTTCCCAGAACAGTCAAAGTGTAGAACCAACCACGCGTCTGATCGAGACCCTCGGCGATGAAATCACCGGGGAAGCTCTTCTCGAATTGCTCCTTGTTCTCAAAGGGATAATGCTGGGATGCGTATGGCATGCTACCCGATTCGAACCAGCAGTCAAACACCTCGCTGACACGTCGGAGGACACCCTTGCCCTGCTTACTTGGGATAGTGATCTTGTCCACCTTGTCACGATGCAGGTCGGTGATTTCTCCCTCGTAGCCACTCAGCTGCTTGAGCTCCTCGACACTACCTACAGCCACAACTTCCTTGAAGTCGTCGCTGACCCACAATGGAAGCGGCGTTCCCCAGAAGCGGTTTCTTGAAATGTTCCAATCCCGAGCATTCTGAATCCAGCTGGCGAAACGCCTGTCTTTGACGAAAGAAGGCACCCAGTGCGACTCTTCAATACCCTGAAGCATCTGGGGAATGATGGGTCCGATCTTGACAAACCAGGAGGGCACCGCACGGTAGATAAGAGGAGTATCGGAACGCCAGCAGAATGGATAGCTGTGAGTAATCTGGCTGTCGACGATCAGACGACCGATGCCCTTGAGATGCTTGATAATGGCCTTATCGGCAGCCTTAACATGCTGACCAACAAAATCACGAACTTCCGCGGTGAAGCAGCCCTTCTCATCGACAGGGTTGGGTGGCAGACGTGTTTCGCTGATAACACCGTTTGCCATAGCAACGTTGTAATCCTCCTCACCGAAGGCCGGCGACTGATGGACGATACCGGTACCATCTTCAGCGGAGACATAGTCCCCAGTTATCACACGGAAACCGTAGTCCTTGAACTCCTCGTAGAAGTAATCGAAGAGTGGCTGGTATTTCCAGCCCTTCATGTCCACACCCTTGAAACGATCCACAATCTTAAACTTGGCCTTCTTAGGGTCTTTGTAGAGTGTGCGAAGGAGGGATTCGAGAAGGATGTAATGCTTCTTGGAGGCTTCGTCGAAAATTTTAATGTACTCGAAACCAGGGTTGACGGCGAGGGCGACGTTGGAAGGCAGGGTCCAGGGCGTGGTCGTCCATGCGAGAAGGCAGGTCTCGGGGTCATCTACCAGAGGAAATGATACAACTACTGCAGGGTCCTGCACATCTTTGTAGTTTTGTTGCGCTTCGAAGTTACTCAAGGGGGTATTGAGAGCGGTCGAGTACGGCATGACACGGTAACCACGGTAGACAAGATCTTTGTCGAACAGTTGCTTGAAAACCCACCATACTGATTCCATGAAACTGGCGTTCATGGTCTAAACCCGTCAGTACAAATTGAGGCGATAGGCATTCGCACCAGCATCATCGGGGTAACGTACCTTGTAGTCATTGTCGAAGTCAATCCAGCGGCCGAGTCTCTCAATGGTCTCGCGCCATTCAGACGCGAATCTCATGACAATAGCTCTGCACTCCTCGTTGTACTTTTCAATGCCGAGTTTTTCGACGGCTTCCAAGCCCGACATGCCGAGTTTCTTGTCGATTTCGTACTCAATGGGGACACCGTGTGTATCCCAACCGAACCGTCTCTCGACATAGTGACCCTTCATCGACCAGTATCGAGGGATGATATCCTTGATAGTCGAGGCAAGCAAATGACCATAGTGAGGAAGGCCCGTTGCGAACGGAGGGCCATCGTAGAAAGTGTAGGGCTTGCGGCCACGGGATAGCTCGACTTGCCTCCCGAAGGCGTTGATCTCCCTCCACCTCTTGAGGGTGATCTCTTCCTCAGCCGGAAAATCAATGGACATGACGGGCGAGGGGACAGTCGTCAAATAATGGCTGTCGGTGCGATCTGTGGCCAGGAGCGAGGGATGGGTCGCGGGGTAGATAAAAAAAGATGATAAATGCAGGGCGGCAATGACTCACGGCCCCACGGGCCGATTTTCTGCCAAGGCTTCTTGCCCTACCGCCCTTAAGCATTATTACAGACACGACAATCTAGGATCTAATGGCAATATGTGCTGGTTGATGGTATCTAGTTGTTCTTATAGGATGAGTTGAAAGCTAGCTCGCATGGATCGCAGTCCACCCTGTATGAACACGCTGAACCTCATTCTTCCTCCTCGGCCTCGTCCTCGTCTTCATCGTCTTCAGCCTCGGACACCTCTTGTCCAAGGTCTCTAAGGCGTTTCTGGAAAGATGATTATTTAGTGATTGGTCCGAATTCAAGTAGCTAATGACTCACCTTATCTTGATTTCTCTTCGCTTCTAAATCCCCAAACACTATCAGGAGATCTTCGAGTTCGGTCTGCGCGGCTTTGCGAGCTTCCTCCTTCTCGGCAACTTCAGCCTTGGTCTTTCCAAGTTGTGCCTGGACCTCCTTGAGTGTCTCAGCAGATTTGAGCGCATCTGCTTCGGCTTTTTCTGCCTTGCTCTCAGCCAGCTTGACCCGCTTTTCCAGCTCTGAAAGCTTAGATGAGTAGTCGTCGTGAACAGCTTGGAGATCTTCCTTGGACTTTTCCGTACCAGAGTCGAGTTCTGACTGTAACGACTGAGCCTTGACTCTAAGACCACTGAGTTCAGTTTCATGTTCTTGTTTGGCTGTGTCAAGTTCGGACTGCAAGGTCTGAGCCTTCGCTCTAAGGTCAGCAAGCTCAGCCTCGTGTCCTTCTTTGGCTTTGTCAAGTTCAGACTGTAGCCTCTGAATCGTGTCGCTGAGGTTAGAGACCTGGTCGGCATGCTTCGACTTGTTTTCGTCTAGTTCTGAGCGCAGACTTTGGATTGTGCTTTCAAGCTCCGCTACCTGGGCCCAATGCTGTCCTTTGCTTTGGTCTGCTTCTGATCTCATCGTTTGAATCGTCGATTGTAAGCTGCCAATTTCGTCTGCACTTTGTTCCCTGACGCGGGTAAGCTCCAATTCTAGCGATTGGAGCTTCTTTTGAAGATCAGCGACTTCCGCATCGTGCAACTTCTTGACTTTCTGGCTTCTCCTCTCGTATTCAGCGGAGGTTTCCTTGAGCTGGTTGTCGATAGCTCGAAGTTGATCACCATGCTGTTTCAGCAATTCGTTCTTGGCATGTTTGTGTCGTTCTTCCAATCTCGCCAACTCCTGTTCATGATTTCGTTGCAACGATTCATTAATCTGCCGTATTTTGGAAGCCTCTGAGCTGCTCAGGTCCTTGAATTTTCTATGTTCGACCTGCTCTTGCTCAAGTTGGTTTCGTAAATTGAGTAAGTCAGATTCGAGCTTCTGCACAGCTTGGCTTCGTTCTTCGAGCTCAGCCCTGAGCGAATCAACCAGTTCTCGCGAAACTCCTCGCTGAATGCCATTTGTGACGACTGATATCTCAAGCCCGGGTTCGCGATCGATTGCCCGAATCAACCGGCTGAAGTTATCTTTAAGGAATTCAATGAATGTCCTATCAAAGAAAATATCAGGTAGTCCCGCGTCAAACTGTCCTCCCACCGTCTGTGGCAAGACCTCGTAGTCCCGGACCATGGGCGATTCTCTGAAGCGAGTGATCTTGTCAATATACTGCTCTCTGCCTAGCTGCTCGAGGAGTAACTTGTGCAACGTAGCCCGAGGAATAGGCGAGTCCTTCGTGGAAAATTCGTAGATGATTCCCAGTAAAATCGTGGTCAGGCCGGGCACAATTACATTGGAGACACCGCGGTGCTTGGTTTCTTGCAATAAGCTTTGAACGCTGCTTCCCTCTCCAAGAAAATCATTGACAGCATCTGGCTCTTCGAAGAGCCACCCGCACAGCAACATCAAATAGCCTACCGTGATTCTCTCGTCATCGCCCCTTTTCATTCCTGTGATTAGGTTTCCCAGAATTGTTTGGATGCAGGTGATTACTTCTTCGCCGCTTTCAGCGTCGCCCTCAGTCACTTGCATGGCTATCGCCTTTGCCTCGGCATCATCAAACAGCAAGTGGAACATTAAGACAGATGCAATCCACACTTGATAAGGATCGGAATTTCCTCGAGCATCCGGCGGCACGAGCAGAACAGTCATGATATTCGGAATTTGATCCTGCCCGCTGAGATGTCCATCAATCGCTCTCCGCAACACGTGGACGCGAATTCCCGGATGGTTTGCAAAGAATGCCTTGATACACTCGCTTGCGGCCAGCCGGGCATCAAGTACCTGTATTGGGGCGGGTTCAAGACTCAATTTCAGCAATGCTTCGATGACGTTGACGCGCTGAACGCCGTTCGCGACTTTATCCCCATTGACAACGCCATCTTGACTGGGCTGTCGACCCCAGAAGACCTCAATATCCCCGAATCTCTCCTGCAGGGACGAGTTTCCGCGGATCAAATCGGCGCATGTAGCCAACGCCTAGATAGGTCAACCGATGAGTCGTACCTGGAAAACTCAAAAGTACAAACCTTGGATGTCACGTTCACATTGAACCTTTGGCCGAAGGCCGCGCTCAATATTTGCTCCATAACACCATTGTTCCAGAAAGCCATCTGATTGGCGGGAGTGTTGATCCCGCCCTTAACGAGAAACAGCTGGATGATAACTAGTAAGCCCCAGATATTCTTATCGCGCTGACCATACGTCCACTGCGGAACGTCCTCAGTTGGATCCTCGTCTTTGTTGACATCAGCTAGGAGTTTTGCCAATCTCTTCACGCAGCCGGTCTCTCGGAAGTATGACTGGTTCGATATATTGAGGCGTAGAAGATTGGCCAGCAAAGACAGACAATCTTCCACGTCCTCTAATCCATGCGCCAAACCACCCTCATTCTCGATCAGGGACAATATCACGTCAAAAGCATTTTCGAAGGCAACGAGTTTCTGAAATTCCTCCGAGGCAGGTGTCAAAGCAATGAGTAAAAGTAGTGCTTCTGTAAAACGCGCACGCACGGTGAGTCACTCGAGCATTATAGAAAACCCAAGTCCGGTGCAGCTTACCATTACGAATTGGTTCCCTGCTATCCCCCAGAGCACCGACAAGCCTGGGGATACCCAGCGGGGCCGTTAGTATACATTCCTGTGTCCTTTCTGGCCGGGCACTTGAGATCTGAAACATCAACTGCAGCGAATACAGACGAGAATAGAAGTCCCGCGTATCGAGGAGATCGAGAAGGGCGGTGATATTGTCTTGTCGCTTTCGCCTCATTAGCTACATATAACCTTCGTACCACGTAGCCTGTACACACCTGAGTGAACTCATCTGCAAGCCACAGGGCTATCTCATCAGACGCTTCGGGCTGTGAGCTACGTATCAGCAAGTCCTATCAACAGATCGGGACAATCAACGCACACTGCTCTCATCCGGGGAGAATAACATCAACAAGGTCTCCAAGACCACTTTGATCGTGTCCACATCTTCTCGGTCATTTCTCAGGCTGTTGATCAACGGTCGTAGCGCTCCAGATGCGACAGAGGCCGGATAGAGCTTTGAGAAGCTCCTTAGTCCCTGTATTGCCGCGCGTCGATCCTCCAGTAAAGTCGCACTTTGGAGTCTACTGCTCAGAGTGTTGATTGTGTCCGTTGCCGTTTGTTTGGCCGGCGCCTGTGATTCGAGAATTCGGAACATCGCAACGGATTGATCGTAGTATCATGGTCACCGCCGGCCGAGGGCGTAGCAATATTTAGGCATTGAATAGTCTGACAAAATAAGATTCACAATTCCAATTGCGTTGTCATCACCACAGTACTGATGGTATTTCCGGGATAACAGCTGTCTAGTGGCTCGAACAATCAATGCCAAGGGGCCGCTAAACGCCGGAACCGCGACAAGAATAGCGCCGAAATCCCGCCTTCACCTTATCGCAGAGACTTTCAGACAACCGTCCTTTCACTGGAGCACAATCGGTTAGGTTTTGTCTTCGCGTATTACTAGTATCGGATGTTGGACGCCTGATCTTGATGCGACATCATTAAACGAGGATAAAAACTACATCTCGTCCCGGTCGTTACTGATCCGCAACAAGGAGAGGCTAGTGTTCGAGGAAGCTGATGGAACGCATCAGCAACTGATGAATCTCAACCTTTCTCCTTTATAAGTTTACATTTTTCTCATCATAGCCATAATCTACTGTCGCCATCATGGGTGTTCCGGCATTGTTTCGATGGCTCTCCAACAAATACCCCAAGATCATCTCCCCGGTCATTGAAGAGTTGCCCTACGAAGTCAACGGCGAAGAGGTTCCCGTTGACGCTACTAAACCAAACCCCAATGGAGAGGAGATGGATAATCTCTACTTGGACATGAATGGTATTGTCCATCCATGTACCCATCCTGAGGGCAAGCCGCCACCGGCGAATGAGCAGGAGATGATGGTGGAAATCTTCAAGTACACCGACCGTGTGGTGAACATGGTCCGTCCCAGGAAGCTTCTGATGATCGCTGTTGGTATGTGACCAGGCTATTCTAATTCTCTTCGATTTTCGACTGACGTCCGTGTCTCTTCTGTAGATGGTGTCGCGCCGCGAGCCAAGATGAACCAGCAACGAGCACGTCGATTCCGATCAGCGCAAGAGGCAAAAGAGGCGGATGAAAAGAAGGAGGAGTTTCGCAAGATGCTCGCTAAACAGAACGGCAACAAAGTGGACGAAGAGTTGCAGGAAGAGGTTGTCAAGAGAACATGGGATAGCAATGTCATCACTCCAGGAACGCCGTTCATGGACATTCTCGCTGCATCTCTTCGCTACTGGATTTCTTACAAGTTGAATACCGACCCAGCTTGGGAGAAGGTACGATATTTCAACGGGTCTAATGCGAACTCATACTAACTAATATAGCTTAAAATCATTATTTCTGATGCGACTGTACCCGGAGAGGGCGAGCACAAGATCATGGAATTTATTCGATCACAAAGGGCGGCACCCGAGCACGACCCGAACACTCGTCACGTTATCTACGGATTGGTGGGTTATATACACTACGCATTACCTGATGCATACCGCTGACGATATGTCTTGTAGGACGCCGATTTGATCATGCTGGGTCTTGCTACCCATGAACCCCATTTCAGAGTATTGCGTGAAGATGTCTTCTTCCAGGAGTCTCGGGCACGAACCTGCCATCTCTGTGGTCAACAAGGTCACAAGGCAGAGGAGTGCAGGGGTCAGGCGAAGGAGAAGAATGGGGAATTTGATGAAAAGCAAAAAGGTTCCTCTCTCAAACCATTCATCTGGCTCCATGTTTCCATCCTCAGAGAGTATCTCGCTGCCGAGCTGTATGTGCCGCAACAACCATTCCCCTTTGACCTCGAACGGGCTTTGGATGATTGGGTCTTCATGTGCTTCTTTGTAGGAAATGACTTCCTGCCTCACCTACCGTCATTAGACATCCGCGAGAATGGTATAGATACTCTGATTGCAATCTGGCGCGATAACATCCCCGTCATGGGCGGGTACCTGACCGAGGATGGACATGTCGATCTGAAGCGGGCTCAGCTCATCCTGCAAGGACTCGCAAAGCAGGAAGATGCCATCTTCCGGCGCCGTAGACAAGCAGAGGAAAGAAAGCTCGCCAACGAGAAAAGACGGAAACAGGAAGCAAAGGCTCGGGAGGAAGAACGAGCCAGGAAGCGACGAAGAAGCTCCCCCACTTACGAGCCCATGGATTCGCCCGTCGGTCATCGTGGTCCCCGAGGTGGTGATGCAGCAGCGCCGAGTCAACTGGAACTGATCACCCCTGGTCGAGGAGAATTGTCTCGACAGACAAGGGAACTCACTCACACCATGGTAGTCAATCGCGGCGCTGTTTATCGGGCCAACATGGCGAATAAGAGCGCGGCTGCCGTCTTGAAGAGCAAGTTGATGCAGGGCTCTCAAAGTGGTCAGAATGTGGAGGAGAGTTCTGAGGATACTACAGCAAACAATGACGAGCCTTCACAGGATCAAACGGATCAGACGGAGCAAACTTCGCCATCGGTCCTTGGCAAGAGAAAGGCCGATCTCGTGGAAGAGGAGGACACAGAAGCAGGAACTCCAGGCAGAGACTCGCCTGCTGTCCCTGTTGCTGCCAAGGAGGATGAGCTGCCTCCCGACACAGTTCGTCTGTGGGAGGAAGGATACGCCGACCGGTATTACGAGCAGAAGTTTGGCGTCGACCCCCAGGACAAGGAGTTCCGCCACAAGGTTGCGCGGGCATACGCCGAGGGTCTCGCATGGGTTCTGCTGTATTATTTCCAAGGATGCCCGTCCTGGACCTGGTACTATCCGTATCACTACGCTCCCTTCGCCGCAGATTTTGTGGACATTGGCGATATGGAGATAAACTTCGACAAGGGAGTGCCATTCAGACCATTTGAACAGTTGATGGGAGTTCTCCCGGCCTCCTCCAATCACGCTATTCCCGAAGTTTTCCACGACCTTATGAGCAACCCAGAGAGTGAGATCATTGATTTCTATCCGGAGGATTTTGCTGTGGATTTGAATGGCAAGAAGTTCGCTTGGCAGGGTGTTATTCTACTGCCCTTCATTGATGAGAAGCGGCTACTTGCCGCCATGGAAAAGAAATACCCGCTTCTCACTGAAGACGAAAAGCTCCGCAACAGCGTGGGACGAGAGGTGTTGCTGCTTTCGGAAGCTCACCCATTGTATCAAGACCTAGTGGCCAATTTCTATTCGAAGAAGCAGGGCGTCCAGGAGTACAAGTTGAACATGCGTATAAGTGACGGTTTGGCGGGCAAGGTCGAGCGTAATGAGGCCTACATTCCTCATAGCTCTCTGCCATCGTCACTCGAGGAATATGGCATGCCGAGTTTGGAGGATGATCGGTCCTTGACGTGAGTCTCTCTTCTTACTTGTCCCTTTTTGTACCTGGCTAACGAGTTTTTGCCCTAGTGTGAACTTTGAAATCCCGAAGTCAAAGCACGTTCACAAGTCCATGCTTCTTCGAGGAGTCAAATTCAACCCTCCAGCGTTGGATAACGCAGATATCCAAGCAGTCAAGCACAAGGCTCAAAACTCTGGAAGATCGTACGGCGGTGCCCCTTTGCGCGGCGGACATAGAGGCGGCCGTATCAACTATGCAAGCGACAGGCCCAATCCTTTCGCTGCGCATCTCGACCCTGGTTTCGTACCGCCCGTCCCTGGTAATCCTGGTGGCGGTCCTATGATGCCTTCGGGCTGGGTCCCACCCGTTCCTGGGTCCGCTGGCTTCTCCAGAGGTCCTCCCCCTCCTCCACATGGAGGAATGTCGGGTTCGCATCATCGGCCTCCATACGGGCAAGGACCCGGTCAGTACCAAGGCAACCATGGCCAGGGCGACCACTATGGTCAGGGCCAGCAAGGATACTATAATCAGTCCTCATATTACAACCAGTCCAATCAATATAATGGCAGGTCCTCCGATCATGGTGGCAGCGGAGGATACAGAGGCGGCGGAGGTTACCATCGCGGAGGTAACTATCGCGGAGGCGGTTATCGCGATCAGCGCCAATATAACCAAGACCAGCACTCCTCCAGAAACTCGGGTGGATACGGTCGTTACTGAGATCTGATTTGGTGGCTTCTCTACATCTATGAGTCTCACCACTATCCGATGAGGTACCTTTCGGTGACCGCGGATTTGACTGATACAACTGGGACACGGAGTTCAGCTGGCGGAATGGGGAAGAAATTAATATCGTATCAATACATGAGAAATCATACTTTTGGCAGCAATTGGAAATCTGACATTTTTCTGCGCGTCTCCTATCTCATTGCGTCCTTGTAAACTAAATATAAGTATGAGTATAAATAACGGCGTAATCTCGCAGTCAAGTCACTGTGGTTCAAATTCTTGAGTACCTTTCCGTAGAGTACACCGAAGGAGCCCTTACCGCCGCGACATCGGAGCGGGAACGGTGAGTCAATCTGGGGATTTCTGACTTTGACTTCCAAAAGTCAGCACTCCGTTGAAATCCTGGTTCTTCCCGAACATCAATACTTTGATCAATTGGTCTGACACTGGGTCCGTTCTCTTCGGTCACTCCCTTGCTGCTTTGCTCTTCGCTTGAGTCCCCGGCGAAGCTCCAGGTATCTATCCCATTGCCCCACTCAAAATTTCGCCGACTTCGTTTCTCCGGCTGACTCTTGTCTTCTTCATCTCACTCCAGTAGTTACTACTGGTCCCATTCAAACAAAAGTAAGGGCGGCTTGCGACTGTACACAGAATGCAATAGAAAGGCGAAGGCCGAATTGCCCCCGAAAGTGTTGAATTCGATCCCTGTTGCTATCCCCTCCGTCCTCTCTATCATGACCGGACCCACGAAAATCAGCATCCTGGGCCAGGAGAGTATAGTCGCTGACTTCGGTCTCTGGCGCAACTATGTCTCCAAAGACCTGATTAGCGGCTGTCCCTCTACAACCTACGTCCTGATCACCGACACGAATATCGGATCGATCTACACCCCTGGCTTCCAGAAGTCCTTCCAAGAGGCCGCCGCCTCGGTCTCTCCCTCTCCCCGCCTGTTGATCTACAATGCTCCTCCAGGAGAAGTTTCCAAGTCGAGACAGACAAAAGCAGATATTGAAGATTGGATGTTGAGTCAGAGCCCGCCATGCGGCCGAGATACTGTGGTTATTGCGCTAGGTGGAGGGGTCATTGGAGACTTGACAGGTTTCGTCGCTGCGACCTATATGCGCGGTGTTCGCTTTGTACAGGTTCCTACTACGCTTCTGGCTATGGTGGACTCCTCGATCGGTGGAAAGACGGCTATTGATACCCCCTTGGGAAAGAACTTGATTGGCGCGATCTGGCAACCGTCCAGAATCTACATTGACCTGGAATTTTTGGAAACTCTCCCCGTCAGGGAGTTCATCAACGGTATGGCTGAGGTTATCAAGACAGCCGCCATCTCCAGCGAAGAAGAATTCACCGCTCTCGAAGACAATGCCGAAATTATTTTGAGCGCTGTTCGCCGTGAGGTTAAGCCGGGTCAGCGACGATTCGAGGGGATCGAGGAGATTCTGAAGGCTAGAATCCTTGCGTCGGCGCGTCACAAGGCGTTTGTCGTTTCGGCGGATGAGCGTGAAGGGGGTCTGCGTAACCTTTTGAACTGGGGTCACTCAATCGGCCATGCTATTGAGGCTATTCTGACTCCTCAAATCCTCCACGGAGAGTGCGTTGCCATTGGTATGGTCAAGGAAGCGGAGCTGGCCAGACATCTTGGCATCTTGAAGGGTGTTGCCGTGGCCCGAATTGTCAAGTGTATTGCCGCCTACGGCTTGCCTACATCTTTGAAGGACTCGCGAATTCGCAAGCTGACCGCCGGTAAGCACTGCTCCGTTGACCAGATTCTTTTTAACATGGCCCTGGACAAGAAGAACGACGGTCCCAAGAAGAAAATTGTTCTCCTGTCGGCCATCGGTCGCACTTATGAACCACGGGCTAGCGTTGTGCCGAATGAGGATATCGGCGTCGTTCTTGCCCCCAGTATTGAAGTGTACCCTGGCGTATCACCGGCCTCGGAAGTGGTTTGTGCGCCTCCGGGCTCGAAGAGTATCTCCAACCGAGCTCTGGTACTTGCCGCTCTCGGTTCGGGCACTGTCCGTATCAAGAACCTGCTGCATTCCGATGACACCGAGGTCATGCTGAACGCCTTGGAGCGCCTTGGCGCCGCCACCTTCTCCTGGGAAGAGGAAGGCGAAGTCCTTGTTGTCAATGGCAAAGGAGGTGCTCTTCAAGCTCATCCTTCTCCGCTCTACCTGGGCAACGCGGGTACAGCCTCGCGTTTCTTGACCACTGTCGCAACCCTTGCCACTGCCAGCAGCGTCGATTCAAGTGTTCTTACGGGCAACAACCGCATGAAGCAGAGACCTATTGGCGACTTGGTGGATGCCCTGACCGCAAATGGTGCGCAGATTGAGTACGTCGAGAACAAGGGCAGTCTGCCGCTCAAGATAGCCGCCTCAGGAGGGTTCACAGGTGGCCAAATCAACCTCGCCGCCAAAGTGTCGTCTCAATATGTGTCCTCCCTGCTCATGTGCGCCCCATACGCTAAGGAGCCTGTGACCTTGAAACTGGTGGGCGGTAAGCCCATCTCGCAGCCTTACATTGACATGACGACGGCTATGATGAGATCTTTCGGCATTGATGTGAAGAAGTCTACTACTGAGGAGCATACCTATCACATTCCTCAGGGACGTTACATCAACCCTGCAGAGTACGTCGTGGAGAGCGACGCCAGTTCCGCCACCTACCCCCTGGCGATTGCAGCAGTCACCGGCACCACGTGCACTATTCCGAACATTGGATCCAAGTCTCTTCAAGGCGACGCTCGTTTCGCCGTTGATGTTCTGAGACCTATGGGTTGCACTGTGGAACAGACCGACACCTCGACCACCGTTACCGGTCCCGCCGACGGTGTCTTGCGGCCTTTGCCCAACGTCGATATGGAGCCAATGACAGATGCATTCCTTGGAGCGTCCGTTCTTGCGGCCATTGCCCGAGGCAAGGACTCGAACCACACAGCTCGCATCTATGGTATCGCGAACCAGCGTGTCAAAGAATGTAACCGCATTAAGGCCATGCACGACGAGCTTGCCAAGTTTGGTGTCATCTGTCGGGAACACGATGATGGGCTTGAGATCGACGGCATTGACCGTTCCACCCTTCGGCAGCCGGCCGGCGGTGTTTTCTGCTACGATGACCACCGAGTTGCATTCAGCTTCAGCGTTCTATCGCTCGTTGCCCCTAAGCCGACACTGATTCTGGAAAAGGAGTGTGTGGGTAAGACATGGCCCGGCTGGTGGGATACTCTGCGCCAGAAATTTGCCGTCAAGCTCGAGGGCAAGGAGCTGAAGGAAGCCGAATCTCCCGTTCTCACCCGTGCCGAAAAGGCCAGTGCGTCGGTGTTCATTATCGGTATGCGTGGTGCTGGAAAGACCACGAGTGGACACTGGGTTGCCTCTACGCTCAAGCGACCCTTCATTGATCTTGACGACGAACTCGAACGTATAGAAGGCATGACCATTCCGGACATCATCAAGCAGCGTGGCTGGCAAGGTTTCCGAGATGCCGAGCTTAGTCTTCTGCAGCGAACGATGAAGGAGCGCCCGACCGGTCATGTTTTCGCATGCGGCGGAGGAGTAGTAGAGATTCCTGAAGCTAGAAAGCTGCTTATCGATTGGCACAAAGCCAAAGGAAATGTTCTGCTTGTCATGCGCGATATCAAGCAAGTGATGGCATTCTTGAACATCGATAAGACCCGCCCGGCTTACGTTGAGGATATGCTGGGAGTGTGGCTGCGCCGCAAGCCATGGTTCCAGGAATGCAGCAATATTCAGTACTACAGTCAGCACGCTAGCGCAGGACTCCCCCGGGCGTCTGAGGACTTTGCGCGTTTCATCAAGTTTGTCACAGGACTAGAGGACAGCCTCAGTACCATCAAGAAGAAGCAGCATTCGTTCTTCGTGTCGCTGACTCTTCCTGACGTGCGTGGTGCGGATCAGATCTTGGAGCAAGCATGTGTTGGCTCTGATGCTGTTGAATTGCGTGTCGACCTGCTGGAGGACCCAGGCTCGTCGAACGGCATTCCGACCGTCGATTTTGTTGCTGATCAGATCTCCTACCTGCGCAGCCGTATCACACTGCCCGTGATCTTCACCATTCGCACGAAGGGACAGGGGGGTCGGTTCCCCGACAATGCTCATGAGGAGGCGATGCAGCTCTACCGGCTCGCAGTCCGGTCAGGATGCGAGTTTGTGGATCTCGAGATTGCTTTCCCAGATGAGATGCTGCGCGCGGTTACTGAGATGAAGGGATACTCGAAGATCATCGCTTCGCACCACGACCCTAAGGGCGAACTTTCGTGGGCAAACATGTCCTGGATGAAGTACTACAACAGGGCGCTCGAGTACGGCGATGTGATCAAGCTTGTGGGTGTGGCCAGAAACCTCGATGACAACACGGCTCTGAGGAAGTTCAAGAACTGGGCCGAAGAGGCTCACGACGTGCCACTGATCGCGATCAATATGGGGGGTAACGGGCAGCTGAGTCGCATCTTGAATGGATTCATGACACCAGTATCGCATCCTGCTCTCCCGTTCAGGGCTGCCCGGGCCAGCTGTCTGCGACAGATATTCGCAAGGGGCTGTCACTAATGGGGGAGATCAAGAAGAAGCGCTTTGCCCTCTTTGGAAGCCCCATTTCCGAGTCCCGCTCGCCGGCACTGCACAACACTCTTTTCGCCGAGATGGGACTTCCCCATGAGTACATCCGGTTGGAGACTACCAATGTCGAAGATGTCAAGGATTTCATTCGCGCACCCGACTTTGGTGGAGCCTCTGTGACGATTCCTCTGAAGCTGGATATCATGCCCCTACTTGATGAGATTACTGCGGAGGCCGAGATTATCGGTGCCGTGAACACCGTCGTGCCAGTTTCCGATGGTGAGGACAAGCCGCAGCGGCTGGTCGGTCACAACACCGACTGGCAGGGCATGGTCCAATGCCTTCGTAACGCGGGCGCCTACGGAGCCGACGGCAACGCCAGTGCTCTTGTGGTGGGTGGCGGAGGCACATCCCGCGCTGCCATCTACGCTCTCCACCATATGGGTTTCTCTCCCATCTACATTGTAGGACGGAACCCTGCCAAGCTGGAGAGTATGGTCTCCACCTTCCCCACCGGCTACAACATCCGAATCGTCGAGGGCAACGAGAAGCTGGAGCATGTTCCCCATGTTGCGATCGGCACCATCCCCGCCGACCGGCCCATCGATCCCGGTATGCGGGAGATCCTCTGCCACATGTTCGAACGTGCCCAGGAGGCAGACGCCGACGCCGCCCGGACGATTGAGGGATCCCCTCGCGTACTGCTGGAGATGGCTTACAAGCCGCGGGTGACGGCGCTGATGCAGCTTGCTGTCGATGCAGGGTGGACTACTATTCCTGGGTTGGAGGCCTTGATCGGGCAAGGAGTACACCAGGTATGTTGAGATTGACTTGTACAGATGGACATTACTGATGGAGTACAGTTCCAACATTGGACGGGTATTCGCCCTCTCTACGAACGTGCACGGGTATGTTGTGACTTTTATTACTATGGCTCAATTATGCTAACGTGTTCGTAGGCTATTGTCCTGGGTTGATCGAAAATCTGTGAGGAAAACAAAGCCAAAACACTTCATGTTCTTCGATATTGTCTGGAAAAGCACATTTACTGTGCATAAGTCGAACCGAAGCGTTCCTTTCGGGATTTAAATCAGTTGATATGTTCTATTTATTTTAAGCATTATACTTGCATACACACCTGGAATCAACACCGTAGTGCAGATGCAAATACTGTATAGTTACACAAACGCGCTATCTAATTGTCAAGTCAAGACCAAGACTGAAGTCGAGACTAACTTATCGATAGCCATATTTTCTAGATAGTGGCCTGTCTTGTCATGGAGGCTCAGACACTACGTATTTCGAAGAATAGCGTACTCTAATATTAGAACCAGTCCCACCCGCCATCCATCGACCTCCGCAAACCATCCACTGCACACGCACATACTCGCGTATCTCAATCTCATGTCTCAAGAGTCTCAAAATGTCCAGCAAATCAACACAAGAATTCTATCTAGGCTCCTAACGGTGGAAGAAAAACTTCTATAAAAAGCCCTTGATAATGCACATGCATGCTTAGTGTTAAGTAGTCAAGTCGAGCTGATCAGAATCAGATCTCGACTCTAACCGAACTGTCCTAATGCGGGTCGAGACCCGATCGGCCCAGGACGGGTGGATGTTAGACAGTCCAGACCATTCACCCTTCGTTTAGGCAGTACTCCGGAGTATGAGTATGCCTATCCGCATGAGTAAATTTTGATTCTTTTACTCAATAGACTGGGTGATAAGTCATTTGATTTTGGTTATAGAAATGGTGTGATGCAGTTACTATAATGACTGATGAGGTGGAGAGCTGAGAGAGCATGTGACCGCCCATGGTACATGTCACGCGGTCTTGCTTTCACAGATGTTGATATTTCCTTTAGGGCGATATCATGGTCTGGATATCATGATTCGAAATCCTAGTAGGTTAGTACGGAGTAGAAATTGCTAAATACTATTGCTATTGCTATCTATTACACAGCGCTCGGATCTCCGTGGTCCAGACGAAAAGAATCAAGTCCGAGTTTCTCCATGAAAAAAAGTGTAGTAGGCTTAGGCTCGATCCGGAAATTCGCGATATTTCGTATTCGGACGGAAGTCAGATTCAGACTCAGATTAGCAAGCATGCAAGGTGAGATGAGAACGAAGATGCTGGGTTGTTCTTCGGGGCGCGAACCACGGTGCCGTGTTACCGACAGTGCTGAAGGATCTACCGGGCCGAAGGCCCCAACTGAGCCTGTGTACTTGTAGTTTCCACTGGTTAAGGTAGTTGGTCGGTTACTTATCCCTTATCTCGATAGATAGCGATAGTAAGTATTAATAGTCTCTCTACCAACTACCACTATGGAGTACGGTGACCTTGATGTTGATTCAAGGAACATTCGGCTATTCTATCTCGACATTTGTCAAAATAATACGAGGGCTGTAAGACACCATTATTAATATGCTTTATCCTATTCCTAATGATAGCATGAAGAATTTTCTCCGGCCGATATCACCGAGGGTATACTACGTCCTCAGTCATCCAAGCCAAATGCATTCCCGTATACAGAGCATGCGCAAGTGCAACCACCTTATCGCTAACGTCCATCTAGACGAGCAGCCATGCCAGAAAATTTTTCACCTTGGCATCTCTAGTCCAAATCTAACTCGTGCGAGTCGCAAGTTAAACTGCAAGAAAAAGTTTTTCAAGAAGGAAGTAGTCCAACAGGAATGGACGCATTGACGCTACCCATGCATGCCCAAATTTAGTCGGGGCTTCTAGAAGGCCGATGGAAAAATTCTTTGGCGCTACGGGGGACCGATTCGAATCCTCCGGCTAGGATTTTCCGGCCCAAGAAAGAATGGAATGGAGGGATGCACGGAGTAATGTAGCCCTGTGTGCAGTGTGGGAGGCTGTATTGTCATGCGCAATACACAGGTCCCCTTCGGTTTTATTACCTTATTTGTATTACCTCTGTTTCTTACCAACAGCAACACCCAGCTCCCTTGCTGGATGGGTCCCAACAGCCCCACCAAAAACCGAAGATCTGACGGATGTGGCTGTGCTCGGACAGCTGCATGTCAGCGAATCATGTCCGCAGGTCCTCCCATCTGCAAAGAAACCTGCAGCAACAGAGGGGTGGGAAAAGTTTTTCCTTCGCTGCATATGCACATTGCTGAGCTGTCTGAGGTTCGAGGGAAAATTCCATGTGGTTTAAGGTGCTGACTGTCGGCTAAATCGATCTAATCCTTGTTAGTTGGTCACCACCAGTGTAACTTTTCACTTCAGCTTGGGTAGATGGATGAATAATAGGTGTATTCTCGGTAATATCACGGTGTCATCAACTGAGTGGAAAGTACTGCAGGTTGAATGTAGGCTTGATCCCTCTGAACTGTCATGGAGATGTTGAAATGAGTCAGACAGTCACATGCGTACCCCAGATTCATCCTCCAGCTAGAGAGATAATCATTGCAGATAAGCAGAGATATCCAGCTGAGAGTCTCGACTTGCCAATCACCAATCGTAGGTTCATAATCAGGGAAGCCTGGACATATGGAATGAAAAGCAGATACCCACTGCGACAGAACAAGACCCGCCGGGATCCAGTCTGGCCGAAGGCCGAACGAGTCGACGATCCAGGTGCAGGTGCAAGACTGCAGGTAACAAGATCCGAGACTCTAGACTCGATCTTGACCTTTAGGTGTTGATTCCGAATGGCTGCAGGGTATGAGGACGAGAGCGTCCACTGTCCAGTCTGGGTTATCTGACGAGTCAACAACAGCGCTCGAGCCAGTCATGCGCAGCCAGTCGCCGGTTGAAGGGAAGATAAGCCGCGTACGCAAATTCAGTTGTTTCATGGACATGCGCGTCGAGTAGAGTGAGACACAGGCAGCCAGATTCTGATTTTATGTACTTCAGTTGAAGTTGCCACTGGCTTCAGCTGTCATTCGAGCTATGGGTGGGGAGCCATGTGTTCCTGTGTCTGTCACTGGAGGAATAGCGTTGGCTACAACTGCCTACTGGGCACTTGGTCTTTGCGTAGCAAATTGGCTAGACTAGGCACTGTGTTTCTATAGGCCGCTATCCTCTTCCATAGCGAGGTACTCACTCGCATCCTGATCTGCCGATATTCGCCAACAGCTTTCTGATATCTCAACAAAATCGACTGAGGGTTTGCATGTGATAATCCATGAAATTATCTGGCTTTGCAAAATTAATTAATAGTAACGAATTAACAGAAAGCTATGGTTAGACTCTCTTCCGTCTTCATGGTATGACTCTTACATCGTTCGACGCCTAGTGGTGATATTGAACAAGATCATGATTCTGGTCAGATGACCTTCCATTCAACGCAACTAGTACTCAATAGTCCGCAGTACCATGGGAGAGAAAACAATCAGCTGACTTATTCAAGTGCTGAGCCTCGCAAGCTACAGAGCATTAGCTTGAAAAGTAATCTTTCTGCAAACGATGAATGCACTTGAAATGCTCATGTGCTGCGAACTTGGCCGGCCGAGTGGTTCTGTGTACCTCGTAGATAGAGTCCCCGGAAAGTCTACCGTCCAGTAGGGGATGCCGAGAGCCGGCATGGTGGAGCTGCTGAGCACCTATCTCCGAGTCTTTTCCGCTTCTTCATCGCCTGTTTCTGCACACTTGCACAGTCCAGCAAGAATATTATTTTATTGTTTCTAATCATGTGCTGACAATTGCTGTAATCGACGTGGAATGCAGTAGATAGTACAGAGTACTGCCAGACGATTCACTCGGTCGAATGTCTGTATCTCGGCGAAGTCCGTATGCACCACATTAATAATCATCAATAATGTTTATTCATAGCTTTATACACTAGCCACATGTCTGTGGCGCAAAGATGTGGCGTATGCTTGGTTGGCTCATCAGGCCGCGGAGCTACAAACAAATAAACATGCCTACTTGAGAACTTCCCCTTCTCCCCTTTCCTAGAACAAACGGTCCTGATTAGTCGATTTACACGGCCCTACCGTTTGTGCATATTGTCAGGGTCCTGCGTTGAAGCCACACGAGATCGGGATCTTCAACAACTGCGTGGACAGAAATGCATGGCTTAGCCACGGCAGCTTGTCATTGGTAGCCTTAGGATCAGAAATGGGAGGATCGTCGGTCTCATCCAACTGTAGGTACTAGTCTGGTTGTTTAGATGTACGGTTTTACTATAGCTTAGACATTATTTAATAACATTACAGAGTGCTAGTATCTACTACCAAAATTGTCTACATGGGAGTCATAAGAGTGCTGGCATAGCCCGGCGACTATCTGAGTCATTGATGCTCATAATAATTTGGGCCTCGGTGAGTCCCCGGTATAAGAGTCATAAAATAATGACAAATTCATAAGATTTATTTTCGTTATTGAATAATTTGTATCCCGAGGAAGAAGAAGAACAAAGAAGCGTCAAGAACTAGATACCTGTTGAGTGGCACATATCTCGGGTTTGTTTGACTAATTGGGCCCTTCAGGCATAAATGCAGGGAGTGTGGCTCAGTCACTGCAAGGGGATAGAGGGTAAAATGCCAGTGCTAAATGACTTGTCTGCGCTGTAGTCCGTACTCGGTGGTACCTGGTCGACGACAACGCATCCATCTTTAGCTGCAGGAATTGTGGCTTGGAAGATACCCGACTCCATAATGGTGGGTTCATTTTTTTTCGAGTGTCCGGCTAATGGCTCGGCGGGGCGTGGGGCTAGGTGGATGGCGCTAAAACCCCCAGACAAAAACAGATCGATCAATCAAACCTTCAGGCTGTACGTATTCGTAATTATGGTAATTTTCCCTGGGTATTATTTGTAATCCTGAGTCAAGGATTGTCCGTTGTCATAACGCTTTCGGGCGAGCCCGTACACCATGACAGAAACTGACTCTGACGCTAAGTTAGTTAGTTCGCTGTGCATTGTACGACGACACTAGCTGATTATTGCATCATTAAGAATAAATGTCCCTTGTCCCCTCCTGTCCGTACGTTGATCCTGCTTCGACAACCAGATATTTTGTACATTAGGAATCTGGTCTTTGACCTCTCGAGTCATTCTCACATCATATCCCTTGTTATCAATCGTTTATTAACTCCTGTCTGGGGTTCCCATCTCCTACCTCCTCCTCTCCTAGTAAGTGATTCCTATACTCTACTCTACTATACTACACTTTCATACCTTGTCTCTTTTCACCATACAGCACACAAGCAATTGTCATCACATCATAATAACCTTCGGTT